TATGTATCTATTACGATAAATTATATGACGTCACACTCCCGTTTCCTTTGACGTTGACAGACAAGTTTACTGCATTATTTTTACTGATCAATTTTTACACAAGGAAGTATTTGATCAAACTTCTGTGCCCTGCTCGACCGAAATTATTCCTACATGATGTTTCTTCTTTCATTTTCTAGATAATCTGGACATTGGCTAGGCCAAGGAAAAACGTATGTTGAATTAACGGAAGAAACTATTTTAATTTGCTTTTATAAATCTGTTTTAAGGAATTATGAACGCTTAAGAAAGACAGTAATTATTTTAAATATGCCGTTTTTGACGTGGTATTGCATAATGTCTCCGACGCCGTGTTTTTGGTGACAATTATAGAATTAAAAATATATTGCATTATTTCATTCAATGGTCATGTAATATGTCGAAATAAATTCATTTTTCGTATTTTTATTTACTTTTATATTGTATAATTAACGCCTCCGGCTTGCTGATGCAACGCAATGTTAAATATTTTTCTTTAACATTCTCTCAGGATTCGAGACAGCACATACTAGCTCTGATAAGAAGGTCATACGACTATTATGATTAAAAGAAGCATGTTGTCAATTAGTTGAAATAGATTTGAAATTGAGTAACCTAAAACAATAGACAAAGACCCCCCACTAGATAATGAATACTGCGTTCCACAGCGTTATTACGTCTATATTACAAGCGTTTAAACATTTGCTCCGGGCGTCTATCATGTACGACAAGTAGATTGCAAGTTTGAGGGCCAGTTGTACCGGAGCATAATTAAAAATATCTTCGTTACTCCGGTTCAACGTCTATTGTCTACGTTCACGTATTTTCAAATGTACTCATATAACATACTAGCTGTTACAGCGACTTCGTCCTCGTAGGATAGTTATATATTTTGAGCATAAAATTGTGTTTTTGCAAACCCGTTCAACTATATAAATCTACTCATCCCGTCGTTCTTGTAAGATATTCTTAAAAGATAGATATATACTGTTGTGGACATTTTTTTAGATCATTTAAAGGCAAATCATTATTTCTTACATATGTTTGGATATCTTGAACCGTTTTCGCAGGGTAGGCATCGGAAACCCAAAAGGATGTACAATTTTCCCCGTTTTCTCAACATTCCCCGCTGTCTTTTCGCTCATATTAGTCGCAGCGCAATGGTTATTTCTTATCATATAGCCTTCTTCGATAAACGCTCTAACCAACACAAAAAAATTGTTCAATTCGAATAAGTAATTCCTGAGATTAGCGCATTCAAACAAACAAACAAACTCTTCAGCTTTATATATTACTATAGATTTCTAGGCAATTTCACTAACCAAAGCTAATAATATAAAATATTGATCAGTTATCGAGCGGGACGAAAGAGATTAATATTAATTTATTATTAATTACCAAAATTACTTAAAAATAGATGAGAGAAGATTATATAGATTAGACATCATATTAGTTAGATTTTTTTTTGACACGGGCAGGACTCGAACCGGCAGCGTTCTGTGCTGCTGCTCTAACCAATTGAGCGTGTCTACCAATGGTTAGAGCAGCATGTGAAAATATATTCGTTTTTAAAGCTGTTTGCATTTAAGTTATTTAATTTATGTTTGCATTAAAGTTATTACATTTCAAAAATATATATATATATATATAATATATATTAAAAGGCTCTTATATCTAATATGCACTAAATAAGTGGTGTCCCGGGACCGCTGATAACGTTTGTGTACTTAATGTAAAACTCTATATTATACTCATGAATTAAGACGTACTATTTCTACTGCATTTCTATACAATATAACTGATTATTGAACATTATGGTTCGAAGTTTATATTATCGATAACACAAATAATGTCCACGATTAAGTGACTCGATCAATCAATTTTATGTCTATATTCCGGGCAATTTGTTACCGAATAACGTATGGATATTGTGTTTGAGTACAATGAACATTTCCTTATTTTGGAGAGGCCAATTTAATGTGTTCTTTTTTCCGAATATCCAAAGGCAAAATTAAGTCAACCCCATGCTTCTCTGTTCTCCTTTATGATAAAAAAATATAATCTATAATTTTTTGTTGAATACTGTTACAATGTCTGTTACAATACAGTTTAGGCAACTAGGACAAATTAAAATATAACACTGATTTACAAAACATTTACACCATGTTTCTGATCAATTTATATTTTCCCTGAAACATGTTGGACTTCATCTGGAAATCTGGAAGTGTGTTAAAGGTGTGGTAGACTATCAAAAATGTCGTCTGTATCGAAAGGATTATACAGTGTAATATCAAAGCAAAGTGACCGAAAATTGTTAGCATACAAAGCTAACAATTTTCGGTCACTTTGCTTGTTACACAAATTATAGTACAAATAAATTTTCGCCTAAGTTAATTGTGCATTTTTATTTTCCGTTATTAAAAATCATCTTTGTTATTAGGCCAGTCCACATCTAGCAGCCTCAAATAACATACGAAGTAGCAGTGACTTGCTACCATGTCGCTAACGTACATTAATTTATTTATGACATTCCGCTATGACAATGTTCTATGTCAGTGTTCACATAAAAGATTAATTAATACATTTTAAGATTTTCTATTGAGGTCAGTTTTTCCACGGCTCTAGATTGAGTTGTTATTTTTATTTACAGATTTACAATAATGTGTCAAGTGTACGGTTATATATCGTGATAAAATGTGAGATAAGATTTTTATTGGCAGTATTTACGATTAAATCAAAGAGTATATCTTTCACATTTCATGCCCATTGATAAAATTATTTACTCTAAATATATTGTAATTCTATGTTTAGAATAGTTTCCTCTAATACAATACGGGATTTCGGTTTCAAACAATCTATAAATTTTATTATTGAGTTTGTCATTCGCTACAAAAGCAAATACCAACTTTAAGTTTTGTTTAAAAACTTAGAGTTGGTAAGTTAGGTTGGCTAAGCAAAAACTTTAAAGAAATCTTAACTTATCATTTGGAGGCGAAACAATATATTGTTTTCCAGGAACGCAGGAGCTCTCGTACTTAAGGACTAGCAATTCCTTAAGCACGAGAGCCCCTCCATTTTAAGTCGTTGAGCTACAAAGTTAGTTGACGAATTTATTGAAATCCCATTCTTACTTAGATTTGAAATATTTTATACTTAAGATACATAAAACAGTTATGCCCAAAAGATAATGACTTCACGATCACATTGACACCTGTTATGACTACTTGATATACTTGAAATGTGAAATTAAGCAATTATTTTACCTTAACAGTAATTGTATCAAAATGTGGTCGCTATTCACGGAACTGGCCGCGTTCCGGAATCTATCGTACAGAAGACTTCAACGCGCCACCTTTTTGTCACGCAGTACTTATTAGTTGCAATTGTTATTTATAGCGTACGATTTGTATTGGATTGTGTATTAATAGATAAAATAGTATATTATATATAAATCCGGGTTTAAATAAAACACTTTAACGGTTTAAAACGCGATATATTAGTTAAACTTATTTGAAAATGATTTAAATTCGGCCCGACGTCTCCCCGGGACCCCGGCTGCTGCAACCCCCCCAAACCGGTTTTTTCCCTTTTAAAATAAAGTGTTAAATTTAAATGTGTATACTAAACTATAGACAGTATTAAATCCGGGTATTAAACATCTTTCTCCTTTAGGGATATAGAGAAGATACACGATAAGACTTACACGTGTAGTTGATAAAATTTCTGTTTTTTCTGATAATTATTTAGTATATTTTTTGAAATTTGAACTTAGGACGTATCACTTTTAACAATGGGGATCTTTTTTATTAAGGTGAATCGTATATATTTTATTTCGATGTTGTATTTACAATATTTAGTAATACAATAAATCCTATCACGCGACTCTGTATAGATATAAATATAGGTTATATTAAACTGTTAATTGTTTTATGAGACAAGTCTAGTGGTTTTTGCTATCTAGTAGCAACGTAAAAAGGCGAAAGCAAGTTCTTATTAGAATTCGTTTTCATTTGTTTTTTTTTACTAAGTGCATTTTAATTATATTATTACCAATTTCAATTAAAAAATTATTTTGAGATTTTTCTTATGATAGGATAGGATATAGAATAGGTCGGACAAGCATAGGTTTCATTGATTGTTGGTAATATACTTAATTATTTTGGCTTTGGAAACTTGACGTCTTTTTAAGGGACATTATAATGATATCCTCAGATGAGGACAGTGGTTCGTGACCCGGAAGGATTATTTCGATATTCCTATCACGATATTACTTTCTAGAGGAAGTTCAACATATTTCAGAAAGAATACAAATTTATTATAAAAATGTTGGGATTAAACGTCCCGTTGATTATAAGTCATACGAGAAATCACACAACGAGCTTGTCCAAAATATTATAAAATTTAATAATAACTTACTTAAAAACAACTATCTAAAATACGTTACAATATCTATACTTACAGAGCGCCCTCTTTAATGTATAATATTAATATTTTTTAAGTAACTTTAAAATTTATTTAGTTATTCACGGTATTCTGATTATTTTCTAATAGTTACGCTGTTTGAAAGCATTGATCAATCCACAAAATCTGCCTGACCATTTCCGATGTTGGATTAACAAACTCTCACTGTCCCCTGAAACACCAATTAGCAATATAAGTGATATAAAATAAGTATGAAGGGTCAAAAGATAAAAAGCTCCACCGAACCAACGCCCGCCAAATGACCTTGAGCCATTATCATCCCTTACCGCCGTGTCCGGCATCAATTATACCAACGGCATTGCACTTGCAATTAATTGTTTCGAGTTACCAACTGTGTTGGGTTGATACATATAAAAGGGGCAGCCGCCAACGGTCCACATTCAAAGTTTTGTGGTGGTTGATAGCACACGTCGCTTAGGCGAAAATTTCGAGGCGAGTACTGGTAGACCAGCAGCGCCAAGTCAGTTCGTTTGAGATCTCCAAATAGTATAACAATTATCATGCAGTCTATGGTAAGTTCCATTTTATCTACTCGAATCTATTTAATCATATCATATAAAATTTTCTGTGTTCCAAATTTAAATTTTGTATTTTATTGTCGAAATTATTAACAAACTTATGTAGCCGCCTCGTTGGGTATATTTATACCCGGGAAATTATCGAGGTTTTCCCGGGGGAAGCAGTTGATAGTAAAAGACAGATAAGTAGCAAATCTATAAAGTTATACTTAAAGAAACGTTTATCAAAACTATTCATATATTAAATAATTACGCGAAACGCTAACGGATCTGTTATCAAATTTGACCATCGATCTAAATTCGCTGGCTCTATAATGTAGAACGAGTACATAGTACAAGTATACGCGAGATTACTTCCTCATACTTAAATTACGTAAAAATTACAAGTTTAATAAATATGCAAATGGTACCCACTATCCGTATCAATCTAGCGCAGTTTAATTTTGTCTTTCTAGCCTATATTTTGATTCAATAAAATCAGTAATTGCGAAGTATTAAGAGTCATTAATAAGCATAATATTATTCGTAGTTTATTGGGGCAAGTCTGCAATTTGTTCGCATAAATCGGCTTAGCACCTAGCTAAATGTATGATTTACAGGCTATTAACAGCCAGGTTCTAGCGGACCTATTGTATAAGGATTGCTATTTTTATGTAACTCGCGCTCAGAAAACATCGGCGCGACTAATCGATTCTCGTTAAGTTGTAAAGCCTATTTTTTATATCTTATAAAGTTTTGAAACGTTATTGAAGCGATAAGTTAGCTCTTACTACTAGATAAAGTCTTTCATATTTCAGGTTTGAAAAATCCTATGTTTAAAATTATAAACAAAAAACCTATTAATGTATTTTGAAACATAATCTAACATAATCAAATTTTAAAATAAAGCAAAACGTGCCATCGTTTAGGGCATGAGCTATGTTTCTTACACTAATCATTGTTTTTACAAGCAAGTAATAGGGCACTACTGTGCCCTGCCAGGCCGAAACTAGTGTTTTCCCAAGATCGCAACTAGGGCCTTGCGCTTAGCGTTATAACCCTTCTATTCTCAGCAGCGATATCGATATAGTAAAATAAACTATGTACTTTGAAAGATATTCGTATGTAAAATTTATATCCCACACCACAGATAAATGTATGCAAAGATGTCAAGGTGCAAATGCCAAATAACAGATGAATAATACAAGAAACATCCTGCTACATCGCCTACGAGCTATCTGAAATCTAATCCTATTGTTATTCCTTATTATCATAACTCTTCCTAGCCCACTATATACAAATTTAAAGAAATCTTCGACTCAGTAACAACATGTTTTAAAGTCTATATTAGATTCTGGTTCCGGGTTTCGATCCTGAAAGTCCCCTTTATAAAGAAAGGCTATTCGTTTACCCTAATAATTTCTAACGGGGACGCCTATAGAAGGGCGGAGAAAACTTATATAAATTTCCTTGAGTTATTCTCTTATTCTAGTATTGTCAATCAAAACTCCAATGTTTTATTTGATACGTACGCGAAAATAAATTTATGCAATTTTTCGGAAGCAAAGTTCGAGAACGGTTACAAATATCCGCAATTAAGCGTCATACGTTTTCTATGTGCATTCATGTGAAAAAGTGATTTGCAATATTGGATATTACCAAATTTGATTGCGGCTTAATATCGCAACTCTCGCATATAACCGCAGATCGACGTGACATGCCGCGATTTCCCCGACCTTCACAATTCCATGACCTTTACTGACCGTTTCCGTGGCTTTATGGCTAAATTCACGCTAGCGCTAAGGGGTTCAAATCTTTGTTTCGGTCGGACTGGGCACAGAATCACATTTGCTTGAAACAGACGAAAATATGTCTGCGAAATTTATTGTAATTTTTTTTTCGATCACACTTCCGTCGCCCACCATTTCCTCTGTTGCAACGTAGTTAGTTTTGCACCAGTTAGTTAAATGATAATTCCGAACTGTTGCAAAACCTCTTTGCAATGCAACTACGGTGTATGTACCACGCCTTCAAATTATAAGGCATTGTCTCAACCCCTTGACGTCGTTATCAGAGCGATTTATTCGGCTTGCAACACTAATTTCCAACAATGGGAACTGAAAGTTTAATCGTAGTTATTGAATCTATTTCGAGACCTTCAAATAGCTGCAAATGCCGTGGTCTCCTTGTCTTCGAGGCATTTGACCGCTCCTAGATTTATGTGAATCAGATCAGACCTTTCGACCATCGTTTCATCACGTTTGATTGTTTGAGTTCATTTGATGTTCAAGTTTAAAACTTCTAAAAGTACTTAGGAGGATAAAAACAGGCACGATACAGCATTTTTATTTATACTTGTCAGTTTATTAAAACTAGAGTACCCTCACATGCAACAATATAAATGATAAAATCTCCTAAGCCACTTCTCACAAATTATCATGTGAAATGTTATTACTAGCATTTGAATCAACAGAAATTATACGAGAGTTTCATTAATTTGCTGGTTATGTTAAGTTGCTCTAATTTTGTGAAAATTTAATTATATAACGCTAGTTGTGTCGGCGTTGAATAATGACTTTGAGCAGAAATATTTTTATATGTTAAACCTTTTGTAATAATATGTCTATAAAACAACCTGCGTTATATATTTCTTTAAGAGATTAAAAGTTTCTCGGACTTTATTGCTTTAATTGAAATCGCAAAGGGATTCATGCAATAATTTTATAATGATGACATAGAGACATACAAAAATATATATACCAACCAAAAATAAGAAAATTAATAATAATTACATAAGAAATAATATCGTAACATATATGAATACAACAAAAAGCAACGCAAGAGATAATTTTATTTGTTCCAATTGTCATGCTAGTTATTGATTCGTCTTACACAGAGTTACTGCACCTATTCTACTGTTTCCAAATGCATCTGACATTTGTTTCTATGTAGATAAGTAATCTAAAATCACGTGCTACCTGCGTGGGAAATTTTAAGCGATAAAAATACATTTTTGGATTTCCCGGTCTCTGAGCAACGTGGACTTTTCATGAGAAATATGTCTATTTTACTTCAGCGTGTGACATTAAGACAGACAGTTTTATCTACACAAGTGTATAGCTCTGTTATATGTGAAAGAAAGGCATAGATTCGTATTATTTCCTGTTCCCTCGTTATATAAGCCCGTCCAAATTGTATATAACATCAAAGTTTGATTTGTTACAATGATTATGTACTACAAATAGCCTCATAAATAAGTCAGATAATATCGCTAAGTTAATTCCAACAAATCAATCAATGCTGTTTTCGACAAGTGTCGAACGCACCAGTTGTTGAAATTCAAGTAGGTGCGTGCGGCAAGATAATAAACTAAAATATTAGGACTATTAACAGCCGGTAATAAATATTATAGTATTATTAAATTAATCGCCTCCGCGTTTTATTGTATTGCGTTAAGCACGACAGATTATGGGTTCGGAGACCGGTGTGGCATAGGAAAATAAAAACAACTCGGAAGGGATTCGTAACTATCCCTATGTTATTTAAATTTATTCATTTGACTTACGTCATTAAGATAAAACACTTTAACGGTTTAAAACGAGGTATTATTAGTTAAACTTAAATGTTAGTTTAGTTGAAGTTAAATTTTCTCGGCTGATTCAAAGCATCTATTACGTCTATTTTATAATATGACGTATTTTTTTAATAAGTTTAACTAATATATCTCGCCTTTTAAACCTTTAAATTGTTTTATATAAATGTAGACGCGTAAAGCATTAAATTTAAATTTATATTGTAATAATCTATCTCTTCACTTTATTTTTATAATTAAAGTAATAACTACACGTAAAGAGCTAAGTCCAATACGATGCATATTGATTAGCCATTACTATTTTTAAACAGATCAGGTATACTAACGATCAAATTAACTCGGCTCTAATACTTCCTGCAAATCCAGGTTTGTTGTATAATGGTTATAATGAAGTAAATTGTTACAAATCAGTTATGTTTTATTGCGTTTGCCACACCTTAATAGTAAGGGAATACTGGCTTTCAACTTAAGTAGCATTAGTTAGGATTTCATATTTTGAGTGCAGCTACCATTCTCAACACCAGACAGAATATTTTAATACAATATGTTTGAAGTTCATCTTAAATGAAGTCATATGTTTATGTAGTATTTATTCATGCTATAAACGTACATAACATAAATTTAATAATTATAATTTTTCTGAAACATGTTGGACTTCGAATTTTGTCCGGGTCACGAACCACAAATCCACAGTCTACAAATGAAGCCGTGAAGTTTAATCGCGTTTCGGTTTCAGTCTGTGGATTTCCGAATATCCAAAGCCAAAATAGGTCGACGGCGCATCGTGATTAGATGCTATAGGCTGGGATATATACCATCAAGTGTCAATCAATCAATCAAGTCAATCATCATCCTCCTATATCATTAAAAAATATATAATATTTCCCTTTTTGGTTCTAATTAGGTTACAAAAAGCATCTAAGGTAACTTAGCTTTAGACTTTGCAATAGCTAGACTATCTTGCTTAGCGCAGGTATTTAGACTAAAACGGTGAAATTGTTCACCGAGGCATATCAAGTGACTGATACAAGAATAGCTGTTAGTGAAATGTACTCGAACTCATTGTTACATTTTGTGTTGTGTTCTTTTGATAAGTCGTTGCTTTATCTTTGGAAATTCTTTTTTCGATTACGTATTAATAAAAATGTATATAATAAAGTGTTCATGACTATGTATGTTGCTCCTTTTATATACGAGACACAGCTTTTTTAAATTTAAGTATTCTTTTACAGATCATCTTTGCCGCGGCTTTATGCCTTGCCCAAGCATCATACTACGCTGGTGCACCCGCGCCAGTTCAACTCAGTTCAGATGGAAAATATGTGCTTGACACACCAGAAGTAGCACACGCCAAGGCCGCACATTTAGCTGCGCATGCGCAGGCTTCCACGTCCCACGGTGCGTGGGCGCCCGCCGCGTACGCAGCTGGACCAGCGTATGGTGCTGGCGCGCACTACGGTGCCCCTGGTGCTGGTAAGAATACCAAATCTCTAGAACGGATTCCCTGTTCTTCTGCGTCACTGAACATATAGCAAAAACTTACGACATCTTTATTATTACTTGTATCACAGATTCGAAAGAATTCTAATTATTACAAAGAGAAAATGAATCAAAAAATTTGATCTAAAAACTGCAAATAACGTAGATAAATAACGTTTAACTAGTATATTTCGCGTTTTATACCGTTATAGTGTTATAAGGATCATATTTTTACTCAGCATCAAAATTCATAATGTATATGTAGAATCCGACTCAAAAAGTGGTTTCACCTTCTCCACCAGGTCTCTACAAATACGGACCCGCTCCCCTGGCTCATGACGGCCGTGTGGTCGACACCCCCGAGGTAGCCCACCTGAAGGCGGCTCGTCTCGCAGCCCTCAACAACGCCCACGCTAACGCCGCTCATGGTACCCCAGTCGCCGCCTACGCCGGTCATGGCGCTGGTTACGGAGCGGGATACGGAGCTGGATACGGCGCAGGCTACGGAGCCGGCTACGGCAAATGGAACGGCCCACTCGCCCACATCCAGCTCACCCACGACGGACAATACGTAGTCGACACCCCTGAGGTACAACATGCCCGTGCCGCCCACTTCCACCAATTCGCGGCCGCCGCCCAGGCGGCAGCTTCCGCCCCCGAAGAGCCATGGGGTGCCCACGGTGCCCACGGCGCCCACGGCTGGCACTAACTACCTCCGACCCCAACCGACTGCCTGATGTTTTTATACAAAATGTAAATAAAACCGAAAAAAAAAATTAAGTTAAGAAAAGCAATGTGACTCTAATAGAGCGCAGTGAAACGAATAAAAATACAATGTTATATTTTCTTGTTTTCTTTATCATAATCATTTCATAAAATTTGAACTTATGTTTGAATACAAAAAAAATAGAGATAGGTAGAAAATAATCCTAACATATATATACAATCGCGTGTCGTTTACGTGATTGGTATTCTTTACATAAGACAGTTGAACAGGTTGTAACGTGATCTATATTACTCAATGAACAATCATCCTTTCCCGTCGTGACCGCAGCTAATAAGAATCGAAAGCGTCGGGTCAAATAAAAGAACGAAACGATATTAAAACTCAATCGAATAATAAAATTTGCTTGTTCTTGTAATGGTACCGATGTATGGCTAATAATCAAGGGATCGTGAATTCGATCCGGATCAGGTCCAACGTGTTTATAATTTTTCTAAAACATATTAGACTTCGTCTGGAAATCGGGCCACGAACCACCGAATGTTGCCATTTGCCGTGAAGCCGTGAAGTTTACTGGCGTTTCGGTTTCAGTCTGTGGATTTTCGAATATCCAAAGCCAAAAGACGACAGCGCATCAGTAATTATTAGGAGAAAAACATTCATCATCAAGAAGGAAACAAAAATGATGAAATTGTTACTAAGTTGAAAAATTATGTACACGATAACATTCCTTGATAAGCCGCTTTCTAATAATAATTGACATTACGAAAGGTAATTACACTAATGTGACGTAAACAGTATTTTCTTTACACATGTAATCTTCCTTGGTTCAATGCACATCATTTCAAAGTAATAAGCAACGGAATACAAATTAGGCGTTATCGGATTTTGCGTGGATTGAAAAAAATCATAACATCAGACACGCTCAAAATAAAGAAATTTATTGAAAATTTTTCACATGTTGACCTGACATTGTATAAATTAAAATCGATACGGTAGCTCAATTGGTTAGAACACAGAACGCTAGACGGCGGTTCGAGGCTTGCCTGTGTCGTAACAGTTTTTCAAAAATTTAAAAAATAATTGTTTCATCGATTAAGCATTATGTATCTAATAATGCATCATGACTATGTAGTTTTTTCAATAACTTTAAAACTTATTGAAAAAATTTAAGTAACTATTTAAAGGGAATTTCTAATAAAAAAACAGCACTTCTATAAAGTCATTGCAGCTGCGATAGCGACTTCGTCCGCGAGAATCATTTTGAGCGTCCATTTTTGTTCTTGCAAACCCCTTCATTTTTATAAAGCTAAGCTGTTCCTCGCGACGTTGGTCGCGTTCCTTTCCGTCGTTTTTTTAAGTTAATCTTAAAAGAAAGTCATATAGCGTCGCAGACTTTTTTTAGATCATTTACAGGGAAATCATTCTTTCATACTTTTAGGTATCTTGAACGAGTTTTCCAGCGTACGCCTCGGAAACCATAATGATGCATAATTTTACCCATTTTTTTTTACATTTCTCGCTGTATCTTCGCTTGTATTTGTCACAGGGCGATGTTGTATAGCTATATATGCCTTTCTCGATAAATGCTTTAATTAACACAAAGAATATAAATAATTTTTCAATTGAAACTCGTAGTTTGAGATTTCAAATCAAACATACAAAGAAACAAACTCTTAATATATTAGCATACATTTCATAAAATGTATCATAAATTAATAGTCTTTGAATTTTCCTAGCATTATTTGTAAAGAAGGTAAACATAATAAAGTTCGTTCTTAATAAGTGCTTATGTTCGATTCATTATTTGGAATAAGCTATTATTAATGAACAATCACGTAGATTAATAGCATCTACCCAAATACCATAGCATTAAAATAATTTTCGCCAGAAAATTATAGTTTGAGATTTTCTTCATATTCGAAGGACGAAATGCAAAGTCCAATTCGGAAAACGTAACTCAAAAATTGTTTTTGTTGAAAAATTTCGATATGTCTTCCAATAAGATGTTGTTCCTTATAAAAACATGCTTATGTAAATAAAACGAATTTAACTGTGTACAACGCATTTAAACCGCTAAATGCCCCAAAGGAGGTTATTTTACTGAGGGTGAATGTTTCCTTATGGAAATTCGTGTTTTTGTAACTAAAACAATGAAACTTTTTTGTTGGCGTTGTAGGGAACAGGGGTGCTGCAAAAGATTAGAACGTGGGAGCCGAAGTTAAAAATAATTTGCAAATAAGTTTAACTACAACATAATTCGCGTTTTAAATGCGCCCTTAAAGTGTTTTATTAAAAAGCCTAAATAATTAAAAATTCTACCCCAAGTCACTCACGTCCTTCCACGCGGACAAAGTCGCAGGCACAGCTAGTGTAATAGTTATATATTATACTTGTTCATGAACTCTTTGGACGGATAAATTTTGCACAATATTCCAAGGTATTTTTATATTAATAACAGATTGGTAGTTGTCATTACAAGTAATTGCATTCATCTTGACTTGCTTCACCCGTTATTAAACAACTTAATAGCAAGAGAACTGTCTAAATTGTGTCTGTTCTAATGTATATTGTCTGTTCGTAAATAGAAGACGACTTTAGCTTGTCGTGTATAGATATAGTGTGGTAGTAAAAATATTGTATGAGGATGAGGCGAAATCCTGATGTAAGTTTATTATTGTTCCGATCTTTTTTTCGTTTAGTAACGTCATATATTAGTTGCTTAAAAGTGATCGATAAATAGTAATTTAGTGTAATATATGTTCAAAATGGTGGCACAATATTATCTATTCGTTCTATTTTAATTAAATCTTTGGCTCGCGTTTGCCGTACTTTCCAATGGATAGCATACCGGCAAACGCGAAGACACCGTTAGTCAATTCTAGAAGTACCAGGCCAGTTCCGCCAAATACCAACATCAACGGTAAGATGGCGCTAGCGTAGTAGTTTTTACCATGTCTTTCGTGACCATGGCCGCTGTAAAGCATCCGAAACGTCGGGACGTAGTTAAAAATAATTTTCAAATAAGTTTTACTAATATGTATCGCGTTTTAAACCGTTAAAGTGTTTTATTTAAATGTGTACTTTTCGCGTAAGCTACAGACAGTATCTGTTCACAAACCATATAACGTGCATTTTTTTCTAATACTAACACATTCACATTCACGTTATATCCGTTAAAAGTAGTTTTTCTTATTACTTTTTTATTCAGATCTGTCCCTGTCCTATGTCTGAATACGGTCCATCAATGGCATCGCATTGTGGAAGTCAATTCATGGTATTCATGACTATTCTGGAAGCGTTTGTGAATGGACGATGTGATTTGGTGGATCCTTGTAACCGTGTGAAAAGTACGAGTGACCTGGATGAAGATTATGACTTTGTGGTGGTCGGGGGCGGTACTGCTGGATCAGTTGTCGCTTCGAGGCTTTCAGAAAACCCTCAATGGAAGGTAAGCAGTGACCTAATTAGTTAAATATCACAAAATTTGTTTATGTAATATGTCTGAAGAGTGCGTCTGTCTGTTTAGATATGTTTTTTTTTAAGAAATAATTAAAAATTCCCAAATGTACTTAATACTATTTTATACATTTTTCATGTCATTATTGTCAAACGAAATAAAGATGTTGCTTACATTTTCACTTTTCCAAATAAAGGACATGTTTGTTATTTTGCTCATATATAACCATAAAGCAATTTAAAACAATGTCAAAAAAATCTACCAAAGAAACAATATTTGCCAATTTAATTAATACAGGAGTTATAGATTCTCTTAATAGAAGCTGGTGGCGATGAACCAACTCCATCAGCAGTGCCAGCATGGTTTGCAGCCTATTGGGGAAAACCAGAGACAGATTGGAATTATTATACCGAAAAGCAAACAAAGGCCTGTCTTTCGACAGGAGGAAATTGTTATTGGCCAAGAGGGAAAGTGTTAGGTAAAATATTGCTTATTTACATTCGTTAACATCAATTGACTTAAATTGAAAATCGATTTTAGATTTTTTTGAATTGCGGCACCGGTAGGGCTTGAACTGGCTTCCACTGAGTTCCGTGCGGAATTTATATAGTGCTACCATGTGTAATAACATGAAAAATATTAAAATTATCAAACATTAACCTTAAACAATGAAAGCTTATTATTAAAGGATTGTTAAATATACTCTCGAGATAATAATTTCAGTACGATAGGTGTTGTGATAAATAATTGAATTTAAAGGAAACAAGTTAAACGGGTCATTTCACGTTTTAAACCGTTTAAATGGTTTTATTCTTAAGTAATTTAAGCTACAACATTACATTCTTAGCGTTTTACGTAACCTAAATTTTGGTAGGTGGTACATCAGTCATCAATGGGATGATGTATTTACGAGGACATCCAGCTGATTACAATGGTTGGGCAGATAATGGTGCAATAGGCTGGTCTTGGAAAGACGTGTTGCCATATTTTCTAAAAAGTGAAGACAACAAGGAGATACGAAGCGTAGCTTCACCTCAGTATCACAATGTTGGTGGACCATTACCGATTCAAAGAGTGGGTATCAATTTGACCTTTAATTATTGGTGTTTCCAGATGTATTGGGACATTTGGGACTATTTTATTGATGGTTTTAGTTATTATGTAAATTAATGATTATTTATTAAATAACATATAGCAAGAAATGAAATGTGAATATGTAGCACTTAGTAAAGTGCTTAAGTTATAAGAAGACACATATTTGGATGTTTGGTTGAAAACATTTGATAAATGGGCAAATAACATCTTGTCTAACTATCTCATAGAACGGAATCTATAATATTATAAATTTAACCTTTAGTAACACCACGACTGTATAACTTCCAACAATAGCATAATTATTCCTATTAATAATAACATGCAAGCACGAGTTAATGAGAATTTGCTTTATGTTTTTATAAGGAGTTTTTTATTAGCGATCTTGTATTAAATTGTTTCAGTTCAGGTATTGTCCAGAATTTATCAAGGATATTATAAATGCAAGTGGCGAATTAGGTTATCCACCGACAAATGATTTAAACGGAGAAACGATTACAGGTTTCACTTTAGCGCAAGCTTTTAACAAGTAAGAGATTTGTTAAGATTTTGTAATCATCGTAAAAGAAACTATGCTTAATGTTGTAGTTGCTGTTTTTAATTTTTTTTATGATAGGGGAGCACAAACAAGAACAGTATAATACCCCAGCAATATATCATCTTAACTAAGACGTCTGGACCTATTTTAACTTCGAATGGTTGGAATTAAAATAGTATGTAGGTACGTTCCTCTCTGACGCTTAACGTACTAAATCGATTTTATTATATTGATTTAATGAACGAATTGTAATGCTCCTGGTAACAAAGGAAAATTAAATAAAAAAAGCACAGTTTAAAACGCGAAACGAATCAGTACACTTTTAATAAATAATAAACTTTTACACTTTATTTTAAATTATGCGCGTTTTTTTTTCATTTGTACTACTCGCGTAAACTACAGCAATTAGAGTTACTTTGAAAGGAAAGGTTTTAAATTACATTATAAATTTCATTACTATACATTAATTAATATTAATGGTTTAAAACATAAAATGTATTACTTGCGTACACTACAGACAAGATTTATTTACTAATTTTTAAACATAAATCTTTACTCTATGTTAAAGAAGAGAAAGAAACAGAACATCGTTTCAAAACTAATGTTTCAGCTATGGTTCCCGAATCAGTACAGCACGTGCATATCTAAGACCGGCCTCCAAACGTAGCAACCTGGTTGTTCTTCTTAAGGCTCATGTGTCAAGAATTATTTTTGATCCTGACAGAAGTAAAGTTACCGGAGTGGAGTACATACAGAATGGGAATAAACTCAATGTTGGTGTTAAAAAGGAGGTTAGAATAACTGAGAACATTTTATACACATTTTGGCCCCCTTTACCTCGTTAGGTATTAATATTCACTATTAAATCACTTAAACGATTAAAATTACAACTACCCGTCTATGTGGTTGAGGAAGAGGCATTGTTGAATGAAGCATTCAACAATGCCTCTGACGGTGTATATGATAAACACAAAAATGTTCTTTTAAAAACGGCGCCAGTCTAAAAAACCTAATGGGTTTTCGTTTATGCAGTCTTTATCTCTATTAGCAGACCATAAAAAACCTATGGGACCTTATAAACAAAACACTTTAACGGCTTAAAACGCGAAATGTATAAGTAAAACTTATTCAAACTTTATTTTAACTACAGCCTTACATGGTCAAGGAGGGACTGCCCAGGATGTCTCTAATTTCAAAGTAAAAACACGCTAGCTTAGATCTGTCGTACTTGACACTTGACGATTCATTGCAGAATTGACTATTTCTCGGTGTGCCGTTTATTGGAATAACTGGTAAATACATTTCGCGTTTTAAACCGCTGGATGTGTTTTATTTAAATGTGTACTACTCGTGTAAAGTATGGACAGTACCTACCCCTAGTAGCCTTATGGCATTAAATTGTCCTATCTAAATTTTATCTGATCATCTCTATGATGTTTTATACTCGTTTCAGGTTATCCTCTCAGCCGGAACAATAAACTCTCCACAAATTTTACTGCTATCTGGCATAGGATCAAAGGCCACTCTCAGGAAATTTGGCATACCTACAATACAAGATTTGCCCGGAGTGGGGAACAATTTGCAAAACCATGTTGGTTTGTCTCTTCACTTTACCCTAACGAAGGAACCAGATATTCCAGAGTTATCTTGGGTATCTGCTATGGAGTACGTCAAGTATAGACGAGGGCCTCTATCTGCTACTGGGCTGTCACAGGTGTTTTTACAAGGATATGCCATTTAAATAAAACACTTTAACGGTTTAAAACGCGATATTTTAGTTAAACTTATTAGAAAATGATTTTAACTTCGGCCCGGCGTTTCGGATGCTTTGCAGCAGCAGTCTCCCCGTGACCACGGCTTAAACTAATATATCGCGTTTTAAACCGTTAAAGTGTTTTATTTAATGTGTACTACTTGCGTAAACTATAGACAGTATTTAAGGATATGTCATATTCGTTTTTATTTAAGAAGGAATTGAATTTTGTCTTCATAGAAAAAATATTTCAACACGAATGATGTGAACCTTAGTAATAAATAAAAGCTTATTTAAAAGAAGTTCTAAGTATATAAAAATTAAAGAAAGTACATATATTACTTAAATAATTAAACATTATTATTTCCTACAAAAAATATTTAGCAATGTTTTTAATACGAATAATGCAAATTTGATTGAATTTTGGTCGACGGTTGGAATGATGTAAAAAGCTATAAAAAAGTTAATTTAGTTATGAGTGCCAAAAACTGTACAAAAATGTATGAATAAATAGATTCTCTATTTTATTCTTTGTTTGTATAGGCTTTATTAAGGAAAATACGTAGTGTACTTAAAGTGCGTGAAGACTTGGCGATAAAAAGAGCGACAGCGAGTTTTATGCCAGTTCTTCTCGCTCGTTCCACTTTAGAGTCTTTTGCTTTTAACTGGTGTGCCGTTCATAAGAGTGTGTACCTAGTGACCTACGTAAATAAATGATTTTTGGCTTTGATTTTGACTATTGTGCGTAAATAGCGTTGGTTGCTTTACAGGGCGTGGGAATAATAAATTCCCCGTTAGCACCTCAACACGGCAATCATCCTGATGTTCAATACTTCTTCTATGGATACCAAGCAGGTTGCAGCAATGGTGCTATAGTTAACTTTAGAAGAGTTAAAGCCAAGAGACAAATAATGTAGGTGAACTTGTTAAATTTAAGAAAAAAATATTTGGCTAGTAATTTGCTAGTACATTGTAGCAGTGTTACATTATTTAAACTTAGAACAAATTCTTTTTTTTTAATAAGTAAAACACATTTAATGAAACAATTTTTATGGTTAAAGATACGATCTATATTAGTTAACTTATTCAAAACTATACCTGACCGTTGAGTGCAAAGCATCTATTTTTACATTAGTTTTTTATTGACATAATGTATTATATACTGTCTGTAGTGTACGCGAGCAGTAAACATTTAAATATAACACTTTAACGGTTTAAAACGCAATATACATATATTTGTTAAAGTTATTTGAAAATTATTTTAACTACAGCCCGTCACGGGGAGACTGAATTGAGTATACCCGTGAGCACGGCTGCTGCAAAGCATCCGAAACGTCGGGCCGAAGTTAAAAATCATTTTCAAATAAGTTTAACAAATATATGTATATTGCGTTTTAAACCGTTAAAGTGTTATATTTAAATGTTTACTACTCGCGTAAACTATAGACAGTATTAACTAAAATACGCTTTTTCAGAATATCGCCAATAGCTCTACAACCTCGAAGTCGTGGTTTCCTAACACTTAGCTCTACGGATCCATTTGATCCTCCTATTATGCAGCCTAACTACTTTGACGATGAACATGAACTCAACGTGCTGGTTGAAGCTTCGAAGATCGCATATCAGCTAGCCAATACCACGGTAACAAATGCATTAACTGTTATTTTAAACTTTCAATTCTGGTATGACAGTCATCATGTAGGGTAATTTACTCACTCATTCTCTTTCTACTCATTCGTTAACAGAAGAGGAAGCATAGGTTTCACTGAATGAAAGGTAAAATAGTCTTGGCTTTATAAGACCTAAATAAGATGTGCTATCAACTATTTTGGCCTTGGAGATTCCACTTCTCATATCCAACTTAATAATAATAATCCCTTAATCCGGTACATACCATACAAATATGTCGTAAAACAAAGGCAATAAAAAGAATTATTACGATTTAAGTAAAACACTTTAACGGTTTAAAACGCGATATATATTCGTTAAATTTTGACGACGTCATGACTTGAACGTGACCACGGCTACTGCAAAGTATTCGAAACGTCGTGCCGTAGTTAAAATAATCTCCAAATAACTTTAAGTATTGTAAATCGAGTTTTAAACCGTTGAACTGTTTAATTTAATGTGTACTACTCGCGTAAACTACAGACGGTATATAATTATTAGGAATAAGTTAAAACTTATATTATATATAACAGCCGTTTGTATTTTCAAGGTTGTTTAATTAGTATGACTACGATCATGTAAGTCTTTAAAATTGTTTGATTTATTTTACGAAACCAATTACAATAAACTAACTCCAATCATTACTTACTGTTTACTATACAAATAAATTAAAATTTAGTTTGGTGATTACATTTTTGTAGTCTCTACGAAAAAAGTACGGTATAATACCTACAAAAGGGTATGCTGCAGAGTGTGGTGACAGTCAGCAGCCCACAAATGACTTCTTTAGATGTGTAGCACAACGGTACACGGAACCAGAAAACCATCAAATAGGGACCTGTAAGATTGGAACTAATGATGATCGATTGGCAGTTGTTGATCAAGAACTAAAAGTTTATGGAATTGAAGGTAGAGTTTACTAAATTAAGATGTGTTTTTTTGAACGTGCATATCTTAGAAATAGTTTATAAAAAACTAGATGTGCCAGCGACTTCCTTCGCGTAGAAGTTATTTTTAACACCATTCTCTCATTTTTATAAATTATAGCAGTTACCCACGACGTCGGTCGCTTATGCGATGTTCTTGAAATTATTACCTAGTTTTATATCATTTAATACGCAATCATTCCTTTATACATATTTTTGGGTATCCCGAACCGTTTTTAAAATTGAAATTTTTCGACTCGGGCAGGATTTGAACCGGCATCGTCAGCGTTCCGTGCTGTTGCTCTGAACGCTGACGATGCCGGTTCAAGAATTTTTTTTCAATTTATTTTCGATGTTTAAATTATATAGCGCCTTCATGTGCAATAACAATATGTAAAAACAATAAAGTTTTTAAATGAATCTATACAGTTATCTGGTAAATTGTATAAGTCTTTCAGAGCCATCGTTCAGCGTATCGTTGTTTTTCGGGCCGTTCGGCCGCCGTGAGCGAGAAGAAGTTCTCGATTTTTGCCGTCACGAGCGGACGGCATCATCAGATGTTAATTTCGTTAAACAACGTTACAAATATACTAAACCAGCTTATTTATTTATTTACAAATTCTTATACGAATGAAATAATCGGTGATGTCGTAAAACTATTTTTTTATTACCTTGTATTTCCAGGTTTGCGGGTTGTAGACGCATCAGTAATGCCAACATTGCCAACCAGTAATACACAGGCGGCTGTCGTGATGATAGCAGAAAGAGGAGCTGAATTCGTCAGTAATACCTATCATTAATAAAAAAATAAAAACATACATAAGATCACATTTATTTTGTATTTTTTTTATGATAGAGGAAAACGGACAAGCATTGGGGTTCGATGTGACGTTAAATACCCAAGCCATATCACATCTAAACAAAAGGCGGTCTCGACCTATCTTTGCTTCGGATATTCGGAAATCAAACACCGAAACACAATTAAACGAAACTAAAACGAAAGACAAAAAGTTACTGTCCATTTTACAACATACAAGAAATTTATTTTAAAGTTCTTTTTTTAAATTAGACATAACATTTTTAAAGCCTTTAAATAAAAATTCCATGTTTATATTACATGTTTCTGTTTAATTTTTACCAAGATATAGAAAAGCATGTCTAGTGAGAGATTCTCTCACTCCAACTCTCTCTGACTCAATAAATTATAAGTATTATTAAATAAGGTATTACTATAATTATTACTAGTATCACTATACTAAAGTAACCCTTTAATTTCTAAAATAAATGTGATTACAACTACATAATATAATGTTTAAATAAAACACTTTAACGGTTTAAAACGCGATATATTAGTTAAACTTATTAGAAAATGATTTTTAACTTCGGCCCGACGTTTCGGCTGTTTTGCAGCAGCTGTGGTCGGGGCGAATTTAAAAATGATTTTCAAATAAGTTTAACTAATATATCGCGTTTTAAACCGTTAAAGTATTTTATTTAAATGTGTACTACTCGAGTAAACTATAGACAGTATTTACTACATATAATAGTCAAATTCATGTTCTTGAATCATTTCTTGACGAGTTTATATAAATCCTACAATTATAAAATTTTACATTAATAATTTGAATTAATTAATTATTTACACATTTGTGAATGAAAATAATAATAAAAGGAAAACCCGAAAGGAAATAAGCTGTTGATATTCGAGAGGGAGAAAGTGTCTATAACTTAATGGGAAAACCTGACAAAAGAGTGAATATAATATGAAAGTGTGCCACAAGGCTAATAGTCTAGTAGTGCCCGCATGAATTATTATCTGTGACGGCTGCAACCCTGTCAGTTAGACGTATGGAAATTTTAATAATTAGGTTAGCTAATTCGTTTGATCTATTAAACAAGATAATTCAATTAAATGACGTACTTAGCAGTTGAAATCTTTAACATTTTTCACATGTTATTGTATTAAATAAATTAAAAATCTATTTACTTAGATATAATTTTTTAAAACATGGTCGGGACTTGAACCGGCATCCACAGTACGTGCTGCTCTAACCAACTTAACTTTAGCAGGTTACAAGGCTAGAGAAAACATTGAGAAACAAAATTTCAGTGTAAAACTTTATCAAAACAATTTGAACCATGTCAACAGAATTATTATTTCCGGGAATCGAACTCAGAACCTCGTAGGCTTTGGTGGCGGCTTAAATTTTTTAGACTATAGATACACTATACGGCTTCTGTAATAAATAGTATGTTAATTTAGGAATAAATAAAAACTTTATGAAAATACTTTTAAAACACTACTTTCGATGTGCCTGTAGTTTACGCGAGTAGTACAAATAAAACACTTTAACGGTTTAGAACTCGTAATAAAATATATTGTATAATATAGACCGTAGTTAGTTAACAATCATTTGCATAGAAGTTTAACTAATATATTTCACGTTTTAAACCGAGTAAAAAAGTACACTCAATAAATCATCCTTGATTTTTCATGTCGCATTAAAATCATTTCCACACAATGATTAGTCATTATTAATAAAAATGATCGTGATGTTTGTTATCTCGAGATGTGCGAGTTTCCTCATGATTCCACTCAAAATACCTGACTCATATGGGGTTTTCCGCATAAAAATGTTGGAAACTCTTCAAGTCCACGTAACATAAGTACACAAAACTCACTCGAAGTTACTGCTATATTTGGCAAAGACATACACATATACACTTCTCTTTCTTGTTACTTATCTAGGCGATCTTTTATTTTAAGACTTTTAAAATATCGCCTAGATAAGAGTAAACTAATTGGTATTCTTCAAAAAGCATAAATGATAAAGTGTTCTAGAATGCGCAGATATTTCTGACGTTTTTCAGCCAGTAACTCCTAACATAACTCCTTTTGAATGTCAATAGACATAAAATATATTGAGTTATTTTCGTCGTTCAGTTTACTCAATTTCAAGAATTTCTTGGATTCAAATGCAGCTGGCATTTGAATGTCAAATCTTTTTTAGTTTAGAACATAACACATAAGAAGTCATCAATGAAATAAAATTAGTAATGAAAATCAAAAATGTATCCCTCCTATATGGCTTATTAATACACCTCCCTCTCTTGCGGTTGCAGACAGAGCAGGGTTGTAGCGCTAGTTTATGAACTCACGATATTATATGCATCTGTACTACACATATGTATAATTTTCCATTAATGTTGCGGATCTATGAATGATTAATCAGAATTATTAGATCAAAGGTTAACACAACACCTTTGTGTAATCTTTATAATATCACGTCTATGCGATCGGGATTCTAACTCCGGTTAAACAATGAAATTATTTCTGTCTCAATTAAATTAAGCTGTAACTTTTATTTTACAATAAAGGTTATGTCGAGATTTTATGTCTACAAGACTCGAACTCTATTTGCTATTAACGGATTGAAAAGTGCGTAAATATTTTAATACTACTTGTGTCCATCTATTATTTCTTGGGCTCCATTGCTAAAGTTTCTAAAAGGCTAACAATTTTAAATTATTTCTTCTAAAGTGTCCCGTTATTTGCAAAGTCGATTGATGGTAATGCATTTCAAAGTGCATGATAACAAGCCATAAATCTTATTGATACATTAATTGCGATTAATATTTGGCAAGGTTTTACGTCTCATAAGGTAAGCTTTCTTTTGACCTTTTACGAGAGTTTGGTAAAATATACTACACTACATTTAAGTATCATAAAATAATGTAGACGGGCTCGCTGACCTAATGGTAGCAATGCATGGCTAATAATCATCGGGTCGAGGGTCGATCCCATCGGGTCCATGTTTCTAATTTTTCTGAAACATGTTGGATTTCATCTGGATATTAAATGGGTGGTAGGAAATACTGTCTGTAGTTTACGCGAGTAGTACACATTTAAATAAAACACTTTAACGGTTTAAAACGCGATATATTAGTTAAAATTATTTGGAAATGATTATTAACTTCGGCCCAACGTTTCGGATGCTTTGCAGCAGCCGTGACCACGCGTTTTAAACTGTTAAAGTGTTTTATTTAAATGGGTGGTAGGAATTTAGATTTTCCGTCCGTTTCACGAACCGCCGTCCACAAATGGAAAGCTGTGAAGCTTAATCGCGTTTCGGATTCAGTCTGTAGATTTCTGAATATCCAAAGGCAAAATAGGTCAACAGTGAATCTTGTTAGATTTGTCCTCCTTTATCATTAAACAAATGTACAATGTTTGAAACGTTGGTCTAATGCAATTCTATTTTTCCGATATAGAGTTCCATTCACATAATTGGCTTAACTTTTAAATATTTCTTGTATGTATTAAACTATGTAAAAAAGCATATGTAGGTAATGAGAAAAAACAAACATTATATAAAAACGAAATTGTTAAATAACGAAAAATGCTAATCTATTTGTTATGTTGGCACACAAGCCATATTTTTTCGTTTCATTGTTTTTTTACGAGGCCACGAAATCCTACCATTATATATATGCACACAATCATTAATAAAAGTAAACATTAAGCGTTTGCGGTTTTAGCAAAAAACAAATAGATTTCAATGTCCTTGTGTTTTCAAATTGTTAATGTCTGGGATAAGAATTGTAAAGTCCACAGTTAATTAAAAATTAAAATGGACATATACCATTGTTACAATAATTATACCAACTAGTATTTTGCTATAAAAAAATCTACATATTTGTAAATATAAAAATGAAAAGGATAGGATCAATTATAAAAAATGTTAATTTATCTAGTTTTTTTTTATTGTCGAGGAGGATTATTTAATGTACCACTTAATTAATAAATTTATTTATTTATTCCAGCTTTATTATTTAAAAATATACCACATAAACTACAAAAGATAAAAAGCTTACCAACTAACTTATAAATAAAAGGCGGTCTTATCGCTAAGCAGCGATCTCTTCCAGGCAACCTAAAGTACAGGAGAAAAAATTTAAAAAAGGGTATTAAGTGGAAGGAATAATAAACAAAAAGCAAAAGTACTTCGAAAAAGTATACACATCAAGTAAGAGATAAACTAAATTAAGAGTTGGAAAGATAATACAAATATATAAAGCAAAGTCTTAACGGAATGGAGTGGAGAGGATTATAAAAAAATATTTTTAAAGCTCAACTGCAGTTTGCAATTGATACAACTTTCACTCTAGAATCTGGAACACAAATATATCTTTCTGATTTCGAAGAGCAATTGTATCTTTAATAATGCAGTTTTGATCAAACAAAAATAACACAATACGAAATATGTTATTAAAAGAAGAAAGTTTGTACATATGGATGATTATTTTAGAAGCGGAAATATATATGTTTTAACCAAAGGACACAGGAGGGACTAGAACCCACGACTAACTGCAAAGTTCGCCACAAATGTAATTATCGTCTCAAATTATATATGAAATATGTGTTTTGTTTCGTTAACAGGCGAAAGTCATAACAATTTATGAGCTTTGTCGAATATCTTAAAACCTTTGAATCAGATGTGGATAGTATGAGTTAAGAAACGATAAGAATAATCGTATCAAACTTCATGATGTCCTGTTTTCTCTTTATGGGGCATGGGACAAATATAGAGTTTACTTTTTAATGTTCGTTAAATACAGTTAAGCCAAATCACCCGACGTAAACATTTGTTTTCATTTTCTTACAATTCAGACACTTGCGATAATACATGGTATTGTTATTTTTAACTAGAGCTGTTCTCGCGACTTCCTCCGCATTTAATAGTTATTTTGGGCATCAGAATTTATTATTCTTTTCAAACAATCTCCTCAGCTTTATAACGCTGTTGTTGCCAACCTACTGCTGTAACCCACGACGTCCTGTTGTTTTTGCAAGTTAATCTTAAAAGATAGAGATATACTGTCGTGGACATTCTTTTAGATCATTTAAAAAGGAATCAATCTTTTCATACATATATTTTATGGTATCTGGAACCGTCTTTGCAGTGCAAGTATTATTAAATCATCCCTCAAATATTATTACATTTTCTCCGTTTTTTCCACTGTTTCTATGCTCCTTGGTCGCTGCGTGATGTTTTATAGCTTAGAGCCATCTTCAAATAATGTTCTAACAATCATAAAATTATTTTTCAATAGTTCCAGAATTTAGCTTGTTCAATCAAACAAACTCTTCAGCTTTATAATATTAGGATAGATATTCGATTTTACAACAAACGTTTTCACTTAGGCTGCTGAGTCCGATACTCATGCTAGGGGTACAGGACCGTAGCATCAATATAAACAAAAAGCTGTGCGCGCGCACATTGGTCGTGTAGAAATCCGCACATCGTCAAACGCGCGCGCATGTCCGGTGTGTAGGAAACGGAAAATATATTTTTGTGTTTATGACAACAGTGATCAATGAGTTCTTAATATAATTGTGATTAGTCATACAAGTAAGTGACTTTATACGACATTAATATAAACAATAATGAAATTTATTTATTAGAAAAAAAAAATAAAAACCCAATTTTAAAAATGTACAAATTTACATTTTCACATATAATAAATTAAAGACTAAAAATATAAATAAAAAGTTCTTTATTGTCTATGGCGACTAGTTGACCTTTAGTTGAGAAAAAAAGAAAACTTAAAAATTCTTCGAAAACTTTTAAAGTTGCTTATTTACAGCATCTGGTAGTAAAGTAGTTGGTTAGAGCAACAGCACGGAACGCTGTGGATGCCGGGATCGTACATTTTTTTAATTTATAATCGATTTTTAATTTATATAGTACCATTATGTGCAAAAATCCATTCCGTGATAATAACACGTGAAAAATAATAAAGTATTCAAATATTTAAAGTACCGTTGGTTAGCAAATTTCATGGTTTCTAACGAGCCATTCAACCTGTACTAGCCAAGACGGTTCGCGAGTCATTGGCGATCAACGCGTGTCGAATCTAAACAAAATGGTTTACTGTTATGGATTCCCCTGGCGTTTCTTGAACCGCAAGAATAATGTGACAACTGCAAACAATAGTCTATTTATAATAAAATGTTAAATATGCCTGTACTGGGATATTCCGTTTACCCTATCCAGGGCGTTCGGCAAACAGCTTTTTGTAACCGGCAAGTAGTTGCAGACTATTATCACTTACCATACAGAAACTATTATGTTTTCCCAGGAAACAAATCTAAGACCTTTCGTGCTTAATGCTCAGTTCACGCGTTTAAGTTACTAAATACTGTACTGTAGTAGAATAAAAATTTACTTTTCAGCAAGATATGAAGGATTTATTTGCCCAATCACATGAAACTAGAGATAAAAAAAAACAATAATAAATTATTTTTTGTAACGTATTTCTTATACGTTAATTTGATATAAAATTTTTTGATAATGGTATTTGTAAATTTAACTTCTATCCCGCACTTTAAATAAAAGATGTAAGTTAAGTCCTGGTTAAATACTGTCTATAGTTTACGCGAGTAGTACACATTTAAATAAAACACTTTAACGGTTTAAAACGCGAAATATTAGTTAAACTTATTTGAAAATGATTTTTAACTTCGGCCCGACGTTTCGGATGCTTTGCAGTAGCCGTGGTCACGGGAAGACTCCCCGAGCCGAAGTTAAAAACCATTTTCAAATAAGTTTAACTAATATATCGCGTTTTAAACCGTTAAAGTGTTTTATTTAAATAAGTCCTGGTTATAGTATATAATAATAAATTAATTGAACCCAGGAACTTTTGTTCCAGATTCAACAAAGTAGATCAAAATGATTCGAGCGGCAGAGGTGAGTTTACGAAGCAATAAAAAACATAAGTATATTTTATTCATTGTGATTAAATATTATTGAGATGTATACTAGATGCGTGTAATGTCATTTTTTTGTATGTTTGTTGTAAAGATGTTTCATCGTCTATTTTTTATTATTGAACATGGAACAACGTTTTATGGTATTCTAAGTGTTTACCGTATGCTATTTATTTTCGTTTCATTTTGATAGCTTATTATGCTCTGTAAACAATGAATCCTATTTTTTACTTTGCATTTATACCTATTTTGCTTTGTTGTTCGTGTGTTAATTTTTTGTGGTATTTATTTCCGATTGATAAACTAAGAAACACTTTCTTTTAGTATTCTTTCTGACCCCAATCTCTATATTGTGCTTTTTATTAGAGAGCATACCATTTCATTTCGTGTCATGTCATGGACGTTTAAAGATCAGACGCTGATAGAATTTATGTAATTATAATTAACTTAGAGAAGATAAAAACAATGGTTATTTCCTGGTAGATACTATTAATTATAAATGTAACGACATTCTTCAAATAACTTTTAAGTCATTGTTTCTATTTTGCAACAATTACAATAATTGTGTGTAGAAATAGTCAATGACGATATTATAATTAAAAATACATAAATTTCATGCGAGTTTTGATTGAGCCTGTGTTGGGTATATCAAGAACCATTGTGCAATTATATTATTCTTTTCATTTCATCTAACGTATACTTGAGGAGTGTTAAATAAGAAAAACTATGCAAATGCCAAAATACTTCGACATTGCATTAAAATAAATATTATAGGGTTTGCCTTTCCATTTTCCTCTCTGATCAGAAATAAGACAACCTAGAAGTGTCCTTTTGGAAATTGTTGCAAATTTTCTTAAATAATTATTTGTAAATAACAAAATGCAAAATCTTCCTTCTTAAAATCCAATATTACTACAATATTGTGCTTTTTCTCTATCGATTAAGATTGGCTAATTTGTTTCCAAACCACAGATAACCACACTACAATATTTTTCTTTCTACTTTAATAATTTTTTAATGATTAAAGTTTCACTTGATGGAAGATGAAATACCCAAGTCATATAACATTTCAACATAATGCTTGCAACTTATTGGTTTTGAATATTCAGAAACTACACCACTATATAATTTAAAAATCGAAAATAAATTGAAAAAAAAATTCGACTCGGGCAGGACTTGAACCGGCATCGTCAGCGTTCCGTGCTGTTGCTTTACCAATTGAGCTACCGAGTCAATTTATTTTCGATTTTTAAATTATAACGTGTCGTCATGTGCAATAACATGAAACAAATGATAAAGTTTCCTAACTACACCACTATTTAAATAAACCACTTTAACGGATTAAAACGCGATATATATTAGTTATACTTATTTGGAAAATATTTTACCTCGTATATCACTACTTTTGTTAATACTGAAGGTTTACAAAGTATTATTTTATGTAATTAATTGTGTTTCAGACATGCGCCTGCCCTCTTCAAACGTATGGACCATCCATGGCCGCTTCTTGTGGTAGTCAGTTTATCATATTCATGGGTATATTGGAGTCATTTATGAACGGCCGCTGTGACTTGGTGGACCCATGTAATCGCGTTCGAGATAAGGAGGTGTATGAAGACAGTTACGACTTTATCGTCGTGGGTGGTGGAACAGCTGGTTCTATAGTGGCTGGGAGATTATCGGAGAATCCACAGTGGAAGGTGTGTTATAGAAGTTAGATTGTTTTTATGTCGAGGACAAACAAACTTGATGGGTGCGACCTTTAGATATTTGAAAATCTGCGACTTTTCCATCTGAGGGCGGTAGTTCGTGACTTGGAGATCATTTTTATAATCCAACCACCCATTTAATCCCCAGAATTTCCTAACCATCCACAAAACCAAATTAGTGGGATCGAATCCACCACCCGTTGGTAGTTAGTTATTTACATATTTTATTTTTTTACATAATTATATAAATAAAACGTTAACGGTGTAAGCGCAACTTTTATTATTTAATTTATTCGAACTACGGCCCGACGTTTTGGGTGCTTTGCAGCAGCCGTGGTCACAGTGAGACTAAAGATGGAAAGTGTCCTTCAAAATCAAATTTACGAAACAGACGGCGCTAGCGTAGCAGATTTAACTTTGACATTAGGAATACCCTCCTCCTTTAATTAACTGATGTTTCTCGCGTTAAAAATTAAATGTGCACTACTCACGAATAAATTATTGTCGATTGGAAAAAAAAACATTATATAGGCGGGACTCGAAGCGACAGCCATACGGTTACCGTTTTGGTCTGTATAACTACCGTAATTTCGTATTTACGTTAAGTTATGTCACGTACATCCCTGACCTAGTAAAAGGTCGTGAAGTAGTAATTAACAGAAAATTACAATTGCACTTATATTATGTGTGTAATTATACTATTTTTTATTCGTCCTAGACGTTAGTATGACTTCATTTGCAGCATTTTCGTTTGTATAACAAAAAACACCATATAGTTATATACCATATATAACAACTTTAAAAGTTGTTATGTTTAACTTTAAAGTTATAGAATTCCGCGTTTAAAACGATTAAAAGTTTTTTTTTATGATAAAACATCTACACAATGTCGGCCTGACTTCGATATTCCCACCACCCATTAAATATCCAGATGTCCAGACGAAGTTCAATATGTTTCAGAAAAATAATAAATTGGTTAGAAATCGACCCGGTGGGGATTGAACCCACGACCCGTTGAATATTATTAGACTATCGGGTCCGTCAAAGTCCGTTTACGTTTATAATTATTCTTATTTTATTACTAGGTACTACTAATTGAGGCCGGTGGTCACGAGCCAACGCAGTCTGCAGTGCCAGCTTGGATAACTGCGTACTGGGGCCAAAATGAAACTGACTGGAATTATGTAACGGAGAGACAGGAAAAGGCTTGTCTAGCTAACGGAGGCCGCTGCACTTGGCATAGAGGGAAAATGTTGGGTAAGATTAGGCCATTAATTGCTTATTGCTAGCTCTGTACATTTATCTGTACTACTATATAAAGCTGAAGAATTTGTTTGTTTGAATGCGCTAATATCAGGAAGTACTGGTAAACAAAAATAATTTTTCAATACGAAAATTATTTTTGTGTTAGTTAGAGCATTTATCGAGAAAAGCTATAGGTTATAAAACATCTCGCGGTGACTAATATGAGCGAAAAACAGCGGGACATATGCAAAAACCCGGGAATATTGTTAAAGTTTGTAGGTCTCCGATGCGAAAACGATTAAAGATACCCAAAAAATATGTATGAACGACGGGACGCGGATCACGTCATGGGTAATAGCCATAATTAATAAAGATAAGGAGATTTGATAAAACAAATTTTGGTGCCCAAAATAGCTTGGCGTTGTTTAGCGTCGTTATTCTTCGCGAACGAAGTTGTCGACATGGTCGATAGGAACATGTTGGACTCAGTAGGATTAGCTGTAATTTGCTGCTTTATGACGATAATGATGACATTTCAATAATACTCTGTGGTCACTGCTTTCAGCTTCAAATAATAGGGCATAGACAATTCGACACATTCCTTTGTAATTTATGAATTTGACACAGGTGGGTCTTCCGCGATCAATGGGATGATGTACATGCGAGGACACGCAGCGGACTATGACGGGTGGGCGGTGAACGGCGCGACCGGTTGGTCGTGGTTCGAGGTGATGCCGTACTTCCTCAAGAGTGAGGATAACAAGGAGATTGGGAGAGGAGTGTCTGGACAATACCATAATACTGGCGGGCCGCTGCCGGTGCAAAGAGTATGTGTGCTTTGGAAAAATAAAAAACTATTGGGTTCTGGCGGCCTATCACCATCTTAAATGAGTATTAATATAATGTTACTTTCAAATTTAGTACCATGACAATTTTAAAATAAGCTTAATTTAATATTGTTTCGATTAGTAGTTTTGTGACGTCACCGTAAAATATTCACTCAAGTGTATCATTTATTGAGGACTAACTAGATGAAAGAATAGATTGTTTCTTATGTATGTAGAAAACGCAAGTTAGAAATAAGCTCGCTACTTACAGTCGATGTCGGGTCGTGCCCTACAAATAACACTTCTTTTTCTTGTTTTGAGCCGTTAAAAGTTTAACTCTATTATCAATGATATAAATACCGTCTATAGTTTACGACTAGTACACATTAAAAAAGCACTGTAACGGTTTAAAACGCGAAATATATACCCAAAAAAAGAACTTGGCCGATTTCAGTTAAGATTTTATTACAGGCACTTTCACGTTATTACTTTTTTCTTCTTAACATTTTTTCGTCTTTTATATTAGACATATATAAATGTTATTGTATGTATGTAGATAGACATTCTAAATTCTTAATCAACAAATATGATTTCCCATTTTTATTATAACTTTCATAAAAGTATAACACTGCCAAATATTAATGTTTTTAGGATTAAAGAAATCAAACAAGTTTTAAACAGCGAAAGTTTTGATTGGAACCGGTTACAGAGCATAAATCCTAATTACGGGATAATAAAATAAGATTATATTCGACGTTTAACAAAATAACCAGATTTCGCGTACAGTTATTCGAGGACACGCAACCGTGTATCGCTTTCTAAGGGTTAAGTTACAAACATTAACATAATAATAGTTATACGTATTTATTTTTCGCAAGATATATAGGAGATTTAAAAGATGTATTTGTTATTATGACCGATTCTAAAGCTCAGAGGTAAAATTAATTGTCTAGCAATTTGTTACGCTCGAGGCTTCGAATCCCCGGAAATAAAATGTTCTATTTACCACTATTAAAAGGATCACTATATATGTATATTTTAAACTTGAAATATGTGTAAAATACAATTGTATCATACTCACAGCATGCACAGCAGCATAGACCCTGAAATGAGATCTAGAAAATACGCTTATCAACCCGCATATGCCATGTTTTATGATGTGGCAATGACATTTTTAATTAGGTAAATACATGCGCAGTGTCATATAAATGTGTGTGAAATCCCGTTTTCCCCTAGTGAGGCATGGGGCAAACACACTTCTGTGTCCGTTTCACTGATACGTTTTTTTAAATGGGCAAGTAGTTGAACAGACTTCTGTACCCTGCCGACCGAAACAATGTACTGTTTCCCTGGGATTCGAACCCAGGACTTCTCGCGCTTAACGCAATGCTAGGCAATACGTTTAACCAATTGGCTACAGAGGCGGTCATATAAATAGGACATGTTAATTAGAACTTTGGTGTCTTCATTGCTTTATAGATATATTCATGCTTAATATGCCAATATTGAAGAAAAAAAAGTCGCATTTAGGTAATACTGTTCTCTGTAGCCAACCACCAAAACGGACCCGTAGGTGCAACGTTGTACGGCTCATGGGTCATGGGTGCGATCCCCACAGGGCCCAACATTTTTCTAATGAATTATTAATTTTTATGAAACCTTTTAAATAAAACACTTTAACGGTTTAAAACGCGATATATTAATACTTATTTGGAAATATTTTTAACTTCGGCCCGATTTAGGATTTTGCAGCAGCCTTGGTCCGAGTCTCTGGACCTCAAGGTTTTATTTAATTGTATATTAACTTACGGTTTCTAATATCGAAATTCCGTCTGGGCCACGAACCACCGTCCACAGATGAAAAAGCACAATTTCAATCACGTTTCAGTCTGTGGATTTCCAAATATCTAAATAGGTCTAATACGTAGGCCAAAAAAGAGTCGGCAGTGCATTTGTTTTAAATGCTGGGGTATTTCAACCTAACATTAAGACATGAACCCATGCTTGCCTCCTCTATTATAAAAAAAAAAACCAAAAGAAATCAAAGACTTTTACGGTCGAAACATTTGCTTGGTACTATGTCAAAGAATATAAATTACTACATATTAATATAGGAATCGTTTTATTTGATTTGTTTTGACAGAGACACAATTGGAGCCTAAAATATTTATACCAGTTAATATTGTTTTAGTTCCGGTACGCGCCTCGCTTCGCCCATGACGTGGTTTCCGCGGCCATTGAGTTGGGCTACACCCCGACCAGTGATCTCAACGGCGAGACCAACACCGGTTTTACCATCGCTCAAGCACTTAATGAGTAAGTGTTTATACAACAAGCTTCATTAAAGTAGCTTATAGTCACACAGAATTATTACGATTTAAGTAATAGAGAAAAATATGTAATATCCCATTACTAATTGAATAAAACCTTTTGAAGGGTTAAAAGGCAAAATATATTAGTAATTTAATAATGGCCCGACAGTTCGGATGCTTTGTAGCGGTAAACTAACATTTCACGTTCTAAACCGTTAAAAGTGTTTTATTTAAATGTGTAATGTGTTCAGACACTCCTTAATCCCAACAACTGTCAACATCTGCTGTATACAGTGTATACGTGTATTATACTATTCCTCTGAAACGTAGTTCGATAATTTTATTAGTGAAAATTCTATGCGCTTAATTTTTTGGGTCATTTTAAATTACCCTTCTAGGTATAAACTACAATCTCACTATTTTTCAGTGGCGGTACGAGATACAGCACAGCACGCGCCTACCTTCGACCAGCGTCTCACCGCGAGAATTTCGACGTCCTGCTTAACTCTCTCGTCTCTCGCGTGATAATAGATCCCACAACCAAAAGGGTTACAGGTGTAGAGTATATTAAAAATGGAGAAGTGAAAACAGTTGGAGTCATAAAAGAGGTTCGTTAGAATTAACGGTTTAAAACGCGAAATGTTAAAGTAATTCTTATCTTTTACTACATGGTCACAGGGAGAGTCCATCAGCAGCTGTAAAGCTTCATGCTTTACCAAGCTTGCAGCTATGAACTAACACCACCAAAACTTTATTTCGTAGGTGATCCTATCTGGTGGTACAATAAACTCCCCCACAAATCCTCCTTCTCTCAGGAGTTGGACCGAAAGAAACCCTGGACAAGTTCAACATTCCCGTTATCAAGGAATTGCCGGGAGTGGGTCAAAACTTACACAATCACGTGGGGGTGACATTACAGTTCACTTTGACCAAAGAACCGGATGTTCCCGAATTGAATTGGGAGAGCGCTATGGAGTATATGCTGGAGAGAAAGGGTCCGCTTTCAGCATCTGGAATGTCTCAGGTAAACTTCTCGCTCCGACACAAGTGAATTTGATCTATATTATAAGAGGAATACTGAGATGTCGTTATCAAGGAGGGGATAAGAAGTCGTGGTAACGAGTGTATATTTGTTGTGCCGACAACTTGCCTAGGGCGAGACTCAGCCCGATTGAATAGTCAATCTGTCTTTCTTTCAAATAATTCAGTGTGGTACTATTTAGTAATTTAAAGGTGGAATTATTGGGTTTGGAAGTGGAACCAGTTAATAATTATTGTTCCTTTTTTTATTATATTCAATTGTCATCTGTGACATCAACTCTATAAAAGTTCGTCACTGGGTCTCTTTGGTTTGAAATCGGGCATATTTTTGTGGTCTTTTGCCACGTTAGAAAAAATGCACAATAGAATCGAACTATAGACCACTTCCACTATATGTAGGGAGTACATAATATAGTTTTGCATTTTAGTTGACGGGAATGATAAATTCTCGACTGGCGCCATCTGGTGGCCGACACCCTGACATCCAGTATTTCTTTGGTGGGTATTACGCGGCGTGTGGAGATGGATCGCTAGGACCGGATAATTTGGAAGAAGCTGGCAAGAGGAAAGTGAGGTTGGTGTTATAGAAAACACATGAAAGATAATCTTAATAACTTAGTTTGATTATTCAATTCTATATACTTTACTCTATAGTCTAGATAATCTCTACTTTCAAATTAACATTCCTAAAAATTACATATATCAATAGTAAATTTCGCAAGATTACCATTTAAATAAAACACATTTGAAATTTAAATCGCAAAAGAAATTAACTTAACTCTGGAGCAGACGTCAGTGAGAACAATAAGTGAAAATAAGTAAACTGTAATATCGCGTTTTAACCCGTTAAGTTTTTGCGCTTTTCAGCATCTCAGCCATCGCCCTTCAGCCTCGCAGTCGTGGTTACCTCACACTACGCTCCATAGACCCCACAGAGCCCCCAATCATGCAGCCCAATTACTTCTTCAACGAGCACGAACTCGAAGTTTTGGTGGAAGCTGCGAGAACGGCTTATCGTTTGACTAATACCACGGTAAATTTTGTATTATTGGTTTAAAAATATGAATATTATTTTAGAGAAAAAGCTCCTGCACTTTGCAAATATATTTATTCATATTCGTTCTTGAAACATTTTATTATATTTTCTGAAAAAATTATAATTAAGCTACGCAGTTGTAAAACTCAGTTTTCTGTTTTACTTTTTATTATTACTTAACAAATGGCGCTAGCGTAGTATATTTAACTTTATTATTAAAGGAAAAACTACTACTAAACAAAAAAGTTTTCAAAACATAAAAAACAAAACATTATTTTATTTTAACAGTATGACTTAATATTAACAGGATAAGGTAATGTTGTGTGTTGCTAGTAGAATAGGATCTTACTCAGTTTATATCAGGCCCTTTGTTGACCTGAGACTAATTATCTTCTTCTTTCTTTCTTTCAATATTCTCTTTAAAGAAGACACAAAGACCTTCAAAAGTCTAGTATTATTTATCGACCTTTTCCTAGATCCTCCGCGAAAAATACGGAATGCAGCCAACCGAAAATTACGGAAGCCAATGTCCTGGTGGCGGTTTGAATCCCACGGACGATTTCTTTAGATGCCTCGCACAACAGCACACTGCCCCAGAAAACCATCAAATTGGTACTTGCAAGATGGGGGCAAGTGACGACCCTATGGCTGTAGTTGACCCGAAATTAAACGTGTATGGTATCGAAGGTAAGCCCATAACAGTGATTCTTAATTAGTTTGTTATAAGGTCAATTTATAGTGTATTGTTTGGCAATGGCATTAGTGGTTTGTTGCAAATTGTGGATGTTTTATATGTTATATAAGAGTTCTCTGAATTGAATTAATAATTAAGCAAATGGCTAAAATAGAGATAATATCAAAAATGAAAATTTTACTTCTACTTTTGAGAACTTTGTAACTCATATAATAATATACAGTAACGTTTCTCACAAAATGTAATGCGTAAAAATTACATGTTCGTTGCCATGCACGTGTTCATTGTGTCTTTTCATCATAAAAATAATGAGCGAATATACATTCTAAATAATTATATCCGAAATCTATTTTTTCAGGTCTTCGAGTAGTCGACGCGTCAATAATGCCCACCGTACCATCAGCCAATACAGCAGCACCCGTTATAATGATAGCAGAACGAGGGGCCGAATTCGTCCTCACCAGACACCAGAGGTTCAAAAACAGATTCGGCGCTAATCAGCCCTCGAAAGGAGGTGCAATTAGCCATGATGATAGGTATGTATTTTATAGTAAATAAAAGCTTTTTAACTCAACTTTAATGTGTACGAACTAAGGATGAATTTTGAAAGGGTCGAGTTCGATTCCCAGCGGGTCCAACATTTTGTAACCAATTCATTATTTTTCTTTGAGCTCCGTCTTTGTTGGACTTCGTCTGGAATTAAGACGATCAAATATCACCGTCCACGTATGAAAAATCCGTCAAGTTTAATGGCGTTTCATTTTGAATCTGTGGATTTTTTTGGCAGGGGTATTTCTCGTACCATCTTCTCCTCCCTTTCCCCATACTTGTCTGTTTTTTATCTTATTAATGATTTCCGCCTTTTATACTATATTTATGAAACTACAAGATACTCGACAATGACAAGTTTTTGAGAAGACATTTAATTAATCTATGAACATTAGTTTTGAATTATTTTATTATATTAAAAGCTGACGTTTAGTAGTGTAGTGCAAAAAATTTACTCTCGCTTCCTTTACCTATTAAACCAAACCTACTGCTTTAATTAACTCAGGTGGACAAATTACGATAACAAGAAAGATCAGAAGTGGGATGACAGGACCTGGGCTTTCAATAAGAACTGGCATAACCAAAACGTACCACAAGATTGGCATAGACGGAATCGAGTTTATCACGCAGGACATTCGACTAGATAACTTATTAAATGACCATTATAATTAAATTATTTTATTGTAAATAACAAGACAGTTGTAGGCGTCTTAATAAACTTTTAGTACAATTAATGGGTTTTATTATTTTAAGGCATTATATATATATATACACTCATAAATTTACTCGATACATCTACATGAGACGGTAAGGAGGTATACACTTTTTATCCCCTTATGTACCTGAGCTTATCTGTACTAGAGTTATGCTCAGTTAAGGGTTAGACGCGAATTGGCGCTTGCCAAATATTTATTTAAGGTGCTTCGGAGCAAGCTATAGCACCCTGAAATACTACAAAGGCTGTATCTCAGCGGAGGACGAAGGAAAGCAATTTTTAGTTTGATTTATTTTGTGGCAATTATGCCGAGTTCGCAAGGTTAGCATTATGGATAATCTCCTTTGAAAGTCGATAGGTAAATACTATGTAATCTTCAGAGTTACTTTTAACTGTCTCTTTTATTAGTTTTTAGTAATTTTCATTGTATTAGATGTAAAGATGAAAATGTAAATTAAATAAAATAATAATAATAAAATATTCTTGTTTAATTTCAAGTTAGAGTTTACAAGAGACCATAAATATATATTTCATTATGTTAACTATTCTTGTCATATCTACTTGTCTTTTTTTCGTACGTTTGCCCTTTATTTTCACTGGTTCAGGTTCAGGTTCTAAATCAGATCTGAAAAACAAAATCATTGTAATTTTTTCTTGTTGGCTTTGATCGATCTTAATATGTAAGTGTAAGTATGTTATGAATATTGGTTCAATTAGGATGTTTTATTTTTATATTTGTTGTAGTAGCTACGTCATTATTAAACGTTACTATAAAATACATAAAGAAAATAGTTTTGTACAAAATGTTCGTGCGTTTTATGATTGTAAAATACGCTTTTTCACTATTTTAAATACAAAATTATTGTGCAATTTTTTTAAAATATAAATAAGAACATATACTCACGTTTCGCTACCTTCAGGCGTTTCGGGTATCGTCACATTCGATTTGGAAACACGACGAGATCCTTCTTCCTCTGAGACGTTTAACACTTCTTGTTCCTGAAAAAAAAATATACGTAACAAATACTACCATAATTTTATCAACGTTAGTGTAAGAATCACACAATAATAATTCACTAGAAAGAGAACGTGGTCTGTTGGACAAAAGTTTCGCAAATTACGAAGCCGGCCATTTTCTACCCTTGTTCTTGATAGGCGTTTGTGAGAAAGAGACTGCGTTCAAAGAAGTCGTCTCGGTAAAAGAAATATAGTTGCGCCTCCGCATTCGCGGTACATATCTCTAGTATTGTTGGAAATTGATTAGTTACTATCTAAATACCCCTACAGAAGTATTCTTGTCTTAGAGATAAGTAACTTTGGGCAGCCGCCAAGGGAGCTAGCGTAACTTCCTTTCAACTTCAAAAAATAGTAATTTTTAAGAATTACATTTTCTAAAAAGATACTTACAAAATCATTATCATAGACTATAGTATGAAGTTCGGTGTCGTCTGAAGAGTAATGCTGTTCGCTGCACACACTACTGGATCCAGCTGACGAACGAGTCAATCGCCGAGTAACAACTGGTACTATAAACAAACACAGTTAATATTGTATATGATACATCGAAGTTAAAAAAGCAATATCATTATATTTCAAAGAATGTATGTTGTAATATTATAAAATAGGTCAACAGCGCAACTTGTTAAGATGTTATGTGGCGGGGGGGAAGGGGGGGGGGTTGTTTCCACCTATCATTGGACCCCATGCTTAGTAATTTCACTCTATGAGAAGTTTTGTTAAAACATTACAACTACAAGTAGTTTACAACTAGTTTTACAAGTAACAATATCCGTTAAGTGTACCTTCTTTTTTCTTCTTTTCTTTCTTATGTGTTTTCTTCTTTGGACTAGACGCATCCGAATCTGGGCTTGTGCTAGACTGCGTGATACGCGACTTCCGGAGTGTTACATTAGAAACATCCAGGTCGCTTGGTTGGAGTGAACTGGGGGGAGATTTTTCCTCTTGAACTTCGGTACCTAAAAAAAGAGTAATTTGTACTTAATATAAGTAGATTGAGAGAAAAAGATATGTATTATTTATTTATTTATTTCAGCTTTATTACTTATAATTACCACATAAGCTACACAAGATAAAATCTTACGTACTAACTTATAAATAAAAGGCGGCCTTATCGCTAAGCAGCGATCTCTTCCAGGCAACCAGAAGTACAAGAGAAAAAAAAAAAAAAAAGGCTTATTTAGTAGGTGGAATATATAAAATATATAAAATGGTGGTTAGTAAGGAATAATAAACAAAAAGCAAAGGTACTTCGTAAAAGTAGCAAGTAAGAGAGAAGCAAAATTAAGGGTTGGAAAGATAATATTTATAAAGCATAGTCTTAAAAGAACGGAGAGATTGAGTTTTACTGATATTAGTAGGGAGAGAGTTCCAAAGTCGGATAGTTTTAACGGTGACAGAATCATTAAAGAAGGACGTTTTATGTTTAGGAACAAACAGAAGATTATCAATAGATCGGAGATTTAACTGGTGAGAACTCAAACGGACGAATTTTTCTTTTAGGTAAGGAGTTTTGGGATCGAAAAGGACACGATAGATGAGATAGAGCAGGTGGGAATTCGGAAAACGTGCTCATTTTTGCGGAGACCAAAAATTAAACGGATACACGTATTCTGAAGCCGCTCCAGCTTGTCAAGCTGAAGTTCAGTTAAATCAGGGAAGGCGGCATCAGCATAGTCTAGGATGGGGAGTAAGAGAGACTGGGCAAGTAGAATTTTTGTAGGGATGGGTAGGAAATTATGTAACCGTTTCAGGTAGTGTGAAGCGCCATAAATTTTTTTGTTTAACTGGTTCAAATAAGGATGCCAGGACGGATTTTCATCAATAATTAGACCTAAACTTTTGACAGAAGAAGTAAAAGGAATGATAGCTCCGTCTACAACAATTGGAGATATACTTTGCCTGTCAATCCGGCCAATAAGCTTCCCACTGCCAATGATGATACATTGTATCTTAGATGGATTAATTTTGAGACCAAAGTGGGTGCACCAGTCAGTAATAAAATTTAAGTCCTGATTAGTAGCATGAATGGCAAGAGGGAGTTCCTCGAGACTGGTATGTCTGTATATCTGAAGATCGTCTGCATACATGTGATAGAGGACTGCTCCTGTGTGCTTATCCTCTGGCGGCGTCCTTTTAAATAACTATTAAACCATACGATCACGGTTGGAGATACGTACAGAATGCTTTGCTGAAATCGAGAAGAGTAAGTATGGTGACCTGCTGGTTATCCATACTGCGCCGGATGTCTTCTCTGATTTTGACAAGTGCAGTAGTCGTACCAGGACGAAAGCCGGATTGGAGAGGATTAAGAAAATTAGTTTTGTTAAGATACATGCAAAGTTGATGGTGGACTAGGCGTTCAAGGACCTTGGAGAGGAAGGAGATAATTGAAATGGGGCGTTAGTTCGCCAAGGTTAGAGGACGAGATTTTTTAGGAATCGGTATGTACGTGTATTAAAAAAAAACAAATTAAATGAAATCTTTCATTGACGAATATATACCCGGACTTACTAAAATAGAAGATACTCGAAATCATTTGATCGTTGATAGAATTTCAAATGGGCTAACACTTCAATAAAGGAAATATGGTTTTAAACGAAAAGTGACAAAATAAGAGTTAGTTTAAACTAAACACTTTATCCGCCCCCGGATACCAACGCCGGGTCGTAGTTAAAATTTAAGAAATAAGTTAACTAATATTTACCACGTTTTAAACGAGTAAACTAAAGACAATAGTGAATTTACTCTGAATCTGTTTATATTGAATTTGTTGAGTATAGATAAAAAAAAGTTACTACTATATAAAATTAATAATTCAAGCATACCTCTTTCAACAGGTGAACTTTGCGAGCGTGTTCTTTTAAAGCCTTTCTGTTTCTTATTTTTTGAACTACCCTCTTTTACATCTTTCGTCGGTTTTCTACTTGTGGTTGGCTTTTTTGACAGGGATAATTTCTTCTTCGCTGTTGAAGTAAGAAAATATACAATTTAACACCACATAATAAATACTTCAGATATATCTTCATCTCATACAGGATATTGAAACAAGTTTATTGGTGTTTATTTTATACAAAACATTACCAAGCACGAAGTAGACCGTATCTACTAGTACGTATTATATATATTAATGTAAAACAACTACCTTTTGTAACCTTAGCTTTCTTAACGGAGGACACACCACTGTTGTCTTCAGATCCACTCGCTTCACGAACGGGGATTGCATCTGTGTCTGACGACTGTGGCACTGAGTGACTTATACGGCTTATTTGATCTTGATGAGATTCAGATGGACCTGAAGAATATTTATGTCGTAGAATTATTATTTTAGTACTATGTGAATTGCCGCTATACTGAAGTTAGGCGTAGTTTACTCTGTGGTATGTTACGGTCAACTGTTGAAAGTGACAATCTGTCGAGTCAAGTCACTGTGATCTGTAAGTCAGTAGTGCGACTGTTAAGGTTTATGCACGTAAGCTCTCGGGAGCATTTGCGTGGAAACGTAGCCTGTGCCGGGTGTGCGCACTGATAATATGCACCATGTGATATCAATAATCTCATAGCTATTTGTATTTTATCATATGTAAAGACGACGAATCTATTAAGTAAACACACATATTAATAACGAATCAGGCGTTTCGGTCCTACTAAGAAAACTACTACATAGATGGATAAACTAGTAACATTTTATGTACCATATCTCAAGTAAGACGTTATATTGTTAAAGAAACATTTGTATATAAATTACACTATCCAAATAAACTAACCTTCTTTCTCAGTCGGCGAGGTCTCATCAATCTCTACCTCTTCTTCTACAGTTTCGTTGATTACGACATGCGTACTGCGAGCCAAAGGCTGGGCTGCAAAATTAAATAATAGACCTTTGTCTAAGAAGTTACAAACACTTATAATTTAGTCGCTAAAAACTTGTAACTGTTTCAAACGTAAAATATAACTATTTTTTACTACGTCGGGTCGTTTCGGCTTCGACCCGGCGGCTACACACAACAACTTGCATGAACTACAGACAGTGCACAAACAGATAAAATGAGTAACACTAGTTTGAACATTTTTAATGAGTAACAGTAAATATTTTAGTACGATGTGTGATAAAATTACTTTGCTAAATGTAAGCGTACTTATTTATATAACGTTATATGGACCTGCTACTGAACTTGCGAAGTAAATATGAACTTTTTTTTTATGTCGAAAAATAAAATATATAGTTTTTATACCAACTTAGAGTTAATTTCTTGAATGTATATATTGTAGTTCGAAAACTGCTCACTGCGGACTCTGTTCAAAGGAATAGTAACGATAACTACGTTTTAAGTTCGTCCTTATCTTTTAACTTAAATAACGTAGAAAATTATTATTCTGCATGCCTTAAAAGTTCTTGCACAAAAAGTATTAGCAATACGCTTACTATTCATACAAAGTTTGAATTGATAGATGTTTGTTTCTCTTTCAGGGCAAACAGCTTGGCCTAGTTTTAATTAAATTTAGCTGACAGCCTGCTGTAATATCAACTACCTTTTTAGAAAACCATGTTCAAACAACAATATATTTTAATTCTTCGCTTCGCATCTAGTATTAAGAAAGCATACTTATTAAAAGTCAATTCGATATACTTACGTAGCGATGAAGTAGCGCGTCCAAACACACCCAAAGTATCTTCAGACGCCCTCGTGCCTTCAATGCCTGGATAATATGTTTAATTTGAATATATTTTACTCGCGTAAACTTTGGAGAATACAAAATCGGGATCCCTCAAAATTAGTACGTGCGCATGCGCATCAAACATGTATTCATGCTTCCGCTAGGCTAGTATAATATTGTTAATGTAAAATTCTTAATGAATATTTATATATATGCTCCAATTACCTGTACTTGACATTTTAAGACTAGCTTGCTCCATAACTTCCAACGCGCCGAGATAACGAGTCAAATTGCGACATGATTGTTTATCTGGCAGTTTCTGAAATGCAAAATAATATTTTTTAATAAACACTTTAACAGTTTAAAACGCTAAATATATGTATTACATTTATTCACAACTTTTTACTATCGCCCGTCTCGGATGCATTGCAGCAGCCTTGGTCACATGGAGAGGGATAAACGTGTACTAGTCGCGTTAAATACAGATAGTATTTACATAATATTGTTAATTACTAATTTTCTTAAAACATTATATTTCAAATAATAAACAAGTGCTTTGGTCCAATTTTTTTAATGATTGAGGAGGACAGAAAAGCATGGGGTAGGTACACTAGATGGTTGTTAAAATAGCTCAGCCTATAGCATCTAAATAAGATGCTATGTCGATCTATTTTCGCTTTGGATATACGGAACTCCGCAGACCGAAAGCCAAACGCGATTAAACTTCTCGCCTCTTTCACCTGAGGGCGGTGGTTCATTAGCGTAACGGAACTGCGATATTTCTACCACGCATTAAATATCTAAATTTCGAAACACGACTGATTGATTGTTAGACGTATATTGCTACAAATATCGTATACCAACCGTGCACAATTCCTTTAACATAGTAGCAAGGTCGCTAGCCATTTGTTGTTCTTTTGGGGGTGAAAGCAAAGCGAGCATGCGACAGGCGAGTCCTGCCTCCGGGGCGGAGGGACGCCGAACCAAATAACTGCAGAGCACCATAGCCAAAGCGCCTTGGCTGTCTATTAACTGTTAACACATAACTAATATTTAATATCTCAAGTATAACATACATTTAATGATAAACATATAATATATGTTGCACGTGCAGGAATACTCTAAACACGAAGGAAACGAAAAGTAATGCGTCAAATCAAAACTATTTAAAATACGTGGATTATTAAAATATGTTGGTTCGTGCTAAGAATTCAGAATGCACTTAATAAAAAAAAACTGCAAAATTACTTTTAATACGACTAACGACGACAAAAGAACATCATAATAGGATTCATAAAATTAAGTAATTGGTAAATTATTTAAGTCTGCATCAGATGTTTGGTATTTTTGGGGATTACAATTATCTTGACAAAAAAGTTTGTACAAATGAATAAAAAAAATACGACACAGGCAGGGCTTGCACCTGCTGTGGATGTTCCGCTTCCACTATTGGGATGCTTACCTCAGTATTAAGTCGAGTTAGAGAGACTATAAATCTGACAACAGCTTCTTGGTCTACCTCGGCGATTGGCGAACTGGATGGTGCGTTTGCAAGTGCACGAAGGGTTGGCAACGTCGCTTTCTAAAACAAATACGACGTTTGAAAAAAACAACATCACTGCGCCAATATGTATTTTAGTAATATAACGACATTGTTACTATATTATGGAATATCAAACCTGAATTTGCTCCTGGGCTCCATCAACATCAATTGGAAACACTTGGAAGAATACTCCAATAATTTGTCGCAGCATATCTTCTTCCACTATAAATAGAAAAAAAATCTACTTGCTCAGCGCATTTTAATACGTGAAAATAGCCAAGATATTGATTAAACTTCAAATTAAATTTACTACATAAAAATCTATATCACATATAAATATAGACAACAGAATCTCGCTAATATTAAAAAAACTTACTTTCATAGATAATAAAAAATATAGGTGTACCTGTAGCTGGATTAAACCACAGCAATATTAAGCGACTTATAATGGCGGGTGACTCCAAATGTCCCAAATACAACAACCTACAGATTCCCTCCACGATGATAAGACGATATGACGGCCACTAGAAAATAATGATATTTATAAAAATCCGTAGTTTGATGTTACGCGTTGCCTAGTAATGCATTAAGTCTTATTATATAAGGAATAATACTATTTCAAATAGAAATTCAACGAATACACAAGTCTATGTTAATATATCTAATTAATAGTAGGCAGTTAAAAATTTTACTGAAATCAAATCTAGGTAGACCAAAGATATTTTTACCGGATTTTCCATCAATTTCAGAAGTAACTCAATAGTTGTACTGTGAGTAGGTGTAAGAGATATTGCTGATTCCGATAGTGTACCTGAAAATCATATTTGACAATATACATTAAAATCTTGGAATTGCTGTCTGTAGTTTACGCGAGTAGTACACATTTAAATAAAACACTATATCGGTTTAAAACGCGATATATATTAGTTATACTGATTTGAAAACTATTTTTAACTTCGGTCCGACGTTTCGGATGCTTAGCAGCAGCATCTGATGGTGGGATAGAAACATCGGGCCGAAGTTAAAAATAATTTTCAAATAAGCTTATCTAATATATATCGCGTTTAAAGTTGATGAAGTGTTTTATTTAAATAAACTCTTTGAATCAAAATTCTTAGATTGGCGATACGATATATATTTTTTTAAACTTAACTAGTTGCGGCTTAAGTTTAAAGTATTTCTTTCTCTTAAGAGATCAGTAAGAACTTACCATCCTCAACGTCATTTAGTGTATCTTGCGTATTACGTTTCTTCTTAACTGTACATTCTTTTTGTATCTTTTCATTTTCAAATGCCTTAGCGCCGTGAACGCATAACAAATCCACAATACAACGGAGGACGGTAGCTACTCGTAGCTCATCAGTTAAATCCACCAACTGCGATAAGAAAGAAAGAAAAATAAAATAAGTAAATAAAAAAATCTTTATATAGAAACAAATATATGAAACATTGATTTCACATTATATCTTTATGTTCATATAAATTTCGTATGTAAAAAAATTACGTTACAAGCCTTAAGTATGTTATTTCAACTTTAATGAGTTCTTACGCTGCAAAGCATTGAACCTAACACTTATGAGTTTAAGGTCCAAATTACTTTGTCCGAGAGATTTGTGTGTATCAATAGATTTATCAAATTCGATAATCTTGAGTGGGACACAGTAGCTCAACTACTAGAATGGAACACTGTGGTCGGGACTTTGAGACCAGCCCGTGTCATTTTAATAATAAAAACTTTTTTAAATTAAAAAACATTTTTTATTAATAGAGAGCTGTGGAGATGAAGACTCATATGATTCAAGTATTTGTATATATGAACACTAATATTCGTAGTTTTCTTCATATCTCAAAGAAATTGAACCATGTGAGACTGGAATCTACATTTGTACCACTGTAATTTCAACCTTAACATTTTATGGTTGAAATTAAAATTTTACTGTAGTTAATGATAAGTTTTAACTACTTTACTTAACACTTACTTTTTTGTAAAGGCTTATTGCAAAATAATGTGATAACATTATTATAATAAATTGGTACTAGAGAGCTTTCAATGACATTACATCATGAAGTTGTTTTGTTATAGTAAATAACAAAAAAAAATCCTTACGTTACAGAAGAAAAATGCCTTGTGTTGCGTCACATACTCCCTATCCAACATTCCATATAAGGCGACAGTTTCTAACGCGTTATCCCTTATTTCAGGATCGGTAAACATTTCTTCCTAGGAGAAAACGGAAATAAAATCATGATTATTAAAGAAGGCGGCTAAACGATCAAAATCAATTAACACGTCATCATTTTTTTTATTGAGTCAAATCGACGAGCTCGTTACTGAAATGGTAGAAATGTATAGTAGTAGTAGTAATAATCGAAGAAGCATTGGTTCGATCCTAAACGGGACATCCGGGTCATCTGGATATTAAATGTATGGTTGAAATATCGAAATTCCGTCCGGGTTCAACCACCGTCCACAGATAAAAAAGCCGTGGACTTACTTACATATTTCGCTTTCAGTCTGTGGACTTGCGAATATCCAAAGTTGAAATAGATCGACTGCGCATCTTATTTAGATGTCATATGGCTAGTTTCAGCTACCATTAAGTGAACCCCAAGCGAGTCGACACGACTGAAACTAAGCAGACTCATTCCTAGTAGATGAAATTATACTTAAGAAGAGAGATAAGAGTTCTAACCTCAAATTCCTCAAACATTGTCTTCAATACTGGTGTAATAGTTTTTAGCTGATGAGTGTCCAAAGCGCTGTTGATTATCGTCAGGCATTTGTTCAACGTGTCTGGATCGGAACGCTTCTCTTTGATCGTCTAAAAAAAGAAACCAAATTAAGACAAACAACAAAATAAGTTTTTAAATAAAACACTAATGGTTTAAAACGCGATATACGACGTTCCGTGTCGTCTCTTCGTGACCACGGCTGCTGCAAAGCATCCGAAACGTCGGGCCGAAGTTTAAAATCATTTTCAAATAAGTTTAACTAATATAGCGCGTTTTAAACCGTTAAAGTGTTTTATTTAAATGTGTACTACTCGCGTAAACTATAGACAGTATTTAAGATAAGTTTATGTAAGACAAATTTGTGAATGCGTAGGCTTACCGCGATAGTAGGCGGCAGCGTGGTCTTCACATTTAAATCTTGAAGTTCTTGCTGAATATTAGCAACCTATAAATACAATATATTTTTAAGTATTTAAGGTATACAATATTGTTTGTAGCAGCGCTCGGTTTTACTAATGTATGCACAGTCAAAAGGAGTATCAACCCCCGTCAATCATTTTAAAAGATTTAGTGTCGCGAACATTTTTAAATTTCATTACAAGTGGATCTTTGATACATATTTTTTGGGTATCTTAAACCGTTTTTGCAGCGCACGCAACGGAAACCCTCAAAGAGAAATAATTTCCCGTTTTTTCCACATAACTTTTTGTTCCTTCGCTCCTATGGTCGCATCGTGAGGTTTTCAATTCGAACCAGTAGTTCCGGAGATAAAAGCGTACCAACCTACAAGCGCTTGATATATCATAAAAGATAGTAGATTAAGGATTAATTAAGGTTTAGTTAATAATACTTATATTTTTACTAACTTTGGCTTTACACTCCGCTGCGAGTGCATAATTCTGCTCCCTTACAGCTTCATCTTGAGCCTCAATGGCTACATTGAGTGATACACGAAGTTTTGCTCTCTGAAAGAAAGACGAAAAATAAGGCTTAAATTCTAACGCAGGTGCATATTGTATTGTTATATCTCGGATATATTAAACACTATTATTAATAACTAGCGGCCCTGTCCCGGCTTCGCAAAGTTAGACATAAATAAGTACAGATATTTAAATTATAAGCATGCTAATTAAAACGACCATGAATCACTAAATTAGAAAAATAATTGTATTACGCGTCCTCGTTGTTAAAGACCGTGGTCTATCTCGCTGTGTCAGGAGCCGCTGCGAGTGTTCAGTGTTCCTAATACCTAGCTCTATTTCAAGATTATTTTCAGATTCCTTCAAGTCGCTGCGACTATGTATGGATATGATGTCCTAAAGTCAAATTACCTTCAGTTTAACTTCATCGTTATCAATAAGTGGCGGCGGCGGTGGAGACTCGACCTCGGGTGGGTCTCGGAGAGCTGATATCACGCTGAATACTACTTCTAAGCGCAATGTTACGTCTGATATCACCAGTTCTAGAGCCGAGACGAGCGCTCGTATAACTTCGCGATAAAGCGGACCATAATCACCTGTAAAACATTCATAAGCCTACTTTATAGATAAAGGAGGACAGAAAAGCATGGTAAGATGTCCTTCGACCTACTTTCGCTTTGAATATTCGGTAATCCACAGACTGAAGCCAAAACGCGAAACTTGACGGCTTTATCATCTTTGGAGGATGGTTTATGATTTACTACCCACCCATTTAATAACACGATTTCCAAACGAAGTCCAACTTGTCTCAGAAAATTTATAAGTTTAATTAAAAAAATGTTGCACCCGAACCCGAAGCCATGACCCGTTGATTATTAGCCATGGATGCGATGGTAGCAATCACTATTTACCCAACGAGCCCGTACTTCTATAGGACAAGGAATAATTCTGTCTTTAAAAGACAAGACAAAGACAGTAATAACAACAAAAAATTATTTACTTTAAGTATGTATATAAAATTAAGACATTCGAATATCCTTTTCTTTCTAAAAGGCATGGAGTGGTTAAATGGTGGTGGAAAATTACAAGATTTTGTGAAGAATTGTAGTTAACTTTTTATAATCTTTCAACGTACCTGTGAGAGCATCTTCTATAAGTGTTTGAAGCGCAGTCCTGCCTGTGGGATCTGTGGCGTCATAGACTTTAAGCATATAAACCAGCTCGTGCAACACATACTGTCGTGTGCTGAAACCCACTTGGTCTTCTGTAGCCGATGGGCATGGTGACTCCAATATACTGTAAGTATATGACAAACCTTGTACTAGATATATAAGTGTGTGTGTGTGTAGACACATTTAATCTATAAACAGAATTACAATTTTGTTTATAGATTAGCTCTAAAATCAAGATTTTGAACCCAGCTTGAGCTCGATGTTTCCAAAGAATCGAAAACATTAATAAGCAGTACATTTCACAATTTGACCATCTACAAGTACTAGCTAGGGACTTCGTTCGCGAAGTATAGATATTTTATGAACATTCGTTTTTAATCTCTTCCTCATCATAAAAAATTATAGCTGTTACCCACGAAGTCGATCGCGTCCCAACTTTGTTGCAAATTACCTTATCAGATAGATATACATATACTGTTGAGGACAATTTTCTGATCATTGAAAGCAAAAATATTTTTTTGGGTATCTCAACTTTTGGTAACTGTTTTCGCAGCACACGCAACAGAAACCCTCAAGGATGAGGTCTTGATAAATGTTCTAACGGATAGAAAAAAATATTTTTCAATCCAAACCACTAGTAGAACTAGCGCATCCTAACAAACAAACACTCAGCATTATATTAGTATAGATGAAAAAATGAGTAGCTTACGCTCGAATATATCCAATCAACACAACCAAATCTGGCACCACCATTTCTAGAGTCTCGTCGTCGTTAATCTTCTGCAAATGTTCCGCCAGATGTCGCCAATACCAAGCGGTTTCCTTGTTCAATTTCTCCGCTGGAATTAAACGCAGATTTCTGTCTGTTGGCAACCACTCCAGTAGCTCCGAAATTGGCAGACGTCTATGAATAGCGAAAAATATATCAACGAGAAATACTGATAAAACTAAAAAAAATCCTTATCTGGATTCATAAATTTTATTAAATTAAATGAGAATTATATTAATGCCATACACTGTGTAACTAACCGATGACTATATTATTGCAATATTACTTGTATTTATACTTAGATAATATATTAGTACAGAAATGGATAAAGCGTCATATTACACGAGTTAGTCGTTTAAGGTGTTGCAAAGATGAAGCTATAACAGTTATTTCTAATAGCTGAGCAATAATAAAAGTATTTTGTTAAACAAAATCGCGGTATAAATAGAACATACTTAAATAAAGATTCCAGCAGTTTTCCAGCAACGTATTGGGAGTCCTTTGCATCATTTATGTTATCCAAACGGATGGCTTTTAGTAAATAAACTATGTTTCCGCCGAAAGAACTTAACCAGCTCGGTATCAATATTTCTTCGACTACGCGGCGCACGCGCGGATTTCTTTCTGTTAGTCCAACCTGAAAGAATTATAAGGCCTAACAACGAAGAAATGCAGTTGAATTTACATATAAAACATGAATAGCAGAATAATCCAATTGACATGCCCTTAAAAGTTTGTGACAATGTGGTATGGTTAACTTTTAGAGAAATTAAACTATGAATAGATTATAACATTTTCAAGAGAAAGTTTACCTTTAATGTCAGAAGCCTCTGCTTAACTCGAAGATGTTTGACATCAATAGCAGATATATATAGGAAGGCTGCACGACGCACTGCCTCATCAACATCGCACAGCCTCTCCAACACAAATGGCACATTACGTGAACACTTTGCTATAGACATTACTATCGCTCTAAAAATAAATTATGGATTAGGATACAGAGATATTAATTATTTTGAAAAAGGAATATAAACTAAACAACAATAAAAAAGTTTTGCATTAAGAAGTAATTATTACTTCTATAATATTATTACTGCTAAATAGTTTATAAGTTATGCAGTACATCAAAACTACTTTTATAAATTGGTATTAAAAAGGAAATTCAAACCTATTCCACGCAAAATAAGTACAACTGAACAAATTGATTCATATGAAAAAGGCGGGAACATTCATACTAATAGTAATTTTTGCTTTCAAATAAATCAGAATAAAGTTTATTAGAAAATGATGTTACAATCAGTAACTTTATATATATATAGTCGTTACCAAACAATAATTAGTATGAAGAACTCTTTTTTATTCGTTTAAATAATTAAAATAGTATGAATATGAATCCACAATGACTGATAAGCATTTAATTCTAGAGAAGCATGTAATATACCTTCGGACAGATGAACTTGGATCACAGCTCATGTGGAAAAGGTATGCCCGAGTGACTTCATCATCAGCCTCCATTGGGTTTTGCAATCTTTGAAGGGCAATGGCGGCTCTACAACGCACAGCGCTGCGCGTATCTTGCAGCCGTTGTAACTATAATGCCAAGGTTGTTAAAGCAAGGCAAAAAAGTCTGATCAACAACTTGTCCATTAATAAAGTCAAGCAGTAAAATAAACAGAATTATGTCAGATCTTATTTCTATTTATTTCAGGATGGTAAATAGCTTAGGTTATGATTACTTAATAATGTTAAAACAACCTGGGATGTTAAAAGCTTATCACAAAGGTCATCATCTAATGAGGCATCATCCCCAAGTGCACCAAGTACCGCTGCCAACAATTGACTTGCTCGATACCTTGCAGACTGTCCAGATACACATTGACACTGAAACATAAAAAAGTTCAATTTAAATGTGAACAGTGTAGAAGTATACTCAATAAAAGAAGATATAAGGTCAGTTGTAAACAGTTACTAAGCTGCTTACTCTACTTTATGTTAAAATTACTTGTATGTATTCTGACAAATATATGTACACATATGTGGGCTAGTGATTCTTAAGTCCCAGGGTAAAATAATAAACAAGCAAGGAATAGAAGCCAGTCTTTCTGCAGGAAAGGGTATCACTTATCAACTGGTCACTTAGCAAAGACTGTATTTAATTGTGTAAAATAGCGCGCCTGTTTTGGCGGAAAAAGACTCACCTCAAAAATGATATTGAAAACAAACAAAAGAAATTCTTCTTCCTCAAGTGATGTACAGAAAGTTGCGACAAACTGAATAACGCGATCCACATTAGCACTGGTATCTCCAAAGCTAAATAAATACTGGAGAGCATTCCTGAAACTCTCTCGGAAGCTATCTTCGTTAGTCTAAAGATAGCGAAACATAACATAAGTAAAACTAAAAATCTTATATTTAGAGACACAGATATTAGAAGAGGCGATATTTTTTACCTTCTTATAGACTTTTATCATTTTCTTTACGAATTTTTTATGTTGCACAACATTGAACTGAACATTTTCAAATATTTTGAAAATAGCTGGATCATTACGTGGATTCGGTTTATTCACATTCCGAACATTTTCGCTCACGGCGTGAGGCATTTTTTATTACTTTGTATAATAATATGACAAATTATATTAGAATTTAAAGGTTTACAAATAAAGCTCCAATAAACCGTTACACTTCTTTGTAGAATTCAAAAATTTGTTAATTTGGCTCTCAATGTCAAACACTCTCTGTCAATAAACTGTCAGATTTGGAGATGCGTCAATGACAGATGTCAGCTCATGTGCAGTAGACGTAACAGACTATATATCAATTACACCGTATAGCCATCGATATTTTTAGAGGTCTAACCGCGACAGAGGGAATAATAATAATATTTTGCTTTTTTGTTTGAGTCTCTTAAAATAATAATCAGTCATTGTATTTACATCTCCAGCATAGCTAATAATGTCGTAAGTTCGCGAAAATAAGTTCCTATTCTTAACCATTTTCTACATAGGTGATACCGTTGAAAAAAAAACTTAATTAAAACAAAATAGAATCATGATTTATTAAATTTATTGTTAAACATGTTTTATTGTGATTAGACAAAATGATATAAATGTATAGCGTCACTCAATTATATTATTATTGACATAAGTTATAATCGTGTATACCTATTAATCGTAAATAGCATATCAAATGTTATATTGCTCATTAAAAAAAGGCTCTGAAAGTAGGCTAGACAAAAGATACAAACGTTACATAGTACAAAGGTACATAGATGCTTAAAATCTAAATTACCTTAAGTGATAAATTACAATAAAAGCTAGCCGTATCGTGAAACGATTAAAAAATTATTGTAGTAATAAAGATGTAACGTTAGTAATTACTTAATTATATAATACAGTAAGAATACGCGTGATTAAGATAAAATTAAAATGGTATTATTACAATGATACTACTCGAGATCTTCAATAAGAGAATCTAACTCCTTTTGCAAAGAAAGAGACATCTCTTTCTGTTTAAGAACATCGTCCTTAAGCCTATCTACATTTGCCATTAGCAATGTGTTTCCTTTCTTCAATGCATTTACGCGGGTCTCGTGTCTTTTAAGTCGTGTATTCAGATTGTCTTTCTTCTTTGGTAGAGGTGCATCCTGGAAATAGAAAAGCTAACTTTTGTAACTCTTAGCTCATAAAAAGTATACCTATTATTACATTAGTTACTGTGATAATTCTTTGTACATTTTACGGGTTTGAATACTTAAGTAGTAATTTAATTTGGGACTTCTATTGGAAGTCTGTCAGTTAATCAACTACACTCTCACCAATAAAAAAACTAATTCCTATTTTAATAATTATTATAATTGAACCATTCCTTGTGACCCTTTTCACTAAAAAAAATAAGCATGAAAGGGGCACGCGGCATAGATACTACTAACCATAAATAATACCTACTACAAAATATAAAACTCGCATTTTTCTCTACGAGAGAGTGTACATACCTCTGGCTCGCTTTCACTCTCTGTTTCGCTTTCTGTATCCTGTTCTGTCTCTGTCTCCGTCTCTTCTTCCTCTGATCCACTCTTCTTTTCGTCTTCAGATTCTTCCTCTTCATCCTCTTCGTCCTCGTCTTCCTCGGAGCCCACTTCTTTCATCATTGCAGCCATTTTATCGACTTCGCGTTTTAATTCTTTGTATTTCTTCTTTTCTATTCTGTAAGTAAAAAGGATACCATTCTTTAATACATTTTACAAACCCTCGCAAGAATTAAAAGTTTAGTTTTTTTTTCTGATTAGCTAACATTTAACAGAACATTCTCTTATTGAATAATTAAAACGCCTGAGTTGAAACTTACTTTAAAGCTGCCTGTTGATTCTTCAAAGACATTTTGTAAGCCATTCTCTCTCGTTTCATATTATCTTGTTTCTCTTTTAAGTGTCTTATTTTGTTTCTCATGTTTCGTACCTCTTTCTCCAAGCGTTTTTGTTTTTTCTCTTCAGACTCTTCCTATAGGGATATCATAGTAATTCCTTTAGCATTCAACTAAGACATTTCTATTATATAGATTCTTTTATAAATTATTATAAACCAAACTTACTTCTTCTTCTTCAGATTGATCTTCTTCTTCAAAGCTGTCATCCTTTGTGACAGACAATTGCTTGATGGCATGGCTAGCTCGTCTTGAACTGACATTTGTGGGTACTATTCCCTAAAAATACCAAGCAAGTTCATCATAAAACAACTTGAAAAATTTCGATTTGATTACAAGCAGACTAATGATATCGAGGCTAATTCTACAACATGCGCTTATGAGATCGTGTTTTTTTTTACCTCATCATCCTGAAAACTGTTAGTAAAAGCAGAAGCACTATCATTAACACCAAACATAATTCCCAGTTTATTCGCTTCTGGCGAAATTATACTTATATTTAATGCCTTGCATTGTTTAGCAAATTCTAACCAGTTCTTTTGATCTACTGTTAGTGTATCCAATGACTTGGAAAGCTCGTCAATTTTTTGCTGTAGTTAAAACAATTAAAAAAATTATATGGTTCTTTAATAGGAACACAATATCTATTAAATATTACTTACTGCTAAGGCCTGTTCTAATTTCTTTTCTAGTTCCGAATTTTTTCGTTTCACCTCTTCTAGTTCAGTCAGAGCATCATCTCTGTCTTCAGCCGCTTGTAAATACTGTTTTTGTAAGCTGTCAGCTGTTTCCTTAGCTTTTTCCACCTCCATTTTTAAACTATTCACCAATCGTTCGTCGTAAGCGTCTGTAACAGATATGACAGTCTTGTGTTGTTCTTGTTTTATAAATGCTCTTTCTCTAGCTAATTCGGCTTCTAAATTTTGTATCCTTGTCAATAATCTCTTATTTTCTCTTTCCTGTGCCTCCTTGTTTCTGGTGAAAGAGTAAATATTAATAACTGACATATATACTCGTACATACGTTTAACATTTTTCTAATCTTTTTTAAGAAACAAGTACCTCAACTCTATAGCCAGTAGTTGTTTTGTGGATTGAAGATCATCTCTAACTTTATCGATGTCATCCATCTCATCGATTTCTTCTTCTTCCGCTGCAGGTACCTACAATTATCACATTGTAAATATACTGCTTTACACAGAAAAATGTAACTGTAGTCTTTCTATTTACCTCTGGCACTGGTACGCCTGGTGCAGCTGCTAGATTGGCTTGTGACATAGACTTTTGCACCTGTTCCTCAATCGTCATTTGCCTTCTGAATTTTCTCAGCCCTTCTAAGTTAGGTTTACTTCTATCATTAGTCTTCACTTTCTTCAATTTAATACCTTTAGAAATCTCTTTAAGCAAATTATTATGCGAGTTCGGTTTCTCAGATTCAAATATGAACTGTCCTTTATTTTTCACAACTACCGATCGCGTTATGATTGGTTGGGATCTAAAATTAATCATATGATAATTAGTTATTTTGTATTTCCTGTCCTTTTGTTATTCCATAAAAGTGTAGTAATGTTGTACCGATCATTGCATACGACATGTTTTAATTTCCTGCCCTGTTCCACTTCCTTCATCATATCGCTCCAGTCCGGTCGCCTTCTCGGTCTACTGCGAAGTTGTTCTATTTTTTTTAGTTTTTCCGGGTCTAACTGCGGCTTTTTAAATTCAGGTGGTGGAGGTAGTTTTGGCGGCGCTGGAGGTGGTGGAGGGGGTGGCGTCGGCTTTAACAAACCTATAAAAATATTAGAGTTCAGTAAGTAACTATGATAAGTACTTATGATATTTATATTTTAAATTTATGATAGACACGAACCATTTATCATTACAATGTTATATTCCAACACTAATAACCGGAGTCTTTTGGCGAAAGGTTTTTGAGTATAAACATATCTTAAAAATATAATATAATATTACCTTTATAAAAGAGACCTCCATTTTCACTATCGTATGCCATTTTTTACAAGCCAAAGAAACAATTTCAATATATTTCACACAAAACTTTTCATGGAGCATAACAAAGATCGTTTAAGTATTTGCACCTGATCTGCGCACGCGTCGCACACGGAACTAACTGAGACTATTTTGAATCACATTTAGACCACAAACTCTATATATGAAAGAGGACATCAAAAGGAATAGTTTTGAGAGAATTTTAATGGAATATCTCTCTAGGCTGATGGCAGGTAATGTGAGGTCTACGATCGAATATTGGAAATTAACCTAAAATTTAAGCCTAGTAGGAAATAAGTATTGTAAATTATAATAATATCAAAGAAAATTGGTACTCTCTTAGGGAATAAGACAAGTTGGTAAATCATTAACTGCTTCTCGACTAATATACATGAAGAGTTTGTTTGTATTTTTGTTTGTTTGAACGCGCTAATCTCTAGAACTACCGATTCGAATAAAAAAAAAATGTGTTGCTTAAAGCATTTGTCGAGGAAAGCTATAGTATATATAAATATCGCGTTGATAGAGGCTAAAAAAAACAGCGGGAAGATTGGGAAAAAATATTCATCTTTATGCAGTGCCAAATTCCAATTGTTAAGCTGCGAAAATGGTTTAAGGTATCATAAAATATGTATGACTCCTCTTTAAATGATCTAAAACAATGTCCACGACACTATAAGTTTATCTTTTTAAAGAACGACGGGACGCTAGACGGACGTCGTGCATAATAGCTATAATGGAGGTTTGCAAAAACGAATTTTGATGCCCAAAATAACTATTTTACGCGGACGAAGTCGCAGATACAGCCAGTCTGAGTATAAATTCAGATAGCAGTAATGTAAGAAATCATCTCGTAAATTAGTAGTAGCAGGCGCGTGTTGACTGCCAACATTACTTTCTATAACATCTGATTAATACGCATTGCGATGTATCTAAAATTAGATCTTATTTATTTATAATATACAACCGTTAGTTTGCTTCCATTGTTCAGATCAGGATTCAATATTGTTGTACTTTGTCATTTACTTTGTTCTTAACAAAATTGAGCCCATTACATACAGATAACATTTCTAATCATTATTTATGTTGAAGGATAATGATTTAGTTGTAGGAAGGGATTATAGTAATCAATCAATATCAAAATGATTTTGTTATCTTACGTAATTAGGACATTAATTGCTAAATATAAAACAAAATATTGTTTATATCTACTTACTTCTTAAGCTCTCATTTTTTGTGAGAGTATGCCCTTTTGGTATTTCATTTGCTAAGGTCTTGTCGATGTTTTCCTTTACACGTTCGTGAAGCGGATCTCTCCACTTTTTCATCATGACGTCGTCTTTAGATGGTGCCTTTTGTAAAGGTTTACGAGGCGGAAGCTGAAATTGTAAATATTAAGTAATGTAAGATTGAACAATGTTGAAATAGATTGCGGAATACGTATCATGTTACCTTAGAAGGAGATTTTTCTAAAGGCGTTGGTGGTTTGGTAGCCATAGCTACTTTTTCTTCCTTTGATTTTTCTGTCTTATCTAATTTGTTTTCTTTTATTAAAGAGTTCGGGATTCCTTTGCCGTTCACAGTTATATCATTAGCTACGTTTGCTTTATTTGTATCATTTTTATTAACTTTCTTATCAGTTATACCAACGGAATTCTCTTTAGCTTTGTCGTCGATTGTTTTAACACTCTTAAGTGTTGGTTTCTCTTGTATCTTTACAGTTTTTTCAGCGGGTTTTTTATCACTGTTCGCTATTACTTTTTGGGGTTTAATTGTCTTCGTTGAGGCTACCTTTTCCTCCGCCCCCTTTTTCTCTTCAGCTTTAGTGGTATTAGTGTTATTAGTTTTTAAAACTGCATTAGTTAATGGCTTGTCTTCTGTGGGTTTTTTCTCAATCGTTTTGATTGCGGCTTTTATAAATTTGGGTTTTTCATCGGACGGTCTCGATGCTCGATCTGCCTGTTTGGCAATCGAGGGCTTTACTAGTTTTTCTTCTACGGGTTCTGACGAACCGTTACTAACTTCTCTTACTGTCGATTGTTTCTTTAAAACGGCTGTAAAAACGAATCAGATTAAGGTACGTTAATATGTTAATGCAGGAACTAACTTTTAAAGTTAATCTCAAAAATTTATTCCGTAAATATGTAGTCGTAACTTTGTATAGTTAATTTCTATAGATGAATTTTTTTATTGTAAATCTGTAAGACGATTATGTAACGTTCTTCGCCTAACCTACTCTTTTTTATAACAGCGTGTCTTATAATATTGTTATAACGAGTATTTCTTCATTTCTTATAGTGATAATTGAATGAAAACATTCGTTTCAGCGTGAATTGAAATGCATTTGATAGCAGTATTTAGACGTAAATAAACACAGTGACTGCCAAGATGGCCGACCTTCACTTCAGTAGAGTTACTTATCAAAATTAGTGAAATACATTATCAATGTTTCTTTCTATTTTAAATTAAATAGGTCATCGGGAGCTGGCATTTACGTAGATAGTTTATACTGAAAGTTAAACTTTCTAATGCAATATAAACATGACTCTTTAATTTGCTAGTGATTTCAGACATTTGGTGTTGTTCCTCTCTTGATGGGTAGGCACAGGATTACCTAATAATAATAGTTTTTATTTTAATTTCTGCTCAGTTCATGCAATAAATTTGAGGTTAACGCCTAGTAACTCGATCTATCAAAACATAAACTAAAACCAAGACACTTCCAGCGATCTCATTTAAATAGTTACATCGTATCCCCAACATCTACGTTTATTTTGTAAAATCGTGTCCTCTCTAAAAATATCGCGATTCGTTGGCGTCGACCGGCTCGGAATATCTCGACGAAACCGTGCCGAAATTGTGACGCGTTTGAAAAATTTTAATTGTATAAGATTATACTTGAATTGTTAGAGTGCTTTTCCATTGTTTATATGAAACGTTTTTCACAAACGTGCGGACTTTTCGAAGTCCTACCTAACGTTCTCAATTATAATGACGTAGACAAATACGTAAAGAATGACTTGCTTGATTTTATCTATGTATGTATGTATGTAAATTCGTGATATGGGTAAACCGTAAACTCTACTTACTTCCTGCGCATGCGCTTGCTTTCACTGCTAGGGGATTTTCACTCTGTTTAGCTTTGCACAGTACGAATTAATGAATTATTTTCTTTTGAACACACAACACATCACCCTTCCAACTCCAGACTAACAAATTTGGGACCGCTTATGAGTAAAGTGTTGAGAAGTGGTCTCCATGCCAAACTTTCAGCGTGCTGACGTCATTATGTAGGTGAATACACATACATAATATTTACAGCATTCGCTATTGATACGTCTTGTGCCTACGCGTTTTATTTATTTCGAAATTTAAGGGAATTAATATATACTTATAGAAGATGAATAGTTTGTTTGTTTGAACGCCATAAACGGCATAATACCGCACAGGCACTGAGTCGAATTAAAAAATTCTTATTGTGTTGGCCAGTGACTGACCAAGACAGGGGGGAAACTATTCAACTTTAAGAGTTCCATTTTTAAGAGGTCCATTATGTGCGCTGCGAAATCCATTCAAGAAGACAAAAAATATGAAAGAATGATTCTTTAATCTATCGAAATATGTCTGCCACAGTATATGTCTTACTTTTAAGATTAACTCACAAGAACCGTGTTTATGGTCATAAAATTTCGTCGAAATACTTGATATGGCAAAACAAAGTTTGTTAACATTTGCAACATGATACTAAAGATATCGCATTTTTGTTTGTAGTTTAGTGTCTATTAAAGAATGTACAAGCCGCAAAATGTGCAATTAAGATACTTATTATATTAAAAGTTAATTAATAATATATTTATTTATCTATTTACGTTGAAAACAATCACGCGCGGTTCGCACGGGCGCGATTTGAATGAAAAACAGTTGAATAGTTTGATTGTTTTTTATTTAATACAATGCCATTATGTGCAATAACATGTGTAAATAATGCACTTTTATAACCACGTGCTTGGAGGACTTTGAACTGCAGGCCCCAGTTATCATCACTACTTAGTTTAAATAAGTCACTTTAACGGTTTAAAACGCGATATATACGTTAAACTTATTTGAAAATGATTTTTTAACTTCGGCCAGCCGTGGTCACGGGGAGACATAATATATCTAATATATCGCGTTTTATACCGTTAGAGTGTTTTATTTAAATGTGTACTACTCGCGTAAACTATAAACAGTATTTACTACTTAGTTGTTAAACTCATTGTGGAGGGATTTATTTCTTGGACCTTTTTTATTATTAGCATCATTCGTTATTTCTAAAGACTCGACAAAATTGATTCCCAGTAAATTTAATGTCTAAACAAGAACATGAAAGCTTTATTACCGACAAAAGTTACATAAAATTATTGTCAGACTAGTATAAAATGTTACGTCACCTCTTATAAGCTTTATAATAATAAGTCGTCTTATAAGCGAAATTATTGATGTAAAACAGCTGCTAGTCGGAAAAACAGAATTAGCGATGATTCTGTCTATTGAAATATTTAAAATACAAATACGGTAGAAAAGATTTTACTGAAGATAGATAAGTAGTTATTTTATTTTTAGGCAAGTATCTTTTTATACCTATTAGTGCATGAATACTACACAATTACAGTTACAACAAAGTAAGATACAATGAGATTTCATTCAAGTTTAATATTGACTTCATAATTGCATTTTTTTTTTCTCTTAATATAATAAAGACTTTGTTTTTTTTGAACGAGATAATCACAAGAACTAAATAATTACTGGTTCGAATTAAATAATTATTTTTGTGTTGGTTAGAGCATTTCTCGAGGTAGGCTATAGGCTATATCGCGCTGTGACTAATAGGAGCGAAGAAACAGCGGGTAATATTAAAGAATCGGGGAAAGTTATTAAATTTTTCGAGGGATTCCGTTGAATTCGCTGCAAAAACGGTTCAGGGAAACCAAAAACTATGTAAGAAATGATTCGTCTTTAAATGATCTGAAAAAATTTCCCAACAATATTGTCTGTAGTATTAGTCTGTATCTATAGTTGCGTTTATGGGAAGCAAATTTACTTCAAATGGCAAAATAATCTTTCCTTAGTCAGCTCGTAAGTAAATAATTGTTGAGACAAGACTGTTAGACAGGTACTTAAATTACTCACTCGAAAAAATATTGTAATCTCTAACTTACGTTTTAAAGGTTTAACACTTGGCTCATCTGAACTAACTGTTGCTTTAGGAACAGTATCCACTGGTTTCAATTTCCTCTGGGTCCAGGGTGGTGGTGCTTCTGCATCCTTATCTTTTACCCAGGGCGGTCGGAAGGTTTCGCGCTTCGGCGTGGAGTCCTTGCTGATGTTACCGATTGGCATTGTGCTGTAAAGGTATTTGGTGAGAGTGTGTTTCAGGCCTTTGCCGAAGGACAAGCTGTTTGTAAAGCATACATATTAACTAATATACGATATAGTTAAACTTAAGCTTATAGCGATTAGATAAAAAACAATATAATTGAACTTTATAACAGCAATAAAGGCTATTTTTCATAAATGACAGCTCACGAAAGAGTTCAGTCGATAGAAGGTGAACTCTGTCCTGAGCTGAAGAATATTCTATAAAAATGAGCTTCCCTAATTTGTTGTTATTATATTGTTCGGAAATAATAGTAATTATGTACTAATATGAATGTCAAAAGGTACTTATAATCATATAATGAGAAAAGCTTGTATAATATACCTATGAAAAATTATATTAGGAAGTTAATTTGAGTGAAATGTTGGAAATCGCTTTTTTAGGAATCCAATATGATCGATAATAGTTTGAAAAAATTTTACGACACGGACAGGACTCGAACCGGCATTCATAGGGTTCCGTGCTATTGCTCTTACCAATCAAGCTACCGTGCCCTACGCGACATCGATTTTTTTCAACCTATCGATAAATATGATGTCCTGTAATCAACGTCCATGGAAATTAGCCTTTGAACATCATACAAATAAAGCATAATATCGTAAACATTATAAAAAGAGATTGCAAAACATTAAAAATAGACTGATGTCGGGAGCTTACTCCGGTTTTTGTGTTTTGTGTGATATGTGTAGGACTACTATAAATTACGCACATATAATTCACAGCACAGCACTAACGAGACAAGTGTCCATAATTCAAAATTACGAACAATTCAACAAATGACGATCGGCAAATTTCGGGGTACAAACGTGCGACGCGGCGGCGCGCGCGCTTACTTCGACACTAGAGGGAATTTCGTGTTTGAATAATCTCTGGAACTTATAAATAGGAGCGTTAAGATGTTGAACATGGTACGTACAGCGTGCTTTACTTTTCTTTGCCAGCTGCTATTATTTTCTAACGATGAATCTATCTTTTGGTATCTCTCCGTCATGCACTGGCGGTGTCACAAAAAGGGTGCTTTTTAGTCACCTAACTCATGTTGTTCTGTTTGTTTGTATGTGTTTAATTAATTCAGTCTTATTATATTTAATTTATTTTAAATCCCTATTTTCCATTGCTTGGTAAGTATAATTTGAAAATGAATACGTGTTTTAAAATACAATTGGAAATCCTTCAGCAATGATGGATTTTATTTACAATTTTATGTGTCTACTGAAACAATTTACTGCTCGGTATTTGAAGCCAAAACCTCTAGAAATATGTAATGCTTTTAACCATTTAGTAGAAGTTGTAGTTGTCGTTCCTGATGGTAAATCTTTGTTGATCGTCGAACCAGCGATATCATTGTATTATTAGCAATATATATAGTGATATATAGTCTTAAGCTGATTACCGTCGACCAAGACTAGAGATCGCGTAAACATTTTTAATAAAATCATGCGGCGTCACATAGTCTATTTTCGTTGGTTCCTGCTTCGCTTGTTCAATGACAGAGAAAACTACTTTAGGAACATTGACAAAGTGAAGTGGTTAATGGAAGACGATATTTGATGTAAAACTCTAGTGTCGTGGTTTGGCATACATTGGTGGATAGCGCATCTTGATTAGATGCTAACAAGGGACTAAAACGTTACTTTCACTATAAATAACCTGAAGCTTGCTGTTACTAAAAAGAAAGCTTGTCAAATAGCTTGTCTGTTTTAGGATTTTTTGATATGCAAATCAATTGTTAGATGCAAATTTTAAATCACCAAGTGTCTAACCAAACCTAGGAAATGAAGGAATAATTAGTTTGTCGCACTTCAGTGAATATCGAAGGAGTGCTCCTTGACGATGGCCAGGCGGTGTCCGGATGTTTGGCGCCATTATTTCACAGGATATTTGGTCCATTACACATCTTAAATAACACTAGGTATATAGACGTATATTATAAGCAATATATGTATAGATGAAATAACTAGAAGACTAATCCGCTTTCTTATACTAGTTTGCATGTGAAAGAAGAACAAACCACACACTTTAAAAATTTTTAAATGGGCCTGGGACAGACATATCTTATGTCTATTTTTTGATCGATTGCTGTATGTACTGTACCAGCCTTCTCGCAACACAATTATTTTGTGTCTTCAGGAGTTAAACCCAAAATTTACCGTTTAGACCAGTCACCGAGGCACTCATGATGTATAGGTACTAATATTATGAAGCTGAAGAGTTTGTTTGTTTGAACGCGCCAATCTCAGTAACTACTAGATCCAATTGAAAAAGCGTAGCGAAGAAACAGTGGCAAATATGGAAAATAATAGGGAAAATAAATCGTCTTTGTGCTCTGCAAGAACGCTCAAGATATTGAAAAAAAGTATCTCTTTAAATGAAAATATCGATTAAATGCATCTCTGTATGTTTTATATCATGTTTGTATGTCATATATATGACACGTTTTGAAACAGTCCAAGGGCAACTAGCTTACAAATTACGATATAAATGTCGTTTATAGGCATGAAAGCTTGCTCTACTTGAAACGAAAAGGCTTTATGGTCAACAAGAGTGTATATAATGTAATAAAACATATTTAATAAATATAAACTTAGTAAATAACAAAACAGAATAACAGTCGTCGATTATTTTCATCCGTTATTTCAATTTACAGTACTAGTGAATCTATCCCAAGTTTTGATTTCATTAAACAGAGCTTCTCCTGGACATTCTGTGGCTCTCACTTGTCGGTGGCCGATCAGCTTGTAGTAGGGACTAATGTAGCCCAGGTGAACACCAATTTCAATGAGTTCCTTAGCTGTTTTTAGCTGTTGTTTCGGGGGTACGACCGCTGAAAAAAAAACGGTTAAAAATCGATTTTAAATTGAATTACTTTTACGACACTTGCTTGACTTAAACTGGCAACCACAGCGTCAAAATTGCTCTAACCAATCGAGCTACCGTGTCCTACACGTCATCATCGATTTTTTTTAACGTATTAATACATGCACCCCTCGCGCAATATGTGCATATCAATCGGTTGATTTCCGAATATCCAAAGCCAAAATAGGCCGACAGCGCATATTTTTTAGATGTTTTATAGCTGGGGTATTTCACCTCCCATCAAGTAAACCTTGCATGTTTGTCCTTCTCTATATTAAAAAAAAAGGTAAAATAAATTAATGTTGAACAACCTACATCTTCAAAAGAACCGTTTAGCTTTGCTTCATTAATTTTAAATAAAAGGAAATATAAGTAGAAGAATATTATTGTAGAGATCTGGAACTTTCTCATAATATTTATAAGTTAGATGAAGGCTATGTAATTTTAGCTTATTATTATCTGTGAAACCTATAGGACACATTCGATGACAATTGACAATTAAACCTCTTCTAATTAAACGTATCCTCTTGATGTTCCTGTAATGTTTTCTAAATAAATATAATATTATGGCCAGTACTTACAGACCCAATCGCCGATCAATACAATGCCTACACTATTCGTATTAAAACCAGCAGCATGAGCTCCAACTCGGTTCCAGCCTCGACCCTCGTAAACCACTCCGTCACTTCCTACTGCAAAGCTGCAAATTTTAATTATAATTAATGAGTACACTGCTTTAAGTTAAATTTAAATGCGTAAATAACAATTATAATTCATGCATATAATTATAATTATCTTAATTATTCAGATATGTTTACTAACTTTATTAAGTTAGTAAAAATCACCTAAACCGTTTTCCCGGAAATCGAACCTAGAAACTAACGCAAATAACGTCTGTGCGGAGGTAGGTGGACGTAAACACGTTATTTACCACTATTTACACTAGTTGAATAATAAAAAGAACAGGCATTAAAATTTGTTTCTGTAAATCTGTTTATCAATTATAGTTCTTAACTACAACGTCGGTCGCGTGCCGTCGTTCTTGTTATTAATACTTATAAGATAGACATATACTGTACAAACATTTTTTAGATATTTAAAAAGAAATCATTTTATTACACATATTTTTTAGGTATTATGAACGTTCTCCGCAGGGCACGCAAGGGAAACCAAGGCGAAAAATTCCCCTTTCTTCCACAATTCACACTCCTTCTCCGCTTCTGTTAGTCTCAACGTGATATTTGATAGTAGTTTCTGAGATTAAGTTGTTCAAATAAACACTCTAGAGCTTTACAATATTAGTGTAGACAAGAAAATCTAAAATTCCTTTATTAAAGCGCCATCTATGAATCATAGAACGCAACTCTAAAAACATTTCTCAAATGAAGCTTTTCACAAAATCTAGTAAACAATCCTCACTTATATCCGATATCGGCCCATCCGTTGGTCAGCTGATGAGTGTTCTGCATGGATCTCATGGTTCTAGCGCACTCTTCCTGATTGTGACAAGCCCCCGGTATGTAACTATGATGTATAATTACGAGTGGCACTGGCAAATTCTGCTTTGCGATAGATGTCGGTGGCCTGGCATTCCATTCTTCACGTGATATGAACGGGAATGGATAACAGTATGCTGGAAAATATATTTCAACTAAACTCCGACTTTAACTTTGAACACCGTTGTGGCGCGTTGTAAGCCTGAGAGGCCCAAGGTTCGATTTGGATACCATAATCATTCATTTCCAATATTCACATATAAATGATATCGATTAGTAAAACCTACAAAGAAATGTGTAAACATGGTTCCACACATTTAAGTAAATTTAAAGTAAAAAAAAAGAACGTAAAGTAAAAAACTGGTCAGGACAGTCTTAAATTTTTTACTATAAACGTAATGTTAAGTATTGTCAATATAATAATAATTATATTATATTTTTATTATATAAATCACAATATAAATATATATTATAGTTTTATTGGGATTTTGTTAATTTGTATTTTCATTAGTGTACGTAAAAGTAACAGACATCCATATTATACGTACGTCATTAGTAGGCTAGAATTAAAAAGAAGAAAAAAAAACAGATGAAGAAATGGTTCTTTTTCAAATTACGACTCGCAGATTTCCCACTATTTCCAGAGATAGTGGGAAACATTAATACTGACCAATGGCCGCATGTTACAAATCGATAATTTTTGCAGATAGAATGTTTTATTATGGCAAAAATAAGGATAAAAAAATAGTACTCGTACATGCTACCTATTGCGAGTATTAGTACAACTGTTTAAATTGTATTGTTACTTACACAGGTCGTTCGAGCTAAGCAGTCTGGGTGGAAAACTTTGCGATGAAGCGATTAACGAGAATAAAACAAAAACCGCGAAAGTCATCGTACCTTAAACAAAAAACACAAGTAAACAGCAACTAAATAAACACGCAATGTCATGAATATCTTGATGGCTCTCGAAATCATTAATCGAATCGTAAGTATTATCAAGATAAAAGAAAATCAAAGCTTGAGTACCAGCGTTTTCACGAATTGTCATTTGGTAATTATGTATATTAGACGCGACGACTGCTAAGAAAAAAGAAATGGTTTTAACTTATTAAAACCGGAATATACATTTATATAAAACACTCACGGTTTAAACGCGAAATATATTCGTTAAACTTATTTAAGAATTATTTTAACTATGGCCCGACGCTGCACATTTCGGGTGCTTTGTAGCAGCTGTGACCACAACTATTATTTACGGATTATTCGCGTTTTAAACCGTTAAAGTGTTGTATTTAAATGTGTACTACTCGCGTAATCTACAGTATAGATGTATGTATGTACTACTAGTATTTAAATATCAAACGGGTTAATGATTGGTAGAACCGATCGCTAATAAATAAATCTAACCACTAAAAATCAGTTTAATTATAAAATGAAAAATGTTAAGTTGCGTGAAAAATACAATAAGTTATATCCACTGTTATTACAGTATAGATCGGCATTCACACAGACATTTAAAACATTAATAATAGAGGAACAAGTATTACCGACACAAATTTGTTTGCGTTCATATTCTATCAAAATCTATCGAGATATTCATCATATCCTAATGAAATCGAAAGATAACTTAAAATTCGGTTACACGGTTGATTCCTAGTAATTATATTTCGTTTTCAAGTATTATAGATTTTATAAACATTAGGTACTACTTGTATAGATTATAAACATTCGTCCAACGAGAATTCGTCTAATAGTGGTTTGCGGAACCGGTCCTTATAATTTTAGAAAAATTATGATATCAATATATACTTTGCTTAGACAAACACGTTTTAAAAATAGACACCTAAGTTATAAAAACATGATGTTTCGATAAATTAACATTTTATATAGAATTATAGAGAGTGAAGTCAAATCGATCTTGATATTATAATAACAAAATTTGCCTATATATTATAAGTGTATAGAGATTAAAAATAATAAACATGTGCGTTTAAGTAGTTTGCATTTATAAAGAGGGGATCTCGAGAAAGTACCAAAATTGTATATTACAAACAACGAGGTAAGAATTTGCACTAAAATGTACTTTTTAACAAAAGTTGAAAGCGTATTGTTTCTTAAAGATAATCTAGCGCTAATGTATGATGATGATGTGACCCGTGACCACGGCTGCTGCAAAGCATCCGAATCGTCGGCCCGTAGTTAAATTATTTCCAATTAGTGTAACTAATATGTATCGCGTTTTAAACTGTTATAATGTTTTATTTAAATTTGTACTACTCGCGTAAACTACAGATAGTATCAATCAATTAAAAAAATACACAAAGTTAAGTAAAATAATATATCAACTCACCCTTTTTAAGGTCCTTTTGTGCGTTGGGGCAGCCAGCTAATGTTTTATTTATGTGTTTGTATTCATATTAATATTATGCTAATAATTTGATAAGCGCCTCAATCGGCTCTCACAGATTTGGAGGTGATAGTTTGCTACAATACATTCTTGTGGTGACTAATCTTTACGTAATTCATCTTCGGGTATGCCCCTCTTCAGATCATGAACGTGTTTCTCCGCCCTTGTCAACCTTTCGATTAATTATTGTTTTGTTAAGCCACTCTTATAGTGGACTGAACGATTAGATTCAAGCTGTGAAACTTTTGGCTAAAAAAGTTATTTTTAGTTGTAAGTAGTTCTTTGTTTACACGACTAAAGCGTCGTAGAGATTTCTTGATCAAGGCCTTGTATATTGTTGATAAGTTCTTTGTAAACGGGTACCAAAATAAAGCAAATGTTTGGAAGAACCTACAATTCAAAAGATAACGTTCTTAACAGACATTTTTTTAAGGACACTCACAGAGGGCATTCATTAAAATCTATAGTAGTATATAAAGCTGAAGAGCTTGTTTGTTTGAATACGCTAATCTCAATAACTACTGGTTCGAATTGAAAAATACTTTTGTGTTGGTTAGAGCATTTATCGAGGATGGATTAAAACATCGCGCTGTGACTAATAGCAGCGAAGAAAAAGCGAAAAACGTAAAAAAAAAACGGGGAAAAATACTAATTCTTGTGGATATCTGTTGCGTACGCTGCGAACAAGGTTGAGATACACAAAAACTATGTATAAAAAAATGATTTCTCTTTTAATAATCTAAAAACATGTCTGCGGCCATATATGCCTACTATCTTTTAAGATTAACCGATGTCGTGAGTAACAGCCTTAATTTATAAAGATGGAGTTTTGATGACGTTTCTTCGCGGACGAAGTCGCTGATACAGCTAGTTTATAATATAACTTCCTTACGTCAGCTTACCTAATTACCTTAGTAATTACCTTCGAGAGTACAACGTACGAACATATGATTTTTATCTAACGTGTTGGTAATTGGTCTAAGTATTTCGATGAATATCTAAATCCTTCATAAACTCACTAAACTAAAAGGTTCATTTGGCGAAAGCTGAATTAGCCCACCCATATGTCAAAAGAAGATGCGATTGGAAATATGGGGTATTTTTAACAACTTTTTGTTCACCATGATGTTGTTTTGATCCATTTGATTCGATCTTCTTCTTTAAGTACTTAGTCCTCTTATAGCGTTTGAGACTATCCAACGGCATTTATGTAACAGCGTATTTAGTAGAACACTGCGGAGGGGATATACCCTCTTAAGCTCGTATTGACGCAAATATTTCTTGCGAAGCACCGATTACTGTTAAGTAAAAGTCCCCTTTGTTATGACATATTTATTAAAGAGATAAAACAAACATTCCATTGTATGGAGACATACATCATAGTATTCCACGAAAAACAAACTGAAAGGTAAAACGCCATTTACCTTAATATGTCTGACCCTTAATACAATATTACAGTCAACGAGAAATAATATTGCAAGTTTTATTGGTACATTGTAAAGTGTACCGTTATTAATAACACAATTTAAAGGAGATTCAATGACAAAACAAGAGCAAATATTAATTTAAATAATAATTTATCTATCAATAAATGTTATGTCTTAGGAAGAAAATATACGCCTGGCGTTTATTTTTTCCCTAAGATATAACAGTCTTCAGTACATATGGTACGACTCAGTACGTCAGTGGACATTCCGTAAATGATTTTTTTAAATATTTTTTTTGTATATTCATTATTTTCATTAAATTATTAAGAGGGAAAGTATGCAACATCGGCGTCCTAAGCAGGTTAAGCATAAACGTGCCTGACTGCTATAGGGACAAAAGACACGCGCCACCTCTTCTCGTGGTGCCTTTTGCTAGAACGAACTTAATGGCAAAGGCACAATGGACGAGGACGGTCGAGGTCCTAAATGTTTTGCACAAAAAAGCAGATATTTTTTACAGTCCTTGGGGTGAACTCACAAATACATTAAAGTTTATTTTGAGTTATGAACGATAGTTTGGTTTAAGTTCATATATATTTGTTCTATCATATATAATTATATTGTTTAGTTTTTAGATCTCTGTCGCATTGGGATCCAACCTGTTATGACAGTGCATATATGTAAATAAATGTAAATAAATAAAATAAATAAATTATATTACTCCGAAATGAAAATCAGGCAGATTTTTGTTTACACGGGCAACTCCATTGCTTGTATCTAGCCTGTCATTTGGTATTCCACCAACACTATTACTAATTGAAGCCGCTAGAGGCAGAGTAGTCTAACTGTAATCTTATGAATTTAATTATTTATATTTTTATAGTCTACAGTTACCGAAAATTGTTGACATAATTCTTACACAAATTAAAGTACAAATTTTCTTTCGCTTAAGTAAATTGCGAATTTTTATTTTTCTTATTTATTGAATCATATTATGTTATAAGGCCACTCTGCCTCTAGCAGACTCAATTAAGGCAGACTTCTTAGCTTAATTACAGTCGATAGATGCGAAGTATATTACCTAAATTACAATTTTTTATCTACGCTACTGCCCCTTCGCAGGGTCTTTTGCGAATAACTGCAAACGTCTGTAATTATTGAATTTCCGATGCCAAAAGACACCGAAGTCCGTAAACTATAAAAATAATTAGTCTCCTTCTTAGTACGACGATGTCATACACTTAAAAAATATTTAAAAGTGAAAGTGTTACATCACTATAATTACAAGGTTCTTCCCCGGCCTTGTTCATAGCGGATCATTAGTTCGCGTAAATAATATTATCGCATAAGTTACCTGTCTAATTGAAACATTACAATACTTATCTTGTAAGATTTTATCGTAAGTTGTGTTTAAATCACTGTACTAATCAGTCACGTTATGTTTTTATTGCGTATCTGAAGATAAGGCTGGACCTAAGACAAATTTAGAATCATTTAATTCATTTAGGCTATTTTAAAGGAAACTATACCAAAATGTTATTTAATTTGATAACCAGGACAGACGTGGAATCATTCCTACAATATACAGACAACGTAGTTGTAAAATCTCAAGAGAATATACAATAAAATTATCTTTAACTATCGTCATTTGTAAGGTAACTAGTTTTATTTTATCTCCATGATTGATGATTAGATTAATGACGTCATCACCGATATCCGATAACCGATAATGATCCATTATTGTTGCCCCCTTTAAACTTATTAATATTTGTCGATAGAGCAAGTGATGTCTGTACCTTAGTAACGATTATTTGAGTTAACTATCGAATAACAAAAATTGCTAAAGTACAGAACCTCATTTGTAGACGAATCGTGTGGCGCTGAAAACATTTTTTTTTTCAGGGAAAGAATTAAGTCATTCGATTGCACATTTTACAATTTTAAATAAGGTCTGTCTAACATAAGTAGTAAGTTATTGTAATCAAACTGTTCCAACGGATTAATACGCCAATACCAAAAATATATTATAATAACGGACACTACTTGTTGTTTAGATAATTATAGATACAAACTTTAAAACTGTATGATATATAACTGTTTCATAAAATCGGAAATAATTTGCGACTTTTATTGAAAATCTTTCAGTTGTTTATGGTAAAATTAAAAAAAGGTTTTTTAACTATAATTTTACTCAATTATTTTTTTATTCTGTTTCACGTTTCCTTAATAAGTCCGCATACCCTTTATAAATTAAATGGAAAATGGTGTTGTTTTACATGATTGGGAAAGAACCGTGACGGTACTTGAACTGAATATGGATAAATAAAAGCGAGGATAACAATAAAGTTCGTATAGTCTGACAGTAGGAGGCAAATCGTATATTTTGTTTAATTAGATAACTTGTTTACGATGTTATTCAAAGTGTTAATTGTGTTTGTCAACGCGTGCGCAGTTTTCGCCTTACCAAGATTACAGTATAGTAAGTTACATGTGCCAATATTTTTTTACAACAAAAAAATAATAATAAGCATGGCAACACTTGATAGGTAGGGAACTTATCTGTATTTAATATGCGCTGCCGTCCTATTATAGACTTAGACATTCTCAATGTGATATACAGAATACATTATTTATATCCTTTTATAACTAAGTGAATCTAGTTTAGCTTCCTTGATAGATAATAAAATCATTTTGTAAACTTGCAAATACCTTCAGTAACAACTACAGCAGTGTATGTATACACTGTTATTTCTGGTTGATGTTAATTTTTTTATAAATATATATGTAAAACAGTCTTCGGATCAAATACGGTTGAGACAAAAGGAGTATTTAATTTTATCTGTATAAGCTAAGGATAGCTAAATTTTTGGTAGAAATTCATTGTTCCACAATATCTATAGGGAGAACATTTTCTTCGTTAGCATTGTGTTTTTTTATGATAGAAGAGGATAGACAAGCATGAGGTACACTAGATAGTAGATAAAATACCCCAGCCATATAACATCTTAACTATTTCCTTTGGATATTCAGATATCCACAGACTGAAGCCGAAATATGACGAACTCCACAGATAAGAAATCATTTAATTTTTCACCTGTGAACGGTGGGCTGTGACCCGGATGGAATTTCGATATTCCTTCCCGTTTAATTTTAGTTTCTAGAACTTTTCCGATCATGTGTTTATATCGTGAAAATTGTCTCGATAAAAACACAACTAAGACGATAACGAACCATTGTTGTTTTGTCGACTATCATAAACGTATGTTATCTTTAACATTCGACCTGTTTGTAATCTATTATAATGTCAAATCTTTATAAAAACACGTTTGAATTGATCGTACTCGGGAAACACCTGATCGGAAGTTGCAATTTAGCGAACCACGCAGAGGTTGAGAACATTAATCTGTACCTATGCTATATTACAAATATTTTATGAAAAAAAAAGTTTTTTTCAAACATTTAAAAATCAATATGTACTTTTAAATAATAGCTTCTTATTTATTTATTAATCAAGTATTATCTGTGGTGTTTGTAATTAATAAAGTTAATAAAGAAATAAATAATATTATTATTTGATTTATCACGAAGAAGGAGAAACTAAACTACAAAATATATCGCGTTTTAAACCGTTTCCCCGTGACCACGGGCTGCAAAGCATCCGAAGCGTCGGGCCGTAGTTAAAAATAATTTTCAAACAAGTTTAACTAAAATATTTCGCGTTTTAAACCGTTAAAGTGTTTTATTTAAAAGAACAAACAGATACATTTGGGCACAAAAAACAATAGACAAAACAAATGGTTTCAAGTATGAAGCCTCGCCGATCCAATAGAAAATAAAATTAATATTTTTTCGTTCTAGATACTGAGCCACCGTTTAAATTCTACTCTCGCTCGGATTGGCAAGCACTTCCGTCGATTGGCACAACTCTGCTTCAAACTCCAGTACCTTACATCGTGATCCATCATACATACATCCCTTCCGCTTGTGATAATCACGAAAAATGCAGCGCCGCTATGCAATCCATGCAAAATTACCACATGAGGGATTTAAAAGTGGGGTGACATTGGATATAAGTGAGTTTTGAACAATTTCAACGGTATAATATAAAAATCGATAATAAATTGAACAAATTTTCGACTCGGGCAGGATTTTAACAAGTGTTAACAATTGTTAAACTTACGAGTCGTTAGCGTTCCGTTCTATTGCTCTAACCAATTGAGCTACCGAGTCCTAAATCAAGCTTAAGTTTGAAGTTATAGATTTTTTAAGCACTAGACCACCAATAGCTTAGACTTTAATTTTTTTTGGCGGTCGACTTTGACAGTAGAGTAGTGACTATAAAAAGTAAACTACAGATAAAAAATCTATTTGTTTCTTCTTATCTATGGTTTTTTTGTACTCTATACAAGGAGTTATTTAGTTTTTATGTTGTTACAGCTTTTGTATAGGTAGCAGTGGAGATGTTTACGAAGGAAGAGGATGGGAGACAAAGGGAATACACGCGGGACCAGCCAATAGTGTCAGCGTAGGAATTTGTCTTATCGGTGATTGGAGAGGTAAGGCTCTGGTTTGGCTTAAATATTTTGATTAGATTATTAACCCTTTGTACTTTGCTGTCATTGATCAACAATAAATATCGATTTATTGCTTATATAGCTTGGTTTCGACCAAGATGGGAACTATGTAACACTGTCGATCTTAGCAAGCTCTTAATAAAAATACAAACAAAACGATATAGCTTAATATTAGTATAATCTCTAAAAAAAATTTAAAACTCGAAATATACTAGTTCACTTATCGCAGTACGGGCTACGGATGCATCCTAAACGGATTTATTAAGTAGTTCGTGTTTTGGGCCGTTTTCTAGATTTGTATATAACTAGCTGTGCCCGCGACTTTGACTGCGTGCCGTCGTTCTTGCGAGTTAATCTTAAAAGATGAGGACATGTACTGTCGCGGACATTTTTAGACCATTTAAAGAGGAAACATTCTTTGATACATATTTTTGGGTATCTTTAATCGAATTCGCAGCGCACGCGGAACGGAAACCCCTAAAGATTAATATTTTTATCCCGTTTTTTTCACATTTGCCACTGTCGTGGTACTCCTACTGGTCGCAACGTGATGTTAAAAAGTCGGAAACCTTTCTCGATAAATGATTTAGCTAAGATAAAAATAGTTTTTCAATTCAAACCAGTAGTTCCTGAGATTGACGCTTTCGAACTAAAAAACAAACAAACTCTTCAGCTTTGTAATATTAGTATATGCATGTTTTATTTAATATATACTACTACTTTACGTTACACAATTTATTTTTTCAGTTCAACAACCACCTCAAGAGATGTTGGAATCAGCCAAAGCACTCATCCAGCTGGGAGTAACTAAAGGCTATATAAAACCAGATTACAAACTTGTAGGACACAACCAAGTAATGGCCACCGAATGTCCTGGAAAGGCACTATCTAATATTATATCGAATTGGGAGCATTTTTCTGAATCTTTCAGTAATTGAAAACTTTCCCTGCGCTTAAAAATGGCTGTGCTTAACTTAAAGTAAATTTAAGTAGCTATTCGTAAATAATTATTTAAATCAAATGTGTTATAAATATAAAACCTGTTTATTTATACTTTATAGAGAAATAAAAGCCGTGTCTATGTAAGTTTAGTAAAAATGGACTGCTTACATAGAATGAAGAAGTTAATATAAATTAAATAAAAAACATTATACTTGATACTTTTAAGATTACGAAGTATATTGGAAAACTTACTTTTGTTTTGTACCTTTACAACCGTAATAATATTGTTGAGCTAATCTTTATACTTTGCGTTTTAAACCGTTAATTATAGGTAGCAAAACACCACTTTATTACCTACTAGCTGTGACTTGGGGTAGAATTTTCATACAAACTTTCACCCCCCCTTTTAACCCCTTACAACCCATTTCATTTCATTCAAATCTGTTCAGTAGTTTTGGCGTGAAAGAGTAACAGACAGACAGAGTTACTTTCTGCATTTATAATATTAGTAAGGGTAATACTTTGATGTGTTAATTAGAGGAGATTTAAAAATATCTTACCACAAGGAACTGCTGTCCAATAACACATATTTATTCTATATACACATATATGTGTACATTACCTTATATATATTGTTCATACATATATAAACATCATACTCGTGTCCAAAAATCTATTTAAGAACCAGGAAAATAAAAAATCCTATACAATATTAATCTATGCCCATTATAAGTAATGACTTGAACGTTTCTCGTATTGAATCTTTCTATAGTAGATAATATGTTTCATTTTTTTTTCTTTAAGATTGTAAGTACGTAATTGATTGTAAATCACGCACTAATAAGGTATAAATGAACACGGCAATGTTCATTGGTAAACGCGTTGCGTTGCCTCTCGCGTCCAGTAAGACTGGGTTCAAATGCCGGGGCAAGAACATGTGCTCCACACTTACTCGCTTCTTATCTTATACGTCTAAAGTGATTTGTCAACCTAGATATATTTCTCTCTTTTATCTCTTTCTGCTGTCTTTTAAGAGAGAGTCTTATTAACTAGACCCACCACGCTGTTCCAGTGCGAGTTCCTCAAGCCTATCGGCTTTAACGACTACCCCCACTAAATTAGTTGTGATTGGACTGACTACTAGATTCAAATGATGACACCTCCAACTTTTTTCTCGGGCTAGGCATTAAGCATTTTCTTAGAATAATTCCAAATGTCAAACATTACACTTCATCCAGGATTCGAATTCAGAACGTCGATATTTGCAAACAAACGCACTAACCATTAGACCAACGAGACAGTTACAACAGTTAAGGTAAAAAAACAAGCGTCAACTTGTGTTTAGAAGTGTTTATATTTTACTATAAACTTTATTATTGTGTTGTAACTAATAAGCAATGTTTATCGTGACGTTTCGAAATATTGTATTAATCATAACATGACGAGTGCACTTAGTAAAGTTCTTCCTATTTGATTAAGAACGGTTAAGTAAATAAAGATTTCATAAGTTGACTGTGTATTATTAAAATTAAACTAACACACACACTTGTAAGTTGTATTTGCGTAGTTTACGCGAATAGTACACATTTAAATAAAAGCACATTTAAGGGTTTAAAACGTGAAATATATAACGTGCGTACCCATGTGACCACGGCTGCTGCATTCGAAAGTCCGTCGGGTTGTATTTAAAACTAGTTAACTAGTAAATAACACGTTCTAAATCGTTAAAAGTGGTTAACGGTTCAAGTTACTATTTTGAACGTTAACGTTACACGTTTAAGATGCTTTGCAGCAGTCGCGGTCAGGGGAGACTGAAGTTAAAGGAAATTAAAGATAAGTAAGCGTATATATATTTTTTTTAATAAAGAGGAGGATAGACAACAATGGAATTCACTCGATAGGAGATGTAATAACCCCACCCTTATAACATAAGCGACATTCGCTGTCGACTTGTTTTGGCTTTGGATATTCGAAAATCCACAGACTGAAACACGATTAACGGCTTTTTCGGATTACAGCTGTTTCATCTATGGATCCGGACGGAATTTTTATATTCCTACCGCAAATTTAATATCCAGATTTCCAAACGACATATTTCGGAAGAATGATAAATTGAAAAATTAGAAACACGTTGGTTAGATTCGAACCCACGACCCGTTGATTTTTAGTCATTCATTGCTAAAAATCAACGGGTATTTTTTATTATATTAAGACAAATCGTAGGAGAAGCAAATTGTTATAAATATTATATTGAGCCATGTATGTATAACAAAGATTTTTCACTCTACATCATATCACACAACGTGCTACGTTCGCCAACGTAAACAAAATTAAAATCAAATTAATTATGTTTTTTATTCGACGTGTTCCAATCTCGTACGGTACCTATTTTACGCGCCAGCTGCGGGGATAAACCGCTGTGAGGTTGTTGCCTATGTCATTACATGCCCATCTAAAGTTCAACCAATGCCGCTAAAGACAGTAGTCGGTGTGGTACATCTTAAATTCTGTTAAAATTTCGTCAATTTTACGTTGAAATCGTGTAGTTAAGTTTATATTGTTCAAATTAATTTCGGTAAGCTTAAAAAATTTATTAAATACATAGTCTTTTAAATGTTTTAAAGCAAAGAGTATTTATTTAGATTATATTATATACTGATTAAAGTAACATAAAAGTTGTGTTATTAAATCTGTAGTTTACGCGCAAATTTAAATAAAACACTAACGGTTTAATACACGATATATATTAGTTATCTCATTTAAAACGTCTGGCCGTAGTTAAAAATATTTTAACAAGTAATATATATCGCGTTTTAAACAGTTATTTTTTTAATATCTTTAAATAAAAGCAGTGATATGATTTCGACAAACAGTTTTATTAATTAGTAACTTATTATATAATTTAAAACACTGTCTGTAGTAACAAAACGTTGGATCATGGACCAAATAAAAAATTAGTTTACTAATATATTTCTCGTTGTGAACCGTTAAAAGTGTTTTATTTAAATACATTTTATTTCACTCTGACATAATATACTAATACGTTGAATACAATGTTTGTCCTCCACTTTGACCTAGATACGTCATAAATTAATAGTTTATCTCTTGTTTGTAATCATAGTTTATATTAACACAAAACGTGTATCTCCGATTGTACATCTATTAAAATGAATCTGGTTCAAGTGATCAACAAAATATCTTTTTTCCAGGACCATAGTGAGAAATAGTGATGTGCAAGTTGGTTCTTTTCGAGTTATTAATGTGTACGATAACAGTTAAATGTTTTCCCGCTGATTTCACAGGCAAGTTGTGATATTTGTATAAATGATAGCGATAACTTAACTCAGCCGACCTTCATGTTCGTTAATTATTTCATTCAATAGACCACTTACTGAATATTACCATTTATTACCACACGTGACGATAGTATTTTTTTTCTTCTATTTACATTATAAAGCTGATTAGCTAGATTATGTAGATAAACGCGCGAAATTATTCATTTTTAGGGCTTTCGTTGTGTGCGCTGCGAAAAGGGATCAATAAATTAAAAGATACGTATAAATAAATGATTCTTCTTTAATGATCTAAAAAAATGCTCCCGACTGTATATGTCTAGTTTGTAAATATAAGTCACAATAACCGTTTTTATGTATATATGTATAATTAATTTTGGCCGACATTTTCATAACGAAGTATATAAGTAGTGATACCGCAAATGGCAAAAGAATGTGTCAGGTTAGGTAGTATTATTGTTATTCTTTCGCCCCTGAAATTAAAAGCAAGCCTAAAACTGTTTACTATTATAAAAAAATCCATGAAATGCCTCGTTGCTATAGTTACTCAGGTTAGTGCTCTCGACCGTAGACTACGAGGTTTGGGTACGTAGCAAAAACGCGATTAGCGTTTCAGCCTGTGGATTTCGGAATAACTGAAGCCAAAACATGCTAACAGCGCATCTTGTTTAGATGTTATCCAGCTGGGTTATTCATCCAGCGATGCTCCTGCCCAAAAAACGAAATAAGAAATACAAAACCTTGGAATTCTCTTTCAGTTAGTTTCCGCTGAATGCTGTGAAAACAAAATTCGTACACCGTTTTTTAATTATAACATTTGTCAAAATGTATTGCACGTGACTGCACTTTATAAATTAAAAGTCGATTATAAATCAAAATGACTCGCTAGCTCAATTGGTTTGAGCAACAGCACGGTACGTTATGAATGCCGGTTCAAGTCTTCATTTTCTCAGTTTTTAAAAGTCTTGATTTCAATATACTCCTAAGAACGAGAAAATATAATTGTCTTTTGTTTCTAAAGATGAATTATCCGACAACGAAGTTATAACCCTCGACTTTCCATTCGTGAGACGCGAAGAGTGGCACGCCAGGCCGCCCAAAAAGACCCTGCCACTGCTCGTTCCAGTACCATACGTCGTTATACATCACTCGTACTCACCACGTGCGTGCATGGACAGCTACCGTTGTGAAGAAGCTATGCGCTCCATGCAAGATTTCCATATGGACACGCGAGGCTGGTGGGATATTGGATATAAGTAAGGATTTATTTAAATACCGTCTGTTGTTTACGCGAGTGGTACTCATTTAAATAAAACACTTTAACGGCTTAAAACGCGATCTATGTCGATATTCTACGCGATGTCTCCCTATAACCACGGCTGCTGCAAAGCATCCGAAATGTCCGGCCGTAGTTATAATAATTTTCAAATAAGTGTAACTAATATATATCGCGTTTTAAACCGTTAAAGTGTTTTATTTTAAAGGTTTTCTTTGATTTTAAAGTACACTAAAACAATGCATATTTGTTTTTTTATTCTTGTCGCTGTATTTAGTTACTTCGGTAGCTCAACTACAAGTATTTAATAAGTAATTTAGTGTTTTATTAAGTGTAGGGTTTTATGTATCTATTTGTTTACTTAGGAAACTAAACAGGAATGTCTCTTATGATAAGTTAAGACTAATATTCTTATTATCTAGGGAAAAAAATAAAATTTTATAGAAATCTAAATGTATGTAGGTATGTAGGTACTCAGAGACAGTGCCTTTACAAGTTTTACTGATAACATTTGATTTAAAAAAAAGCTTTTACGGGAGAAAACCGTTTTCTTTCAGTTCATATTAAAAGTATCTTTGTATTGTTTCTAAGGTAATTATGACGTGTTTTTTAATATGCCTTTTAACCATTAGACACAAAAAAAGTTTCAAAAAATGTAATGTGTTGATGTAAAAATGTAATGGGACAAAAAGATATGTGATATTTCAATAGAGGCTTTTAAATTTTATTGTAAATCGATTGTATATTATATACTCTGTTTTTCCTAAACTAATTTTCCCGTGACTCGAACTCAAACCCTAGTCAGTACACAAAGCAAAGCATACAACTGAATCACTGAAATATTCAAGTATCTATAAAAAATGCTGTTTATTTTCAACCTATTTCTATCATTGTTAAGTTTTGGTGTGGGTGGTGACGGCTCCGCATATGAAGGTCGCGGCTGGACGACCCTCGGAGCCCATTCCCTTCGCTTCAACAATGTTAGCTTAGGCATTTGCCTAATTGGAGATTGGTCGAGTAAGTATTGATTAAATTAGTATAATCAATAAATAAAAAAACGGTTTAAAACGCGAACTATATCTCGTGGTCGCGGCTGCAAAGCATCCGAAACGTCGGGCCGTACATATACATTTCGCGTTTGAAACTGTTTATTACTCGCGTAAACTACAGACCGTTTTAAATTGACATACACTTCAACTTTGCTTTTAAAATTTTAAATGCTACATATAATAAAAAAAACTACTACCTCCTTTATTTTGCGATATTGGGCACACATATTGTGTCCGTTCAGATCGATTTTCCCTTATCATCAAGGGTCTGTGTCCTGCTCACCCGAAACTAATTACGTATTGGACGTTAGACTATTTAATTAAAAAATAATCCAGAGATAAATCAATATGCTGAGTGTATATATTAAAATGTATGATACAATTACAATAGAATAATGTTAAAATATTTTCTTCCAATATTTTGCTAAATTATGAATTATAAAATAAAAGTGGATGTACAGACCAAGTACTGACAAACACACAAATTAAGTTTATTTTATTACAAATAGTAATTTTTTATAATTAACCCCGAATTGGGTACCCCAGTTACTAAGAGAGCCAACATATTTTTACGTTTGTTTATAGATGAATTACCACCCCCACAACAGCTAAAAACAGCAAAAGCCCTAATATCTGCTGGTGTCCAACTAGGCTACATCAAAAGCAATTATAAACTCGTCGGGCATCGCCAAGTTAGAGACACAGAATGCCCCGGAGACGCGCTCTTCGAAGAAATCAAGAGTTGGCAGAATTACTCCCCATTTCCAGCTAAAGTAACAGACTTACTAGACGTGGAAGAAATACCGGAGTCCATCAGAAAAGACTGGAAAGATCGTGGTGTTTTAAATGCGAGTGTACCTTTATAGCTATAAATACGTTAAATTGTAAATACCTTTAAGATGAGGCACCATATTTATGTACCCAAGTAGATCATACGATGGACTCGTTGGTGATGTTAGCAATGTATGGCTAATAATCAACGGGTCGATTCGATCGGCACCGGGTTTAATATGTCTCTAATTTTTCAATTTATAATCTTTCTGAAACATTTAAATAAAACACTTTAACGGTTTAAAACGCGATATATTAGTTAAACTTATTTGACAATGATTTTTAACTTCGGCCCGACGTTTCGGATGCTTTGCAGCAGCCGTGGTCACGGGGAGGGTCCAATTTTCAAACAAGTTTAACTAGTATATCGCGTTTTGAACCGTTAAAGTGTTTTATTTAAATGTGTACTACTCGCGTAAACTATAGACAGTATTTTCTGAAACATGTTGGATATTTAATGGGTGGTAGAAATATATAAATTCCGTCCAGGTCAACCACCGTCCAACAATTGAAAAAGCCGTTAATTTCATCGCGTACCGGCTTTAGTCTGTGGATTCCGAATATCCAAAGCCAAAATAGGTCGACAACGCATCTTGTTCAGATGTTATATAGCTGGGTATTTCACCTCACATCAGGTGAACCCCTGGTCTAGAAAAAAAATCAAGTTATAAGGACTCTCAAGCTGTTTGACCTCATAACAGAGAAATGGTCCTAGACTTTTCGCTATCACGAGATATATTACATCGTGGTTGAGTTTTCGCTTAGTCCAGAGATAAAGAAAACACTTGAACGGTTTAAAACGCGATATATTCGTTAAACTTGTTTAAAAATTATTATTATATAAGCCACGGCTGCTGTAAAGCATCTGAAACGTTGGGCCGTATTTAAAATAATTTTCAAACAAGTTTAGTGCGCGCAATATATCGCTTTTTAAACCGTTAAAGTTTTTTATTTAAATGTGTACTACTCGCGTAAACTATAGACAGTATTTATTCCAGAGATACTCATTTTCTAATGACGTCATCTACTCGTGATGACGAAACATCGAAAACATATTTAAGTAAATGGCCGAACTTGAAGACTAATTAATTACTTGAGTCACAAACAAATTACAGACCAACGTCATTTCATGAAAATCAATTGTTTTCAGTGATTTGTTTCAATGGTTTAGTTTAAATTTGAGATTAAAGAAACAGTTTTGTATACATTGCACTATTTTATAGCTTTTCTTGACTCCATTCAATTTATTATAGTATTACGTAGACAATTGTTGTTCCTATCTTTGTTTAACGTGTTGTTAATTACGATTTTAGTATAAATAAAATTTTAAGTATTAAGTGTTGTTTATCATTAATAAAATGAGGACTTTTAATAGTTCATTTAAAACTGAATGAAACACGACTATTTGAACGTGACGTAGTACTACATAACGGATATAATAGTATTAGAACCGCTCACCTGTCCAGCTCTTCAACCTCCCAATGATGTTATGGTGGTCCAAACCGATGTTGCCAACTGTGGGCATCCTTGTTTTATGGGCTTGTTAGTATAATGGTAGCGATATATGCCTAATTATCAAGGTCTAACATTTTCTAATTAATTTATTATTTTTCTGAAACATATCTTCGTCTGGGCGTCTGGTTAATAAATTGGTGGTAGGTATATAGAAATTCTGTCCGGGTCACAAACCACCGTACACAGATGTAAAAGCTCTGTTTGTTTGCCCTCTGTCATATAAAAGTAAGTAGCAAAGACGCGGAAATATCCGTTTGATATCAATGACCTACAGCGCAATTCATAATAAATAAAGTATTGGGTATAAATATACAAAGTATAGTGTAATTTGTTTTATACTACCCCCTATGCCCTCATCTATAAAGTTCCACCCCCATTAGCCCCCACCAAATAGTGCTTATGCAATACCTACTTGAATGGCCACTTATGTAAGCCAACATGGAAAAAAACTATTTATAACAAGCACAGATAATAACTATAATCTTTGCCTGACATTGTGTGAATTAAATGTTTACAGCTCTGAATTGCGTGTAATTTGGTTTAGTAATTTCCTCTTTAAGTAAGCTGCAAAAAAACCAAACCGACATTATTTTATCACGACAGAGAAGGACAGCCAAGTATAGTATTCACTTGTAAGTACCCCAGCCAAATTTTCATTCTACATTCGCATACCCACAGATAGAAACTGAAACGATTACAACTCCACAGCTCTACCAGATGTAAACGTAGATTATTGACTAGTAATTTCGATATACCTCCCCTTTTTAAAATCTAGAATTTCCAGATGAACAAATTAATAAAATATGTTGAACCCGGCGGGAACCACACGACCTTTTGATTACTAACCGTATACTGCCACCATCGAATGAGCCCGACAAAAGATAATATTTGTATATACTTTTAAGCGTTATAATAACGTTTTCCGTTATTTTGTATTGTTAAAAATAGTGACTGTTATTTATCGTAAATTAATCACCTCATTCTGGTTTAGGGAAATTCCCAAGTGATCAAAATTCATTGAAAATATGAAACATTGATTGTGTCCATTTTCAATTGTAACTCGTTTTCCTTTTAGTATGCTCTATTCTTTATTTATCAGATTAATTGTAGTAGCTTTCGAATCAAGAGAATATTTAAAGTACATTACAAAGTGTCTATTCTAATTAAATTTAAAAAGCGAGGATACTTTTCCTCCTCCAGGATCCTGTCAGAATTCGAACCTGAAACCTCTCGCACTTGAAACAATGGAAGTTGTGTTACATTATAGATGGATACTGTAAAGCGTCCGAAACGTCGGCTTATAGTTTAAAATCGACGAATCTACAAATTTCGAATTTTAAACCGTTAAAAGCAATTTTTACATATTATTTTTATCTTTAATTTGTACGCAGGATAACTATGAATACAAATAGCATATTATACTTGTAAACATACTTTAATGACAAGATGATTTTCACAAAAATATTTTTTCTTACATACATCTTATACGGTATAAATAGATAAGAAATATTCTGCTTATTTCAAATTGATAGGATTGTATGACGAATTAAAGTTCACTTCACATCAATATAGGTAATTTTATCACATAAAAATATAACTCCACCGAGTATGATATTGATGTTTTACGTAAAGACAGACAGACCTACTTATGTTTTGCCATACACACTTAAAACATTACAATATAATTAATATAATTATTTTACTAAGACGTGAATTGTTGTAACGTCACTACGTGTAGGTAAATCTAAAAACCTAAACTCTTCTGAGAAGTTTTGTAGGTCTTGAATGCACCTTCTTGAATATATTTAAAGGTTTAATAGTAAATAGGTTTCAGATTCGTTAATAAAAATCTATGAAGATTATAAGATTACTGTTGAACGACAAAACAAAAGCAGAACACCGCTTCACGTAGATTCACAGATAACGTCAAATAAATATTTAAATATTCAACGTCGTAATTTCTCTGTTGGAAGCTCACAAAACCTAAGGTTATATTAGTACAAAATATGCTATATTTGTGGATAGACACGCAAATTATTGAAATCAAAACGAGGCGAGCCTTCAAATTAACATTACGTAAAATTTTTACGTACGTACATGATCTGAAGACGACGGAAAGACAAAATCATTACACTACACAAATACAACACATATTTGAACAAACAATAATTGAATTATAATTTGTTACACAAAACACTTTTAACGGTTTAAAACGCAATACTATTAGTACATTTTCCTGGCGTTTTGATGTTTTGCCATGCTAAAGGACTAAAGGCGGGGTAACAGTCCTGGTTGAGAATAAGTTACTTAATAAATATTCTCGTTTAAAACCGTTAAGTGTGTTTTATTTAAATATGTGCTCCTCGCGTAAAATACAAACATTACTTATAGTTTGTTAGATTAACATATTGACTAAGCTAATTCACTAATGTATTAATTATTAAAGCATTTTTAATTTCTTGGAGATGTAATATACACAAATTGATTTTTTTTTCCTTTAAGGATGCTAAATATAACTCTGTTGCGTTAGTTTGTCAATTATAAAAGCTTTGTTGGCTAAAAGGATTTTAATCGCTAACGCTGTAATAAAATATATTGTTATACAGATGAATAGGTACAAGTAAGTTACTGTATTTAATAGTGAAATAACACCTCTGATAATTTTAACACTTAGATAATATATTCTTGCTAATTGTTTTTTCACAAATTCTGACGTTCAACGATGTATTTCATAACATTTAATGTGTTTTAGCAACACAGAATATAAAGTTAAGAACAAATAATATTAATAAATTATCCGATCTCTGATGACGTCATATCTTCAAAGACTTGACAAACAAAGACGCCATTTTAAAAACAATGTCAGCGATTTGCGTATGACTAAATAGCATATGATTTTAAAAATATCTCGCAATTATTAATAATAGGTACAAAACCAAGTTTTCGTACTTAATTACAATAATAACAGTTTACAGCAAATGTTAGGCCATAGAAAAGATTGGACAATTCGATGAGAAATTGTGCATTTATTTCAATTTTCTAGCTTTTAAATAAATATAGTTGCTTAAGTGCTTGTTTAACATAACATATACATAATAATTACAAGTTAAAATAGGTACTATATTCTTTTGCGGGCGTAAATAATTGTAATAAAATCTGCTTACGTAATTTTTTAACCGACCCTAGAAAGCATTAGAAAATATTTATTGTATTATTTATTGATAAGCGATCAATCTGATATAAGTTGTAAGCCCGGACGAAATTGAATTGCCTGTATATTAAGTATACTTGTAAGAAATAGATCTGCGAAAAGAGGTAGATAATAAGTTTTAATACCTTATTGTGACGAAAACACGTAATAATTCTTATAAATAAACAGCTAACTATTTTTCTAATAAATTAATGTTACACCAACAAATAATATGTCTACCGAATGTTTCTAACGTGGATGATTATAATTTTTACACGTTTTTAGACAAGCCGGTCTCGAACCCGGAACCGTTCACAGTTCAAATTCTCAATCTGCACCTCTAACACAGTATAACTCTGATATCGTATAACTGCTCTCAAATAATAAAAGCCACAGGCCAAGTGTCGCGACTTCGAGCCCCGCCTATGCAATATTTTGTAGAAAACAGTAGAAAGAAATTTCATAGTATTATCAATTCCTATTTGAATCACCTAATTCGTTTCGCTATAAATGTGATTTGATAGAATGAACGTGCCCACTTGAAACTGATTCGTTGAATAATGTCTATAATTTGTTTTAAAAACTTTTGCCACATAGAAAACAGCCAATATACGCTCTAATACAAATTGATATTAAAATTCAATACATTTTCTAATATCTACCTACTACCAGAATTACAATACTGATTTGTATACCCGTTTAGGAATTGACCAACAATACAATTCGTCAATGCCAATACAGATTAAATCTTTAGTTAGATACTACTAGGGTACATAAACTCAAAACCTGGAAATGGTGCAAAATAGCCGTAATAGTCTCGAGAACGGTGGTAGGTGCCAACCCCTTTGGGGAGCAGTTAACTAACTACTTAAGCAGTTGACATTAAAGATCGCAAAAGCCGCTGTGTGACACTCTAGAATCTTCTTGGATATCAGCCAGACCGGTTCGATATTATTAATAGTTAGAAACAAAGAATGCTTACGATCTTCCATATATTTCAAATAATATTAGTTCTGAAAAGCAATTTAAGTATTGATTAAATAACATTAAAATTTGGTGTCAACGTTTCACTCGTGCTCGATAACACGAACAGTAGGTGTTATCGAGCATAAAACACTTTAACGGTTTTAAACGCGATCTATATTAATTAAACTGGATGCTTTGCAGGAGCCGTGGTCACGGGGAGACTAATTTTCAAATAAGTTTAAATATAATGCATCGCGTTTTAAACCGTTAACGTGTTTTATTTATGGGTACTACTCGCGTAAACTACAGACAGTATTTAGAAAAGTTTTTTTTTAAATTTCGTTTAGATGCAGTGCTATGTCATGTAACATTTATTATTGATTCTATATTATATGCTGCAACCATTTTCAATATTTGATGAGACATCTAATTGTATTGCTGATCAAAGAGTGAAGATAGCATTTTGGATTTCTATTTATTTTCTATAAGCGTTTGAACTTGCAGTACTAAGTCTCGTGCTAACGATAAGACTGCTGATGCATCGTGGCGCTCTGCCATTTCTGGAAACCAATATAGTAATTATAATTTTCAGGCAAATAATTATTTTGATCATATTTCGTTATAAAAAAATATTGTACAGTGCCGAAATGATTGTAGCACTGTTGTGTAAATAAAAGTAAAAATTTCTAACCGTTGAAGAACTTTATGATATCCGTGAAATCCATGGAATTGGCCAGAATAACATCCCGATATGTCTCGAGTAGAGCCAGGGCTATAAAAAGAACCATGTGCTCCGACGCGACATAGCGCGCCACCCAGATGAATTCCCATGCTGAAAAAACCTGTGACAGACACAATATTACTTCTTATGTGTAATTATGGACCTACAAAATTCTAGAAGGGTTTCTTTAAATTTTATTTCGCTTTGTTATTGTGACTATGAAAAGACCACATATGAAATTAACTAATTATAATATAGTGACTACCTATTACTTACATCTTGGTACAGCAGTTCCCGTTTGAAGTCGAGAAGGAACCAACGGTAACAGAAGTAGAAGTGCGTGTAATCTCCGTGCGCATGCATCAGCTCGTACAGCTCGCAGTCCAGAATTTGTATCAATGATCTTAGAAAATAAGAAATAAATAGTTATAAAAGTTTTATTTAGAATGATGTTGTTGGTCCTTTGAGCCGGATAAACTCCGGTTAGATATGTTAGATATATTTTACAACTAAAATGTGCACATTGATTACCTCATATCGGCAAAATGAGCATCCATTGCTTGTCCTGATGGGAAATTGTCTTTAGCTCGGTACATTAGCCGCGCAAACAGTGCGTGAGCTACGGCCTCGTCTTTCATTATCACAAGGAGAGGTGCGGCAAGGTCACACATACCTTGCATGTAGCCGATTTCTAAGTGTTCCCATACATATCTACATAAACAGATTTAAAGAAATGTTGTATAGTTATTCCTTCTATAGCTCAGTTAGTTAGCGTCTATATGATATAAACTGTATAAACTATTCTTTGTGTAAGAAATCGACTAACAAGTATAATTTACATACTTGATATAGAATGTAAATAATTGATTGCAAATCAATTATAATTCTGTCAAGATTGCTTCTACAATGCCTAAAGTAGTATTATATTTATACATATGTATGATAAGGTCCGTACTACCAAAAAAGAACTAAAAGAAAAAAAACTATAGTTTTTAGGGATGCTAGCTTTGCGACGTTGACTTACTAAATAAACTTACGTGCACATAATATTTCGCAATTTATCGAGATTCTCATCCGTAAAGAAAGGATAATTTCTGTCACATCTCTGAACATCCTTTTCGATACGATGAAGATTCAGCGCGAAGCTCTCTACAAGTTCATTCTGAAACGAAAGCGTTTCGCATTACATAGTAAATGTTCACAAACAGCATGGGTTTTTGGTGTAGGATCAATATTATCATTACCGAATAGACGCCACCATTAGAACTAGCGGGTGAAACACAATTAGATCGATTATCTGGTCTCGATTCTGGGTCTAGGGTATCAAAGGATGCTCCAGCGGAATGAGATTCTTCACGCAGCACGCCCAATGGACTTCTCGCTGGACTTGCTGGTGCTGCAACATAAAGTTTGAGCTTAGGAAATATAATAGAAAAAACAAATCCTTGATCTTGTTATTTTTAACAGCTATTTTTGTTCTTACAGCTTTCAAACAACTGTCTTTGAATAATGGTAATGATTTACCTGTAGTGCCTCCAGAAGCTGGCGAACCACCAGTAACAGCTAAATCGACAGACGGATTCGTCACAATAACACTATGTGAATGATTTTGACTGGGTTGCGGTGGCTGAATTTCTTCAATAGATTTATTATCGTTCCCATTAAGATTGGCATTTGCGCTATCAACACTGCACAGCAAGCCTCTTCCATCTCCCTTCTGCACAATACCTTCAGCTAATCGCTTTATTTCAGCAATACTTTCTCTCCTTAAATCCGGATTTTCCACAACACTCTTGATACAAACTTCGTCATCATCATCGTCTTGGTCATAAGATATATCTTCACACGTGTCAGTCTCTCCGTTAACTTTAACACCATTTTCTTTTCTTTCTTCGTCTAATTCTAAATTATCAATTTCATCTATACTGGGAGCTCGCGATAGTATCGGTTTTACCTCTTTCTTTTGTTCGTTCTCACTGGGCTCTGGTGATACGACTGGTGGGTTATCTGATATTACGCTGCAGTCATCTTCAAATACCTTAAAATTGATATTGTTTGATAACATAAGTAATCTCTTTTTAATACTACATTTAATAGCTATTATACATAAACAAAATAAATGTATAGTTTAGCTAATTTGGCCCTAGAATCGATATAGAAGACTTATGAAACAATGAACCATCAGGACAAATATTTTAGGTTATCTTTTTAGTATTAAATACTCACTTCACAAGGTTCAATTTCCGGCTTAGGTTTTCCAGATGACTCTGACAACCGAGCAATTGAAGCTGCGGTGGCCTCTCTGTCTTTCTGCCTCACAATAGCTTCAACGCACAGCCATTCAGACATCGTAGTTTCATATTGGCGACGATACGAACAGTCCTGCTCCTGTCTCTCTTGGAATGTCGTGTTGAATCTAAAAAACGAATTGATTGAAAATCCTATATAATAACTACCAAACGATCACGTTTCAAAACATTGTTCATTTAGTGACGATCAAAATACTGAACAGTTTGCATATATTTGAAAACATAAGAAGATGACTTGCTAAGTAAAATACACACTCATAATATCCAAGTAAAAACGGCCACACTTCCTTCCTTATGTCATGCTGTATTCCTCCATAGTACACCAGTCTGTAAACTTCATCTTTATCAGCGATCGCTCCTGTCTCGTCCATCATTGAACGCCACATCTCTTCTGTAAGTCCTCTTTCAGCATCTTCTATGTAACAAATTGAATAACATAAGGCTAAGTAAATTACATATTATTTTTTTACATTTGTAGCGTCTTTGCAAGGTGATTGTATGTAGAAATTACTTCAAAAATGTCTTATATGTTGCTGTCTGGAAGTCTAGTCTACACAAGACATTGATCAGCGAAACGGATTATTATTGTATGGAAACCATGATACTGTTTGTTTAAGAATGACAATAGTGACAGGACAGTACCTCTAGGTATAATATTTGGATTCACGAGCCCACTCAAATGAGTTCGAACCGTAGAAAGATGACGGCAGTAAGCGAGCCAACCATAAAACGCCCGGGATATTATTTGGCGCCGCATCGTACTGCAAACCAATTCAATTGAAGCTGCCTGCAAACAGAATATACATTACTAATATCATGAATCAATGAAGCACTAAGTTACTTTTGAAATGACTACTGCTATAAATGAAATTAAAACCAAAAAAGTCGATAATTATAGTCTTACGCACACACCAAAAGACAGCTCGAACGTATAAATACTGGGAATATTTTTTTGTCTTGTCTATGAAGAATTACATCCTATTATTTATGTTGTTTAACTCACTAAAATAATAAAAATCGTATTTTGTACTTGCTGGTGCATGTTTGGGGTTCTATTTTTTCTGTTATCTTATCTTCACTATACCCATTCAGTGCAATATTTTTTTTTGTAAATGATCAAACACTACATGTACTAGAAACTAGCATCCGGAACAGGTGTATTTTTAATTCAGTAACAACTAACCTGCTCTACGGCTTGATGTATTGTCGGCGGCGGGTTTAGATTGCCGATAATCGGCGGACAATCGACAGACATGGTGCTGGAGTCTGATGATGTAGTGGATGTGGAGGCAAGGGTTCTTCGGGGTGTCCTTGGTGGTGACTGTATTACCCTTTCCAGAAGAGAATGACGCATCGCTGAAACGTTTAAGACGTCGTTTGTTTAGTATTTATTTAAATTAACATAAAATATAATCAGGCACTATGAGCAGGATACAATCTGTCCCTTTCATCAACATAAGCAATGCCTTCGGCCAAGAATCGACTTTGAGACTAATCATAACATCGTCTGTAGTTTATACGAGTAGTACATTTTTAACGATTTAAACCACGGAATATGTTAGTTAAATTGTTTATAATCTATTTTAAGTACGGCCCTGTGTTGTTTGGACACAGTGTGGTCGCGGGGGGACTGTCAAAGTCAAAAATAATTTATTCATGTTGGTAACTAGGTAATTATAAATCACACCATTTAAAACATAACCACTATAAATAGACATTTACTACGAGTAAGTACTCAAATCTTCCATAGTCAAATTTTATGCCAGTATGTAAATAAATGAACTAATACAATTATGGAAGAAATAAATTTCTTGCCAGTAGTTAAAATAAATTAACGAATATATTTCGCGTTTAAAACTGTTAAAATTGTTTTGTTTAAATTGATCGTTGTATTAAATTTCGTCGATTTACCTTCTCTGTCTGCAATAGCGTTATTGACGATACGAAAGACGTAGTCACCAGCCACTTCGTCGAACTCGGGCTCTTCTGCCTCACCGCTTTCACAAAGGCTGGGCATTGGTCGTCTTCTCACTTTGTTCTTACCGAAAACCTAGAAGATTTGGCCTTAAGTAGTTAATACTTACGATATAATCTATACGAATATTATATAGCTGAAGAATTCGTTTGCTTGTATGTTTGTTTGAACGTGCTAATCTCAGGAACAACTGGTTTGAATTGAAAAGTTCTTTTTTGGTAAGGACAGTTATTAATAAAGGCTTTAGACTATAAAACTTCATGCTGTGACCGAGGGGAACGAAGGAACAGTGAGTGAGAAAATTATTCATCTTTAAGGGATTCTTTTGTGTGCGCTGCGTAAACGGTTTGAGATTCCCACAAATATGTGTAAAAGAATGATTTCTCTTTAAAAAATCAAAAAATGTTTCGCTTAGTATATGTCGATCTTTTATGATTACCTTAAAGTTCATTCATCTTTATTATATTAATACTATGCACAGACTTACTTTTCCCGTTCCTCGCTGTGACCAAAGCGGTGGGTCCAATTGACCATGTGGAAGAAGACCCGTCTCCAAATTACTCAGAAATGATAAAAGATGGCCTCCTAAAGAACACGTAAAATTACAATTATAATCTGCATAAACTGTTCGGCTAACGTGAGCGAGAAGAGGTTCTCGGCGTTTCGCCATCAGTCATCACGAACGGCCGGCATCATCAGGAGATGTTACGATTGCTTCTAAGGCTCGAGAGAATCTCTTCTCGCTAACGTCAGCCGAACAGCCCGAAAAACAATGATATGCTGAACGATGGCCGGAAAAGCCTTACACAATTTATAATGAGCTCTAGTTTAGCAAAAAGTAGGAAACTAAAAAGAAAAAATATACCTTTGGGAAAATGTATGGGTGGTCGTTGAACGCCATCCTGTCCAACCAATATTAGTGCATCACTGACTTGTGAGCGATGCACGTGGACATAGACCACCTCCCAGACGCAAACTTGCAGAGACATCGCCCAGTAGATGCTAAAAACACCCATGATATAGAAATACCACAAAATGGCCCGTTTGTATAAATACCACTTTCATACGTAAACGCGAAGTAAATAATCAGAAACCTAACTAAAATTGTAATTTATTAAATTTTACATCAAAACAGGACTTTGAAAACCCTTAACTCTCTTTTATTAATGCCATTGGGTGTACTTCCGTAAAGCGCATACCGCCGATCGATCTGAAATTTGGTATACTTATGTATTTTGACCTCCTAATCACGAATATCATGCCATATCAGGCCAGGAATGCTAGACAGACAACCTCCACGTGGTGCATTCTGGATAACGCGAATACTCTGCGCCATTCGGCCATGCAACCTCCAACGCTTTGACGAACTTGGATCGCTATGGGTAAAAAATTGTTACACACACACACACACACTTTTCGGGAAAAGCTCAAATAGTCTACATTGGTTAGAAATGCGTGATTAGCCACACTGAACGAAAAGAGGTTTTTTCGATTTTCATATTCAAAATGGCGTTTGCGCCAATTTTCGTTATGATATTCGTGATTAGGAGGTCAAAATACATAAGTATACCAAATTTCAGATCGATCGGCGGTATGCGCTTTTCGGAAGTTTATCCATGCCATTATTTTTCAGTAAAATCGGATTTCAATTTTTTTATGTTAAAGGGAGTCAGATATACATGACGTTGGCTTGATGCAAGCTGAAGTACTCCAGCCGTATAGCACTTAAATACGATGTACTGTCAACCTATTTTGGTTTTGGATGTTCGGTTTTTTCATATGTGGTGGTGGTTCATGACTTGGATGAAGTTTCGATTTTCGTACTACTGACACGCACACATTGCTTTCATTGCATTAACGTGCCCATCAAATATTAATAAAGAAACAAATGTTTAAAATGTTGTAACAAGTAGATGATAATGTTATAAAGAGAAGCGCAAAAGATAATTTTGCCCTACCATCTGTTTGAAAATGTGAAGAATAGACATAGGAAAATAATTTCACAAAAAATTGGCAAAATTTAAATAAAATGGCAAATAGACTCGACTCACGTGCATAAAAAATAAATAAAAACAACATACCAATCAACACAAAGCGGTCCAGAACAGAGACGTCTATAGACTGTGCATGGAGCAGTACTGCACAGAACACATCTATTTTGACACGCCGACTCATGCACAAGGTGAGAACGGAGAAGGCTACGCACACAAGCAACTACATACAAGCGAGAAAATGGTCCTTCGAGCCGGATAAAGAATATTCACATTAGGCAAAATTCATGGAATTTAAGCTAGCACAGCAACTAAATTACTTAATTGTAACAGTGAAATCTAATAAATTAAAATTATGTGTAGTGCATAACATTTTGTTTTAGATACGATTCACTATACTTGGACGTGTTATATGATTTGTTTTTAAAGGAACGTTAATATATATAGCTATTTATTGTACCGTTATTCCAATTTTTTATATTATATTATTGTAAGTAGTGGAAACGTTCGGGAATTACGACTCTCCGAACGAATAGTATTTTGGTCTTATGTATAAGTACCTGACTTGTTGAGTTGTTGCGATTGGGATTTCGATCCTCAGTCGTGCATCAGAGTATCTATTTTTGTGTTCTAAAAATATTGACAGGAAGAAGTATGTCTTACGACCAATAAGCTTGATGATACGTATCATCTACAAGTATTTAACAAGGGTAGTATATTATGTTATAGAGGTGATGTAAATGTTGAAGGATAAAATAAAATAAAATTATTACCTTTTATCTATGCCTTCACTTTCTGCATAACCATTCATAAGTTGATTAGGCGTCCATTTTATAACGAGACCCGCAGCAGTTTGATGAAGACTTAAATATCCTGGCATAGGTTCCTCTACGTCTTTCTAAGACGAAATAGAAAAAAAAACATTTTAAAAATGTGAATCATTTGATAATTGAAAGCTCGCTAAAATGTTTTTAATTTACCGGTTGAACCTTCACATTATTCTTTCCATATAGCAAAGTGGCTCGGGAGTTCTGGTGTAAGCTCTCCACGTAATCTTTGGCTGTCGATCCTGCTGCGTTAACAGAACCTGAAATGCAAGTGAATTTTTTACACCCTCATTCAAGGGTGATGCGCGAAACGCTTCACTCAAATCCTGTCTGTTTGCTTTAAACCAAACGAAGATATTTAAGTTATTTCTATAACGTTAACGAGTTACTACAGTAATGGTTTTTGATTTATCTATTGTCCGCTTGTAGCCCAAAACGGGCTTTCAAGTTTGATAATAATTGTAATGTTGTAATGTGTTAAGCCGCAATAGCTAAAACACGGCACTTTTAACGTCTTCGTAACGATATAATGAAAACCCGTTACATTTATATAAAACACTTCAAATGGTTTACAACGTAAAATATACACCTTATCTCTTTTACAAATGATAGTAACTACACTTTACGTTTTACTACGCCTTTCGGGTTCTTTACAGAAGCAGTGATCACCGTAGTTAACTAATATATTTCTTAATTTAAACTAATAAATTTAAACTACAGACAGTTACTATAACTGTAAACGCGAGATGTCCTAAGTTCGCATCCAGGGAAACTTAAATAGAATCGGTCGGGAAGGGCACAGACATCAACTAGGGAGGTCACCTCTTCTACTTCGTTTAAAATCATGTGTTTGCCCGATCCCTAACATAAAAGCAATAGAATTTGTTACTATTTTATTGCACTGTTTTTTGTGTTTGTTTATCTTAAGAATACCAGCATTAACTGTAGCGTTGTCATCTGACGAAGCGTTCAAACTTCTCCTGAAATTCAAAATTGGCCTTCTAACAGAGGGCGGCGTTGTAGTCCCGGCTGACATTCGGTGTCTCTGAACCTAGAATACATGATAGAATAGGAATAAGGCAGACGCACATAACAATTATTTTATATATATTAGTACATTATGATATAAGTGCGTAGGTAAGTGGGAGTGGAAGTGGGAGTGGGAGTTAGATTAAGAGTGATATGAGATGAAAGTGTTGCGGCAAAGTAAAAAAAGTAAAACAAAGATTGGCTGCAATAAATGCGCAATTACATAAATTAATAAACAGCCTAAAAAATTAAAAATTCTACCTCAAGTCACTATTCCACGCGAACGAAGTCGCGGGCACAGCTAGTATGTTATAAAAATGTTTTATTTTTATTTTTAAATTAAGCCTAGACTTGAGATGAAGTGGGTAAGATGCTTTTGTATTCTTAGCAATTTTAATAATGTCTGTTTTAATTTTGCATTTTTACGATAATTAAAACTGAAAAGATCTTATCAATTGTATAAGATTTTCGCAAAAATTTTGGAACTTGGTTTTCGACTTGATGTCAAGAACGGTGATACGTCTCCTGAAAAAAATCTAAATTATTCGGACCGAAAACCCAAGTAGCGTCGAAACAATCCTTCATTAAGTAACGTGTGATGAAATCTGTAACGCAACACGTGTTTCCCTAACTTTGAAACTTAATATTCGCAACATTTCAATATTGAGCCGAGGGAATATTAACATAATAAAATACTTCTTCGCTATTAATTTATCTTATGTACCTACATGCTAACACGCACATGTGGACCGATAGACTAATTATAGTTTTTTAATACCTGCGATTGAAATTCAATATATATCTAATATTTAACATTTTTTCAGGAGTTTTAACAATCTTGTATAGATTGAATAAAAACAAGGACGAGAGAAACACGCGACACAGCGCACCGCGCTGTAGGCTTACCGAATGACAAACTGCTTCAATATAAATTTTCACCAATATGGTTTAAAAATGGTTGACTTCATAATATACGTATGTATACATTTTTTCACGTTTTACTTGCTAAGGCATCAATTAAAATACTTGTAAGCTTCTTATTCTAATAAAAAGTAAAAAATAAATACACATTATAAAATTCATACGTCAATATATAATATAATAAAAATTAAACAACTCGAATGTTTGCTCTAAGACTCTCTTTCGTATTGCATTAATATTAAGTCAAATGTAAATAAATGCATTATGTATTATTATTTTGTTTTGCATATTACTCTCCCGAAAATGAGCCCAAATTTTTTAGTGCGGGCTTTTCAGGAATCAAAAGTATCTAATGTTGTATTTTGATAAAATGATAGGATCATTTTATCAAAATACAACATTACAATTACAATTACATTACAATTAGAAATGTATAACTTTTACGACTTCCTTTACGAGTGTGTTTGGGGGGGTTGTAACTTGTAATAATAAGTAAAAAGACTGTTTTGACGCTTTAACCAATCCACTGATTTTTAATTTATATATGTATGTGTGAGTTTGTAAATGTAAGATTATATGTGGATTAACTATTGTATATGTTATGTGTGGCTATATCTTTAAAACATGCGGTTAGTTTTCTTCATCCTATCACGCATGCCCTTGCATGAACTTATTAACACCTACATTTATCATACTTACTAGTTCGTCAGCGGGTGGGTCCGTCCAGAAACAAGCGGGCGCTTTAGCTTTAGAATATTCCAGGGCGCAAGGACCAACTAGAAGTGAGCTCAAAATGCTGCCATAATCTGGATCTGCTACTAATGCATCTCTCTCATAGTATCTAGTAGCATTATTCACTAGGTGCTCAATGATTTTGGCCAGTTGACGTTCGAACAATGCTATGCGTATCCAGAGATATCTAGAACAACCACAGTTAATATCAACTCCGATAGTAGGTAAAAGTAAACTTTATATACCCTTTAACGTAAAATTCTCACAATTTTCGTTTTAACCCAATAAAACCCCAATAAACCAGTTCGGAAAGGTTTTCGAATATCGATTCGTTTCTAGATTCGAACTCCAAAATTTTAACTTCTATGAATACATTAAAACTTATTAATTATACTTGTTTTTTAATGATAGAACATTTTTAAAACTCAATTAATTTATAATAATCATATTATAACATATTGTATAGTAAATAATTTATTGTAGCCGATTCTCTTTTGTCAAAGGGAGACTGAACATCTTGTTTCCGCTTAGAAACAAGGTAAAATGTACACGAAATGTATGTGACGCAAACGGGCTGGTACTTCCTCATCTTTAGACTGTAGTTTCTATAAATTTTTTTTGGAACATAGACACAGTGTCCGTGTTTAATTGCTAATAGATATATTGTCGTGTATAGTGTTGTTTTTTATGATCGAGTAGGACAGAAAAGCAAAAGATTCACTTAATCGTAGATAAATTACCCCAGCCACATGAAATCTAAACAAGATGTCGACCAATTTTAGAAGCTTTGGATATTCGGAAACCAAGACTGAACCCAACACTCGTTTTTTCATCTGTGGACGGCGGTTCGTGACCTGGACTGTATCTAGATTTCTGGGCTACCGAATTCGTTTCTAGAAAGTTTATGGAAATTAATTGAAAATATGATGGATTCCTCGGGTGATCAAACATTTAGAATAGTTCTTCTTGAATTGAGAACTGGTAGTAAATGTGAAGTGTACCTGACCATTAGCCATATAACTACCATTTAACCAACGTGCCCGTTGACCTTGCCATTTGAGAGGTCACTTAGTATTGCCACAGTTGAGTGCTCACAAATAGAAGGCAGTCAAACTTCGAAAGCTTTCAGATCTAAACAATGACATTTCCTCACCCACCCGCATAAAAATCCAATGAAACGTAATTCCCATTGTTCATTTACTAGTGTAATAAAGTTACGTTACTGTTCAGCGATAGTATTAGATGTAAATCAAAATTGTCAAACGTTTTAGAAATAATTTGATGTGTTAATAGTTTAATTTGTTTGAAGAGACAATAATAGCATTTGGGGATTTATTAAATAACTTTATTATTAAAATTTAACTCATACGAAAGTTTGGAGGTATTTTATGAAATACATATTATGATCGAAAACTCAGACAGACTTTATTAATTAAACTGTCAACTTTATTCGCTTAGTTCTAGTTATGTGAGTCTCACTCGATCGCGTTAATATTAATTTAAAAACGGTTCTAAATTGAAAAAAAATTACGACTCGGCCAGGAGTTTAGCCGGCATCCTCAGCGTTCCGTGCTTTTGTTTTAAGCAATTAAGCTACCCTGAAGTAAGAGTAAGTGAAGTAAAGTTTTCATTTATAGTATCCCTGAAAATAATATAATATTAATACTACTGCTAAATATACTAATATATGTGTGAAATCCCGTTTCCCCCTCGTGGGGCATGGGGCGAACACATTTCTGTTGTCCGTTTCACTGATCCGTTCTTTAACAGGCAAGTAGTTGATCAGACTTCTGTGCCCTGCCCGAGCAAAACATTTTTTTTTTTCACCAGGACCTCTCGCGCTTAACGAAATGCTAGGCGACGTTTAACCATTTGGCGACAGAGGCGGTCATATTGATATGTAATACTACTAAAATAATATAATATTATCGGTTTGTGCACGATATATTAATATGAATAGCTTTTCAGGAAATTTACTTATTTATTATCTATTCAATATGCAGAACTTGTGAGTATTACTTGACAAACAAAATTCGGACATCCTACTTTTAAAATACAATACTATTGTAGATGCCTATAACCATTGACCCTCAGATTGTTATAATTAGTCTGTTTTCTATACCCATTCTTTTATTAGTAGCCGAACATAGTGAGGAAAAACAACTCTTATAAAATGCTGAGTAGTTACAAGAAATAAATGTCTGTAATTTACGCGAGTAGTATACCTTTAAATACAATACTTTTAATAACGCGAAATATATTTGTTGTTTATTTATAATAAATATAACCTATTTTCACTTAATTAAACTATGGCCCGACGTTTCGGATGCTATACATCAGCTGCGGCCACGGGGTAACGAAACTGTAAGCCCCTTACGTATTTTTATATAATTTAATGTTTATTAAAATTATATTGCAAATATCTTCATTCTTGATATATTAGAAAAAGGGAAAATGCATTATTTTTTGTAAGTAAGTAAATAAAACTTACTTTAATAAAGTGATGTTGCAATATCAAAGTGCTTTCAAGACTACATATTGATTCTACATCAGCTTCGTTATTGAAACGTGTACGTTATAACAGTGAAAAGCTTTCAAAGGTATAATAAGTTACACAAGTTCAACGCCACAATACCATGTTGGCCGTGATTATTTGGACCTGTCAAAAGCATAGATTCTACTGAAAGATTGTAATATCGACCCTTCAGTTAACTTCAAAGAGCCAACGTCTTTGTAGTAATATTTTTATACGGAACTAAATACCTTCGGCCCAAATATTTGCTACTAGGAGCAAATCTCTATTAACTATTATGTATGTTTTGATATGTGTTTAGTTACTATGTTTAGTGTATAAATACATATATATTGTATGGTATGATATCCAACATTTTTTTCAATCAAGTTATAATTTACCTGAAAAATGTAGGATTTCGTATGGAAATCTCGATAATAAGTGGGTGGTAGGAATATCGACATTTCTTCCGGGTCATGAACCACCGTCCACAGATGAAAAAAAATCGCGTTTCATTTTCACTCTGTGGATTTCCGAATATTCAAAAAAAAAGTCGTCGACCTACAGCGCATTTTAGTATTAGATGTTATATCGTTGGGATATTTCATTTTGCAAAAAGAGTACTTATCTTTCTCCTCTATCATAAAAAAATCTATGGAAGGAGCAGGAGTAGTCATAAGACTACATAATAAAAAAGTAAGTAATTAAAAAAATAATATTCATAAAACTAACGCCCAAAAGCTTAAATCTTAAAAACTAAAACCGCTAGATAAACTACAGACAATATAATTAATAACTAAGATAATAATGTAAAAAAAAACTTAAACCACAGATTCGTCAAAATCATTTTTAGTCTCAAAATACAGAATATATTGCATTATCTGTGGGATGCGTGCCATCATTCGCTCAACGAAAGAATACTATTTTGAACGTTCATTGGAACAGAGCGAATCTACATCCATTTACATCACAATAATCGCATTAATTAGTTAGCGTCCTTGCCGGAGCTAGATGAAGGCAAAACGATTTTCCAGCGTCGCATCTTACCGCAAATTTAATTTTACCAATCAATTTCACGGCGTTTCCTATATTACTCGTGATTTATTACGATTAATGTTATTACAGAAGATATTAGGTGTGTATAATAGAATTTGGATTATGGGAATAACTGGTTCTTAGACAGAGTATACCTTTAAGTGTGATGTGCAGTATTTTGAAAAGGTTACTGAGAAAAATGCGATAAGAAAAATTTAACATTTTGTTAATATTATTTTTATTTAAAGGTCTAAAAAACTTTAACTAATAAATATGCATACACGGTATGCAAATAAAGTGTTTAATAATCATTGCAAATAAACTATTACTATAAACGATTATAATCAGTCACAATTATTTTGTACAATTATGTCAGACATATAAAAAATATTCTATAATACCAACGTCATTCCTATTGCAATTACAACGTTTTTCACACTTATTGTTTGCATCTCTAATTAAATACAGTAGAAACAACGGCCCGAAAATGATAAGTTAAATCACAGATAAATTAAACATGTATCAATTTTTTTTTAATTTTACACATTTTTGTGCTGTTTCTCTGACCAATTGAGCTACTGTGTCACTACACGTCATCGTCGAATTTTCTCAACTTATTGATACAAGCACCACGCGCGCCGCTCAATCACAGATTATTTATTTCCAAGATAAAACAGATAATTATAATACATATAAATATAATGTATATCTAAGTACCATCGACAATAATTACTTTTCCATCTCAAAGAAGTTTTATACCCTCGTAAACGGAAAGAACACGCCACGAATGATCGCTTAATTAGATATCCCGACGCGAAAGAGTGGAACAGGAAATGAAGACTGGGTCAAATAAATCCAATATCCCGCTTAATAAAGAGAGTTCAAAGTGCCTTCCCGTATAAAGAAGTAAGACTTCGAAGTAACCTAAGTAGAACTAAGATCGTACAAAACATATTTATAAAGGACTAACTGACACTCATGAGTTTGACCGCGACTTGTCTTGCTTATTAGTTAATCTTAAAATAATACACATATCCTGTCGCTGACATTGTTTAGAACAGATTTAGAAAGATCATTGTTTCGTCCATTTTTTTGTTTTTTTTGGAAACGAAACGAAAACCAGATCATGATGAATCAAGATGAATAATTTTTCCCGTTTTTAACATATTTTCTCTTTTTTCTTTTCTCCCATTATATATACAGCCTAAAGCCTTCCTCGGTAAATGATATATTTAACACAAGATTTTTTAAATTCGAACCGGTAGTTCCCTAGATTAGCTGTTCAAACAAACAAACTCTTAATCTTTATATATTAGTACAGATTGTATTCTAAGAAACCTTATATACAGGTGACATCTGTATATACTTCTAATCTTTTTGTAAGCAGTTTATAAATGATGTCAGGGATACAAAATCTTACCTTGAAGTTGGGGGCGGCTGTGACGCAAGTAGGGAACCAGAGCCACGTTTATTTAGCGGCGGTCTTGGAGCCGAAGGTCTACGTTCTACACCAGAGGCTGAACGAGTGGCCGGAGCCCCTTCTGCTGATAGCACTCTCGCGGATACCAACGCGGCCTCTGGACAGTGCTGTGACAAAAGTCAATACATTAAAAAATATGGACAAATATATCTCTGAGAACCAAACAATCATTTATTTAAATAAAACCCATTTAACGGTTTAAAACGCGAAATATATTAGTTATCGTATTTATTTATTTTAACTACGTCCTGAAGTTTCTAATGCTTTGCAGCAGCCGTGGTCAAGAGAGGAATGAAGTTAGAGGGTGTCTCTATCAAACAAAACACCTACTACTAATATTTTAAAAATTTCATCTCCCCTTCTGCAACACAAACGTGGGCCAAGTTAAAAATCATTTTCAAATAAGTTTAACTAATATATCGCGTTTTAAACCGTTAAAGTGTTTTATTTAAATTTGGAGTTGTCTGGAAATTGGATATTAAATGTGGTATTGAAATTCCTCGAAGCCCGACACACATACATTTTTTGGGTTAATACTTGTATTAGAAAATCAACACGGTTTCCGTCTATTATTTTCTAATACAATATTAACCCAAAAAACATCTTTACTATTTCACCAACATTCAATATAACTATCTATATTTTTACCTATCAAATCAACTAAAATCTATCTATCTAAATACTGTCTATATTTACGCAATATACACATTTAAATAAAACACTTCAACGGTATAAAACGCGAGATATATATATATATCGCGTTTTTAACCGTTTAACGTGTTTTATTTAAATCTATCTATCTATCAAAAAAGTAAGTAAAGAACATATAACAAATATATCTCTACTTAAAAAAATAGACATAGTTAAGATTGATAAGAGCTGTTTTAACTCGCTAGTTAAACTTAGCAATGTAGCCTAACATTGTTTACCCTCATAATTACAGAAATTAACAAGAGTGGCAAAGCGGCGTAATAAAACATAGGCACTCCAACAAATACGAAAGCGGCTACAATGTTTAAAGCCAACTTTTATTACGAGTGATACTGCGTCGCACTTTTACGATGTATTTTCCGAGAGACGTAACTATTTTACAGGTTTCAAACACGTTTAGTTGATAATAAACTTTCGTTGGCGACAAGATTTTACGTGTATTCAGATTCAGAAACTTTTAAATTTTCGTCTATTCTTAATTTTAGCGAGGAAATTTATTGATTGTGTAAATAATTTCTCTAGACGATTTTCTTATTGATACAGGAGCACAGATATGGCACGTGGTTCACTTGATGTTAGGTGATATACACCGGCTTATAGCATCTAACCAAGATGCGCTGTCGACTTATTTTGGCTTTGGATATTCGGAAATCCACAGACCGAATCTGAAACGCGATTAAGTTTCACGGGTATTCCATCAGTGGACGGTGGTTCGTGACCCGGATAGAATTTCTATATTCCTACCACTCATTCAATATCCAGATTTCTAGATGAAGTGCAGCATGTTTCAGAAAAATCATAAATTGAAACTTTTAAACATGATGGACCTGGTGGAAGGCCGAACCCACGACCCGTTTGTTGATCATTAACCATACATGCCTAAAAATATACAGAACAACTAGTTTTGACTATAAAATCTCATAACGTGGTTATTTGACAACTTTATTATTTTACACATTGCACACAACGGCTGCATATAAATTAAAATATATTGTGGACTTAAAAATAAAATTCCATGACTCGGCCGAGATTTGAACTGCCATCCAGAGCGATCCGTGTTGATGGAGCTATCGAGTCTCGCCTGCCATCAAAATTCTGTGAGGCTGTGACATTGTGAACTGTGAATGCCGGTTCAAATCCCGCCCATGTCATGTAAAATAGATTTTTAATTAATTTAGATTCATTTGAATTATTTACATATTTTATTGAGGTCAGCCTAACCCTTTTAGAAACATATCACCATGTTTTACTGAGAGTTAGAACTAGGACCTCTTTCCCGACGCAATACATGTAACTACTGACTACTGGGGCGGGTGAAAATACATAACAATTACGATATTGCAAAATCCCAGTAAATAATTCGAGCAGTGAAGCCCCACGAACTTTTGCTGATTAGTTTTTGCCTCTTTGCGAATCACGCTCCCCTATCGTGACAGACACATATTCTTATTTAGAAAATAAACGGGTTCTATACAGTTTCCAGGAATTACATAGAAAAGAAAAGAGAGACTCCACTGTTTAGGTTGAATAAAACAATTCAAATCATTTGTGTTATGACATCTTTATCAGTTTCAAATTTACTAACAAGGGATGCAGGGGGAACGAGAAATTGGCAAGGAACTCGCCACCATTAATTTCACCAAATTCAGTAATAAAATTTCTTAAGTTTTTAAAATTGCATCTTACGCGGGTTCCTTCAAACCCTTTGGTTATTATTTAAATAGTAATTTCCGAATATGATAATTAAAATACAGTCTGTAGTTTAGACGAGTAGTACACATTTTAAAAAAACACTTTAACGGTTTAAAACGCAATATATATGAGTAAAACTTATTTAAAAATTATTTTATGTTTCAAAATTAACTTGATTCGGGTAGACTTGAACCAGCATCGTCAGCGTTTCGGGCTGTTGTTCTACCCTCAATTAGAGCCTACTAGCCTAAGGTAAAGCCAGTACAAGTCAAAAAAAAATTTCAATTTACTTTAGATTTTAAAATTATATAGTGCCTTCATGTGCAAAAAATGTAATATGTAAAAAATATTAAAGGTTTTAAAATTATTTTATGGCTCGACGTTTCGGGTGCTTTGCAGCAGCCGTGGTTACGGGATGACATTCGATCGCGTTCGAAACCGTTTTTTAATTGTTTTATTTAAATATGGTAATTGTTAAGACGTTAATTATTTTACCACAGACGTCAAGAGTGACATTAGTACAATTACATAACAAAATTCTAACTAGAAATGAAGTTGAAAGTTTTATAAATTTTTTTCTAAGCCGCGAACCGAAATGGTAAAAGTTCACTTGGATTAAGAGCATTTTAAAACTTGCTCATGAGAAGGCTTCAGCTTTTTCCGAGCTTTTTGCAATTTAAAAGTCTCCATTAAGTTCCAGTTCACTTCGCGAGTTCCTATTTGAGATTGAACTTTCACATTACTTTGAAATCCGATAAACAATTATTCAGTAGTATTCCGAGCCGTACTTTTTATTATCTGTCTAGCTTTTATTAATAGAGAAAGGTTTTAAATGGAAGTTTTTTTAATCGTATTGCGCAGAGTTTCCAACGCATTTGAAATTTCTGGAAAAAACCTCAACTTTTTGTCTAGATTCTCAGATCTGTGACTTATTTCAGAAAATTTGCTTACCTGATGAACCTAGTGTGAATCTAACTCAAGACTAGTAGACCCATTGCTACCATAGAAATAATGAACCAATCGAATAGTTTTAAACGGTTAAAATAAAGTAATACGGTAAGTCGTTTTGAAAAGATAGGCAAATGGACAAGGCCTTTGCTAACTTAGATATATTCTTTAAATTGTTCCAGAAATAAAACATTTTCAATTATAGGAGCTACCTCTAAGAGGTTTAGGGGGAGGAAAGTTAAGTGTTTCACTCAGCCGTATAATATCGCCATTAGAAGAAAAGGTAGATTACCTACAATTCTATCTAGGTATCTACGTGACTTACCCGTACAACACGAATGTCTCAGAGATAGAATTGGAAAAGCGTATTTGCTTTAGACGATTGCTTTTGTTTTTTTAACAAAATAAAATGCATACGATTGTCAAGGACTCTCTGTAAAATTGGGTATAAGTCAATGTGCTGTGTAATAACAATTTACTTTTCCATTTAGAAAATGGAGTATTAATAAAAGACTCAAATAAAAAAAACAACAAAGAAATACAAACATAATAAACAGTTCCACCAGGTCAATCGTCCATAGAGCACAGATCAATATTTTGGTAGACCCCAAATATTTCCGAACTCACGAATATAACCCATGTGCTTATAACTCAAGAGTTATAAGATCAACAGATCTCAACATTTCATACATATATTTTACAAAAGTAATTATAATCTGTAATTAATTCTACAAAAGCATAGAACATATTTTTGTATAGACTATAAATCAATTTATGTTTCGTTATCTGTGGACAATAGAGCACAGAGTATAGTAATATAGGTAACTTAATAATCTCATCTCGCACTCATATCGTTATTGTAGACCCTCGAAGACCGAACAAAATGAAATCATATCAATCGGCCATTTATAACTAGGTAAATAAACCACTGCTCGATTTGACGTCGGTCCGAGCTTTCGAAATTGCTTTCGCATTTCTTTTGTTTATTGAAAATCCACAAATTCCCCAATGTAGAAATGTTTCATTGTATCCAAGCTCGGCTCTTGCACGTGTTTCGATCTATTTAAAAGAAATTATTCTTAATGGACTTCTATGGCCACTGTGTCGATGAATGAACATTTTCCACTAACTGACAGGTAGACAAGCATTCATGGCACCTGGATTATATTTCGTTATTTTATTGTATATCGATTGTGGTTGGACAGGGCTCAGAAGTTTTACAAAGAAGTTAAAGAAGAACGTATGATGAGAAACTAGCATGGAGTTCACAGGAGCCACATAACATCAAAACTTTTGGCTTTGGAGAATCGGAAATCCACGGACTGTTTTATAAGTTTACGTATTTAATCCGTTCGTGAACCGACAAATGATATTCCTATGAGTAGTTGCTGAATACACATAATTTTAATATATTGATGTTAATATTTTTAAAGTAATATGTGTATTAAAATTAAAAACATTACTTATCTCGCCTTTGATCTTTCAATTTAATTATGTTAATGTTGTTTGTTAACTTCTTTATAAAATTTGTTTTATTTTGTCTAGTTTTTATAGAATCAATTCCTTTCGTTTTTATTTATCATTGCTATATAACATGTAACTAATTGTAGGTATATAACTTTAAAACTATTTGTGAACCTGAGGATGCATTTAAACTTTATTGATTCATTGTTATTCGTTAGCTATATGTGTAATATATCTGTTTGTTTCCTTTTTACTAAATAAATAATTATGATTTACGTTACATCAGATAAACACGTACCAACAAAAACGAAATTATGAGGGTTTGAGATCAGCGTGACGCCAGAATCGATAACCGACCACCCGCATGTTACGTTAGATGGATAAGGGCCCATTTACACCAAGCCTTGAACCACAATAAGTAAAAAGTACAGCACAACAAAATATGTATGAAAAGACGCACTGACATTCGGCCGCCACACAACCGTTGCCGTTAGCCGAACAATAAATCGCTTGGTACGTATAGGCCCTTAAATTTGAGGCGGACTTCCTACTGCCTATTATTAAGTAAGGATTTATTAAATATATACTAATATTACAAAGCTGAAGAGATCATTTGTTTGCACGCGCTAATCTCAGGAACTACTGGTTCAAATTGAAAATTCTTCTGACTTGGGAGAGCATTTATCGAGGAAGGCTTTAGGCCACAAAACATGAAGCTGCAACTAATAGAAGCGAAGAGACTAAGTGAAATTTGGAAAAAAGTATTTCATGCCGAAGACGTCGCGGACACAGCTAGTATAATGGATCTTATATTTTGCATAAGACTTTAATAAGCGACACTTAAAACGTTTAAATTAAAGGGATATTTATATTTGTCATCGTGGCAATGAAATTGAATGTTGAAGTTTATACGAAGTACATGTAATAAGAGAGTAAGGACGATCTTGAAAGGTCTGTTTATCCAAGTTATAATAATATATAACATTATACCATTGTAGAGTTAGGACAAATAGAACTATACATATAATCGTATATAAATATAATCTACATTCATTATACGCGGTCCTGATCAAATAAAATCCGAGATTGAATTACGCCAGTGTAGCCCCTGGGAATTTTTCTATAACATGGTATGAAACCATAAAACTTTTATCGTATAGAAATAATGTTTTATCTTACGTAGAATTTCTACGTCTTCTGATAACTACATTGTTATATATGTACATCGATACTGGTAGCGGAAGATTATATAAAAAAAAAAATAGATTCCCAAGGAGATATCTTCAATTCAATTTTTTTCGACTTCTCTGGTCTGACGAACCATAATAGCATTTTCCGAGATTCCAACATAATTAATCGATACATTTAGCTATCGGAAAATCTAGTTAAAGTATAATACTGCAAGTCAGACTAATTCTAATATTATGATCCCTAAGATTAAAAACATATTGTTAATCATTACGGATCTCTGTAAGATCCCGAAATATAAATGTCATCTTTTAAGCTGTTTCTCAAGTTCCCTGAACCCTGAACGCTGAATGTTAGGTAATTTGGGTCATTCTAATGCTCGATTAGCAATTTTTTTAGAGTACTGTCTCTAGTTTACGCATGTACCTATACATTTAAATAAATCATTTTTAATGTTGCGAGAGAGGTGCATGTATCAATAAGTTGAAAAAAAATCGTCTATGTAGGACACGGTACCTCAATTGGTTAGAGGCAGCAGAACGGAACGCTAACGACACTTGTTAAAATCCTACCCGAGTCGAAAATTTGTTCAATTTATTTACGATTTTAAATCCACTTTTAACGGATCAAAGTGCAAATTGTATTAGTTAGCTTTACAAAATGAATTGTATTAGTAACATTACAAAATAAGACAGTTTTTCAGCTGCCAAATTTAAAAACTGAAGAGTATTGTTTGAAAATAATTAAAACATAACTTACTTAAAAATTACTTTAAATGAATCATTTTGGTCTACAGAATCTAATATATTATCTATTTTATTAGAAACAAAATTCATCCTTAGAACACAGCTTCAGTAATTATTACAGAAACATTAATTACAAGAAAATTGTTCCTCCACCTGAGGAAATTATAAACGGGCAATTTGTTATACTAATGGACTATTTTGAATGCTTCACGGCGAAATATTTTATTAACAACATGAATAATATTCCCTTTGAACGTTATGAGATAGCTTTCATTAATTTATTCCTTTTGTTTTAGGGGACACCTTCTATTTGTAACTCAGTTAAAAATACCATAACTAACAACAGCGGTGGATTATTAATTCTAATATATAGCCCATAATCTTTTTTCTTTGTTTATTTGAACGGGCTCAGCTCAGAAATTACTGGTTTGAATTGAAAAAAATATTTTTGTATTAATTAGATCATTTAGAGGAAGGCTAGAGGTAGAGAGAAACGTGAGAAATGTGTAAACCCCCCACGGTCGTTGCGTGGTGCGAAAACTGTTTAGGATACAAAAAATATGTCTCTTAAAGGTCTAAATGTCCACAATAGAATAAGTCTATCTCTTAAGATTAGCTCGTAAGGACAGACAAGAAGAGTAGGTTTGCAATACAATTTTTGATGTCAAAAGTAAGTATTCTACGCAGGCAAAGTCACACGGGATACTGGGACAGCCAGTATCTTGTAAAAAAAAAAATTTTCAGAAGATTTGAACCAATTAGGGCGTTTCAAACTAAAAAATGTGTATATGCAGTATTTACTCGCTGCATAGCATGTCTATTTACCTTAGCAATCTTGTGCAAGAGGGCGGTAGTGGAGCTTGTCTTGAAGAGGCCGAGCGCTCTACGCCGTAGCCCCTGTCCCAAGCAAGCTTCTACAGCCCCACATAACGCTGTCACACCACCGCTTTCTTCGTGAACGAATTTGCGTGTTACGGCCTGTTAAAATATACAATTAATTAATTAAAAGCTAATAAATGCACATCTACGTATAATATTATAAAGCTGAAGAGTTTGTTTGTTTGATTGCACTAACCTTAGGAACTACGATTCGTGCTACCTACTGCTCTATCGCTTGTTATTTAGTTTTTTTTTAATTTGTCTAAAGTCTAGGTTTTTTTATTTGAAAACTACTTGGAGGAGGTTCCACCACTCCCGTACCTCAGACATGACGTTGCATAAGCCATGGCTATTAATATTAATTTAATTGCATTAGAAAAAAGGCATGGTGGGTTTCTTGAACCCTTTCTCCTAAAACCGTGGAAACCTATGTCCAAATACGGGTTAGATGTCCATACGTTAAAACAAAGTACAGAATTAAAGAATCGCTATAGGTATAATCGTTATTTCTCTCGGGTAAGAAAAGTTGCGATGAAGATATAAAATAAAACCTCAAGGCGCTTAGAAATGGCTACTTGTTAAAGAAATGTAAACTATAATAAATAATCTTCTTTTGCGATGCCTAGGTCTTAGAAAACCGAGTACATTCTAGGAAATTAAATTCCTATGTTAGTAAGGTAACAAAGCGAGTTTGTTATTTGAGATGCGATATTATATTTCTCTGTTTTTAAAATAAGTTTAATTCCTTTTATACTTAACGAAAATATTTAGTATGTATAACAAATATGAAGAACTTACAGACGTAAATTAATGTTGCCAAAAACCCCATTTTCAGTTAGGATTTTTTAGAGCCAAATTGAAAATCATTAGTATCTACCTCAAAAAATAAAACAAAATATTATTTAAAAAAGTTTTTTTTTAATTTACAAAATACATTATTTAAAACGCAATGTGAAAGCTGGAGAAGTAATTATTGAGACTTATATATTTTTTACATGTTATTGCACATGATGGCATTATATAAATTGAAAATCTATCAAGATTGAAAAAAAGATTACGACATCAGAGGGACTTAAATCCAATAAATTAAATCTAAATAGATTTTTGTTTTTTCCGCCAAAGAGTCAGTTCGCTTATCGACGCAGGAAAATAAGAAACTATCACTATAAAGATACGGTTATATCCATAACCGAATCTTTCAAGTTAAAAAATATCCATCATACAATATTAAATAATTTTAGAAACCTGTTTATAATCATAATTGCATCATACATCAAGCCAACAATTCACAAATACGGCCGTACCTGTTCTCGTATCACGTGTCATATATAAAACAAATAGGACGAAACGTATCTAAATAAGAACAAATAAATATGTGGGTCAAACAAACAATATTTTACGTAGCCGAACCAAATGTAATTTGCTACACCCTTGAGTGTCCTAGTAAAACATTCTGAGCCAGTATCAAAAGAAAACTTAAATTGTTTTTTTTCTTAGGAAACGCCATGCAAAGCGGCCATTTTGCAAAACGCGGCCATTTTGCACTAAGTGGCAATTTTTGCACAAAGCGGCCATTTTGTAAAGCTACTTGAATTTTCGAGGTATCCGACCGTCGTAATTGTGGAATGGTTCCCGACATTTCACCGTGATGAGATCAAGAGTAGATGGCATTATCGGGTTGAGTGTTTCTTGCCTAAGCAAAGACTGACGACTGTCTCAGTCTTCGCACCCAACGTTGAAAATACCAGCGGTCAAACAGCTTGCCCACACAAGTAACCCTTGTATTATTTAAATTCTTATTTGTTTAAATCTATACTAATATTGTACAAAACAGTAGAAATAGGGAAAATTGTTCATCGTTTAGTGTTTTGTTTTGTCGTTTGGTTCTAATGTTTGTTTTGTGCTTGCGCTGTAAAAATTCGTTGAAGATACCCAAAAAAATGTATGAAATAATTATTCTTTTTAAATAATCTAAAAAAACGACCTCCCAGGATATTGTTTTCTTTTAAGTTTAACTTGCAACAAACGTTTTTACGCTAACCAAACTTTGTCGAAATAATTAATATGGCAAAGAATTGCCAGGTCAGCCAGTGTTTCAAATTATTATTTTTATTGCCACATTCACGGCTGCATACTTCATAATATATAGAATGGTACTTTCTTTCTTTTTCATGTACTGTGGTCGCGGTCCACCATGTGGTGTGGTAAGCTGTGGTCTTTCGAGTCGAATATCGAAATTATCGGAGCAGCAAATAACTATTAACTTTATCTCACCTCTTCCATTAACTGCTTGACTTCCTTCTTCACAGCGGCAATTAGACGATCCTTTTGTTCTGAAGTGGGATCTGGGTTCATTTCGGTAATCGACATATCTTCTGAGCCAACGTCTACAACTAAGAAAAAATATACAATTCATTATTATTCAAAAAGTAAATTAAAAACAAAAACGTTTTGACGGGCACCGTGGTCCATTGCTACAATGTAAGGTTAATAACAATAATCGACTGTTGGTAAGTGTTTAAGGTAAGTAACATGTTTTTAAATTATTTTTATTTTAATAGATGCCAGGATTATCGAAATTCCGCACAGATCGCGAACCACCGCCCACAGATAAAAACCGTAAGGCGTTATCGTAGTTCGGTTTAAGCTCGAATGTCAAAAGCTAAAATAGATTGACAGCGCATCTGGTATAGATGTTGTTTGGCAAACTAAACTATTGTCCATTTACAACGGGAACGTCATCAAATGAAGGGAAAAGAAGAACACGTAGTTGGGCTTTTTCAATCAAGTGAACCTTACTTCAAGTTAAATGTCATCTGTCATAAAAAGGCGCGAAACACAGATGATACTCGATGTATGCTGCGACAGACATACAAAGTACATAGATAGGTACTTGATTTATAGTTTATTTGGTACTCCTACAGCCTAATAATACATACATGGCTAAAATACTTAAAACTTAACATAAGCCAATAAAGGATTACACAATTCAGAAAATTATGTAGGATTAAAAACACAAAGAAGTAAACTTAAGATTTTTTACAACAAATTAAGAAGGCCAAACTTAACGACAAGAGGGCAGATAATTAATTGAGGAATGATATCTCTAAATTATTGTATTTAGTTTTAACTCACTTTGTAGACTTTATGTAATAGCACGGTAATCCATTAAAATAAACTCTACTCTTTTTATAATAAACTGTACTTTAACTTTTGAACTACGAGTACAGAGTGTTTGATTGTAAATAACCAAGTACATTAGTAATGCACAGTATAGTCCGTAGTACACATTTGAATAAGACACTTTAAACTACAGTACTTTTTACTATGTGTAACCAATGTAGACGATCTTAGTAGTAGAAGTCCGTTTATTCTTTTATAAGCATGCTATTTGAATTGGATATATTATTTTATTGTAGTCTGGATTTTAAGATAAGCACAATAAGATTCTCAATCTCCTTTCAACTAACGAAAGTAATATTTAATTTAAATAAAATTTAACGGTTTAAACGCGAAATTAGTTAACTTATTCAGAAATTATTTTAACTACGGGCCGTTGTTTCAGATGCTGTGGAGCCGCCGCGGTCACGCAGAGATTGGAGATAAAGAATGTCTAATGTCAAAGTCGAATCTACTAAGATAGCAAATTTTAATTAACTAAATAAAATAATTTATTAATTTCGTGTTTTAAAACTTTAAAAGTGTTTTTTATTAAAGTAATGCAAACTTAAAAATGGTTAGTTATTTGCGTTAGTGTTACAAACTGTTTCAATGTTAATCGGTTTCCGTTAGATAAGCGAAAAATACATGTCACGAGCTATTCGTCCTGTTCATTTTCTAAACTAGTGTATAATACAGCTTAAAAAATCGATAAATAAAAGCGTAATCTTGCTGTCTACTCGCGTATAAATAAGTCGTTAAAATGTAAATGACACTCAAATATCGATCAGTTTTATTACGATTCAATCGAGATGGGCTTTATTTGTCTATTATTTGCGTTTAGACTTGCAAATAAATTGAACAGATAGTAGCTATTTGTAAACGCTTTGCAATCAAGATTTATTTTATTTAAAGGAACTATTGTCTGTATTTTACACCAGTAGTATAGTAATCATAAACAGTGTATAAAATTTAAAAAAAAATACTGTTTTCAACGGCTGCAGCAAAGTTCTCGACACGTTGCGTCAGATCGTAGTTAAAATAACTATTCATTACATTTCGCGTTTTAAACAGTATAGTGTTTTATTTAAAAAAGGACAATTAGTATGACTGCTGGTCTGCGCCTGACCGAAACGATTCATCCTTATTTCCGGGAATCAAACGATGACCTCTCGTGATCAATGCAATGCTACGTACTATGTTACAATAAGCTATAATTGATCCATGCAGACAGTTTTCTAGGTTTGCATTGAAGATCATTAATTTAATTTCGCCATACTAAAATACAGTCTTTAGTTTACGTGAGTAGTACATATTAAAATAAAACACTTAAACAGTTTAAAACTCGATATGTATTAGTTAAACGTATTTGAAATCATTTTAACTACTGTCCGACGTTTCGGATGCTTTCAGAGTAGTAGTTTGCAGAGTAGAATTTAAACGTGGCTCAATATCTAGAACGAAAAAATATTCATTTTATTTTCTATTGGATCGTATACTTGAAACCATTTGTTTTGTCTATTGTTTTTTTGTGCCCAAATGTATTGTTGTTTTAAAAATTGTTTGAAAATTATTTTTAACTAGGCCCGACGTTTCGGATGCTTTGCAGCAGCTGTGGTCACGGGGAGACGCAGACTGCTGCAAAGCATCTGAATCGTCGGGCCGTAGTTAAACTAACTAAAATACGGTCTATTATTAAATATCAATCTTCATTTTAACATGTGTTTTTAGTAAAAGAGACAGGAGAAAATATTGAGCTTCAATTAAGAGTTTATTTGAAAAGTTTTCCATTAGGAAAGCGGAAAAGTAATTCGCGTCGTTGACGAGGAACTCAATCAAGTGCGGCAGGCGGCTGTGGTAAGGTGCCTATAAATACGAAGGTGACAACTTGTAAAACTTTTAATTTATAACGACAATTTCTTTATTGCGGTTGTGAGATCAATAGATAAGGTACAGAAATATGTCTGCCATATCAATACTAATGTATAAAGCTGGAGTATATCATTGTTTTTCTGGCTGTTCGGCCGACATAAGCGAGAAGTTGTCGACATTTCGCCATCACGAGCGGGTGGCATCATCAGATGGTGTTAGCTCCTCGATTTCTCAAAGAATTAATATGCCGAACGATGGCCGTGAATGCCTTACACAATTAATTAAAGCTGAAGTATTTGTTTGTTTGAACGCGCTAATCTCCGGAACTACTGTTTTGAATTAAAACAATACTTTTGTAATGTTTAGAGCATTTACGAGTATAAAGGAATGCTATTAAACATTGCCATGCTACAAAAAAGAGCAGAGAAACTGTGGTAAATGTGGAAAATACGGATACGGAAATTTCGTCCGGTTCACGAACCACCGTCCACAGATAAAAAGAACCGTTAAGTGTAATCGCGTTTCCGTGTCAGTCTGTAGATTACTAAATATCCAAAGCCAAAAAAAGGCCGACAGCACAACTTGTTTTGTGTATTTCATAAACATGGGTATTTCACCTACCATCAAGCACATGCCAAAACTAAACTATAATTAAGTAGAATTATAGTTTAGTTTGGGCATAAGTATCTGCGTACTTATTTAAGGAAAGTGCTTTTTTATTGTTTGAACTTTTGGCCGGTTTAAAAGACGATCAGGACGACCACGTTTAGCTCTTCAAAAAATAATTTGAATAAATCTTTGCCAACCCCAATATCGGAAAGAATGTAATCGGATACATTAAACAATAAAGATTTAGCGCCTAACAAAATTCACATTTACTAAATGTCATTCTGATTAAGGATTCTAATTCATAAGAAAAACGTTGACAACAACGGTTCGTGGATTCGATGCCCACTGGGCCTATGTCTGCAAATCATTATCAAGAATATCTTGAAATTGTGCAAAATTTTGACAAAATTTTGACATTTAGGTATTAGGTAAATCGAAATTCCGTCCGTGATTGGAACGTCATGCTACAAGCAACGGGTTTGGGTGTCAGTGCGTGGATTCCCACATGATTAAATCCAAAATAGGTCAACGTCTCATTCGTAGAAGTCGCTTTACTAGTAACCTACGTACATCCATCCCATACATTTATAATATAAGCAAGAAGTAATTATAATCTATCAGGTTTTAACAGACAAAATAACATGATCACTTAATTATCTGTGCAAAATACCATTTAAGTATTGTCTGTAGTTTACGAAAGTAGTATAAATTTAAGTAAACCAATTTTACCACTTGACCTGTAACCACAGCTTCTGCTAAGAGCCGTAGTTAAAATAAATGTAAAAAAGTTTAATAATATATTTCGCGTTCTAAGTCGTTAAGTGTTTTATATAAATGCGAAATAATTAAAATTCGATTTCAGTATGAAAAAAATGTACACGGACAGAACTTGAACCGGCATCTACGGCATGCCGTGGTCTGATCTTACTAATTGACCTACCGTGTAGGCACACATTCGAATTTTATCAACCTACTAGCCGAGTCTGCGACTTCGTACACTTATTTTGGGTATGAATTTTTGGTTTTGCAAACCTCCTCTTCAACTCTATAAATTCACCCACGATGTCGTTTTTTGAGGTTAATCTTAAAAGATTGACATATACTATCGCGGATTTTTTTAGATCATTTAAAGAAAAATCATTCTTTCATAGATATTTTTTGGGTACTTGAACCGTTTTCGCAGCGTACGCAATGGAAATAGAAAAATATTCATTCTTATAAATTTCTATAAGGATAAATAATTTTCCCCGTTTTTGACATTTCCCGCTGTTTTTTCGCTCCTAATAGTCCTCCTATTTATAACCTATAGTCTTCCTCAATAAATGCTCTAATCAACACACTTCGAATTTGTGTTGTAGTAGTTCCTGAGATAAGCGCGTTCAAACAAACAAACAATCTCTTCAGCTTTATATATTAGTATAGAATGATACACTTTTCCTCTCTCAAATCTCTTTCAAAGTTTTCAAATGCCAAATACTTAACAGTTATCACACATAGTAGAATTTATTGTACATGTAAACGTTGTATTAAATGTCTATCGAGACATTAGATTGTAAATATTAATGGTCTTTTATAATAACATTGTAATATGCCCATTAAATAAGCTGACTAAAAATATAATGGTTACATGATCGAACCGCGCTTGTAGCTTTCAAACAAACCCTAAAAGCATTGGATTTCGTATGTGGTTTTATTCTCTCAGATTATTATAGCTGTGAATGACGTCATTGCTGTCCAAAACTTCACTATAGGAGAAAGATATAACATAAAAATAATTTCACTCTTTTCAAACTATTGTTTAAAAACATAGGCTTTAAATATTATTTAAAGCTTTAAGAAAGATAGATGATACAACGCATAGTATATATGTATAATCGAAAATAATATTATCTTCAATTTCAACGTCCGAAAGTAAAGGAAGAAGAAATATCAAATTATGTAAACAGCGACACGTCTCAACGCTCCGTTTTCGCAAGTTGCTGGGGACTGTTTTTTTTAGGGAAATGGCTTTATTGGGCTTGAATAGCCATCTTTTTATTCAGCAAGGTCATAATAACCAAATTCCTATATGTACTTATAATTCTTGACGATAATCTTTCCATGTTTTTTTATGACCCTACGCAAAGTAACAAATAATCTCATTCAATAAATATATCTTGTATATATTAATATTATTATTATTATACCATAATTTTATTTAAGCATGTACTCGTATACTAACACCAAACAGTTGAACAACACACGACCTCTTTCGCCCACACAAATTCATTATCTCCTCACGTCAAGCCAAATGCACTCCAACAAGTAGAGCAGTCCATAAAAACAACCAATTTTGCTGCCCATTAACACAAAAAACAAAACTATTCCAAAATTTTACATACACCAATAATAAACCTTACCTTTATTTGCAAGAGCCAACATCATTCGTGTGTGAAATTTGGCGCATCATTTAAACAGAAAAGATTCACATGTTTTGCTGATCTGTCGATGAACGTTACGGAACGTGGAAAACGTGTTTACAATGTCACTGATGGTTGAAAATGGCTTGTTTGGGGAAAATCGATCCTGCGCCGCGCGCAGTTGACTACCAGCCTTCTGACAAAGGTTCGCGAGTGATAAGCCCTGAAAACCTTAAAACATACATACATATTACGTATGTAGATAATAGTGACATACTTTATGAAACAATTTTGCCGTATACCGGCTTCGTATATAAGAAATATCTTCTCTTTTGTATTGAATTTATCAAACAAAGTCGTAATTATCCATGTTTAAAATTATAATAAGCAAACATAAATTGTTATTAACTTTTTTTTTTACGTGCTGGTCGACTTATACGTTAAACAAACACTACGTACATAAAATTAAATATACCAAAAACCAAAATTATTAATATATAAAATAAAATCCAATCTTCTAACCAAAAAATAAATGAAAGCTGATTGGGAAAAACAATTTCTTGTAACTAAAAATGTTATGATAATAACAATGCTAATGTTATGTGCTACACATTATTGGTCCACTGTAATTACGCCCAAATTGTTGTCGATTCTCTAAAATTGTTATCCTTTAAAATCAATAGCCTTTAAATTTTAAAAATACCCGGGATTTTTTATTTATTTTTAAATTAAATTTATCTGTGTCCAAATGTCATTTAAATCTGACAGCTGTCACAGAAATTATCATAAGCTTTGACATTTTTCTTTGATTAATGAAAAATTGAAAACAAGAAATAGAAAATAAAAATAATAAAACAAAATTTATTTCCGAGATTTTCTTTTAATTATAAAATCAGTCAATAACTTCTATAATCGTTAATATATCTTATTGAATTTAAGTGTTAATATTCTATTACAGAGTTATTTTTTATATTATTTATATGTCCTAATGAATAACATTAAATGAGAGTTTAAATTGCGATGAAAGAATCTACAATGTGCACCCATTTATCTGGCGGGCGATTAAACATCTCCATTATACAAGAAACTTTGAGAAAGGAGTTATTAAATCTTTTGCAATTGTGCGAGGGCCCAAAAGTAAGTTTTAATTATTTCCTTACATATTAGTACCTCTTTTATTATTTTTAAATGTATCAAAGGAGCTTTAACATCCTGACCATACTATACTATCTAGTAACAACATACAAAAATTAATAAATTGTGTAAGGCTTTCACTGCCATCATTCAGCATATCATTGACAATGATATGCCATTCAAAATTTTATATAAGATAAACTATGTAATATTATATAATTGATATCTACTTTTATCTAACATATTTTTGTTAAATAAAATAAAAGCAACAGCATTTAAGTTTTATTATACTACAGGTGACTATATGGGATGAATGGTTAGCTGGACCAGTTGGTCTAGTAGCTCAATATTCCCTACTAAAAGAACATGAAGTCGCAGATATGTTTCCCTTGAGACCGGGTAGTCTCCCGACCATTGCAGTTAAACATATTATATTCATTGCAAGGCCAAAAAAGTTCTTGATGGATTTAATTTCAGATTACATTGTATCTTTAAGGTAAGAGAGTAATAGAAAAATTCTTAATGTCTTTGTCTGACATTTTAAACAATGTTATACAGGTAAAATTTATGTCCAACAGAAGTAAACAAAACACGCCAGTGGAATTTCATCTTTTTTTCGTACCAAGAAGAAGTGAACTATGTGAAATGCATTTAAAGGACAGAGGGGTGTATGTTAACCTTACAATTCAAGAGTTCCCTTGTGATATATTTCCGTTTGACAGTGATTTAATGTCTTTGGAACTACAGAATGACTTCAGGTTCGTAAATAGCTAAGAACTTGTTATTTTCAAATACTCTTCCTAATAATGTAAGATAATAATTTTTTTTTATAGGTTGAAATTAAAAAAATATATATTTATTATTATTATTATTTGTATTAATTTTCCTTAATTGAATGTTTGAATAATTTAATTTTATACTAATAATAGACTTAGTATAGTAATGTCCAGTATATTTTACAGAGAAAATTATCTAGAGGGTGATCCAACATGCTTATACAATGCAGCGCAAGCTCTGCGTACAATTCAGCAACTGTATGGAATTGTACCCCATGTATTTGGAAAAGGACCAGCTGCTAAGCAGGTTTGGTTCTTCTTTTCCATGAGTAAAATGAATCTTACGTACTTTTTGCTCAATCAGCCACCCATGAAACAACAAAAATATATTTTTATTTATAGATAAAGAAATGTCAGTAGTGTTCAGGAATAGTACACATGGAATAAAACGTTTTTATAGGTCGAAAACGCGAAATATTGCTAAACTTATTGCACCTGATCATAACCAACACAAACTTAAGAGGCTGCTAGGAACAGAGTAGCCTAACTACAATTTTCGACTCGGGCATGACTAACCGGCATCGACTCGAGCCGATAGCCCCTTGTTGACCACCCCCCGCACCCCTGACTTATTTATATTTTTATAGTGTAAAAATTGTTCAATCTATTAGATTAAGACACAGTATTGAAAATTATTAACAAAATTCTTGCACAAATAATATGACAAATTCATTGTTGCATTGCACACTTTTATTTTCCTCCTTTTTAAAAATAATTTATTTTTTATTAGGCCACTCTGTCTCTAGCAGCCCCATATTTTATTAGACTTTTATTCTTGTTTGAATTATAATTGCTAGGTTCTATTAACCAACATTTGACAGTAATTGTTGATTATTTATAGGTGTGGGATCTTCTTTGTAACCTCAATAAAGAGGAACAAGGCATGGGCCCAAGGGGTGCAACAACATCTTGTATTGATCAACTACTGCTTATAGACAGGGCTGTCGACTTCACCAGCGTGCTGACAACACAGTTGACATATGAAGGCCTCATTGGTAAGTGTTAAAAATATTGAAATAAAAAGATAAAAGAACATTGGAACATTACTGTTTTGAAACATTATTATTATTTTCTATTGGGGACACAAATAGAAGGCCACACGGGCTGATAGTGTGGACTGATCACCCGATCAGTCCACACTATCAGCTGACTATTTCACCCATTTCCCTATTCCAAGTGGGATAACAAGCGCTCTATTGCTCAACCTAGTAAGCTTTTTATGTTAGATGAGGACGTGATGAGGTTAGGGGTTATGATAACCATGGCGTTCTCTTAATTAAAGGTGAAAGACCCAAACCAAATCTAAACAAACACTTTGGATATTGACGGTGGTTCGTGACCCGAACGTAATTTAGATTATTAAAATATCGCTTTGATCATTACAGCCATGCATTGCTACCATTACTCCAACGAGCCCCATACGACGCCGATGCCTTGTATATAAATTATTTTTATAGTTCATAATAAATTTTATAGCTCTAAACAACTTGTTACAGATGAACTCTACGGTATAAAAAGTACAACAGCAACCTTTCCCGGGCACAAATTTGTTAGCGCAGACGACGCGAACCCTGAAGTGACAGCGCGTGAGAGGAAACGTGTCATCCTCAACAGCGGCGAAGAATTGTATACAGAGTTACGGGACTGCAGTTTTACGACGGTATGAAATCTGGATATTTAATGGGTGGAAGAAATATCGAACCGCCGTCCACAGATGCAAGAAGACGTGATCTATAATCGCGCTTCGATAGCAGTCTGTGGATTTCTGAATATCCATAGCCAAAATAGGTCAACAGGGCATCTGGTGTAGGTGTTATATGGCTGGGGTAATTCACCTACCATCAAGTGAGACCCTAGTCTGTCTGTCTGTCCTCCTATATCATAAAAAAAAACAACAATTTAATTTAATATTAAAAAAGTTATTAGTTAGTGTGAAATCCCGTTTCCCCCTCGTGGGGCATGGGGCGAACACATTTCTGTGTCCGTTTCACTGATCCGTTCTTTAACAGGCAAGTAGTTGATCAGACTTCTGTGCCCTGCCTGACCAGACAATTTTTTGTTTCCCTGGAATTCGAACCGAGGACCTCTCGCGCTTAACGCATTGATAGGCAATACGTTTAACTATTTGGCTACAGAGGCGGTCAAATATGTATTAGTTAACTTATTGACAATTTATTTTAACTACGGTCCGATGCTTCAGCTGCTTTGTAGTAACTGTGGTCAAGAGAGGGCTTAAGATGGAAGGTGTCCTTAATGTTGAATCTGCAACGCCGTCTGTAGCGCCATCTGTGTAGTCGTAGTTGGTATTTAAAAAAAGAACCTGGGCTTTTACTGAAGTTGCACACATTTCTGAGGTGTTTTATATGCGAGGCCTTTGAAATATTTAAATATTTTCAGGTTGGAGCAGTATTGTCGCGAAAGGCGCGAATTATCAAAACGCAGTTAGACGAACGTCACAACAATAAATCGGTGCAAGAAATAAAACAGTTTGTGTCGCGGCTACCACAGATGTTGGCGAATAAACAATCGCTGGCGACTCATACAGCCATTGCGGAATATATTAAAGAAGTATGTCTTGTTTTTTATTCTTAAACACGCTTCTCATCAGAAATCTTCTATTACCTATTAAAATCCTATTGCCGGGCCGGGTCTCTTATTTTATCATCCAAGAGCTTACACCACGCCGGGTTGCAGCCCGTAACCGGTTATCAAAAGAAACAAAACACGAAAGATTTTTCTTATGAAATTTTCTATTCTTCAAACAATTGACTTATTGGCACAAACTTTACGCGTATTCTCTTATGTACAATGTATTTTAGATTTTTAAGTAAGTTTTACAGATAACGAATATAATTTAAAAAATCTTATAAATTCATTATTAATTTATTTACTTTATTAATTAATAACTATATTTGTTACTTCATTAGCAGACCACCGATTCGTTTGAGTTCCACGACAAGATACAATGCGAAGAGGATTTTCTGACTTGTGTTGATAATGAGAAGGTTTGTCCCTTCATTGAAGATCTCATCGCCCAGAAAGCGCCTTTGACGAAGGTAATTAATATAATATGAAGTGTCCATAGGCATACAAAACAAACAAACAGTCCTAAAGCTTGACTGTCAACATGATATGTAGAGTAATTTAATTTTGTTAATTCTGAATTGTTATGTGTGCGGTAATAACTAGGAATTGTTCTAAATGTCTTTCTAATAAGTAAAATTTTATTTTATATTTGTTTTAATCAATATTAATTTTTGACGAAAATGTTTTTTCAATAAAACACTTTTAACGGTTTAAAACACGAAATATATTAGTTAACTTATTTATAATTTATGTTAACTAAGTCCCGGCGTTTTGGCTGATTAAACCGTAAGAAATGTTTTGTTTAAATGACAAATACAGACAATACTCGCTTGACCAAAATTTGTGTATGTTGTTTTATTTAATTGATTAGAGCAACAGCGTGGAATGCTATGATGCCGGTTCAAGTCCTGCCCGTGTCGTATTTTTTTTATATATTTAAAATCGATTTTTAATTTATACGTAGTCTAATCCAACTTCACGACTGTCTGTAAAAGCATATTTTTTGTCAGGCTGAAGTTACGAAAAATCAATTTCAAATAATCCGGTTTAAAACCAATATATTAGCATATTATAAACGGAATTGGTCAAAGTGTTATGGATTGAAACGTGTACTAGCGCTGAGCAATCTTAGACAAAATGTCACTTTAAAGCGTAGTCTAATTTAAGGCATTCGACTATTGTGGAAATAGTTATAATTTTGTTATGAGGTGTTACGATTTATTTCTGACGTCCATTTGATCTGTGACAGAGATCCGGTTAAAGAGAACCTAAAAGTATAATGAATACTATAAACTTTGAGTTAGGTCAATATTTTATGCACTAACCACCTCTATCGAATCAAAACTTGAGTTAAATCTTTAAAATTTATTGGTCTTTTTGAACTACGCGCAGAAGCCTTGCGTTCGCAGGCAGCTATGTGTAACAGGGGAACTGGTTTTACACCCGTTAAAAGGTTTTATAAACCTTATTAATTAGAAGTGCTTCACATTACTATAGACAAGTCTGAACCTTTAAGAAAATGATAAAAGTATCTTTCAAGCAATTATATTGACCCAAAGTGAGATTCACTAAGCACATCTCAATCAATACGAATTGGGCTGGTGAGTTAAACTTTAACATATATTGTTCTGAACGTATGATCGTTTAAACAAACGTATAAGCCATAATGTAACTCCTTCGAACCAACTATAGGTCACGAAAGGGAACTGGTTACTTACAAATTTAAAAGTGTAATTTAGAAACCTATATTAATTACTTACAGACGTTCTTCACCTATGGCACTATATACGAGTCCAAAATCGATGAAAAGAGAAAAAGGACTGGCAAGCAATGGTTACATCCACTAGCAGTGAGCTTGAGTGTCTTAAGCCATTTCTATAAAAAGTTGCCAGTAAAGAGTACTACGGGCTTGTGAGTTAGAAGTTATGCATTTTTTCATACCACTATTCAAAAATATGTTAAATGCGCTTTCCACGTATGCACGTGTTAGTCTGTTAACTATTCACGCTTCAAAAGCTTGACCGATATTGATAAGATTTTGTATTAGATACTTTTATAGTTTACGCGTCAGATTAAGTTTAAGTTTAAAAGATTTAGCATTCCACTATGTCAGAACGTTTAAGTACTTTACCACCACTTGCAGATAAATCTATTTACTCTTAAAACTATAAAGTATATTGCTGAGAAGAGAAGTCAATGATTACTCCATTGTAAACTACAGTTGAAAATTAAATTAGTACTCATAATCAACACTATACGAGATGATTCATACATTCCGTGTTATCAAATTTCGATAACTGGTACAGTGTTTTTATCAATGCCGTTTAATGGTCATTTACACTAAATTAAGTGATGATAATATCTATCATAAAGAGAGAATAAGAATATTGTGATGATAATATCTATAATATAGAGAAAATAATGTCGAGGCGAGGTCTACAATAGAAATAGGTATTGCCTGTAGTTTACGCGAGAAGTACAATTTAAATTAATAATAATTAATTTTTCATTTAGTACAATGCTAGAAAATAATTAAAGTTAATCTTAAGAAAAGCGATCCCAAAAGGGTATCTATTGCGTCAGCATAAGTTGCAGCAGTTATGCTACAGCACTGATTTTCAGCAAAACCCTACTATTCGTCTGTAAGACAGCGCTCCTTACAACCATTTGATATTATATAACAGTAACATAAATATTGGAAAAAATTTAAAACACGGGTAATTGTTATTATTCACATATTGTTTTGTTTTTATTTATTTATATAATACCATCATATAAAGAGACAATTCTATTCAAGTGATGCGTTCTCTTGAAAAAAAAATAGTAGAATAACCAATATAATACATTCACGAGAGCAGGAAACTACCATGAAGGTTTTTATTTATGTTTTAGGTATCGCAGACGTAATGGGTATTCTACCGGGACCAACTCTAGACCAGTTGCAAACACTACAGCCGCGAATGGTTCGAAGGAATTCAATATCAAGCGAGAACTCTTCCGTCGACAACCCAAAAATTGTTCTTGTTTTCTTTATCGGTGGTTGTACATCCCATGAAGTCTCAGCTTTAAGATCTATAAGCCAACAAGAGGACTCCAATGTTGAATTTGTTATTTTAACAACTAAATTAATTAACGGCAATACATTTATCGAATCTATATTGGAATTAGATTAAATTTGTACTTCGTATCTTTATGTATGCACTTTCGAACTATTTTGATTAGGCGTCAAGAAGATATTATGTCGGAGATTGTATATAAATAACCCATTACACTTATTGCTTTGGTAAATAGCATACTGCAATAGTGAATAGATATCAAAACATAATTAACATTTAATTTAAGATGGAATTATACTATTTTAAAATTGCATACCGTGCAATAGCGCGCGCCACTTAGTAAATGATTGTATGGTAATTTTATCTTATTATTAAAATAAGAGAATTTTTATTGCGTAATTGTTTATAAACTTATGCTATCAATAAAAAGTTATATAAATAATGAAAGTTTTATTATACTCAATGTCATCTTTGGGATAAATAAAATGGAACAATAATAAAAACCGTTTAGTCTTGGTTTATTAAAATTTCATATTATTTAACTGTCATATAATATAATTTGATCATTTTTTAAATAATCTTACAAAATTCTGCATGCTTACCGTCTATATATTACAATATTAAAGCTTTAGCATATAAATAATAAAATCTAACATACACAATATTATTATTTGTTTCTGCTGCCCTCATAAGTATTCATTGCTTGTGTACTTTGTGATGTTCGCTTTTTTCGCTGGAGCAATGTTGACACCAAATTTCTTGGCTAAATTAAGTAGTTCTTGATTATCGTAGCCGACTTCCTCTTTATAACTTTTAAGCATCAATGGCAATAACACTTCCAATAAGAATTTGTAATTCTTTTGTGAATAACTTGAGTCGTTTCCTATTGACAGCATCAGTCTAGCGTTAAAAATGGCATAGATACATTCGTTGACAAAATCCATCATGTCTTTCGTTACAATTTTAAGGCCAATATTCTGAACAGTCATGATAGATTGTGTAAACCATATGGTGCTACTAGATAGGTCAACCCATGTCTCGTTTATTACATATTTAGACAAGTTAACACCTAAATCAGTCATTTGAATTAGAAATTTGTTAGTGCCCGCTTTGGTGTGCATGCTTAGTGGGGTCCAATTATCTTCAGCTACCTTTGTTTTCATAGAATCAACAATTTTCTCCTTATATTCCTTTAGTGCTTTTTTGATTGGATTACGTAAGCAACTGTTCATTTGAAATCTTAAATCCAATCCAAATTCACAAAATAAAGTACACTGCTCTCGTAAACTTTGCACACAGTTTAAAACAGAGTCAAGAGCACATTGTGGTGTGAAAATTTGCTTTATTATTTGAGCCATTAGAATCCTGAGTTGCATACTGGCCCAGACTATGAAACTACTTATTTTATTTTTGGGGAAAAGTATAGTAAACTCTATTAAAGCATCACTCAGTGAGCAAAAGAAAACGTCACCTACTTGCTTGACGTAACTTAGTATTGAACCTTCTAGTTGAACACCTTTTACATGGGCTTTTACGGTTTGACTACAAATATCCAAGAATAAGTCACAGGCTTGACTTGTCATATTAAATTTATTGAGTATCTGTACAGGATAGCGGGATGACCTTAAACCACCTCTAGGGCTCCAGTTTTGTGAGACATCCAGTTCTTTTAGTAAAATTTCAGTGAGAGACTTCTGTTTTTGTTCAATTTTCTTCAATATTTCACTTCTCTGTGGATGGTTCTTAAAATCTTCAGTATCTAAAGTCTTTTGTGCAGTTATCATGAGGTCATAGGTTTTTTGAAAATGTCTCTCAACTATTAGCACATCTAATTCTTCTGTTACATCTGCCAGCCAATCAGGTAAAGGAGTTATTTGTGGCGATGGCAGTTCCTCAACAGAAAGACTAGGGGATTCCAACATTTCTGCTTTAGATTTCTCTTGACTTTCTTTCTTCTTTTGTTTTGATGTTTCCTTTTCCATGTGCATCTTTTTAGCAGCCTCGAACTTATCCAACCAGTCTTTTTTAATTGCTAAACTATTACATTGAAACACCCTTGTATCTGGAAATGCTAGTACTTTAAAAGCTTGCTTTACAGTACCTAAATCTCGGACGTTGACAACTGCTAAGGTGCTTATGGGATAACTTATCAGAAACTTGTACCTCATTGGGCCACGCCGGTTAGAAATCCAGCATGTCAACATTAAGCAATCATTGAATAAATAAACATGCATTCTTTGTAGAGCTGTGTTCTCCTCAGCATCAATTTCAAGAAGATCACCCTCATGTAATAAAGTTCTATCTGGAATATCTAATAAATTCATACAGCCTTCAACTTTTTCTGTAATTAGATTAAGTTTATTCCTACGCTCTTCTTCAGCTCTCTCGGCTTCGAGGTCGTGGTTATCGAGAGATTCGCGTGATAAGGCATTATCGTTTCCTAAAATTGACGCTTGAGAAAGAGTCGTGAGTACAGTCCTTTGGTCACTCAGTAAATGAGATAGTTTATACATTTCTGCTTCAAGGTGGGATATTTCGGTGGCGGTTTCAATAAATTGCATATAATTCTCGTATACATTTTTCTTGAGCGCGTTAGCCGTTTCTTCAGCTAAGCCCTCAATTTTCACCTTTTGCTGCTGCAACTCCTCCCCTCCTACACACGACCTAGCTAACTCCTTCACATAGCGATCTGGCACAAAATCCGGCACAGCAAAGTTTTCCATGTTAATATCGGCCATTGTTTGTCATATGTAATAACTTATTGTAAGTTTATTTTTATTAAAGAAATCACTGTTTCTTTCATCATTTGGTAAATCGAACGACAGGACGTAACAATTTATATCAATCAACTCGTAAAAATTTTAAATGTCAAATTACTACACAGAGTTACTACTACTTTTATGTTTCACTTCCACAGAGTATGCGTGACGCAAACTGTCATCGCAGCAATTCCTAAATAACTTTGTTCAACTCTATGCCGTTGCAATAAAACGTTTAATATTATATAAATTATTAAGTGGGAAATATTGAGCGATTTAAAAATTATAAAGAAAAAATGTATAAAAAATAAATTCGCGAAAAAATCCTTCCCCCGCAAGATCAAGGTATAACTGTACCACGTTCTCTCATTTCTCATTTCATTATTGCCTATAAACATAAATTAATAAAATAATACATATCAAACACCATTTAGGTTATTTTCTAAAATTTTTTTTAACTAATACACTTGTAACTAACGATTTTATGCTAGTTATAAATAAAAGTTAAAAGGAAATAACTAATCTACTAATTTGTAATGTTTAAAAGCTTTTGTAAGTTTGTTTTTAAAAGTAGGGGGTTTATTTTTTATACTTTGTCAGCCACCGCGTAACAAGCAACTCCACAATATACATCAGATTTAATACATCAGAAACAAAACGAGTTGCTCTAATGAAGTTTAAACTTGACAATACTATGACGTTAATTAAAACACTTTAAATTTTAACAAATATATATCGCGTTTTAAACCGTCGCGTGTGCACTACTCGCGTAAACTACAAGCAGTAATGAATACTATGAATATTTAATATTAGATTTATATTCCCATCATGTGCATACAAATGAAAAATTAGAAAAAAATAGGAAATTGTTAAAACAGTGATTATTTCTTTAAAGAATCAAGAGTTGGTAATTCAATCAAGTGAAAAAATGATGAATAATTAAATAAAAAAAAGAAACACATATCATCTTCCACATGGTTACTTTATTTGATCCTGCATTAAAGAAAAATCGACTGGAGTCCATCTTCAACACACCATCAAGTAGTTAAAATATTTCGAAAATCGTTAATTTGAATTTAACGGGCAGTGTTATTATGTTATGTTCGGCAAGTTTATTCTTTCTTCTCTGTCGTCTCAGCTTTGGCTTCGGTTTCTTTAGCAGGTACTGCGTCTAATACGACGGGACTGTCAGCAGCTAAAGTTGGCACTTGGGGCAGTTCTTCGGTGAAGTTTCCGTTACGTTTGTATCTGTAGTAGCGCGTGGAGACTGCTTCAGAGTGGCTCTGATAGCAGTTCACCAGAGCGTCACCGTGGTGGTCTGCAAAAAAAAAAGGAGACAACATAAATAACAAGCAAAACCCATTAATCATGTTGTATTTATAAGGTAGCTAACCAATAGATATAATATATTCTTATAATTTTCTTCATGTTCATGATCTTTTACTAAAACACAGATTATTTTTATATTTTTACAGTTCTGGTACATAAGTATTCAAAGACCACAGTGACAAATGTGTACCTACACATTCTTCAAGGAATTTAGAATGTAAATAGGTCGTCAAAAGTGTAATGATTATATTGGAATGCTCTTTTTTCCTTTAGAAATGCAAAGATTATTGATTAGTTATTGTGGTAATGAAATTTGGTTTTTTTTCGGGAAGCGGCCCCAGATACATCACGTTGTCTGTTTCACTGATCGATTTAGTTACAGACAGATTGTACAGACGTGCCATGCCCTTCAAAACTGTTAATAGAAATTTCGGTAAAGAAATTTCATTTATATATATATAAGTATGTGGCATTGATGTTCTTACCTCCAGGACAAGTGCATACAGCGATATGTCTTCTCGCCATACAGACGGCTCCAGAACCGCACTGGGTGTTGCCAAGACAAGGGTCGACACATTCGTAACCCACACACGCTAAGTGGTCGGAACATTGGGAGTCCAATTCGCATTCACCCTGCACGGAGAATTTGTTAACATTAATAACTGATAACGCTAGTAGTACACTATTTTCAATTATCGAATATTATAAGCCAAGCGTTATTTATATTTCGCTATCAGAATTCGAATTCAGTTTTAGTAAAATAGATGGTTATATCTAGGGACTCTGTTAATAGTAAGTTACTTTAATTAAGTATTAAATAAAGTGAAAATTTACTTACTTTCTCACAAGAAACCAGAGCGTTTCCACGGTATCCAGTAGGGCAAGTGCAGACTGGGCGTTCAGCGCCAGTACGGTCGTGGCCTGGGGTACATTTTGCGTTCGCACCACACGGATTGGGCTCGCAGAGGTCACCTACGAGTATAAGTATTAAATACCATGCCTCATTTACTTCTAGTATTAATATTTTAAATTAAATATAGATTAAACTATGTTAAAATCTCAAATTGAGAATTTGAATAGAGTAATAATAATTTCTCCAATGTGTTGGAGAATTTTTGACACAGGTAAATGGCGGCGTGGTGTCTAAATTGGCAGAACAAGGGCCATCCAGGGTTTAAGTCTTGCCGTGGTCATATTTCTTACTAGCTGCGCTCGACTTCGGTCCCGTGGAATTTTGGGCGTCATATTTATTAAATTGTATAAATATAATCTTAAAAAAATACATATATTGTTGCGAACAGTTTTAGATAATTTAAGGAGGAATTATTCTTTCATACATATTTTTAAAGAATTTTTCCTGCTTTTCCCATATTTTTCTCTCTTTCTACGCTTCTTATTGATCGCAGCTTCAGCTAAAACCTTCCTCGAGACCCAGTAACGCTGAGAATAGTGCGTTCAAACAAACAGACTTTTAGTATAGATTATTTCCTTACTCACTTTATATCCAAACTTTTTCCAAATATTGGGTTTGACACCAATTCTAACAATACTTACGCGCTTCAAATGGCCTGCAGAATGTGAAGGGATCGCCGGTCATCGTCTTTGGGCAAGAGCAGACGGGCGTCAAACCGCGTAAATTGCAGTCTGCGTTGACACCACACGCGTTCGTGCAAGGATTGACGCAGGCGTTGTAGACACAGGCGGGCTTGTAGCTGGGGCATTCGCTGTCTGAGGTGCATTCTGCTGAGCAGATGCGGTATGGGTCGCCATGGTAACCCTATAACAAGTTTCACATAACTTACATTATAAGACAACAATAAAAATATTTATTTTTAAGTTATTAATAAAAATCTATTTTTTGACTAGCTCGTTGGTGGAATAGCAATGTATGGCTAATCGACGGGTCGTGGGTTCGGTCTCCAACAACAAACATGCAACATTTTTCTAATCATAATTTTTATTCTGAAATATGTTGGACTTCGTCTGGAAATCTAAGCCAAAATGGGTCGTCATTTTGTTTACATGTTATTGATTATTTCAACTACCTTGTCTATCCTCCTCTAGCGCAAGAAAATAGGTGCTCTCTAATAAAATAGACTATAAAATATTACACCCTATTACATTGCCTATAATATATATAAGATACCGAAAAAAATGATTTTATATTGATCCATTTCATTTCATTAAAGAATTCAAAATCTATTATGATTTAAATAATTACATAACAGAATGGTATCGCTACTGAAACTGAAACGCTGTGGTCACGTCACTCTATGTACAAAAAAAAATCAAGTAGGTATCACAATTGAGGCACTGTGTAGTAATCGGTCCTAAACTGATTTGGCTCGATTGACCCAGCTATTCTTTACTTACTCTTGGACACTTGCAGACCGCACGGTGAGCGGCGACAGTTTCACAGTCAGCATTGACCCCACAGTCGCTGCAGGGGCTGACGCATTTGAAGTCTCGGCACGACTGCTGAGCGCCACAATCGCTGTCCGAGTCGCATTCGTGTCTGCAACCGCTTAACGGACTTCCCTGGATCACAAAATATGGTCGTTTTATATTAAAATATCTTAAACAATGACATGGCTCTGCTGCCCACTTAAAAGGCAGACCTTACTTTGGGGTACATATACACGTTAAAGATGTCTAAAGATCCTAAGGAGATGAGTTTGTTTGTTTGTATGAACTAATATTAGGAACTACTGGTTCGAATTAATCAATAATTTTTGTTTCAGTTAAACTATTTATCGGAGGGTTTAAACCTCTACATGTGCCTAATAGGATTGAATAAACAATGGGAAATGTGGAAAAAACGGGGGAAAATATTAATTTGTAAGAGTTTCCTTTGCGTCCGCTGCGAAAACGGTTTAAAATACCCTAAAAAGTATGCACAAAAGATTTTTTTTTCGCGAGAAAATGTCCGCAACAGTTAACTCACAAAGACTGTTTTAATAAAAAACGAATTTCGTTCAAATAGTTCAGATGGTAGAAGAAAGTTTACCAAGTCGACTAATCATAGATAATAGAAGAATACTTACAATATATCCGGGCAGACAAGTACAGATGGCCTGGTTGTTAGCAACGTGACATTTGGTGTTGGGCCCACAAGGGGAGGGATGGCACGCTTCCTCTGAAAACATACATTCATCAAACATTGGTTTTCACCACCAACATTATCTCGTCGAACTATTCATTTATTTTATAGCTTTATTATCAATAACAAATACGATCTCTTCCAGGCAACCTGAAGAACAGGATAGAAAAAGACCTATTAAGTTAGGTGTAAGGAATAAGAAAACATTCAGATATTCATAGATTCATAGATTCTAATCCACAGAACAGCAGTCTCTAATAATTGAAGATACTAGTTTATATATGTTTCATTCAATGTTTAGTTAATGAAGGCATTTATATGTCAAATTTCTTTTACCTGGGTCTGCTACTCTGCAGGAGGTGAAGGGGTTTCCTGTGTAACCAGCTGGACAAGAGCATACTGGCACGTGTTGGCGAACCTAAGAAATACACAACATATAGTTACGCATGTACCTACAAACAAACAGCTGCTAATAAAAAAAACTAGCATTTTAAAATAATTTCAATTGTTTTATATTGAATTTTACGTAAAGGAACGCTGTAAAATTTATTATTAAAGTGCTGCTTCGTTAATATTTCTTGTGAATTTTCTTTTCTTGTAAATAAAACCCATCAAAGAAAGAGACACAGAAATGTGTTCACCTCTTTTTATATGGGAAAACAGGATTTCTATTAATGTATATTTATTTACCTCGCAGTTAGCATGAACACCACAAGCGCCCTCGCAAGGGTTAATACAATGTTGGTTGACACAGGACAGATGGCCTCTACATTCGCTGTTATCTGTGACGTAGAATGTAATATAAATAAATAATAATTAATGACGACGATGACGAGTAGAACACGATAGCTCAATTGGTTCGAGTTAGAACAACAGCGGGGAATACTGTGGATGCCGGTTCAATTTCCGCCCTTTTCGTAAAGTTTTTTTCAATTTAAAATCGATTTTTAATTAACATGCGCACACGTACAAGTTATTAAAAAACATTAGGTAAATGTGTTTGTGTGTGTGTGTAAGGAAGTCATTAACAAATCAACAAGCTTCATACTCACCCACACACTCAATCTTAACACACTGCGACAGTGGGTCACCGGAGTATCCTGGCAGGCATGCGCAAACTGGCCGCACACTGCCGTGGGTGCAGTGAGCTCCTACACCACAAGTGTTTGGACCGCAGCGAACTACCTCATCCGAGATAGACCGGCCATGTTCGTATAGATTACGACCAGTATAACCACGTGGATAGTAATTGTAGTAACGTTGTGCTGAAAAAAATATATAGATCATTTCACATTCTAACCAAAGGGTTTTTGGTAGAAATCATTTACTATAAAATTTTGAACTCCATCTGGAAATTATTGCCTTACACAAGCTTACATTTTTAAAACTACTGGTAGACTTAACCGCTAAAGTGTTATATCTAATATTTACCTTGTGCAATTCTTAGAATCAAAGACAAACTATGTTTTAAAAAACCCGAGGTTTTGCAAACTTAACAAAACGAGCAAAGAGATGTGACTATATCCATCATTTCAAATATTTACAGATACATGTCTGTACATTCAAACCTTAAATAAAAGTTTTAATGTCTGTACCCAATGTGAAGTTAAGAAAATTTTAAAATCTTACATAATGTTGTTCTATTTTTAAAGAGCCTGTGATCTAAGTGTTGCCTTACAATTATATTTTACTTAACTTTAACTAAAACTATTCGGAAATACCGAGTAAAACTGCGGGAAAAGTCTATAGTTATATTTGCGTAATCTCAATACATCATCGTATTCTTAACAGAACAAGCTTGGACCTCGCAAACCATATAAGATAACGAATGATTCGCCCACTCGTGCGCTGGCCTTGGTTTAAGTTAAGCTCAAGTTTAATGAATTAATTTCCAATAAACTTAGATGTCGACTTTTTTCAAGGTTGAAATAGAAGAAAGAAAATAGAGTACAAAACTTCTTTTTAGTCTATTTATTTATAGATCTACTATTGTTGAATTAATAATATAATTATTTATGTAGTTTACGCGAGCAGTACACAATTGAATAAAACATTTTTAACGGTTTCAACGCTAAATAAAGTATCTTGTTTTTTTATTTATTTTTACTATAACCAACATTTCGGATGCCGCCGTCACAAGAACGTTACAAAGCGGATTTTTTTTCATAATTATTATTAAGTATCAATAGGTATACGTAAATATGAATTTTGAAATTGTATCCCGAAAAAAGTATTTTATTTTATATAGGTAAGATTATGAAGCTTAGTCACTAAAATGAGATGATTTTTTTTCTCGATTAAAATTGAAATACCCAAAGCAATATAATATTTAACAAAATGTCTGTTTGCTTCAGATATTTAAAAATGTGGCTTTTGGATTAATTGAATATTATGATATTTAATCTCTTTTATTAGTTAGTAATTTAAAAATCACATTAATATTTTCTCACGTTTACTGTTGGTGTTTCAATATTAATTAATAAGATTCTTGATATAAGAATGATTTTGAGAAGGATAATGGTTGCATTTTTATTCAAATTTATATAATAAATTCTTACCATCGACGCTCCACGTCAACGCTAAAAGCACCAGGGGTGCTATGTAAAAATAATTTTCGTTCATCTGAAAAAATAAAGAACTTTGAATTATTAAATATTACCTGTATAGAAAATCGTTGAACTATTAGACATTAATGTTAAACGACTTAAAAAAAGAAAAGATACTAATTTATATTTTTTACTTGTTTAATTAATTTTTAAATTATATATATATTTTTAAAATAATAAAACACTTTACACAGCTAAAACACGTTCGATTTTATTTAAGGACCGCACAAAACACTTACATCTATTCGTCTGTGACACAGAGAGGAAAACACAACTCGCACATTAGTCGCGTATCCTTATGTAACCTCAATGCGCCTACGCTTGAAAATCGCAACGCTAGTTCCCGCCAATTCGACACAATATTTTTTATTTATTACGATCGTTTTGGAGAAAAATATCCGTGAATAATTAATAATGTACCAATCCATACAAGGTGGACTTAATTTCGATCGGGTTTTGCCTTTGAGATTTTAATAATATTTAAGAATTTTTCCCTTACGAGACTTTCCGGACTACGAGAAACGTAAGCGCCTTGATGCTCGGTGTAAGTACGTATGCTACTTAAAGTACAAAAGTGATATAAACTGTGGACAATATAACACTTTCCCGCCAAATATAGCAGAGCTTGTGAGGAATGGATGATCTCATTTTAACCAAAAATGGAAAAAAGCCTTTGTAACGTATTGACATTGAAAATTAAACTGCTTTTGCGTTGTTTATACAGCTGGACATGTGCATCGTTATTTTTTAATGTAAATATCGATATATTTAAATGTAAAAGCTTATAAAAGTTTATATTTGCCTTTATAAGCGAAAAAAAAACTACTTCAAGCTGTAAAATTAAACAAAAAAAAATATACAAAGTATTTTGATTCATATATAAATAATAAAAACTTTCCTGTTTGACGTCGCTTCTATTTTGTTGAAAATTATTTTATTTTACGATTTTACGTGACGGGTAGATCTTCTCTATATAAACTTCTCTCACCAATACCTATATTATATAATATAAATTAAGTTTAAACACAAAATGCTGAAAACTGTTTAGGAATTTTACAAGAAGAATTCTTCATCATCATATCTAGGTACTCTAAACCTATATTAAATTACGCACTAGTCGGCTTTTAAAAGTTTCCCCTCGATTTCTTTGGTCTCTGATTATCGCTTTTAGTGGGATCACCTTCAAAAGATCTTCCTAATTTTATACTGAACATCATCAAACTCGGTTCATAAGCGAAGTTGTGTCAAAATGAAAAAAAAAACATGAATCGAATTCAGGACCTCAATAATGTGGTAAAAGTTGTAATCATTTTTATTCCTTTCAAGGAATAAAAATTGATTTTTAATGTGTAAGTATTGTAATTTTTTACCGCCTCTCTGGGTCAATGGTTAAGCGTATGTCACGCCAAAATGATATTCCGTTTGGCGGAGGGACCTGGGTTTGAATCGTTGTAAACGTAGTCAATTATGTCGGTCAGACAGGACACGAAATTCGAATCAAGTTCTAGACGTTGATTCAATGAACCAGACGCAGAATTATGCTTATCCCTTCCCTTTAGTAAAAGGAATTTTATAATCCCTTATTATACCATTCATATTCACTCTAAAGTTATCACGACTACAATGCAGAGATTTTTCAATCTACCCTGCAAAATACAATCCTTCTCTGCATAGTTGTATCTATAAGTATTATATTTAAAATACAAAAATCTTTTCCCTTAAAGGAAAGTCATTATTATCGAAGACGATCTAATTCTGAAGCTTAATGATCTAAATACCAAAATTAACATGAGAATAAGGAGCTTCTTATAGGACATAATATAAACTCAGGTAGTAACTGACTCATGCATCCCACGTCCTGATTACGTAAGCGTATTTTATCATTAATCAGCCTTGCTGTCCACCTGTTCTTATTATCAACAAAAACGTCGATTATTTAGGCTGTATTCATAAACACATGTTAAGAAGTATAATAAATGTTACCAACGTTTATTATACAAGTGCACTGAAGCAAAAAAAAAATCTTACACCTACAATTAAATTTAGTTAGAAGACTTCCTATTGACTGACGATCTGGTACATATCTAGTTTAACTGTAATTCTTATTATTAAGATTTATATGACATGTAGCAATAACTGTTAAATATACATTAAATTTTAACAAGAAAATTGCAAAACTTTACTCCATTAGTCTACGTTATTTTAGATATTTTTTTATTTTAATTATAAATATATTACTTTAGATAGATTTAGATGAAGAACAATAAGCGTCTATCATACCACAGACAATGTTTTAATAAATTACCACGGATGCCCAATATGGGCAACACCACTTTTAAAATCAATCATAATTAAACAGCTGATCGTTTGACAATTTGTCAATATTGACAGAGTTTACTAACAAGAATGACAAACAAACGTCTAATCACTGATATAATGTGGAAACCTTGTGATTTTTTTCCGAAAATATATTGACGGATAATGAACAACGCAAATTCTAATTACATTCTTAAATAAATATCAGTAATATCCGCCCATTACACGAAATATGTCCACCAGCAAATTAGATGCAGTTTACAGGAGCATACTGCTTACAAAATTTTTCACTAAAGGTTGGGGTAAACCTGAAAACCTTCGTAGGTAAGCCTGACAATATTATAGAAAAATAAATAATTGTAACTTAAATCAGGAAAAAGCATGATCTTGTTTCTTTCATAGAACGACAGTAAATGTGTGCATTATTTTCATCAGTAAATTCGTTTTGTAGGTTATTTGAGTTCAGAAAAGTAGTTTCAAATCGAGATGAATGCTTTAAATTAGTAGAGAAGGACTATCCAGTCACTATAACCAAGGTATGTATTCAAATAAGAACATAATAATTTGTATACATATCTTTGTTGTACTTAACACATCTTATATTTGAATCTAGGAACAAAATCTATCAGATTGTCGACTTTTAGAGGGTTATTTTGTCACTCCAATGGAAAAACATTTGCCAGGTATAGTACCTGAAATTGCACAAAAAGCTCATTTCCAAATGTTGTTACCTATTCATTGGCAAGAACAAAATTGTAAACCCGTCTGTTTGCATCTTGCTGGCACTGGGGATCATGTAAGTGTGTTTCTTTAAGTAAATCAAAATTTTTAATTATATTTATTCAAATAAGAGGTTTTCTACGAAGGGCCATATTTATCTTTAAAATTTTAACAAATATAGCCGTATTTATTATGTAGAAGAATATTTCTTAAAAATAGTGTATTTTTATTCAAGTACTTCTGGAGGAGAAGAAATTTAATGGTAAAACCTTTACTAAAGGAAGGTATAGGTGGTATCATACTTGAAAATCCATTTTATGGCCTTCGTAAACCCACTGACCAAGTGTAAGTATTATCATTATTAATAAACACTTGAGTTTTCCTTTTGATTGCTATTTTTTCCCTTATTCCATTTCTTATTTGATATGTTTGGGGCTTTTTAAAAACGAAATTCTATCAAAATAATGTGGATTATACCTAAAAAGCCATGTCAACGTTGATGTAGACTTTTAGTAGACTTCTTCAACTAAAAAATATTGTAATCATTAAAACATAACTCCTTATGTGGTTCAATTTTCAGGCGTTCCTCTTTACATAATGTGTCGGACATTTTCGTAATGGGCGGATGTCTTATCCTTGAATCATTGGTACTATTTCATTGGTGTGAGCGTAATGGGCTGGGTCCGCTTGGAGTAACAGGGCTCTCAATGGGTGGACATGTTGGTATTTAACTTTCCTTTTGTCTGTGATCTTTGTCAACAAAGAATAAAAAATATGTGATTATTGAAAGAAAACAAGATATTAAAAAAACAACCTTTTTAGATGGCTTCTTTAGCAGCAACAAACTGGCCTAAACCTTTGGTACTAGTTCCTTGTTTATCTTGGTCGACAGCATCAGCTGTGTTTTTGCAGGTACGCTTTAATACTATACTTACATACTCAGATTAAGGATAGTCTTATTTTTTGTAGTCTATTTAAAATATTTTTTTTTATAGGGTGTCATGGCCCATTCAATAAATTGGGATCTGTTAGAGTCCCAGTACTTATCAGATGGTGCATACAGAGAAAAGCTTTCAAAGATGGTGACTATTGTTGATGAAGCTTTCCTTGCAGGAAAAAAATTTGCTCAAACATACTCACAGAGAATGGAGGCACCAAATGAAACAACAGATCAAATTATTAAAAATGTTATAGAACCAACATATCCTCTTGACATAACATATAAAGAAAAAAGTCTTCCTCATATATCTGAGGACGTACTGAGTAGGAAACGGAAAGAAGTGCCTATTGCAATGGAAGCAAAGAAAAAGTTTGCTCAAAATGAAAATGATAAACTCAAAATATTACTTGATGAAAATAAAATTAGGCAAAGTTTGTATGATAAGTTAACATCGAATGAGAAATTTGAGTTAGAGTCGCAAGATATTGAGATTATAAATAAATTGTCTGAAGATAGTAAACGGGAGGTGCTATTAAAATGTAAGATTGGTAAGTTGAATCAAAGATTCATAGTTTTTATATTCATTTTTACATAATTAATATTATGCATTACAGAGATAAGTAAAATCCTTAGTTGTTATATAATATATTCTCTTTCATAATTAGATATTAGAATATTTACTAAGGTCAAGGTCGGTGTTGTTTAGTACATCATACAGATGTACTAAACAAGATTATTCAAAATAATTATTCTCAAACTTTATTACCTATTAGTATAATAAAAAATAAATACATGGCTCTTTCAATTATTTTACAGATAATAAAACCTTTAATTCTAAAATAGAGCCTATCACAACTGAGATAATCTTGGAAAAATCAAAAGTGGTAAACACAAAAAAGATCGAAGCAGTACCAGCAATTAAGGATATTGAGAAGCCAAAAACAGAAAAAAAATCATGGAATGTAACGGACTTGACGTCGGATCTATGGGTTAATTTACCATTCATGAAATCGAGTGGGAAGAAGATAGATATAGGCAAAATACATTGGAGGGACAGAGAGGCACTACAATTTATGAGGGGCATTATGGACGAGTGTACTCATTTGAGTAATTTCTCCATTCCATATGATACTTCATTGATTATAGGTGAGCAAATATTCAAAATGTTATCACAAAGCACTACCTCAATGATAATGTATTCAACAACCCCTCTAGAGGTTATATGAAGAACTACATGCATACATTGAGAAAATCTCTGACCTGAAAATCTGGACGTTAATAATATCGCAATTCCGTCCAGACAACGTCATCCTCCTTTCTCTTCCATCTATGGATTTCTGAATGTCCATAATAGAAGTAGACTAGAATAGCGCATCTCAATTAGGTGTTATGATGCTGGGATATTTCATTTTATGATAGAGGACAGACAAGCACGTGCTTCACCTGATGGCAGGTGTAATACCCCAGCCACATAAACATCTACAAGATTTAGCTGTCAACCTATCTTGCATTTGGATATCTGTTCTAATATCTATAAAACGTAACATATGGTAACAGACAGCCCAACAAACCTAATATTATGTATATTTCAGCGGTATGCGCCAAACACGACGCGTACGTACCTCGAGAGGATGTTGGCGCTCTTGAAGAGATCTGGCCTGGTGCTGAAGTGCGCTATGTGGATGCGGGTCACGTGTCGGCGTATATATTGCACCAATCACTCTTTAGGTATATCCATAAGTTCCGACCGCATTCGTAGTTCAATGGTTAACGATAACCGCAAGAAATCCTGGGTTATTTGAACAAATGGGGAACAAAGATTTGTTTGGATCGCGTAGAGCACAGACACGGACATGTGTTCGCCCCATTCTTAATTAAGATAATGCGACAATTATATCCCTCTTTTAATGTATATAATAATAATAATTTATCACCAAGCTAGTAGTAGAAAAATTCATTAAACTATTTTATTTATTTTTGAAATACGAAAGGATTGACAACTTTTATACTTTCACATGATGGCATTATTTAAATTAAAAATCGATTTAAGATTGAAAAACAGCACGGAACGCTGCAGATGCGTTTTTGTAACTGCCCGTGTCGTAATTTTTTTAAAATCTGAAATCGATTTTTTATTTTAGACGAAAGGATTAATGGGAGTCTTCAATTTTGTAGATCTTGTATCAAAGAGGCGTTCGAAAAGTCGAAAAAGAAGTGGACAGATGGAAAACACATAGAATGACAACTGAGCAGCATCGTCGCCATATCTAGCAAAATCACTTTTTTATGACAATATTTTTGTATAAGCAGCAATGGTATACCATGTGATTCAAATATATAAAAAGAATACGCCGAGTGCCATATATAGGCCCTCAACTACGCGCTTTTTTAATTTTAATGCGCACGCGTTTTCAAAAACGGATTAACAACGCCAACGTTGCATGTGTTTAGGTTAAATTGGGTCTTATAACAATTTTAAATTTTGAAGTCATATTTTGTTAGACTAATTATTTTAGGCATTATTTAGTTTTCTAGTCTTACTGTACACGGAGTGTACCCAAATTGAATGGATTAGATATTTTAACATAGAAGTACAAAGTGCGTGTTTAGAGATTAATTTTTACGTCTTTTTCGTTATATATCATTTATGTATATAAGAAATTTATCTCTGTTGAGAATGTAAAATGTCAATTGTATTTTTATATTGTATATAAATATATACATATATTTATTTACTGCTTTTTATTTAGTACCTGTAAACATATGTGCAATATCAGTTTAAAAGTAAATAAATAAATTGGAATTAAAATATATTGAAAACCTTCTGGAAAATTCGTACCCACAACCCACATCAAAGTTTGCTTAAGGTGCTAGAAGAATGTGTAGTAGGCTCATAGGCCCAATACTCCCCACATCATCCACGAGATTTTACACTTGCCCTTGGAAAGAGAGTAAAAAAATAAGATAGTACAAGTTAAAATCCAATTGAAAATAGACTATGCCATTGAGGATTTTTTCAACCGAACAAATGACTTGAACCTCTCGCGCAACATATTACGCTCAAGATTATTTTGTAAATGTACTAGTGACTGCTTACATATGTATCAAAGTGGTGAGAAGCTATACATTTAGAAAAAAAGATAAGTAAGAAAAAAGAAACAAATTTTATTGAAATCACTTAGGCATACTTTTGTCATTTACAATGGTATATGAATAAATATCTTTTTATATGGACATGCATGCACTCACATTTGTGGAATTAGTAATACATAATTAATCGGTATTAATTTTGATAAAACAATCCACGTACATAGGTTGTACCAAAACTAATCACTGTACTAGGTACGGTAAGAACGTACTGAACTAAAGACAATCTAGATTGGCGAGAAAATATACCATTTGGTTTAACTACTAAACTTCCGGGTCCCAATTCTGCTGATAATTATGGCATTTGCTTGACATAGCACTTTGCACAAGCTATCTACATTGTAAATCCGTTTATTGGATATTGTCTCTTGTCCTACTGACAATGCAGCTTTCGATATCCCGAAGTAGAAGGCTACTTGAGCCATTGAACTGTACTTTGTTTTTCAGTAAGTTGTTTAAGAAGAACAATATATATAAGGACACTCTTTCCGTATAATTATATTGTTTAATCAATCAATAAATCCAGAAGAGAAAAAATGGATAGTGAAATTAGATACATACTGAAGTTTACATCCAGTTTTTTTGTGTTTAAGTTGAAATTCGGGATTTCAATCCTTTTTAACACGTAAGACAGAGAGCTGCGGACATCGGTTTTATTTACAGTCGATTAGCATATGTATTATGTTACCTCCGCGCCCCGTCAAGCCGAATTGAGGATTTAAACCCGCATATATTGATCTAGCTGAAGAGTTTGATTGAACGCACGAATCGCAAGAACTACTGGTTCGAATTGATTGTCTAAAAAATTGTCCGCGAATGTTTGTCGAAAGCTATTCTTAAGAGATAGACATACGTCTCTATATCTCTGAAGAATAACTTTCAAGAACGGCGGGCGACGTCGTGGGTAATAGCTATATTGTGCAAAAACATATTTTTAAGCCCAAAATAACGATTCTACGCGGACGAGGTCGCGCATACTGTGCTAGTTTGACATAAACAAAGATTCTGCAAAATTAGACAAAAATGGACCTACTAAAATGAAGGTAGTTCTAAGATCTAAATATTTAGATGATTTATTAACACAATGGTAGTTTTAATGCCCAAATTGTAACGTCTAATATTGCTTTGATGAAATTAAATTTAAAGACTAAGGGAGTTACCGCTTGTCTAGACTTAAAAGCGAAAAACTTAAAATGTAAGCCATATTTTGAGTTAGCTAGACGACAACGATATATATTTTTACATCATAATTATACACTTGGCTTTCTGAGTAAATATAAAAACAATATTTACGTACAGAACTCGGGCTACGGGTGCGGACTCCTACAGTCACCAAGCTATATTAAACTTTATTGCTTTAACAATAGGACATATTACTTTGAGAAGCACTAATACAGTAAGTGTTATTTTAGTTGCTGCTAGACTGCTTTTATATTTGCAATAATCCTAGTAAATTGTTCGGTAATAGCGGAAGTTCGAAGTGCCTTAAAGCCTTAACAAAGGTAAATGCTACGATTCAGAAACAACGATAACTTATAACGTTGACGTGCTCGTTGATGTAAGGTAGCTAATGTGTGGCTAACGCATTGTAGATCGGATGCTTTGCAGCAGCCGTGGTCACGGGGAGACGACACGAAACGTCGGGCCGAAGGTAAAAATCATTTTCAAATAAGTTTAACTATTTTTATTTAAATGTGTACGACTCGCGTAAACTAGACAGTATTTGCTTTATTACTGTAACATCTAATATTTTAAATGTTACCATTACCGTTTGGGTAATAATAATTAAGTAATAAAGTAAATTCATGCTGGTCAGAACTTACAACCAACTTCACAAAGCTGCAGTCGCATTCAGAAACTGCGAGCATAAAAACTAAATTACAAATCAATTATAAAGCCTCATCTAGACGTTTCTGAATCTTAGCGTTGATACAGCTTGCAATATCGCCGACTTATTATTTATTTACATAAGTTTACAAAATCGATACATTATGACAGCGCCTGTAGACCATCCTAACACAGTATTTACATAGCTCCATGCTTATATGTTGCTAGTTACTTTAGTACTTGAAAATTCAGCTTAGATATAGTTTTAAAAAATAATATTTTATGATGATGATTAAAGACAAATTTCTTCAGATTTACAACTATTGGAAATAACTAGAAATACTTCCGAACGAAATCATAGATAATATAAATAGCGCCTCTATCGGAAACTATAGGAAAACTTTTCAACTATACTCTGTAGGTTTTCCACAGATACGTAATTTGTAAAGAATATAATGTTTCGTTTCCATATAAAATCCTGTACAAAACCATTCGGATAACACATAATTGCGTTATTGACATTGCTGACATATTGTATTTACCAGTTTCTTTTGATGTCTTTAAACATAATGTTTTTCACTTTTTGAGCAGTAAATTTCTAAAATCGGTGTTCGAAAGTGGTCGCTTGTCGCCATTTGAGTGGTTTCCGTTAGCCGTGCTCGTCGATGGCTTCTGTAGTACGCTTGGTATGAAACTGCTAAGTTGTGTCCTTCGCCTGTAAGAAATATAATTTTTAAAGAAACCATAGCTGCCGCATGTAGAAATAGCGGAGACAAGCACGCAGCGCTTTACAAGATCCCTTTCAGTTTTTAAGAGTTTAAGAGTTTTGCGACGTTCATACAAATTTTTTTCAACATATAAGAAACCTTTTTTATTTCTGAAGTAATAGAAAAATAACTAAAACGTTTCTCTTTTAATACAAAGAGAAACTTTACAATACACATCGAAGACTCTCTTGGTTTTACTTTTTTCGTATTTTCTTATAATAAAAGAAGAGACGAGGCGAGGTACACCCGATGAAATTTGCACTACCCCAGCCCTATAACATCTAATCAGTAAACTATTTGGTCTTTTAATATTCGGAAATCCACATTCTTTATCCAAAGTTTCATACAATCATATACATACATTCCACCACCGCTGTCTCGTTTTGGCAGGCCTAGGCTTGCGTTTTTTCCAGAGTCCTTTGGCGGAGGTGCGCTTATAGCGACATCTATCTTTCGGTCGGCAACGAGAAGCCCGTTTGTTTTCTCTAAAGCAGCATTAGCAGATGACTCATCCTCGTATTCTATATACGCAAGACCTTTTGGCTTTCCATCCCTGAATAAAATGCAAGTGTTTTGAAAATATTCATGCAAATGCACTAGAATAACGGGACCCATTATGATGCGGTTTGAAACGTGGAGTAATAAAATAAAAGTGGCCCTTGCAATTTGACCATGTAAACAGTGGCATTCGGAGATTCAAATCATGACTACGCTGATAAGTGTGGATTAGGGAAGTTATACATTTTCAGAACAAATTATTTATATTGTTTGATCTTGCTTGAGCTAGAAACCGCCAAAAGAATAAAAAAGACCGTTATACTGACTAATTTGTTAGCCAATAATTTGAATATACATTATTATTTGATTTATTAAGATATACATGTAATGTAAATGTTCAAGAAAACATAATAATAAAAACCTATATATACTTTTATCACTTTTAAAAGTTTAAAGGCCTTTGAGACCACGACTGCAAAACATCTTATCTATATATATATATACTACTAAAAAAACTTACTTGAAAGTAACGACCCGCACGTCCTTCAGAGCACCGTGCTTATTAAATATATCGGCGAGAGCTTCTCTCGTACAGTGGGAGAAAGGTAGATTCTTGACGAATAGCTTATTCCTCTCCACTTCAGTGGGATACTTGAAAGTGGGCGTGCCTTTCTTCATCGAATAACGCGAGAGAAACATTGGTCTGCCGTTCAATGGCGTTCTGTCGTGTTTTATTGCTTCATCTACTGATTCCTATATGGCAAAATAACTTTATATATAAAGAAAACACCATTAATACTAGAGTAAGGTTTCGTAAAGTTACAAATATACATAAAAAGTTAACAAGAAGTCAAAAAATGGATGAATTTTTTAATGAATCTGTATTGAGAAGCTTGGCAAGAAATAAATTATAAACAATACTTTTTGTTACTTATTAAAATAAATAGTATATGTCTTACCGGAGTTTCATACTGGCAGTAGCATATAGAGCCTCCAAACGCTTTTACACCGGACTTCACACGCATCGACACTACTTTCCCCCACTCTGATAACTTTTCACGCACACTGTCTTCATCCACTCTGGAATGGAACCGTAGGATTACTTTACACACTCAGGTGTACTGTCCAATAAGAGAGAGATTTAAAGAGTTTAGACCCACCACGTGACATTATCACAGAGTAATCGGCTTTAAAAAAAAACACAAGGACGCAATCCAATCAATGAATAATATTATTTTTTAGTTGATAGCATGTTATATATGAAAACTTTGTTTACCAATGTAAACAAAGTTTTCATTTTTCAATAAAAATCGAGGACGATTGAACAAGACTGAACTCAAAACCTGTGTATACGCATGCTATTAAAGCTTTTAATTGTATTCAATAAAACGTATTCACTTACTTGAAATCGAGGTTGCTAACAAATAGTGTGCAAGACTCGCGGGTACCGTGCCGCCGCGCTGGACTAGTGCTGTCTTTACGTTGCCGTTTATTTTCGCCACCTGCGAAGTAAAATACAATACAATGGAGAGATTCTGAAATTCAATCCTTTAAGCTTTGAGTTTTAGTGATAATATTAGTATCATTTACTTAATTTAAAATGTTATACTCAGTAGTGTGACATTTATTTATTATGGGCACAGACAACAATGGAGTTTACTCGATGGAAAGTTAAATACCCAAGATACGATCTATATTGATTCATCTGTGGACAATGGTTCGTGCCCGGGATGGAATTTCGATGTTCCATACATAGTAGAGCCGGTGGAGATCCTACGATCCGTAGATGATTAACTATTACTACCATTAAACCGACGAGCTCGTCAATATAGCTGCCTCTTTTTCACATTTTTATTTTGGCCTGATTGAAATAAATGTTTCCCATATCTCTCCGCATTTAATTTAATATCCTGAATACTAACCATCATTATCGTCATCGACTTCATGCGGCCGTTTCGTCCCTCCACCACCATCGTTGTCCCTCACACATTCCTCCACTTCCATATCTACTTCCTTTTTCCTCTTAACCTCACTGCCTTCAGCACTTTCATCGGCTTTTCTCTTCCCTTTATTTCTCGTCTCTTTGCCTTTCTTCTTATCTCCTTTTCCCTTTTTGTTAAGTGCTTGTTTGCCCTTTTGCTTTTGACCAGTCATCCTGTCCTTCATCGCTTGATAGTTGTCGCGCCATTCTTTAAGTTTAGTCTGAAAGAAATAAACTTTTTTACGGTAAATGCCTTAGTGAAAAACCATTACTTTTTTAATACTAATATCCTTAGCCAAAATAGGCCGACACGCATATTGTTTAGATGTTATATGCTTGAGGTATTTTACCTACCATCTTGTGAACTACATGCTTGTTCGTCCCCTCTATCATAAAACAACAAACAAATACTGTTTTGTTGAATTGTAAAATTGGCCTCGATGATAATTAAATTATGTCGTTTCACACACCTGACATAGCTCAACGCATTCAAGCATAGTATGCAACTCTCCATAATCCCGTTCGAAATCAGTCCACAGCTGGGCGAGGGTAGGTGGATAATCCGTGACACTGCGCAGCGCACGGCGATGCAATTCGCGTAGACGGCGTTCGTTGGCCGGAGGCTCGCGACACTTCTCCAAGAAGATCAACGCTTCCCAATACTTGGATAACGTTTTATTTTCACCATACTCTGAAATACCGTAGTTTATATAATATAATTTTAGCCTTGCAAACTATATTTAAAAAAATTTACTATTAATTTCTCGTAGTGATCAATGTTATTTACGTCCAAGCAGTAAACCTCTATTCCAGGCGTCCTTCTTGTATTGATTTTAAACCCAGAACAAGGAGGGCAAAACTCACTCAATATTTCTTCAAATATCTCCTTCCCTTGCTTCGGGTCTTTCATTCTCTTGTACTCCAGCCGCGCCCAAAACAAAGGTACCTCGCAGTCATTCGCTTCTTCGCCCCACGCCTGTAAGACAAACATTTATTATATTATTTAAAAACAGACACAATATCAACAGTGGAGTTCTCATTAGTTTAAGTATTTGTAACAGCCGAGCCTTGTGTTTAGGTCTAAGTAGCCAATACATTCAATGTAATTAAAACACTGTGTTTGTGTTAACACGCCTGTTCCTTGTAGTTAGTATACTCCTGCTTACGACTTGTTAAAAATTAAATATAAATTAGATTTCGGTAATAAGTTATAAGTCGAAAAAAATATAAAATTTTAGTTCTCAGATCAAAGGCGTTGAACGTACGAGAAGATATGGCAAGAAACTCGCCGTTACTCCTTTTGTCGCAAATTTTATTTATTAAGTATTCACACACTTAATGTGTACTAAATATTGTATGTCATTTATTTTTCTTACCTCTGCTAACGAGTCCCAAGCCAAACGGAATGTACGTCGAAGCCTTTCAACATCAGGTTCGTTGTCGAAGGCAGTTTTTCTGCGCGTGAACTCACAGTAACTTAACCATAGAGTTTCGGCTTGCTTGTACGAGTCCATGCCTTTGGAGAGCGCTGTTTCGAAAACAGACTTCACCTAAAATTTAACATTTGTTAAAATAGCTGAATAATAAATTGTGTAAGGCTTCCATGGCCATCGCATCTCATTGTTTTCGTGCGGAAGCGGTTCTGGCCGTCTTGAGCGAGAAGAGGTTCTCGAAGTTTCGCCACCACGAGCAGACGACATCATCAGGAGATAGCTCCTCGATTGCTCGAAGGATTCTTTGAAAAACAATGATATTGCTGAATAAGTTTGTAGACATTACTGTAGGTTTATAATAAAACGCTAAGAAATAATAAAAAGCCCGATATTTAGTAATCTGTGGTCCAACTTTACTTTTTATCCTTGTTTATCTACCAAAAAAAAATCACTTTCAGTTTAACTTACATACCTAAGGTAATAGATAATACCTCATCAAACTCCATCCCTTCGTGTTCAGCTTGCTGCATCTTGAGCACCCAAAACGTCGCCTTCCTAGGGCACCTACGAACGCAAGCGTCCAGCACCCGTCGAATCGTCTCGCGCGATGACGTCCGCTGCACGTGGCGCGCGAAGGCCTGGAGAAGATCGAGCGCAGCGGAACAAGAGAGGCACTCTGTGGTCGCACGGTCGTACAGGACCTGGATAGACACATTTATCTATAGTAAAATAAATTTAGCTCTCTATCTATCTATATTATATAATATATTTCGCGTTTTAAGGAAGTTGAATATATCTATTATATCAAAAAGAAAATAACTAATAAACAGACCTTTAGAATACCATTGCTGTCACAATCTATGAACTTCTCTTCTTGGGATAAATCCTTCACTGTATCTATGTACTCCTGGTACAATTTACACTTCTCCTCGGTGTCTCTGAAAATCAAGTTTTTATTGACTTAATGATTTATTTTACTAATAATCTTGTGTAACTTTTATTTTTTACTTCGCTGAGCACAAAAGTCTGATACAAGAACGGAACTACATAGCAGTAAAAAAAAATTGAATTACACTTTAAACAATAACTTACTCAGTTATCAACAGCCTATCTTCAAAAACGCTAATTTTTTGCAGATATTCAACAGCGGCGTCGTGTTGTTTCTTAATCTGAAAAATAAATATATAATAAAAGTTTCAGAAGTACGGATTCTAAAGATGCTTAAGACAATAAGAGAAAGGGTACATATGCTTAACTTCTGCGTGTTACTTATACTAAAATTTAAATTTTCTCAACTACTAATTTTAACGCGTAATATTATTTGGTAAGTACACAAAATATTAGTACAAAACTTCTAGTTTATCATGTGTACGAACCTTATCCACATATTCTTGGTCATACAACTGCAGAGCCAGTTCTTGCATCGCTTGCCAGGCGTCATCCCCCCTTAAAAGCGGCCGAGAAACAGTCTCCTCTAAGCACCATAGGACACGCTTCTTCTGAGTTTCGTATTCAGAGTCGTCTTCACTGTAACGGAGAGAACTAAATTACCGATTTTTAATTAACCACACATATTGCAAATAGTATTCGTGTTTAGGTTTAAAAATGTAGGCAAAAATATTGCCCTTCAATCACATCTGCAGCCAAATGGTAAAACCTTGCCTTGTTATGTAATTAATATAGCGTTAAGCATGAGTCGGACAGGGCACAGAAGTGTGATCAACTAAGAAATAAATGTGTTCGCCCTATGCCTCACGAGGCAAACACTGCTTCACTTTTTATTATTATTTTCTTACTTCATAGCCTCCAGTTGTGCCTTCTCCATTTCATATCGCGCATCCCAAAACACTTTTCCAGAGAGCGGATCTGCGCCTGCACGACGCAATACTTCTTCCAACTGTGCACGCGCATCGCTGACATCACCCGCGCTCAGGGACCATGAGTACCACTCACTTAAAATGGATATTGCTGAAATATTGAAAGTATAACATAAATACTGTATATAGTTTACGCGAGTAGTACACATTTAAATAAAACACTTTACGGTTTAACTAATATATCGCGTTTTAAACCGTTAAAGTGTTTTATTTAAGTATTACATAAGTATGTAATAGAACTAACTTTATTATTTTATTTAAATACATCTACTCACAATAGCAATCAAGTGACGCTTGTTTAAACATTTCAGCAATATGAGCACGGGCCTCATCTGTATGGGCCAAGGATTCTTCAGTTTGCAGTCTTAGTAGCCAGTGTTCAGGTCGGAGCACTGACAATTGTTGGAGTCTATCAAAAGCAGCACGCCATCTTTGAAGTTCTGACAGACGCCTAGGGAAAATGCTTAATATATAACTATTTTATGTATAATTTTATTTGTAATGCAGTTCTTAAATAGAAACATTTACATTGTACCTTACATAGAAAGTCTAAGTGAGAAAAAAAGAAAGATAGTTTCCTACAAACTATTTGTTGTTGGTAAAGTTAATTTGAATTTTCTTCAGGCTTCTGAATTCTTGTATTTTTAAATTTTTTATAGTATTCTTCTAAGAAATAAAGACTAAACCATAATCTGTATTTAATTATTCTTTGTTTGATTGAAATCCCACTTTGGGCATGGGCCGAACACATTCCTGTGTTCTTTTCCAGGCAAGTAGTTAATTAGATGTCATCAACAAAGGTTATTGTAAATAAAAATTGATTGCTTGCCCTTACCACAATGCTTGAATTAATTCTATATGGTCATCATAGTTATATGGATCCTCCTCCAGCCGCCTTTCCAACTCACTAACTTTGTCCACAGCATCTTCCACCTCTTCATCATCATCATCGTCCTATTTAAATATGTTACATAATACTTGTGATACAATTAAACTACTATTAAAAATATATGTTTGATTAAGAGTGATTTGTAAGTTTGTTGAAAATAAAAAGAAAATTTATTAGCTTTTTCTTAGATTATCATTACACCTATGCTTTGCTATACAGGTTTAACAAATGGCTAATTATAAGAACTAATACAATGCTTACTTGAACTTAATGTTTATGATAATAATACCTCTGTGCATACTCTAATAAAAATGTACTGGTACAAGTATCAATGAATGATGTATATGATTACACCTAGAGGGATAAATTACCAAATTGTACTCTTTATAAGTAATCTAGTTTTAAGTAAACGATTTTTGCCTTAATAACAATACGGAGATTAATTTTAGTCGTATCAGAGCAATTGTTCTACTAATCAATGCTATTTGCGTTTTCAATTGAATGATTTAAGTGTTGTAAAATTAACCAACCTTAAGAAGTAACTTTTAGGACGCAATAAATTAGAAGCAAATACATTTAAACCTTTATTGTTGCATTGAAATAAATACTAGCGTAATCTTTTAAGTAAAATCCTAAGATTGCAATATAGGTTATAGAGCGAAAAGAAGGAAGTAACACTATTGTAGCTTACGTCTGAATCATCCGAATCCTGATCTCCATCTTCTTCAACGACCACTTCTATTTCGTCCTCTCCTTCAGAACCATTACGCACTTCATCTTCTACAATAGCCATTATTAAACGAAAATTATAAAGTGTTTATTATTTAAATGTTTGATAACACGACGAATAAATATACTACACAAAAGTCACAAAATGTACGTTATCGGTCTAATAAGGTATGGCGGATATGTCAATTGTCAGTATGCCAATTGTCACAAACTCTCACGAATCTGACATTTGATAAAATATTGTTGTAGGACAAGTTGTACGGTAAAAAAAAGATGTTACAATACTTCTCATATAAATGAAATCTATTGTGTTTTGATTTTCCTAAGGAGATGTTCATAATAAATCCTCTTTGATGGTTAAGTTATGTTATGTTGATCGATGTCATAGATAGTAGATATAGATGATAGTATTTCTGTAGGCCAAGATAGAGACTGGAGCAGATTCAAAGTATGCTATGTCAGTAGATTACTTCAAAACAAATCGGAGATATTTTTATATAATATCATCCTTGCACTTGGTTAAGCAAGGTCAGGGTCAAAAATTCTAACAAAGAAATAAAATACCATGGATTTTATTATAAAAATATTATTACATGAATAGTCATTACATTTCATAATTATTCTTAATACTATTACAATACTATACTATAACTCTAGTAGGTTATATTGGAATTATATTTCGTTGATATTAGTTTTAGTCAAATAGAAAATCTTTACAACTTTGGCACCAACTACATCTAAAATTTCGAGAATAAATCATCATTCCAGAATATAAGACCAAAAAGAAGAAAATGTTATTTCGCGAAAAATTTGTCATTGTTTCATAGTTTTAAATGTTGACATTACAGTATTACCATTATACAAAATTGAAAAACAGAAAGGATAGCATTGGAAATAAGGCTTAAATGCTAGTAAATAAATGCACCAAATGATAACTTGTCTTACAAATAATTTCGTATATTTTAAGTACTATATAATGAGAAACTTCTAAGAGCTGTAAGTTTTTTTTTATATACTTTGTTTAATTCAGACGAACATTTATTATCATTTAGTCTTTAAAGATATACGAGTACACGTAACAAGCTTTCAAAATGTGAAATAAAAAAAACGATACAAACGAATAATTCAGTCCAAAATAAGATAATACTTGTCATTTCGATATCCATAATATCTAGTTTTACTTTAATTAAAAAGAATTCTAAAAAAGTTTATACTGAGAAAGATAAATGGCACTAAAATGAGAGGGAACTTATTGCAATATTGATAAAAAATATAGATTGGGTCGCAAATATTTGCAGAATTAAATCCAATAACACTGGCAATCACTATGAACACACAAGAACTTTAAAATATCTTTTTGGCTGTCTGTATACTATTTTTTACATGTCGTTAAATAAAATTAATTGTAGTCGAGATTGGATTGAGATTTTATAAGAAGTACCTTCTGTGAGTTGGTTATATATTACAGAACGAACAATTGACTGTGTGTATTTTCACTAATCGCAAGCTTTTTATTTATTTTCTATATTACTAGATTGCGTACTAAAATCAAACGTGATTATTGTGACATAAATCTCCATTATTATAATAATTATTAATAAAGAATATAAATTGTCAATAATAAACAGCTTTATATAATTACCTATTCTAAATATAAAATAATACGTTATTTATTAATACGAAAATAAACGCAACTGTGCATAGATTGTCTCTTAAGATTAGGAACCTATTGAAAAGCGATTACAGAATTGTTGGAACTTGCAACATTGTCACTAATCATATTTCGAGATAGTATGTGAGGTAAGATATAACATTTAACGGATTAAAACGAGATATATAGTTCATATTATTTTAGAAACATCTACGCTTGCGCCACCTGTAACGTACGTCTGGAGCTGTTTGAAACTTGGGCACAATTCTCAATTTGTGATACTGAATAATTTAGGCCGACAGAATTCACAAATTGAGACAGGTTTGTATGAAATTCAAATAACACACAAGTCTTTATTGTGAATTATGGCCTTGGGAGAGTCCATAGTTGCATAGTAGCGCTGTTTGAAGCTTCGAAATATAAGATGATGAACCTTATGTAATCCTGTTTTAATCCGTTAAGTTTTTTTTTAAACTTTTATAACGGCCAATTTGCTTACTAGTTTTTTATACCATCCCCTATATCCAATATTTAGAGGCAAATGCGATATACTATTCTAATCCAGATCTAGATTATTACGTATTAGGTGTAAGTAACACAGTAGGGGATGGCTCGCAGTATCGAGTTGACGACGTCACACGTATCAAGCAGCTGGACCGCCGTTTTGTTATCCAACTGTTAATACAAACACAGTATTAGGAAAAGCCTTTAGAAATAAGCAGCTTGCCCCAATAAGGGCAACTACCCACTACGCACTGTTTATTTCGATGTAATTCCATTCAAATTAGTCCCTAAAATATAGATAAGGCTTATCATTTCATTAATCATAGAGCAAAAAATTGGTATGATTATTAAGAAGATACATGAGTTTGAAAACTTTATTATTTTTTCATGTTATGGCACATGAAGGCACTATATAATTTAAAAATCGAAAATAAATTGAAAAAATTTGCACCAGCACTGTTTTTTTAAAACACCCAGTTTTAATTTTTTTATTGATTTTGCAAGACTACGGTTTCCGTGGATGGTACATGGATGATCTTAAATTTTAGTCAGACTTTTTTTACTGTGAAACTCACCGTTTGACAGAAAAATGCGAACATTATATTTTTGGAAACTTTCACCATCGATGAAAAAACTACGCAAGGGGTGTTGATGAGGACTTTCACACATCATCACACCCATTTTTTATCCTATGGTGATTATTGTAAACTTCGAAGTTTAATTTAACTGGATTATGATCAGTTATAGTTAGAAGCAAGGTACTACCTGTGCTCTACCAAGGGTTCGGACCTGAGTTTTCAAGTGAGCTAGTAAGCAGACTTACCGTCTCTTAAAAGATAACCAGTTCTTTACCTGTGCGTGCAGCGTACACTATGCGGTGGTTGTGCTAGCGGCCTGGAGCTTCATTTGGCGCTGCATCTGCTCCAGCATCTCTTGCATTCGACGCAATTCCGCCTCCTGGTAAACACGAGTCGTTAACAATACTGAGTAAGTAAAAGAATCTATACTAATATATAAAGCTGAACAGTTTGTTTGTATGTCTAACACCTAATATCAACACGGGGCTGGAAAAAAATATTTTTCTGTTGGGTACAACATTTATCGAAAGGCTATCGGCTATAAAACATCGCCCTGTAACTAATACAAGCGAAGATACAGCGAGAAATGTGAAAAAAATTGAAAATTATTCATTAGTATGGGTTTCCGAGGCATACGCTGCAAAAACGATTCAATATACCCAAAAATATCCATAAAAGAACGATTCCGCTCTGAATTATTAAAAAAAAGTCAGCGACGCTATATGTCTTTTACGTTTAACTCCAAGAACGACGGGAAGGGACGCAACCGTCGTAATGGGTGACAGCTTAAGTTTATAAAGATGAAAGGGGTTTGCAAATACGAATTTGGATGTCCAAAATAACGATTTTGGCGGACCAAGTCGCTGACACAGCTAGTCTATCATATTTGTATGAAGACGCTTAGATTGAACACCGATGGCTATCTCTATTATCTCACCATAATATACAGGGAATGGTATAGGAGAAATAAAATCAATAAGAAAATAATAAAGAGTCTTACCTTTTCGCGAAGAACTTTATCACGTTCAGAACTATCCTCAGTTGAGCCGTTCGCGACGCCGTTTGAATCCTCGCTGAGACCACTTTCAGTAGACCTGTTAATCCACATAATCTTGCAAATAAATTTATATACTGCATATACGAAAAATGTCAGTGTGTATACATATAATATCCAAAAATGTACTAAAATGAGTTTCAAAAGATATGAAAATACAACGTACGTATGCCTCTTGGGCATTTGTCCCGTTCTCGCCAGGCGCTCCGAACGATAGTTCTCATAGTGTACTTCTTGGGTAACTTCCTGCAAGTCTTGCATATGAGTTCTGAAAGAAGCCATTTAAACATTCCAATATTACCTAAGCATCTAACGGATATCTTTTTTACATTAGCTATTTGTATGAACAATACAATTTTCGTTCAACTTCAATTGTTTACATTATACAGAACTACACTAGTCTTCAAAGATGTAATTCTGGCCTAGCAGAAATATCCTGTACTAAATGACGATAGTATAAAGGTAATAGCCAAGTTTTACTATTTATTCTATTTGAACTATGTTTGCTTTAAACCTCACCGTTTAACCGAAAAACACAAAAAAACCTATTTTTGCAAACATCCACCATAAACATAACAAGGGGTGTTGATAAGGACCTTTTAACACAATTAATTTATCGTATTCTGAACATGTCAATTTTTAGCTCTATAGGAATTATTGCTAGCTTCAAAATCTAATTTGACTGGATTAGTTAAGTACAACTTACATAAGCATAGTGCGCAATTTAATGAAGTCGCAATGTTCTGGGTTCTCGACTTCCACCACACCCCACGGGTATAAACGGCCTCGGACGCGACGCCCGCGTACCTCCAGTTGTTGGCCCGCACCACAAACCGCAAACGGCACGGCTGCTTTTAACTGACGTACCTATAAAGATGATATGTTTTTTTTTAATTTTGATTAACATTATTAATGATATACTTTGTAATAATCAGCTAAGAAAATTGTACTATTTACTTTGTATCATAAAAAATAAAAATGTATAATCAGTTTTCAAGTTTAACTCTAAACGGAAAGTAAAAATAATGCTTTGATTTATATTGCATATGTAATATTCGTTAATGGACATAGTATTTACTTAATATTACCTAAAAATAGCTGTTCCTTCACTCATATCTCAAATGACCAAACTCTACTGACCTGTTCCTTGTAATCTTCATCCTCGTCGCTATCACAGTCAGGCAGAGGATATATCTTTATACCCTCTCTTTCTATCTCTTCCATCACCTATTCGTAATAAAAAAAATTACTATGTCTCAAATCTAAATATAGTGTTACTTAGCTGTTGTTCGCTATGATCACACCTTAGAACCGGCTTTAAAAATTCGTAAAAATGAAATTGAAATACGTAAAAATACATAGATCTCTATGTTATGTCAATTATATGGACAAATTTTAAACCGAAAACGATCTTAATACGACATCAAATAGATAATCATTTGTCCAGAGGAAACTATGTACACCTTTTTTTTAGCTGATGGTGTGAATGCCTAATGCACGCCCACGCCGGTTAATAAGGACATGGAGAGTGTGGTAAGTCGTATAGTCGACCAGAACCACGAAATACACCACCAGCCCTGGGAACACCTGTACGACTCCAAAGCTCCCAGCACCAATGCACATTTCAAAACTAGCTACACATTAGGTGTAGAACTTTAATTAAGTTAAATAAAAGATACTGTCTATAGTTTACGCGAGTAGTACACATTTAAATAAAACACTTTAACGGTTTAAAACGCGACATATTAGTTAAACTTATTTGAAAATGATTTTCAAATTCGGCCCGACGTTTCGGATGCTTTGCAGCATAAACTAAAGATGGAGGATTTCTCTGACGTCAAAGTAAAAATTGCTACGCTAGCGCCATCTGTTCCGTCGAAGTTGGTTTTTGGCGAAACTGGCCGGGTCCTTACAGAATTGACTAACGGTGTCTTCGCGCTTACCGGTATGCTGTTTATTGGGATCCAGAGTTTTTAATATGGGATCCCAGGTGTTTGATAATTTGAGGCCGTCGACAAACTAATATATCGCGTTTTAAACCGTTAAAGTGTTTTATTTAAATAAATAAAAGATTTCAAATTTTCACTCACTACCAGTCTGTAGAATCGTGTGTATATACTGATTTACGTTACAAACAACCTTTCTGTTTAAACGAGAAGTTTTTATTTAACTATTTAAACTTATTTATTGACAGTGCTTCACTATATAATGTAGATATCATAATAATAATTTATTTAGTAGTACTTACTCTAGACTTGAGTCGTTGCACTTCTTTCTTCGTCAGACAATCAGCTTTGGCGATAACAGGTACTATGTTCACTTTGTTATGTAATTGCTTCATGAATTCAATGTCCAATGGTTTTAGTCTGAAATAAAATGAAAACATCTTTGAATAGCCTTCACAAAAGGTGTTTTAAGAGAACACAATGGTAAAAGAGGTGAAGAATTTTGAAGTGGGAAGTACGAGAGGCGAGTATTTCATTTAAACTTCTGTCCTCTCAAAACTATGTATTGTACGCTTGACGCATAGCTAGGCAAGGAGTTTTAATGAGATTTGCAGAAATTGGAGACCTATAATTATGCTCTATTTTCCTCTATGAGGCATAGTCAATTTAATAAATCCATTTTATTTATAGACAAGTAGATAATCAGACTTTGCCTGCATAACTGATCTGAAACGTCGGACTATAGTTAACATAAAAATAAGTTAACTAATATATTATCGTTTTAAACCGTTAAGTTTTTAATTTTAAGGACGGACACAATTGATAGTATCCTGGGATTCGATCCTCGTGCTTAACACAAAGCTAGGAATGCTTTAACTATTGAGCACATGGTATAAAGCAAAATCTTCATACAATAACAAATTAATTAATTAAATTATTAATATTTTTTAAACCCTATTCTTATATATTATTTAAGGATATTACTAGTTAGTATGTATTCACAAACAAGGCACCTGACATTGACCTAGCAATTATAGTAGCAGGCGATAATATTACACCATAAGGTGGCACTGTGCCAGCACCTTACTAATGAATTCAACCTTAAAACGACACTTAATTAATCTCCAACACGAAACACCTTTTTAGAAATTGTTTTTTGTAGTATTCGCAAAAAATAATGAATGTTAAAAGTAGAACATAATATATTATTTATCTTATATAGTTATAGTCTGTTAAGATCAAGTTATGATTTTTTATTTATATGTTTATCTTAATTTTATGATTATATGTACTAATAAGTTTTATATGTCACTGTGTATTAAATTAAAGTATTTATTTCTTTCTACCAAATATGTCTGAATATATGGATGGTCCCGAGTCCGAACTTCGAGGAAACGGTCTCTCGATCACCTACTTGTTCTTAGTAAAGTCTTAACTAGACGAAGCACACAACTTGCCTTTAATATACTGTTAAAAAAGTGTGTAAATTGCCATCTATGTAACTTAATGCCTTTTAATGAAGTTTTAACCCTTCGAATCATAATTTAGGGCCACTATCATCATGAATTGATTATTTGACGGACTTGTTAATCTAAGGACTTTAATGGTTAATATTCAACATGTCATCAGTTCGATTCTCAGCAAGCCATGTTGCCAGTCAACTTCATATTTTTTGAAACATGTTGGACTTCGTCTATATACATTCGGTTTGTAACTCCTTATATATAGAGTTACAAACCGCCATCGATAGATGAAAAAGTCGTACACTATAAATAGTGTTTCGGTTACGATGTATTTCCGAATATCGAAAAGCAAAATATGGTGACTCTCCTTTTTTTGATGTTATATGGAGGTACCTTCCAATAAGTTAACCTCATGCTAATCTATGCAACCTTATCATAAAAAAGCAATACATACCCATGTCCAAACGGCGATATGAAATAGAAGCAGCAGTGAATTCTGTTGTCTACAATATTACGTCGATTAAGACCGCTCTCGTCACGCAAGAACCGCTCGAATTGTTCATCGATGTATTGTATAATTGACTGAAAAAAGTGGTCTTGTTTATTGCTTGGCAAGTTCAATGCAATAATTAAAATCAAACATAACCACCTCTAATGGAACAACAGACAGACTAAATACTGTCTATAGTTTACGCGAGTAGTACACATTTAAATAAAACACTTTAACGGTTTAAAACGTGATCCCGTGAAGCCGTGACCACGGCTGCTGCAAAGCATCCGACACGTCGGGCCGAAGTTAAAAATAATTTCCAAATAAGTTTAACTAATATATCGCGTTTTAAACCGTTAAAGTGTTTTATTTAAACAGACAGACTGTTTAACATTCTGTTTTTCTTTTCATCGTAAAGTACATTTTCTTAGTAGTACACCATGAGGTTTACTATTTGATTATTGTACAAGCATAATGTTTTCAAAGCCCAATATTCTTTTCTATACAATTCAAATCCAAGGTACATTTTAGTAATTTAATTTTAAGATATACAATATACCTTGAAGCAATCAGTATTGTTTATAGCGTCTCCATAACCAGGAGTATCAACAACAGTCAGCCGAAGTTTCACTCCTCGCTCCTCAATTTCAACAGTAGAGGCATCGAGTTTTACTGTTTGGTTTTGCTTTTCTGTGAAAATTATTAAGTATTACATATTAATTTATTATTAAGGTATTTATCAAAAAGAGAGTAGTAAGAGCATTGTTAGTGGGCCACTATTATACAAATAGAGACATTTAAGCAAATGCAACCATGAAGAAATGTATTTGTGAATCTTTCTTTATATTTTGTGAAGTAAGACTAAGAACTGAATCTCCATCTCTACATACAATTTTAAAGAACAAAAGCATGTCAGAAATATATGTAACCAGGCAGTTCAGTAGAATATCCATTAAATTTAAGAATAATTAATCTAAGCTTTTTCCAAGTTTAATTGATAACAATATAAATAAGTTTTTACTGAGTTGTTTTAGGTTTGAAAGATGCAATCACTAATAATCAATACATATCTGGTTCCAAACATGGAATGGATTACATGCTATACTTCTGGAAACTTGTTTTATGTTGTGTAAAATTCACAATAATTATTCAAATGTTACATAGAGTAATTACATCACAGAGATATTCCAACATTGAGTAATTCTTCTAAGAAATAACTGCTGTAAGGACATAAGTTATATGATTTATTAAAAAAAAAAATTTAAAACATTAATCATATAATTATAATCCAAACAGGGGAGGCGTAAGTATCGCATGATTGTTAAACTAACTAATGCTAATACAAACTTTAAGAAGTCTAGTACCTCATTGAGAGATAATTTCCTTACCTGTAGCATCAGGAATAACTCTCTCAGGGTACAGGTCAGTCAAGAACAGAGAGTTCACAAGAGTAGATTTACCAAGGCCACTCTCCCCAACCACCATAAGAGTGAACTCAAAGCCCTTTTTGACAGACTTCCGATGCACCTGGTTTGGCAGGTTGGCAAAACCAACGTAGCCAGGTGTCTCGAGGTTGGAAAACTGTGTATAAAAATTAAAATTGAATAATACTGTTTGTTTAATTACAAGCAGTGAGTAACTTTTTTAATTAATTTTTTTTTCGATAATTTTCCAACTTAAAATTACTATAAATTATGTTTACTTTTGAATGCATGTTTGCTTCAAACACATCAGTTCACACCAATTACTTAAGGAATAAATTACATTTGTCCTGTTAAATTATCTAAGGGAAGGCACCCAAAGTATCTTATGTTAATTACCAGAACTGATAAGCCCATTATTTCAATAAATATAACAGTACAAGTGATAAAGAAAGTCAGTGATGTGCATTTTATAGAGAGACAATACAGTCATGCTATAAATATTCAATTTACGCGTAAACATTGACACACATCCGCTAACTGTATCAAGATCCATTTCACTGGTGGCATGTATGCCTACATAAACTATATTTATGGAATATTTGTGATAAGTAGGTTAGGGGAAATGCATAACTAAAACTCATATTTTTTATATTCAAGCAATATCTACGAGATATTCTTTCAATAAATAGAAGTTCAAAAGGATTTTGTTAAAATAATTAATGCCGCAAACACTTACATTCTTCGCAGTATCACTCGACATCCTTATATAAATTTAGTTTGCACTTTTATATTATATATTTGATCTACGTCAACCTCAATCATAAAGTGAAACTCTTAAAAGTTTAAAACGTTGATGATGCACTCTTGGAAAATACAACCAGAAACCACCAAATTCTACAACGAATCCTTTATCCTGGAGAACTGACCCAACAGATTACAGAGGCAAAACAAATTCTCAATATGTCAACTTGATGATTCATAATGCAAAGGAAAAATGTCAATTGTCAATAAATATGATAGATCATAGACATTGTTGACAGTCGATTGTCAGTTATAGAACATCAATAAAAATATGAAAATATTGTAAATTGTAAATTCACGACTTAAGGTAGAAACATTATTTTCCTTATTGTATTCTTTAATACTATTTACACGACATAAAAAGTATTGTAATTTATATAGATCGTTGGTTTTAGTTCTATCTAAAGTCTTAACATCTTTGTTATAAACGGCGCACGTATCCAAACCTATTCAACTATAATTATAAGGAGTGTTCCTTCACCTTGGCTTTCAGGATCAACTGAATGTCATAATGGCTACATCAAGTGATACTTCGGACCAGAATGTGAAGTCCAGACGCCCTGCGGGTAGGCATTGCTTTATTATTACACCCTTTGACCTTGATAGTATTGATTTTAATTTGTATTATTTTTTAGAGTCCGCATTCAAACAGCAGCGTCTTCCCGCTTGGCAACCGATTCTTACGGCAGGAACGGTCCTTCCGACCTTTTTCGTTATTGGAATAGCATTTATACCTGTTGGTATAGGCCTCTTGTATTTCTCGGATGAGGTCAGCTATAAACAACTCTAAACTAACAATGCTGTAAGATGTATATTTTTAGTTTAACGACTTCTTATGATTTCAGGTGAAAGAACATGTTATAGACTATACACATTGCATGAAGGAAGATGCTGTTAATGTGACATGTGCTACATTTATAAAGGAAACAAAAATGGAGGAGCCTTGCATGTGCCAAATAAACTTTAATTTAACAGAAGACTTCAAAGGCGATGTCTACTTTTATTATGGCTTGAGCAATTACTATCAAAATCATAGACGATATGTGAAGTCTCGGTATGAATATATTTTAAACATATAAATAGTAATTTGTAAAGTATGTAGTTGGTTACCTTATAAGAGCCTTTCCCATTTTCACAAGCTTTAAATACTTTTAGTTTGTATGCTAACTATGTGTTATATGTATGGAAAACAAACAAACCTCTTTAGAACAAACATGAATTAATGTATAAATCTATTAACTATGATTGATGTAATTATTATTCTGTATCAGGGATGATAGCCAACTTCTTGGTCATCTGACTCTTACTCCATCTTCGGACTGTGATCCGTTTGCATATGCTGATGAAGATGGTAAACAGAAACCCATAGCACCTTGTGGAGCTATTGCTAATTCTCTATTTAATGGTAGGTATTTCATAACATCTCTTAATAGTTATAATTAATAATTAGTGTATTAATTTATCTATCTCAAAAATTTATTTGATAAAAGTTACATATAACAAAACATTGCATTGAATAGGTTTCTAGATTTAAATCCAAGGTATCCCTTATTTGCTCAGTACTTGTATGGCCTAATAACGTAAATGGGTATTATATTTCGACATTTCAATATTATGCTGGCTTCATTACTTTCAGACACCTTGAGAGTGTATTCTCAGGATTTGAATAAAATGGTTGAAGTTCCTGTGTTAAATACTGGTATTGCATGGACATCAGATAAGGATATCAAATTTAGGAATCCAGCAGGAGATCTTAAAACTGGTGAGCAAATCAAATCCCACCAACCCAAAATACATAGATTGAATAACTTTCCACCTAATAATATTAATCTAGTATACCTATGTAGTACACACTTAAATAAAACGGTTTAAACAAAAAATGTATTAGTTAAACTTATTTTCAACTTTGTCTCCCCGTGACCATGGCTGTTACAAAGTATATAAAACGTCGGGCCGAAGTTGTAATAATTTGTAATATAAGATTATCTACTACTTTTCTCATTTCATATCAGCAGATGGATATAGGATACTTATATGCCTGATATACAAAGAGGATACATGATAATATAATATGAAATAGCTTCTATTATTTACTATATATTCAGTAAGATTGTTATAGTTATTTTTCCTACAAACATTTACTGACTAACTTCATTATCACTGTTTCAATTGATAACTCTCAATTCCGCAATATTGATTCATAGGAGAGATTAAGAATATTTTTATCTACAAAACGCCTAACATTTTATTAGAGTTTCAATATGCTATAAGTTAACATTTACGGAATTATTATTTTTTTAAATTTGAAATGAATACTTACCTTGTTAAATATGTTATGTTAAAATATGTTGTATTATTTCAGCCTTCGCCAATTTTACAAAGCCAGTTAATTGGAGGAAACCAGTCTGGATGTTAGATCCTAATAATACTGAAAATAATGGATTTCAGGTAAAATAATCTTGTACCAAAATCTTATCCTTAACATTACAATAATTGACATATTTTGACAATTTAAAAAATTATTGTTACCGTTAGGAAAATTGTTACCTAGCAATGAATTAAGCGGTTTCAAATCTAGGGGAGAAACATTAATCTTTTCACAGGTTAGGGCACATGACAGGCACTATGATAATTTAAAATCCTGAAAATAAAATTGACAAAAAAATGTTCGACTTGAACCGCCACTGACCTGTAATACCTCACTCGCTTTCCGTTCTGTTAGCTCTGTAAACCAATTTGACTGCTGCCGAGTCCTACACCTCATCGTCGAATTTTTTCAACTTATTAGATTACAGGCATCAAGGTCTCGCGCAATGTAATTTTGCAACCTGTTCGCTGTTGCTGATGTGAATTTTGAACAACGCAAATATAATGTTTTCTTTTTAATAGAATGAAGACCTCATCGTTTGGATGCGAACAGCAGCACTACCAACATTCCGAAAATTGTATCGTCGCGTTGATCACACTCAAGTTGGATTCAGCGTTGGATTAGCTAAGGGACCGTATACGCTGCAAGTTGATTATAGTAAGTAATAATATTTTTGGGCGAAAGGCAAAGGGCGTTGTTTATATATCCAGGCGAAATTATTCTACTCACGTTGGATCTTTCAGTAGCACGTCTTTGGGATTGTATAAAAGAATAGACACAATTCTTTATCATGTTTCATTAAGTCAGTAAAAAAATTGGTGTAAATTGTCACAAAGAAATAATATATAATTTTTTTCTTACCACTATGGTCATATTGACTTTTTAAGATTGGAAGGTCTACCCTCCAATTATGGAGGATATCAGCAATATTTATGGCTTTGGATGTAAACGTGATTAAATTTAACGGCTTTTTCATCTATGGTTCGACGCTGGTTCTTGGAAGAAAATTTTCGATATTTCTTCCGCCCATTAACATAAATTTCCTTTATTCTTCTAGATTATCCAGTAACTGACTTTGACGGAACGAAGACGTTCATAATATCGACGACGTCCCTACTGGGCGGTAAGAACCCGTTCCTTGGTGTCGCTTATGTTGTTGTTGGAACTCTTTGCTTGCTGCTGGGGATCGTTCTTCTAGTCATTCATGTACGATGCTCCAAGAGGTATGTATCCGTGTTATTATTTTTAAGAAAAGGAATAAAAAATACAGTCTATAGTGTACGCCAGTAGTACACATTTAAATAGAACAATTTAACAGTTTAAAACGGGATATATATTAGTTAAACTTATTTGGAGATTAGTTTAACTACAGCCTGACGTTTCGGTTGATCTGCAGCAGCCGTGGTCACGGGGGTAACACTGTGTGTCTCGCGTTTTAAACCGTTGAAGTTTTATTTAAATAAAGAAAAGGACCGATAATATGAAACGTTTCAAATACTGTAACAATCTTATAAAATGAAAACAGATATCCTACATCCGTTTCTCAAACTTACTATGTCGAAGCTGGGCCGTCTCTGCAAAATCCCATTGTGGCTTCGTAAGTCAATGTAACAGCCTACTTCGTAAAAACTTACGTATATATTTACTTAGATTAGGACAAAATGTATACTTGTTTAAAGTTAGTTAGTAGGTTTGATACTTGGATACTAGCATTAATATGTATAGTTTTAGCACTAAATCCAATAGCATTGAACAAAATAAAAATTATAAATTGAAAAAACTTACGACATTGTCAGGACTTAAACCGGCATCCACTTCGTTCCGTGCTGTCGCTGTAACCAATTGAGCTACCGTGTCCTATACGTCATCGTCGAATTTTTTCAACTTATTGATACATGAACCTCTTGCGCAATGTAATTTCAACTTTATCAGCGCATTAACGTTCAATGTCTTATGCTTTGTAGCTTAAGAAAATCATTGAAGATAAAATTATAAAATTTGACGTTAGTTAATTTTTTTCAATTTATGTGCAAAACATGTAAAAAATAACAAGAATGTTTAAAAGACTTATTAAACGGACGTCATTTGTTTATATGTAATTAAAAAACAGAATCGGTTGTAATTAGATATCCATGATGTAATATAGTTTCTTGAATATGGTATGTTTGTGACTATCTAGAAATAAGCAAATAATGTATGAGAGAATAATTATTATTAATTTTTTTTTCAGCACAACCGAGATGATCAACGTAAATCCACGAACGCCATATTCTTAAATGTATTCTGCACGCTTAGAAGAATAACGAACACTTAGATCGCAACTGAGGATTCTGCGAGGCTTTTAGCACCAATTCGCCTAATAGTATAGCTTTTCAAATTCATATTCCTGCATTTTAAATCGAGATGTTTTAAATTACCAATAATATAGTGTTTTGAAAGCTGTTATACAATTGACATATTGGCTTCGTTTTTTAAGCTACAACTTTTTACTAACAGTTACACTGATAAATTTCCTACAATTTATATGTAATGTTGCATTTAACACATTAATTATTCAGTTAAGAGAATTCTACTTTGTCGTTTGATCTCCTTGGTAATGAAATGTCACAGCTACAAGTATTAAACGTCATTTCTGTTTTATCTTTTGGGTTTCTATCGTACCTACAACATCTTGCACTATTTTTTCTTAAATCTATGAATCATCTAGGTGTATGAACAATTATTTTAGTATTGATGCAAACATCGAACCCAATTAATTTACATCAACGTAGTTTAATAACGTAGATTTAAAATTGTTGTGTTATTTTGTACTAAAAGTATTTATTTAATATTACGAGTTTTAATTATATTTATGTTAAGGTTGTATTGTATAGGTTATTAATGTAGGTCTAATTCATTTTATTAAAATTATTTCTTTGTTACTTAATTTTTTATTTTTAAGAATACAAAAATGTTTAAAAACTCCTCTTTCAACGTAATGAGGAAACCTAAAATGACAGATTGAATATGCTTGATGCTGATTGGTCGAAAAATAAAGGTGACAATCTTTCGACCAATTACAACACAGATACAAAATCGTCAATTTATGGTTACAGACTGCATTTTTTTACAATTTTATCTATCAATATGTAATATATATGTAAACCTATATTTTGCTGTACGTTGGTATTTAACTAGCCGTCTGAGTAATAAGTATTTTGTAAGACCAAAAGTGCCTACTGTATGTAATAATCAAAAAAAATGTTAGCGTAGTATTGCGAAACTAATACTTAACTATAAAGATTAGATATATCACGTTTTACATTAATCCTAATATTACACGCTTTCAAAGATAATTATTGAGTTAATATATATTTATTGTTAGTTTTAGTGAAATATAATTTGAATAAACGTATAACATCACATTATTCTAATAAAACAAACTGTTTATCTTATTTTATTGTAAATAATTATTTTAACAACCTTCGAGCTAAACATAACTTTCTGTTGGTCAAGCAGCGACCAGCAATAGTTGTATGAAAATGCATATCTGTCATGTCTAGCACCCAAATAAGTTACTATGTATAATCGAATTTTACGTGTAATTTAAAAATGGAACGATCTTTTTCTCCGCAACATGGCGACCAAAGAGGAATCGTAATCGAAGGTTTAAATTAAATTTGGAACTGGCATGCACGTAGAAAGCAGTTTAGTAAAAACAAGTTTATAGCAGAGTAACGTAGAAAGCAGTTTAAAAAAAAGTACTTAGTCATTGGTTTTAAAGTTCTAAATTGTACTACTTAGTAGTAGTTTATTTTCCGCGGATTATTTGAGAAAAGTATTGTACAAAACTTGGTCGTAACAAGGCATTGATGGACTTACATATGTGTTCATTTATATGTTGGTCCATAAATGCCTCCCTTGCCGGCCGCTACTGTAATATATTTACTGTATTAATACAATTTAAATAACATGATCAGGTTTATATCAGTTCAAGTTAAATATCCATTCCACACATTTTAGGGTCACATTTTTTAATCTTAATAACTCATTAATTATTGTAAACATAATGCTGTAGCCTGTAGTTGTGAATAAATGTTTAAAAATATATTTTGTGTTCTTCTCTTCCTTGTGTAATATTTTTTTTAAAGACACACAAGTGTCTGCTCCATGATCTACATAGACGAAGTTGGATTTTTGTAATGAAAATATATACTAAATAGTGCCACATTTAATATCTGACTAAAAACTTATCTAATATCAGTGATTTATAATTGTGAGTAAAGATAAACTACATCTTTGTTGCGAGTAGATACGTAATAATCCTTATGTTCTTGAGTGACTTATTTTGATGTTAACCACGTGCTGGATACATGTGGTTATTTAAAAAGTCGCGTACAGTTTAGCGTTGCTAAAAGAAATCATTGAGTCATTGGTATTTTTTTCTTGTAAATGACGTAAAAAAATTATGAACATGTTTCTATTTGTAAAAACTGAGTAAAGAATAGCTTCGATTATTAGAAGTTTTACTAAATACATTTATGTAAGTATAAACAGCATTATACACAACTTGAGTGGTACTTCATTGGTTTTTACCCATGACCCGACGTTCAGAGGTGTTTAACAGCCGGAAACGCAAAGAAACATTGGTTCCTCTGTGTTTTTATGGCTTAAGATCCAGGCAAACTTTTAACCCCTTAAAAAAAAAAAGGGTGTTTATACTGAAAGTACGTCTGTTTCTTTCGTCTACTCTTAAACTGTTAGGCCGATTTTGAAGAAATTCTCACAAAAATTTAAAATTGGAACTCCGTGCAAATAAATATAAAACATTACCCGCGGATAGAAACGCGTAGAACCGCTACTAAGTGATGTAAATTCGAATTCGCCTCAATAAATTTACGTCTATAGAGCAATAAATGATTGATAAGATTATATCTTTATCTCATACAGGTTTAAGAATTATTCTTTAGTTTTAAGGCACTGTCCTGTTAGAAGTACAACGAAATGGATAGGTGGATCTTCTTGCTAATGGCAATTCCATACGTTGTGGGGCAAAATGAAGAGTTATACAAACTAAACATTATACATTACAATGACTTTCATGCGCAGTAAGTTTTTATATATATTTATTTACTCATTTGCATTTATCTTTGTAAGATGTGTGTATGTTTGTTATTTAAACTTTTATCAATGTATGTTTACTAGGGCCGATGTTTTCAAACATCTGTTTAATATTTATTTTTAAGACTAATAACACTAAGTGTAAGAAATTGGACCAGTTCTAGAACTGGGAGTTGTCTTGAAATATATGCCCTATATTTTAAAGACAAACAGATAATCAGGGGTTTTACTTGATGGTGACGCTTCACTGACGTATATCATCTAAACACGAGGTGCGCTGTCGATCTATTACCTTACTATTACTGCTCTCGTTATTAGGAAAAAATGCCTATAAGCTATTATCAAATTTTTCAACGACTTCAAAAAAAAAGGAAATTTCTCAATTCTTTAGGTAGCTATTAAGTGGAGTATTAACCAATAAAAATATTTATGAATCTTGCTACTTGCCCGGGATAAACAGGAAATTTTCTCGGTACATTTATTTCAACGGGTCGTGGGTACAGGTCCCTACAGTGTCCAACATCTTTCCAATCAATTTATATATTTTTCTTAATTTGTCTGGAATTCTGGAATGGTGAATGGTGGTTCGTCTGGATTCTTAAATGGATCCGGGTCACGTACCATACCGTACCATAGATTAAAAAGTCATCAAATTTAATCGGGTTTCGGTTATAGTCTGTGAATTTCCGAATATTTAAATATTGAAAATAGGTCAACGGCGCATCTTGTGTAGATGTTATATGGCTGGGTTATTTCACCTACCATCAAGTGAACCACGTGCGTATCTGTCCTCCTTCATCATATTAAAAAAAAACCTAATCCGTGGGCTGTTTGCGCAAACGCAGATAATCTCTTTACGTGTATGTTACTTGTTTAATACTTTGTGTTTTTAGTTTCGACGAAATATCCCAATCAGGCGGGACGTGTATGCCCGATGAAAACAATTGTATAGGCGGCCTATCCCGGCTGTATACCGGGATCAAAGAGGCTCTTGAAGTTGAACGGGATTCTCTGCTACTAAACGGCGGAGACACTTTCCAGGGAACAGTCTGGTACAACTTTATGCGGTGGAATGTGTCGCAGCATTTTATGAACTTACTTCCAAAACATGACGCGCATGTTAGTTATTATATTTTTATTGAGTTTTAATATTTGTATAACGCTGCTGTATGTAACTTAAAACATCTAAATTGGGTCATCATTTTGTAAATCACAGAGAGTCCTTGAATTATTTTAAAGGCATTCTTAATTTAAATTATTTTATATTTTTATAATAATTATATTGAAAATGTCTTTCTACCCACATGTAGTTGAAACTATTATACTCAGCCGGCATTAACATACATTTTCGTACCATAAAAAGTGTTGAGTCGTTCTTTGCAAAGCCAAATCGGCATTTGATGAGGACCTTCCTTTAAATGAATGATCTCTTCGAATCTCCCAGGTACTAGGAAACCATGAGTTCGACCACGGCATTGAGGGACTGTTGCCATACCTTGAACGCCTAGAAGCTCCAATGCTGGGTGCCAACGTAAACACAACGTTTGAACCAGAAATGGCCAAATATGTCCAGAACCACGTTGTCGTTGAACGGAATAACCGCAAAATCGGCATTATCGGAGTATTGCTCACAAAGGTATATGTTTAAAGGCTTCATTTATTCTGACGGTGAAAAGATGTGAGTTGTTTTGGACCCTGCAATACCAACATAGACACTGCAGAGAACAAACCGTAAACAAACAAAAAATTTACCGCCTGGATAATATTTTCTTGAGCTACTATCGATTTTTATTTATAAAAAATTTATGACACTGGACTTGAAACGGCATCCACAGCGTTCCGCGATTTTTAATTTATTTGCCATCATGTGCAATAACGAGAGAAAAATATTGATGTTTTCAAACCTTTGTTTAAAGAACTGGCTTTCGATCTTAGCTAAAGAAAATATTATAGACGGTTGACAAAGCTTTGTGACCCCGATGAAATTTCAACATCCATTTAATATCCAGATTTTCACACAAATTCCAATATTGTAGAAAATTAAAAATTAATTAGATTTATGATGAACCCGAGGATTGAACCGACACATGGAACTACGAGCTCGTCAAATTCCTATCGCTGTATTAAACAATTTTACTTAACTAACCATAAATTAAGAGATATTTGTACGTTAATTTAAATGCAGGCTCTATCAGTTCACAGCTGATATTGGACAACTTATAATTGAAGATGAATTGGAAGCAATCAACCGTGAAGCAGCAATTCTGGCAGAACAAAATATCGACATTATCATAGTCCTCTCTCATATGGGCTACTTTACTGATCAGTGAGTCAAGTCATCAGTACTTATATTCACTCTTACTTATAACAAAGTATAATCAGCTTGGTTATTAAAAAAGCTTTTATCGTCTTTTTTATGACAGAAGAGGACAGACAAGAATGTTTACTTGATGGTAGATGAAATATAACATCAAAACAAGATGCCCTGTCAACCTATTTTGGAAACCACACCCTGAAACCCACCCCCGATGCGCTTGTGAGTGGTGGTTCGCGACTCAGTCAAAGTCCTCAGACAAAGTCCGTCACATTTCAGAAAATTTGTATAATGATTAGAAAAATGATGGACCCAGTGGGGATCAAACCCACGACCCGAAAATACATACCCACGAGCCATAAATTGCTACCATGACGCCAATGAGCCCGTCGTGCATCATTGGGCCCAGTTAAAACGCTTTCAACTCCTATTCCAACCTGGCCACTCACAAATATGTGATGTAAAAATAATTTTCATTTTATAAGAGAAACTAGCTGTGCCCGCGACTTCGTCCGCGTGGAATAGTGACGGAGTAGAATTTTTGATTATTTAGGCTGCTTATTAATTTATGTAAGGGCGCATTTAAGGCATTTAAGGCAATCTATGTTGTAAGTGCTAATTTGCCGTAACACTCTCACCTCACATCACTCCTACTCCAACTCCCACTCCAACTCCCACACCCACTCCTACTCCCATCCTTCTCTCAAAAAGCCAAAGAAGAAAGTTTCATTGTTCTATCTTCAAAAACCACGAATTTCCATACAAACTTTCATCCCCTTTTTCAACCCCTATTAAATGTATACTGTAACCTACTAAATGTATATCTGTGTACCAAATATCATTTAAATTAGTTCAGTACTTTCGGAGTTTCGCATTTATAATATTAGTATAGATTTGAAAACTTTATCATTTTTAACGTTATATATAGCACACGAAGGCACTCTACAATTTAAGAAGCGAAAATAAATTGAAAAAATGTTCGACTCGGGCAGGACTTGAACCGGCATCGTCAGCGTTCCGTGCTGTTGCTCTACCAATTGAGCGTTTAGATTAATACTACTGTTATATACGATATAGATTACAAAAAAGACGAAAATGTAAAAGAATTTACAAATACGATTCTCTTAATTAAACATTTTTTTTTAATTATGTTTATTGGATTAAAAAAACAAAATAACAGCAACCGTCTACTTCTCTGAGATAATCCTATCTTCTACTCGTTGATATTATGAAGAATTGCATTTCAGGGAACTGGCAGCAAGAATGTCAACTGACGTGGATATCATAGTGGGGGCACACACTCACACATTGCTTTACACCGGCAGTGCTCCATTTGGTACACCTGGTGGGAAGTACCCTACTGTGGTCAAACAGGATAACGGGCACCAGGTAATAAATAAGTATCTTTATGTAATTTTGTTCGGGACAACGATTATGTATATGCACACTATAGTCGACCTGGGACGCGAATCCGCTATCCGAACTATCACGCTTATTATTGGCGTAGTGTATTAACACGACTTACGTTTGTTAAGTGGAGAGGGAAAGAAAATGTGTAGTTTGTATATGAATCTAGAACTGAACATTTTATCTACAGTGACGTTTTGGGGGGGGGGGGGGGGGGGGGGGGGGGGGGGGGGGGGGGGGGGGGGGGGTTGGGGGGGGGGGGGGGGGGGTTTGGGGTTTTTTTTTTTTTTTTTGTTTTTTTTTTTGGGGGGGGGGTGGGGGGGGGGGGGGGGGGGGGGGGGGGGGGGGGGGGGGGGGGGTTTTTTTTTTTTTTTTTTTTTTGGGGTTTTTTTTTTTTTTGTTTTTTTTTTTTTTTTTTTTTTTTGTACTTTTTTTCAGCGCCTTTTTTACGCTGAAAAATGCTAAGGTTCAATGTCCAATGATTTTCAGTTTAAAATCATTGAAGATGAAATTACAGAGCTATTATATTATTACCGTTTAAAAACTGTATAATTTTTCACATGTCATCAAATAAAAAAATCAAAATAGCTTTTTAATAATGGCATTATTTTTAGTAACTTGTAGAAAGTTACAGATTTCAAATACATCTTTTTCTAAGGCCAAAATCCCAGAGGCACTAATAAATCAATTTACTTTAATGAATGATCCATGTAAGGAACACTTTATTTTTTCTATCAGTCCTAAATGACCTACCTCTCTGTAGTGTTGTATTTGTTAGATAATGATGTATTACTAAATTACCTGATTTTTTAATTTTAATAGATTTTAATTGTCCAAGCATCTTCTTACACTCGGTACTTGGGGAACATAAAGCTGTTTTTTGACACAGAAGGTAAAATCATTTCGTGGGAAGGTCAACCTGTATACCTCGGGACTTCTATAGTCAAGGGTAAGAGTTTTTTAGATATATAACTACCTGAACCCGTAATGTCGGTAGTTTACGCGATTAGCATTTTAATTTAACCGTTTAAAACGCGAAATGTATTAGGGTACTTGATTCACTCACGAATCGCCACAGTCTATTTTCTTGCATGTATTATCCTCAGATACCCGCATGGAAGACTTACTTGATTCATGGCGAGCAGAATTGTACCCGCAAAGTCGTGAGGTTTTAGGCAGGTCCCTGGTGCCCTTGCGTCGCAATTCCTGCTATGGGGGAGAGTGCAATCTAGGCAGTTGGGTCTGTGACGCCTTCCTGGAACAGGTATAAAAATGAGAAATATAGAACATAACATGGAGTTCTTGCTGGCTAGAAGTTTTAGAAAACCTATTATTAGAAAAAAGTGTGGTCTTTAAGCGAGTCTTTAAATAAAAAAAACTCCCCGTCAAGCCTTCGAAACGTCGGGCCGTGGTTGAATTAATTTTCAAACAAGTTTAACTAATATATTTCGCGTTTTAAACAGTTTCAATGGAATAAAACGAAAATAAAACGAGGAAAATATTTGTAAACGATTATTTATTGTATAAGAGGGCAGGAATAGTTCTAGTTATTTTTGTTATGTCGTAGAAAGTTCACGCGATGGAATGAAACTATATATCATCTAAAGAATGTATTTTGCCTTTCGACATTTAGAATTTCACAAATTGAAATATCAAAGTTACACGAATACACGAATTATATCGATTTAGCTCCTCGCGAAAAATACATATTTTTATCTGAATTTCAGATGTTATCAAGAGCCAGTGGTAATAAATGGAACTACGCACACCTCTGTCTCCTGGGTTCGGGAGGTCTACGAGCAAATATCAATCCTGGAGGTAAACAAAACTGCCTTCTCTTAATACACTTTGAAATTGTAATTTTTCACATATATTTATCAGTTATTATTGTATTTTTTTCATAAGTAAGTAACTTAAAAACTGAGAAATTTCGATAGCACGCTGGTAACTATAGTTTAACTGGGAGAGCATAGAACGTAACTAAGTTATTGTGGATTCGAGTCCAGCTTATGTCATAATGTTCATCAACGCAATGTTTAAATCAAAATTGCTTCTAGATGTAACAACAGAGGGCTTACTGATGGCCCTTCCGTTCGAGAACAAGCTGCAATCTTTTGACGTGAAAGGAAAGTTTCTTCTAGAAGCACTAGAGCATTCTGTATCAGCAGCACAAGACGATCCCACCGATTTCTATGCTTATAGGATGTTGCAAATTGGAGGTAGGATATTTCATTGATCCCGCTACAGAAGCACTCCATATATTGTAGGGCTCCTTAGAGAAACTTGCTTACCTGAATGAAGAGGAAGCTTAACACGGACTCGTTGTTGTCATAACATCAATACCATACCACCATACCACAGTAGCAATGTGTAGCTAATAATCCACGGATTGTGGGTTCGATATTATTCTAATCTATCTGAATCATGTTGGAAATCTAAATATTAAATGGGTGGTAGGAATATTTAAAAATAAAAATGTAAATGGCCAGTGTTGTCTATAGTTTACACATCTAAGTAAAACATTTTTAACGATTTAAAACGCGAAGCCGTGACCACAATTGCTGCATCCGAAACGTCGGGGCCATAGTAAAATTAATTGTTAATAAGTTAACTAATACTTATCGCGTTTTAAACCGTTTAAAGGTATGCGCAATGTCATCAACGCAACTGCTCCCAGTGGTTCCAGGATAATTTCATCTTCTGTTCGTTGTACTGAGTGTGAGGTGCCTCGCTATTCTCCAGTTGAACCAGAGGCCACCTACACAGTGATTACTCAGAACTACCTTGGCAATGGTGGGGGCGGATTTTCGGTAAGGGAAAGGAAGGATACCATACCATTTCTATGTATCAAAACTGCAAATTAAAAATTGATTTTAGATCGACACAACTTTACAAGGGCAGGACTTGAATCTTGGATGTAACCAATTAAGCTACCGTGTTAGTGTTAGCCTGTTGCTCTAACCACTAACACGGAATTTGAATGCAGGTTCAAGTCATGCCGTAAAGTAGTGTTAATCTAAAATCGATATGTCATTCTATTATGCCATCATGTGAGAAATATCAAAGTTTTCAAAACGATACATATTTTTGTGTCCGTTTCAATAATATATTCCTCTTATCTCGTTAGTCTCTCTGATTATCTTTTTTATCGTCTTATTTATATTTTCTTTAATATGTAAATGAATTTGTATCAGTTTGATTTAACTATAGCTTACTGATGTATATTTAAAGATCCTGTTTTTCTTGCAGATGTTAACTGACAACAGACAAAATATACAAGAATTCGAAATTGACTACGTCGCCTTACAACAACATATGCGAAAGACGCAAATATTCCTTCAAGACCTAGACGGGAGGATACAAGTTGTTTACTCATAAACATGTTTTATTGTTACCAATGTAAAATATATAACTAAAATTATATTAATTATAGTCTCTATGTGTGTTTTTTAAATATAAAAATATATGCTGTAACTCTGGTCGGCTTCCATACCAGGCATATTTCGTACAAAAAACCGCGTTTGTGAAATACTGAGCTGAACAAGGAAACCTGGACTTACTAAGCCAAACAAATAAAATCTTTTGTATATCTTTGTATGTATTACATAATACTTCATATCTTTAGAATTTCAAAATAATTACGATTAGATGAATGAAACACATTTTTATTTATCTGTTAAGCGCTTTAATGATATGATTATAATTATAAAGTCGTCAATACACATGCTTTAGTTCGGTAAGGCTTGTTTGAGCTGTATGAGATAATGCGTTCGTTTTCCCAGGATTCGAAACCCGTTGCTAAGCAACGCGTTCTACCATTGAACCATGGAGGTCAGGCAGTAGTTGCCTATATTTTTTTTCAATTAGGTCTCTGTATAGATATGCAAATTATATATAATCAAACTTATTTTCAACCCTTTATATGTTTTATATTTACACTACATAACATAACAAAAGAAAACAATTATTTTTACTTTCACAAATATTACTACTTTTTACATAAAACCTCTTCTAAGATTTTTAAAATATCTTATTTTTAACATATCTTAAAACTTTATTTAAAAAAACACCTTTTCATAAATTATTACTTAGATACATTACGATATTGAAATTGTGTATTTAACCAATTACGAGAAAATATGTTATAAACTAAATTTACATTATCGAGTTGAATTCGGACAACGCACAGAGTCCAATTTTGCGATATAAACGCACTACCGACGAGACTCTACAGTAATTTTATCAAGTGCTATCATTACTCAAATAAAAGCAGCTATGAAACTCGGGATTTTGTGTTTATTTTTGCCGATTTTGGTGCAAAGTGAATTCAAGTTGAATATTATTCATTATAACGACTTCCATGCACAGTGAGTACCATAAACAAATACAACTCTACTAACAGATTTTTTATCAAGTTCCTAAAAGAAATATCAAATCCAAGTAGGTCTCTAGGTCATATTTATGAAATATACTAGAGTTTGTATAATACAACGTCTCTAACACATTCAATTTAATTAGTATTTTAAAATAAAGTAGGTATATTTATTCTTGGTTGCTGGTTCACGATTCAAAATGGGTTATATTACTGAATGATTATTTCTGGCTGTCACTCCATGCGCCATGACTGCGCTGCAGAAATTATGTTGCGGCAACAGCTGAGTGACTCTTACACAGCACAGTATATTAGTGTGTGAATTTAATTTTCTTGGTTTTAATTAATATTATAGTGTGTTTGGTGTGGAATATATTAATTAAATATAATAAAACTATTTAAGCATAGTAGGGCTATAAAAATATTAAATTACTAATTCACAGCAGACTAATAGCACTTTTTTATATTTAAGCTTTGACGAAGTATCCCCATTAGGTGGGACATGTATGCCCAACAAAAACAATTGTATAGGAGGCCTATCCCGGTTGTATACCGGGATCAAACAGGCTCTTGAAGTGGAACCGAATTCTCTGCTGCTAAATGGCGGAGACACTTTCCAGGGAACGGTCTGGTACAACTTTATGAGGTGGAATGTTTCGCAGCATTTCATGAACTTACTTCCAAAGCATGACGCTCATGTTAGTTTTTAATTTGCAATGACATAAATGTTCTAAGCCTTATAGCCGAATATGAAATGGCAAAATAGGTCCGAAAGCGTATCTGCCTAAATGTTATATGGCTAGGGTATTTCGCTTTTCAAGTGACATCATCCTTTTTTATGATAGAGGAGGAATGAACCCCTCATTTGATGATAGGCGAAATACCCCAGCCATATAACATCACAGGATGTTATGTCAAGCTTTTCTGGCTTTCAATTTTTGGAAATCCACAGATTAAAACCCAAACGCGATTAAACTTCACGTTAATTTTAATCTGTAGATGACGGTGCGCATGACCGAACGGAATTTTCGATACATTCACTGACATACACCCTACAATATACAAATTTCCAGGCGAGAACCAGCATGTTTCAAGAGAATTTTAAATTGAACAGAAATAAGTGGGACCCGTGTTACCACACTGACGAGCCAGCTTGTGTGGTTCATATTAGTAGCGTAACTTTTATATGTATCATCGTAGAAGCTTGACTTATAACGTCTATAACTATTTCTAGGTACTAGGAAACCATGAGTTCAGTCATGGTATTAAAGGGCTTCTGCCGTATCTGGAACGGTTACGAGCGCCGATGCTGGGTGCAAACGTTAATACCACATTTGAACCAGAATTAGGCAAACATATAAAAAACCATGTGATCGTCGAACGTAATGGGCACAAAATAGGTATAATTGGCGTTTTATGAACGGTAAGGCCTTTATATATTAAAGTACAAAAGCTAACACATTTCCGGCCGAAACTTCAGCTTACAGAAAAAACAATACATTCGGTTTCGGAATTAGAAGTGGCCTTTTATCCTGTTGTCAATGTGATTTTTATGAATATTATATCTTTTATATGTCTCTATATTTTTATCGGTTCCGGATAAAAAGGATTCCCTTTGTTAGATTTCTTCCTAGGTACGCCCAGGCCATACTTAGGCATTTTTAGTACAATAAACACAATATTCATTACATACTTTCATTATGGCAAAAGATGCATGATACAATTTTTATATAACTATGTAAACTCTATAATTATTAAAATATTTAACTTTACAAAACGAATTATACAAACTAAGGAAATATTTAACAGAGCCAAATCTGCCACAAAGAAAATAAAACCATTTTGTTTTGTATATATTTTTTTCAGTTTTCCGGAAATATAGGTCGCGTTATAATGGAGGATGAATTAAAAACTATTAATGAAGAAGCAAATTTTTTGGCCGGAAAGGGAGTCAAAATTATTATAGTACTTTCTCACGTAGGATACAATACAGACAAGTAAGTAGATAGATAAAATTCAAAACTTGGTGGATCTAAAAAAGATCGACGCTTTAAGAAGCATCTCAAAACTTTCCACAAAAGTAAAACTGAAGTAATATAAGTTGAACTTAGAAATCGAAAAAGGGTCACACAGACGCAGCTAAGGTACGTATCTAATGACGCAAAACTGTTCTCCTATATGATATACTTGAAGAGTTTGTTTATTTGTTAATTTATACGGGCTTATCTCAGGAACTACCGATTCGAATTTAAAAATTTGGGTGTTGCATAATTCCTACATTTATCTAAAAAGGCTTAAGGCAATAATATAAAGTCACGTTACACTCAATAGGAGCAAAGAAACAATGGAAATTGTGGAAAAATGGTTCATCTGTGAGGGATCCCGTTGCGTGCGCTGCCAGAAACGCTTCAAAATAAAAAAAATATGTTTGAAAGAACGATTCCTCTTTTAATGATCTAAAAATTTGCGCAACAGTATTGTTTATCTTTTTTTTATATTTTTATCATTAACACGCAAGAGCTGTTTTCAAGATAATTAAATTTGGTCGGAATTAACAACCAAAAGTTAATTATTTTTATTTACACCACACGACGCTGGTTGGCTTAGATTAGATTTAAAAATTTGGATTGACTACAATATCGTTCTAACTGTAATCGTTTAAGTAAAAGTTCTAAGGAAATGTAAGGAGCCGTGTTTGATGTAAATATTTGAAAACTTTAATATATTTCTCATGTCATTTGCACAGGATGGCACAAAAATCGATTATAGATTGATTGAGGCACGGTAGCTCAATTGGTGAGAGCAACAGCACGGGACTCAGTGGATACCGGTTCAAGTCTTGCCCGTGTCTTATTTTTTTTTTAGTCTATAGTCGATGTTTAATTTTAGTTGTAATTATTTAAGATTTACTACAGGCTTTTAGCTCTAATGATGTCCCCACACGTAGACATAATAGTCGGTGGCCACAGTCATACATTGTTGTATACCGGGGACGCACCATTTGGCACCCCGGCTGGGGAGTATCCAACTGTAGTTACCCAGATGACAGGACATAAAGTAATGACATCTTTACTTTTATAAAATTATTAATCAATAATTTTTTTTTTAATTAAACCTTCATTTTCTAACTGTTATATTCTGTATGAAAAATTGACACTATTTTAGCTATTTTGTAATTTGAAGTGAAGCGGACACAACGAATGTTGGGTAAAAATTTATGTTAGGAGTCAAATAGAAGTTTTAATTAGAGTGTAAATAAAACAACAAATAACTACATTGCATTTGAAGGAGAAATTTCTCTATTTCTGTAGATTTGGTGCATTACCTGCATAGATTTAAATATATTTTCAATGTACTAAATACTTAATTATGGTTAAATATAAACAGTACTACAACATTTACAATCTGTTATAAATTCGGTTCAATTTACCAAAAATGTTTCTATTTACCTAAACGTATTTACTCGTACAAATTTGTATTTGGGATAAATGGTGATAAATCCTAACATTGTTGCAGATATTAATTGTCCAAGCGTCATGTCTAAACCCAATATTTAGGTGATATTACATTGTACTTTGACACGGAAGGAAAAATTACATCTTGGAATGGTCGACCCATTTATCTTGGCACTTCTATTGTTAAGGGTGCGTTAAATCTATACTAATATAGCTGAAGAGTTTGTATGTTCGTTTTATCGCGCTATTCTCATATACAACTAGTTCGAAGTGAAGCATTCTTTGCTTTTGACAGTGGGAAATGTGGAAAAAAACAGGGAAAACTATCAATCTCTGAGGAATTCCTTTGCGTGCGCTACGAAAATAGTTTAAGATAACGTCTCCTGATGATGCCGTCGACACGTGATGGCGAAACGTCGAGAACCTCTTCTCGTTCACGTCGGCCGAACAGCCCGAAAGCCATGATATGCTTAGTCGAAATAGTTCATATGGCAAAAGAATATTTGGTCTTTTATAATCTAATGATATACCTACGACATCCGACACTAAGCTATTTTATTTCGTTTGATGCTAGACTTTCTGATCACCAATTCATTATTTTCGACTGCCCTAGGTAAACATCATACAAAGAGGTGTTTAGGAAGTTCTAAAATCTAAAGCTACTAATTAACACTGTAAATGAAAAGTTATTATTTTTTAATTAATTAATGTCCCATAATTTACAAAAAGTGTATTCCAGATGAACAAATGGAGAGCCTTTTGAATGAATGGCGTGCTGAGCTATATCCGATAAGCAGAGAAGTGTTGGGTCGTTCACTAGTGCAATTAGATCCAGGTTCATGTTACAGCGGAGAATGCAACCTGGGTAGCTGGATTTGTGACGCTTTTCTTGAACAAGTAGGTCTCTAATAGAAAACAGAGTTAATATTGAAGTAAAACACTTTGACGGTTTAAAACGCTGTATAATATAACAGCCGTGGTATCACCCCGTGACTAAATAATCTTAAAATAAGTTTAACTCATGTATTTCATTCAGCATTTTGAACCGAAAAAAGTGTTTTATTCAAACGTGTAAACTAAACACTCTTGATCTATATTAAAATCAGTATCACTTTGTAGGTTAAGGTTCATATTCTATGTGCGTTACGGAAATTTAATTGCTGCATACAGCTGCTGACACCTGCTGTGGGTTTGCCTTACTTTAACAACAGGCATTTTATATCATTTAGAACAGAGAATTTACGACACAGACTTAACAACGTTTGACGTCATAATTTTTTGATTACTCTTTGTCTTTGAGTATAAGTATGATGTATTTTAGAATTAAAACTTTAATATTTTTCAAAGGTTATTTAGTTTTGAAACTATAACTCTATAATATAAAAGCAGAAAAATTATTAAGGTTTCACGTCAGGAAATTAATGTCAATGAATAAATTCGTCGAAGACGTGTAAGACACGGAATCTCACAATCAATCGGTTACACCAACAGCGCGGAACGCTGCGGATGCCCGTTCAAGTCCTGTCCGTGTCGTAAAACTTTTAAATATAAAATCGATTTTTAGTTATATTTTCGAATGTAAATCAATCGCATCGAAAACGCAGCTAAAAACGCTTGTGGAACCCTCCAACCAAATATATAAAGATTTTGCAATTCCAACTATGCATGATAAACTATATAAGATATTAATAACATTACAAAACATTTGTTGTAGATGATGGCTAGAGCAAACAACACTAATTGGAACCATGCACACCTCTGCTTACTTACCGTGGGTGGTTTAAGATCGCAGATTAATGCAGGAGGTATTTTTCTTTGTCATAAATAGTAACAGATCCTATTTTAAGGTCTCCCAAATCTTATGTAATGCATTTGGCAGTTTGGGAGTACAGAGAAGCATGAGTTCACTTGATGGAAGGTGAAATATCCCGTCAACATCTTAACGAGATGCTGCTGCGCTATTGTGGCCAAAACGCGATTAAAACTCGTTGGTTTTTTCATCTGTGGACGGTGGTTAGTGAACCGGACGGTATTATTCCTACCACCTATTTAACATCCAGATTTCCAGACGAAGTCCAACATGTATTAGAAACAAATGTAAATTGATTAAAAACATGTTGGACCCGCTGGGGATCGAATCCACGACTCGTTGATTATTTAGGCCCATATAGCTACCATTACACAAACGAAACCCGTCAAAATATTAACATTTTTAAAGCTATAAGTAAAACGTAAGGTTTTTCCTCAGTAATATGTATTTTCTTTGGTGTGTATTAAAAATAATAAAGGTATAATAAATAAAAACTAAGAAATAATTGAAGTGAAACTTCTTTATCGGCGGTGGAAAAAAAATTAACCGTCACATTTTTCGGTTACGCGTCACATTTATCCGTTACGTGCCCGGCTGAGCACAAGAGCAGGAGGTGTAGGAATATATCATAATTCTAATGATGTTGTTAACGTTGTGACTTCATCGATAGATTTTTCTGTTTTTTCTCCTGACTTTCATGGGCTAGCATCAGCAGTTGGTGATTTATGTATGGCTCAATGCTAAATGGAAAATGGGATAAAAATTTTGATTGTTGCACTGTATATATCTCCTAATCAGAAGTTGGATATTTAATTGTATTATTTGTATTCATGTCTATAATAATAAAATCCTTTTGTTTAAACTTTATCTAATTTAACTTTATTTAACCAATTTCTGGATAGTTGCATGTAGATCATTTTGCGAAAAATAAGGCCTTAAAGAAGTTTCACTTCTTACGTGTGTACACTAGTACACGCTCACATTTTTTATTTAATTTAGATATAACTACGGAAGGCTTGTTGATGGCGCTACCTTTTGAAAATCAATTAGTGGCTTATGACTTAAAAGGGAAGTACATTTTGGAGGCGTTGGAGTACTCTGTTGGAGGTGTTCTATCAAACCCAAGATATTTCGTTAGCAGGAGAATGCTTCAGATTGGAGGTAACGTGGAAAATGTTTTTTGAAAAATGTTGTAAAACCCTAAGAAGCAGTTTGTGGATAGAAGAATTATTTAAATTCTGTCCGGACACGATTGGTCCACAGATAAAGCGTGAAGATTAATCGCATTTCGATTATAGTCTGTGGATTCTTTTCGCTTTGGCCGCACGCCATAGATTATAACAAATGGGCTAAGATATATATAGTCCTTAATTCAGCAATTAGTTAAGTCTGATAAGATGTTTTTAATTTAAAGATCGAAAATAAATTGAAAAAAATTTCGATTAAATTGAAATAAATAGTGGCTTCATGTGCAATGTAATAAATAATAAAGTTATCAAAAGATGTTTTTTTACAATAACTAATTAGTCGTATCTTTATATCAACTGGAATCTTCTGCGATCATGTCGATAAATACGAACGAAAAATTTTATATTTTTGGTAGTACCGTCATAGTTGAGGTAATTTAAAAATATAGAATAGTAATAGTATACTAAAAGAACAACAAATGAAATTAACTAAGAGAAAAATAATAATAATTTACGCGAAAAATATCCCCTCTTTTTCGTTCATGTCCTCTTCCAGAGATTAAAGTAAAATTTTGTTTCCCGTCGTGAAGCATAGGGCGAACACATTTCTGTGTCCGTTTCACTGATCGATTTTATTTACAGACAAGTAGTTGATCAGACTTCTGTCCGACCGAAACTATTTACTATTTCCCCAGGATTCGAACCCTGGACCTCTCGCGGTTAACGCAATGCTAAGCAACACGTTTAACTATTTAACTACCGAGGCGGTCTTCCAGGAATTGGTTAGTCTTATTCTTTTTTATTTAATATTGGTAATGTATTTTTGAGATGTTTTATCAATTACAGCACAATATAATTAAGAATACATAAATAGGATAGTCTACGTTTCAATCCGTTAAATTTTTATTACTATTATATTTTCCAGGAATGCGTAATGTATACAATGCGTCAGCTCCCATTGGGTCACGGGTTGCTTCAACTAGAGTACGGTGTATCGACTGCGATATTCCACATTATGTACCTCTGAATCCTGAATCTATGTACAGGATCATTTCTCAAAACTTTTTGGGGAACGGCGGTAGCGGTTTTACGGTAAGAAAATTTCAATTTAAAATTGCCACAAGTTTTTTATATTTTTTTTTTATTTATCATATCAACATAAGAAATACATTTATTTATATATTGATAGCAATAAAAACCACTAAGGTTTAAACTGTTTAAATAATATTTCAATTCGAACCTGTAAAGATTAGCGCGTTCAAACAAACGAACTGTTCAGATTTTATTAGAATAGATATATTAATTATTATTTAAAGTATACTTAATTTAGTTACTAGTATTTTTTATTATATATATATATATATATATATATATATATATATATATATATATATGAGACTAACAATTAAATTATTTTTAGATGATATCCGAAAACAGGGAAAATATAGAATTTTTCGGAGAGGACTTTATCTTTCTTCAGAGACATATGAGAAAGACCACAATATTCTACCAAGAACTAGATGGGCGTATTCAAATAGTTTACTAGATGTCATATTTGTTATCTGATTATAATAAAGTCTCACTAATAATATATAATAAGTTTTTTTTTAATTTAATATGATTCAGTACCTAGACTTTCCTTCTATGGTTATCCGAATGATTTATAAAAACGTGTAAATATTTTTTTTAATGAAACTTTAATTGGGCATTGCTTTTTATCAACAAGAGGTTTTAAGAGAGTCAGGAATCAAAGAATCAATGCATTTAAATAATTTATTTCTATCGTTCAGCTTACATGAAAAAGTATCACAACCGGTAGTTTTGTCTGGTATTACAAGCACAATGAGTTTATTCCTATAAGGTACTAAGTGTTTTTAGGAGACATTTGCTTGAAATGCCTTTTAGTACGGTAAAAGACATGCTTATTGTCCGTACAAAGCTGGGACCAATGTCTCGAAGACATATCTCAAGTCGAAGTTGTTGTTAGCTAGAGCGTTGGCTACAGCTTGGAACACTCTGTTTGCCCAAAAATCATTATAGAACTTCTGTCCCTCTTCATTCGTCAAGGACTCTACAGCATTCTTAAATACTTTGTTTTGTTCCATCTTGTCGCTGAACAAAGCAGCCAACTCCGTCTTTGGCAGGATGTCAACGACATCAGAGAGGAAATCGTTCATCGTTCTGCCACTTGGAGTTATGTCTGCGGTTTCCTTGATCTTAATTGTACCGACTTGAGTGACGTTTGTGTTTAAGATATCTAAAAAGACCAAAACATATTTAATATTATGAAAGCACAATTCTTTCAAGATTTTTCTAAATATTATTTGTTAAATCAAATTCACAACAAATTTCCTTGGGGCCTTGCCCAACACATGGCGAACACATTTCTTTGTTTTTGCATTAATTGATGTTAATTCAACTCTGCCCTGCCCTGTTTTCCCCGGATCTTTCCCCACCCCACCCGTTTCCACCCAAGGTATTTTCTGCTTACTGCGATTATGCTAACAACTTAACTATAGGGCGGCCTTTACTATTTAGAAAAAAGAGCTTTGAAATTAGATATAGTAATAACTACTAAGGAAGTTATAAACCAGTCAGAAATATCTACAGAAAAATCCATTCAATCGAAACAAGATGATAATTAAACAGGTACCTACAGGACAAATATTCGAAGCGGTCAATGTAGTATGCCACGTAGATGTCGTTTTTCTTCATGTATTCGTCGTACTGGAAAAAAACAAATTTGTTAAAGGAAAACAAAAAGAAATAAACCAAATAAACTATGGTACTATAAATGGTTAAAACTCACCGATTTAAAGATATCAACTTTGCGCAAGTCTTGGTAGAACTGCATAAAGACTGTATTATCAACTGTGTCCAGGGAACTCTTGAATTCGGGGAACTGCTTGTAAGATTCCACTAATCTCTTGAAGCTCTCGCCAGCCTTCGCTATAATGATTTCCAAGAACTCGTCGAATTGGGTTTGGAAGGAGGTGTAAAGTGGAGTATTCTGTCCGTACATGGCTGGTACTAGCTCTTCTAATACGTATTTGAGGTCGAAGTCACTTTTGGTCTTTAATTCATCGGCTACTTTTAGGAAACCGTCTGCTTCCCACATGGCTTTGTAGAGTTCTTTGAATTCATCGCTCTTCAATGCGTTAATGGTGTTCTTGAAGTCTTCCTCGTTAGCCACTTTTTCTTCGTATAAAACACGCAGTTGTCTAATCGGGAGGAGGCTCACGGTGTCCGCTAAGAACGTGTGCATCGTTCTTCCAGTCATAGGGTGACGGCGTTGTCTTCTGGGGTGAACTATTTCATTGCACGAGATCGCGTGGTCGTATTTGTTGTAGTATCCTGAAAAGTTCTTAGTGTGTACATCAAAGTCATTACGAAGTTTGTATATAAATATAAAGATCCTTTTAAGGGTAAAACTAAAACTTTATACATATTTGAAAACTTAATTTGTTTTACGTTGTTGCATAAATTACGACCACGGAGGGAAAAATTTCGACGATGACGTGTGGAAAATGGTTGCTCAATTAGTTAGAGCAACAGCACGGAACGCAGTGGGCATCCACAAAGGACAGGTTTAACTCCCGCCCATGTCTTAATTTTTTGAAATCTAAACTCGATTATTAATCAAATAAAAAATATAGGATACTTACTTGATAAAAGGTCAACACGACCAATGAGGTATGCTACGAAGATGTCATTCTTCTTTAAGAAAGCATCCAACTGAAAAATTACATAATATTATATAATGTAAACTCAAACACACGAGCATTATTAACAATAGCAAAACTACCACCTATGTACTAAATCAGTTTAATTTTTGTTTAAATTGACTTTTATTTTAAAATTAACATATGATCTGTATGTCATATATATTAGGTGTAATAATCATTAAGCACTCAACTAACAGCAGATCCCTATGGCGAGAAAAAATACAGTTAAATACTGTTTATAGTTTACGCGAGTAGTACACATTTAAATAAAACACTTTAATATCCGGAGTAATTAGTAAACCTCAAATATATTGTTCGTTCAGAATATCAAAAGCGGGTTTTACGAAATGCTACAGGTAAGAACAGGTTATTTTCTTTCATGCCTTAGTAAAAAAAAATGCTTTATGGAAAATTGATAGTCGTTTGACTTACCTTAGTAAAAGCGGGAACCGTTCGCATCAAGCTCTGATAGAAGTCGCCGAGCGATGTATTCGCAAGCACACCCAAGCTCTGCTTGAACTCCGGGAAATCTTTGTACGCTGTTACTTGCCGCAGCCAATGGCCGCTCTCCATGTCGATAACGATTTGTAGGAAATAGTCAAACTGCATTTGGAACGTAATCCGAATTGGGTCGTTCTGTCCAAAGAGAGATGGCAGGAACTCTTCGAACACATACTTCAGATCGAAGTCTGCGTCTGCTAAGGAGGCGGCTACATCTTGGAATTTCTCGTTCTGCCAGAGTGCGTTATACAGTACTTTGAACTCATCGCTTCGGATGCCTTCTATAGCGGTCTTGAAGATGTCGTTTAGAGCCACACGTTGATTGAATAATTGACGCAGCTGTCTTATGGGTAGCAAGCTTATGGTGTCAGCGATGTAGGTACGCATGGTGGTTCCAGTCATGGGATGACGACGGACTCTGCGAGGAGGGTCAATTGCGGTAATGTTGCTGAAATCGTTTGCGTGAAGTTTCTCTAGGATGGGACAAAATAATAAATATAATGGCCGATAGAAATTTAACTAAACTAATGTTATTTAAAAATCGAAAATAAATTGAAAACATTTTCGACTCGGGCAGGACTTGAACCGGCATCGTCAGCTTTCCGTGCTGTTGCTCTAATTTTTATTTACATACTGGCTGTTGCAGCGACTTCGTCCGCTAAGAATGTTTATTTTGGGTATTTAAATTCGTTTTTGCGAACCCCTTTATCTTTATAAACTTAAGCCGTTACCCACGACGTCGGTCGCGTCCCTTCCCGTCGTTCTTGCAAGTTAATCTTAAAAGATAGACATATAGCGTCGCGGACTTTTTTTAGATCATTTAAAGACGAATCATTCTCTTATACATATTATTTGGATATCTTGAACCGTTTTTGCAGCGTACGCCTCGAGACCCGCAATGATAACAAACAAACTCTTCAGCTTTATATATTAGTATAGATTATGATTATAATTTAGCAACCGTAGTTTTGCAATATAATTAATGTTATAATACAATTTATTATATTTAAATTATTATAGTTTAATACAAATAAAGTGCAATATATATAATTCGTAAGCTTTGTGAATATTATAAATGATAATGTAAGTAGTAACCCCAATTTCAGAGTAGTAAGTAACAAAAGAATACTTACTTATGACGTCCTGGAAGTGATCAACGTAGTAATCTACATCAATTGTAAGATTTTCCAAGAATTCTCTAATCTGAAATATAAGAATAAAATTAAAGGATCTTGAAAAATGACATTAAAGATACCAGAATCATTATAAGCGTTTAACAAAAATAAAAAGTGGTAATTGAAAAACTGTTAACGTATTGTCCGCCATAAATGCAAGTAGTACACAATTGTACTGAATTATTTTTATTAAATTTTATCTTCGACTCGGTGACAGTCCTTCGGTGATCACGGCTGTTGCGAAGCATCCGAAATGTCATAGTTAGAATATATTTAAAGGTTTTAATTAATATATTTCATATTTAAAACGGTTAAAAATCTTTTATAAACCCTCATTAGTCTGATAATAGTGAAAATACTTACTGCGATAACTTCGGCCTCGCTTCCCAGATCCGCGACGATCTGTTTAAAATCTTTGGCAGCCAGTGCGTTTAGGCTTTTCGGGTACTCGACAAATCTGGCGTAAGCCCCCGATTGCCGTCTCCAGTGGTCTCCTTCCAATGCATCGCTGATAACCATAAATTGCTCGAAATGATCTTGGAAGTTCTCCAATACTTTTGGTGGAGGGCCTGTCAACCCCAGAGCCACGAGGCTCATCAGGACCACTACGACTTTCATGCTGCTTAAATTTTTACTGAATATCGAAGTTTGGCTCCTCAAAGAATATATAGTCTAATGGTATCTTGATTCCCAAAGCGACAAGATCAAGATAAGTTATCAGTCGCACATTAATAAACATAATAATTATATAGGCAAGATTCGATAGCGATTTTGTTTTGCCGAGACAGTATTAACGGGCACAAATTATTTTTGTTTATCATTCTTTGATTGATATTGACTAGGTAATATTGTAAGGCAGACTTCCTTGATAAGACATGAAGTGGCAGGTGGACAATAAAAATGGTTCGACAAAACTTAGCGGCAATTAAATACTGTCTATAGTTTACGCGAGTAGTACACATTTAAATAAAACACTTTAACGGTTTAAAACGCGATATATTAGTTAAACTTATTTTTAACGTCGGCCCGACGTTTCGGATGCTTTGCAGCAGCCGTGTCTCCCCATGACCACGGCTATTAAATAAACCACTATATTAAAGTTAATTAAAATTATAATATATAAAAATAAGTAAAGTAATATCTTTCGCGATTTATACCGTTAAATATGTGAAAAAATAAACATATAGAGCTTTTGAAAATAGACATATTTTTAATACATTTAGTGTTAGTAGCTGTTCGCGACTGGTCATGGAGACACGGTGGCTTAAGTGGCTAAAGTAGAAACATGGATCGATGTGGATGTTAGAAGTTTAAAATGCTTCAATCTAATCTAAATTTATTTTTAAATTTATTTTTTTCTCATTGCCTCATAACTTTGACTTTATTTGGGCACAGTATTTTATATAGCCCATATATAAAAGATAGTGTGACACGCGTATGTGTTTAAAATCAAACTTCATGCGAAAATACTATAGCAGATTTTCACCTCTTGCAAGTTTGATCATAGACATGCGACTAAAACACATTCCCTTATATAAGATACAGATAAAATAACATTAAAAAATTGTGCTTTTGTAATTCTTAATTTGAAGTCAAAGCTATAAAAAAAAAAATTTTCACTTTGATAGGAAACGTTAATATTCAAATTTTCGAAGTAAAAATTTTAACGTTGCGCATGTTTATATTTATCATTATTAATAACTATCTGTGCCCGCAACTTAGTCAGCGTGGAATAGATACTTTAGGCATTATATAATGTATTTTTGCAAAGAACCTCAGCTTTTCAGATTATAGCTGTTACCCTAGACATCGTCCGCAACCCCTTCTTCTTGCGAGTTAATCTTAAAACATAAAGAACATTACTTCATCTTTCAATTTCTTGAACTGTTGTCGCAGCGCACGCAACGAAAGAAATGAATCATTTCGGTGGCTTTTCTACATTTCAACAATATAAATATTTCAATTCGAACCAGTAGTTATTGAGATTAGCGCGTAGCAAACAAACTATTCAGCGTTAAAATATTAGTATAGATATAAAAGGAACCCGATTGCTTTAATTATAAAAATATACCTAAGCATAAATAATATATAATTACTATCATAATCATCAGTTAAAACCATATAAAAACAGGAACATTTATACTGTCTACTCTCACTTGGTGACTCCGCCATACGAATTTTAGATCCGACATTGTGTCCTGTCGAAATCTTAAATAATTTCGAAGAACCTTCCATCTAGTGTACCCCAAACTTGTCTGTCCTCCTCTATTATAAAAAACAGTATTATCTGTGAATTATAAGTCGAAAGCGATCGAAATTACGTTATGCTACTTTAGGGAAACGCCAGAGGCGGTGAATCAGCAAAAACTAAACGCAACAGGTGGTATGCGCATGGTCATGACATCGTTTCGTTTTACTAATTTATCTAATCTTTCGATCATAATAATTTTAGTTATAATGATTAAGCTTACTGTGATTTCGTACAATATTAATTTATGATATTTCTCTTTTACGATATGTTGAATGTTTGAGGAATCGGCATGAAAGCGACAACAAGATAAGCGAACTAAAAACAACGTAAGTAAATAATGACATCATTAGTATTATTATATAATTAGCATATTTTTAATACTCTCTGTGGGTAACGCGAGTGGTACACATTGAAATAAATCACTGTAGCTGTTTAAAACGCGAAATATTCGTTAAACTCATTTGGAAATTATTGTAACTACTAATTCTGCAAAGACCTGGCCAGTTTCGCCAAATACCGACTGCGACGATGAGGCGTAGCAGATTTTACTTTAACATTAGAGACCCTCCATCTTTAGTCTCCGCCGTGACCACGGCTATAATTTTAACTATATAATTTAATGATTAAATAAAATCATTGGGTTTTTCGTAATTACAGATATATACATCTTTGGGCTAAGTTCAATTCTGGTTTAGTTGAAATCCTTAGTCTACTATAAGTAGTGGTAAAATTGTATTTCTAGCCTCTTCAATTGTCTGGTAAAAAATAGTTGGAAGGTATATCACATTCATTTCATGAAATTCGTCCTTCATCTTTATAAACTATTATATTATTATTATTATATTATATAGACTATAGCGTTTCTTCGTAAATGCTCTAATCAACACTAAAATAATAGTCATTTATTATACATATTTATATATTAGTATAGATGTAAGTCGTAAAATACAAGTAACGGCGGTAAGTTTACGGCGGCATGAAAGAAACAATCAAATTAAGATAATAAACATAATTTATTATAACAAAACAATCGAGGTACATTGCAAAAAAACAGATATAGGAATATTCTGTAATGTAACTATACTCATAAACATTAATAAGTACTCAAAATACGTAAATCGAAACGTACTAAAATTACCAATTGAATAATAGTGGCAAAAAACTAGGAAAAAATAATAAGGCATTTTTTTTGATAAACTATGTAGTAGGTATGTACATAACTATCTGTAATTGAGTATTATGTTATTTTCTCATTGAACGTCAGGAACTTCGTAGTATTATCTTTCAACAGTATTCAGATGTGTATGTAACATTACTATTAAGTCTCATTTTACGTGTGATCCTTCGAGCCGGATATGAGTCCGCCCCACCAAAGTTTTCATACATTTTACAAGTAATGGTCTTACAGGACTATTTAGCGCCAATTCGATATTATTGATTCCTATTTCTGGGAACATACCCTGTTAGCATTGAGCTAATTCGACTTTTTCTATCGGTATAAAAGGTAGATGTTTATTAAATACATTTATATTTGTTATAAAGTCGGTGTCATTTTCAGCCGTGTCTCCCACTGGTTGGGACGCGTCTAGATACTGGAGTGATAAGTCCTTTACCTCTGCTTCAGTCACGTTACTATCTTTTGGCAGGTGACCCATAACCTGAAAAAATAATCTTTATTGAATCTTGGGCGAAAGGATTCCGTTTCCGTAGAAATATTTCTTGATTTATATTTAAGACAGGATATTTTGGACTCCTTTTCTAGGGAATTTTTGTGATAACAAAACTGTCTTCCTAATTATCACAATCAAAAATTTAAATATCGTTCAACCATTTAAAAAAAATTATGACAAATGGTTTGGACTTTAATACAATAAACAGGAAATAAAACTATGAAAAATAATGAAATATTAAAAATCGCAAAATAAATAACCGGCATCGTTAGCGCTCTAACAGTACGCCTGGTTCCAGGCCTGCTCGAGTAGAAAATGTTTTCTATTATTTTCGATTTTTAAATTATATAGTGCCATCATGTGCATGTAAATTTTTTTTAAAGTTTTCAATGAAATATTAGTTAACCAAATAGAACAATACAAAAATGTATAAGATGTAGAATAATAGCAATGTACAACTAAAAATCCCCACCGGGTGCAAATCGGGTTAAATGGGGGATTTCCGAAAATACAAAGCGAAAATAGATCGCCAGGGCATCTTGTTTAGATATTATATGGCTTAGGTATTTCATCTCCCATCAAGTGCATTGCTTGTCTGCTCTCCTCCATCATAAAAAAAAAACAAAAAGTTAAATACTCAGTGACAATAGTCCAGATTTAACTTATCTTTTCATACAAACATTATACTAAGTAGATGATCTAATTGCTGATTTCAGTTTCTAAATTAAATATCTAATCAAAGATCAAATTATTGAAAAAAACGATGACAATGTGTAAGACATTATCTGTATATCAATAAAATATCAAGTATTATTCAATCATACCACGAGTCTTTTACACCTGTTTTTAATTTTAAAAAATATTTATTTTTACTTTATACATATTTATGATTTGGAAACTTTAATATTTTTCATCAGTGTTGGGACATGCCAATTTTGCCAGTGGCTTCCTTTCCAGAGGCAACTATATCGTTGCGTTGAATTTAAATTATTTTTTTTATTTACTTCTTAATATTGTTTATTTGATTAAGTTTAATTATAAATGTTGTTTCTGAATAAAAGTCTATTCTAAATCTGAGACCGCAATAAGCTTGAATAAATATGATAAAAATAGCTTCTAAACAAAGAGAACCAACTATCGTAGTAAAAAGATAGAATACGCAGTACAAACCTGTACAGACAATTTTCTAAAGTTGGAACGGTTGCCTGTTGAAAAGTGATTATCAACCCAGCTCTTGATGTCCGATACCTTCACCTTCTCGATAGCTTCCGCCTGGAAATGATCAGAATAGTTTAGACTTTTGAATTCTTTTCCATATACATAATGTGCTTATGAAACGGTGATTTCCACTGAAGAGGTAATTTTAAAATGAACAATTTTTATTTTTAATGTAAACTATTAAATCTAATTACAAAATTACTTGTCATTAACAACAAATTGATTAACTTCTAAAAAATGAACTGGAAAATGCAAACAAAATCCGTGCTGTTGCTCTGACGCTGAACAGGATTTGAACCGGAACGCTGACGATGCCGGTTCAAGTCCTGTCCGAGTCGAAATTTTTTTCAATTTATTTTCGATTTTTAAATTATATAGCGCCTTCATGTGCAATAACATGTGAAAAATAATAAAGTTTTCAAATATCCTACCTCAGAAAATAGTCGTTGAAAACGATATTCACCGCCGGCGATTTCTCTCCAATTTCGTTCAACCTGAAAAAAAGGGAATACTACTTAAGCATAGACTACAAATTTCATCAAGATCGGTCGAGCAATTTGTTGATGTGGTAAAATAAACGAACATAAGTTCTTCCGTCCTTCCTCTTAAGCATTTATAACAGTAGGATTACGACTTATTTCACAATATAGTAGATGATATAGGATTCTTATTTCTGTCAACAAGGAAAACAGATAAGATCGTCTAGATAAGATATGATGTATATAGTCTATCAACTAATTATTATCTTATTAATTATTTAATTCAAGGTTAGCTATTTAAAGATAGAATTGCGGTACAAAGAAATATGTCGCCAGATGTAGTTTTTATTTAGAAAAATGTTCCCCTAACCTATTAAAGCCCATTGTTGGGCACGGCATTCTTCCGCATTGCAGGTTTTAAGATTTTAGACCCACCATTTTGGTCTAGTGTGGGACGGCAAGTTTTATTGACTACCCTCACTAAATCAGTGATGATAACCGCAACAGCCCATCTTAGTAACACAAGTAATTTTTCCCCACCAAGGATTCGAACTCCCGGGATCCTTATCTACTGTAAAGATCACACCACCAGGCACAGAAACGTCGAGAACCATTCCTTAACTACGAAAAACCATATAGCTCAAAAACACTTTGCAAAATGATCGCACCATACCATTCGTTTTTTTCAAATTACCTCTTCTTTAAGCTCATAGTCCGTTGTATGCTTTAGCTGCACGAGTGACTGTTTAACAGCGGCGAGGGACTTTTCATTCAGCCTCCGCATATCCCGACTGAATTTCTTCAAAAACATTTCCACCCGCGTATCTACGTGCGCTACACTGAAAAATACGTTAAAAGAAAAAATATATATAATTGCAAATAGAATAGATCGAGGTATTCCATTTCCAATATTATAACTTGGAATAATTTTTATCACTTATCTTAACTTATCCTTAGGGTTGCACCTCTAGTGCAACGTAATATCGTCCCTAAATTGTAGGCCATAAGGTTTATATTATTCTATATTTCCCTATCTCGCACTGTCTCGACCAGCAAGATCTTTCATATGTTATATCATAAAAATTACTTGTACCAGAAGCTGTCTTTCATTACCTTTTAGCACATAATCAATAGATATTCACCCTCTGTTAAAATTAAATAAAAAAATGTTCGGTCTTACATTTGTTAAGGTTTTATATTTTATATCTGATTATTTTTTAGTTTTGATTGAGAGGCTGGGTCTAATTAGCATTATGCAATGTATAGTTATTAATCAACGGTCGTGGATTCGAATCCCACCGGGGCCAACATTATCTGAAACCTGTTAGCAAATCCGGATATAATAACGGTAGGATACAAAGACCGTCCGGATCAGAAACACAGATGAAAATGCTGTGAAGTTTAACAGCGTTTCGCTTTCATTCTGTGGATTTCCGAATATCCAAAGCAAATAAGATCACAATTGAGATATGGCTGAAGTATTTTCCCCTTTCTTCTGCATCACATCAGATTCGTTTGATTAAAGTAATCATTAAGTAAAATTTGAAATCTTACCTGAACTTATCTCTCTGTGTGTTGACGGTGATGGAAAAGCCAAGAACTCCGAAGGTATACCTTAACATGCTGAACACGCTGTAGCCAAGCTGTTCCTTAGTACGCAACACGTCGAAGACCGGTTCTTCCATTAGCATCTACGGAGCAGTAATTATAAGTTATAAAACTATAATTCAATGAAATTAACTGAATTAACTGAACTATAGGCATGGAGCGAACATATTTTTATCTCCGTTTTTTTCGGTAAATCTTATTTAGGGGCAAGTAGGAGGTACTTTACTAAATATACTATATGCCTGGATCTTGTTCCAAGTGGACTCGAACCCGGAACAATGCGTTTGAAGGTGGAATCACAGAGGCGAGCTGAGCGGAGATACTAAATTAATATTCCTTGTCTGTAGTTTAAGTTTAAATAAAAAAACTTTAAAACTCAAAATACATATATTAGTTGTAACCGTTCGTGGCCACGGGGCCATAGGTGTTGCGAAGCATACGAAACGTCGGGCCGCAGTTAAAATAAAATTAAACAAGATTGTTCGGCATTTTAAACCGTTGAAATGGTTTTATTTAAATTAATTCTCATAATATGTATTATTTATAAGTATACGAATGGCAATATACACACACAAATATAACAACGACCAAAAACGTGCTGTGAAGCAGCATGGTGGGTCTAAGCTCATAAACCTTCACCGCATAAAACTTCCAATACGAGAAGATATGTACATACCCAGGAGTTTGATATGAAGGCAAAGCGCGTAAACATGATCCACGTGTATTTTTATATGAGGCTATTTTTTTATATAAAACTATTCTTCGATTTTTATTATTTTTTTCACCGTTTACTCACCATAAGTACTTCAAGTGTAGCTGTATCTTTTATATTCGCTACATCAGCCTGATAGTAGTTGGTGACGATGCTGTTAGTTGAGGCGGGGTTAAAGCTCATGACACGAACCACTCGCTCGCCTAACGGCAACTCGTGCACTTTTATCTAGGACATTACAATCTAAAACTTTATAGGACATAAAAATGGAAAAACCGTCATGTATAAGTTTGCCGTTCGATCAAAGACAAATATAAGACGGCAGCGCATCGTATCAAGGTGTTATCATCTCAAGAATTGCTGGGCGTCTCATCGAAACAAAAGTATCTAACAAAGTTAAGCTAGAAAGTACAGACAGACAACATGGAAAGGTTCACAGGGAAAATACCCCAGCTATGTAACTTCTAGACACGACGCACAGTCAACCTATTATGCCTTTGGATATCAAATCCAGAGACGGAACCAAACGCGATAAGTCGCACTTTTTCGTGTGTAGATGGTGGTTCGTAACCAGGGCGGAACTTCGATATTCCTAACCCCCCTTTGCATGCAACGATATCCATATTCCTAGACGAAGTCCAAAATGGTACAGAAACATCATATCAGACTCGGCACGGATCGCTCTCACGACCCCTTGATTACTATTAGACAATGAGCATGTCAAATAGTAAGTTGCAATAATAGCGATTACAACTTATTATTTACATTTTTAAATATAGCTTGATTTTATACAACACTCACCTGTGGCAATTCCTTTTCTGGTAGTCCGTCCCATTTTAAATTTTGTAAAACGTTTTCTGATATCTTGATGGCGTCAGTCCACGGCACATTACCTTGTACCAGAACCTATGGAGATATGAAACCTTAAAATCTCTTATCAATGAAGGGAAAATACACATAGTAGAGCTAGTGAATCATAAACAAATACAATTATCACAAAGAAGAAAGAGTTGCTATATTGTGTTAGGTTATGTGAATAAATTCCCTGTAGGTGGGGATTCCTCCCTCCCGTTCATGAGGCATGTGGTGAACACATTCTTGTCTCCGTTTAGCTGATTCTGATTTTGTTTTCAGGCAAGTGATTAGACTTCAGTAACTTGCCGGATTTAAATAATTTCCTGTTTCCCCGGGATTAAAACCCTGAACTTATCGTACAAGCTTATCAACTAATTTAATCATTCAGTTTCTGAGACACATTTGTATTTATTCATGAAAATGTATATATTTTTTGTTTGTTATAATGCATTTTAAGTACTAACCATCAAAAAATTAGCAATAATAATAAAATGTTACCTGCATGTAAAGTTTGTCGAGAAGTAGCTTGGTGAATTCCTTGAGGTCGTCAATGGTGATGTTTTGTATAGCCACGGCTTTGTCACGCGGCGACACGTACGGTTCGAGTAAAACATTCATTCGTACGTCTCTATGGAAAAATGCTTTTCAAAAGAAATTCAAACAATTTTCCTACTTACTAAATGCCTCGGGTTGGTCAAGTGTTACTAACTTTCGACCACACAACTCGAAGTCCTCGGTCGAAAAACGATGTAACTTTTAATAAAAAAAAATTGAAACTCTAAATCCATTAAGTTTAGGAGGTAGAAGTCGTGGTTCCAAATCCAGCCCGTTCGTAATTTGTTTTTTTTTTCAATCTAATTAAAGTACACCAATAATATGTTCAAATTTAAGTGCTTTAAAACGCCAAATATACTAGTTAAGCTTATTATTTATTTAAGGCACGACTCGTCGGTTCGAATTATTTACAGCAGCTGACATCACGGGGGTCTAGGAGGGTATCTCTAATGTCAAAGTCAAATCTGCTACGCTAGCGCCATCTGTTTTTTTACACTCACAAGAGGACATCAAATCCTTAAGGATCCAACTAGTTTCTATAAGATGTGTCTGATAAAAGGCTTGACTAGTTAACTTGCTTTTTTTACGATATTTTGTAATCGGTTAGATTACAAAATATCGTTATATACCTTAAAGAAAGTCTTATGTTCTCGGGTCAACTACCTGTATTAGACCATTAACCATATGTTCATATAATAAATCACGAAAGGATAATTTAGTAATAAGTGCAGGTAAATAAAAATTCTAATTACCTAAATAATACAGTACATTGTAGCTACATAGTAATATAATCCATCTATACTTACTTTGCCAACTTATGAGGTTTTATTAGCACATTGTGATATGTGCGCGCGCGCACTTCACGAACAGCCTCAAACATGTCCGTTGTTAAGTTATCCGTATTCCTGCGCATCTCTTGAGTCACTAATTCTACGAGTAGCTGCAACAAAGACATTGTTGCATGTTATTTATATAAAAGAAAAAAGTTTTTGAGCAGTCCGGCCATCGTAATGGAGAATTTAACACCTATTATGTGCGAAGACTGAGTTCGCTTAGGAGAGAAACGTGCAATATCTCTTCATAATTAATTAATAATCTATTTTGATTGCAAAATACGACAAGCTGTGGGTGCCGGTTCAAGTCTCACCCGTGTCCTATAATTATTTCCATCTAAATAGATTGTTAATTTTTATAATACGATTATGTGCAATAAAATGTGAAAATAACAAAAATTTCCAATCCCTTCAAGAACAAATTTTCAATTATTACAACCACGCAGCAAAAACATTTATTCAATTACGTTATGAACATTATGAACATAATCTTGTTTAAAATTTTCAATATGAAATCAAGAAAATGTTATTGAACAAAAAAAATACTTACATGTAAATTTTGACTGTAACCGTTAACTTTTAGTGTTAAACCTTTGTCGCCGACGTATAACGAATGAGATAAATCCGCCATGTTGGCTGGGTATACCTCTTCCTGTTGAAAGTATTAGAAGATATTTTATTTTAACATTATATATGTAAATATATATCAAAATAAGTGAGTAAAATAATTAGGACCTTCTTTAGTTTTCAAAGAACATACCTAAAGTGGCAGAGTTCTTAAACTTATTACGACGTATTATCTAGTAAAAAAAAGTATTCAGAAGACTAAGATAACAGCTGTACTGTACGCGTAGTGGGTTTGAGTTTAACTCGTGAGGCATAACTAGTTTAAATTATATAAGTAATATTTGCAAATGATTCGTCTAACTAGAGAATTTATTAAATTTCTTCATTCGTGTATATATATTTTTATATAATAAATATTTACATTACCTTGAGCCCTTGTTGCAATACATCAGTCCAAAGGTCTAGAAGACACGATCTGGAACGTACACACTAAAATGTTTAATATTTGCGGTAAAGAAGAATATTTGCTTTTCAAATATGTAATTATAAAAGAACGCCCGACTGCGCTTTTGAAAATTTCGCATTGTGGTAAATAAATATATATACTATAACTTCGACACAGATATAGAAAAATTGTAGGTTCTTTCTTAAAAATGTCAATTTACCAGGCATCATTCTCTGTACAATGGTAAAAGACTTCTCTTTGATCTGACGGTACAGGTGTATGCTTAATAAGTCGTGAGTTCGACCTCCATGGAGGTAGGTACTCATAAGTTCCAACATGTTTTTCATCAATTTCTGAAAGATTTTGGGCCTAGCCTCGAAATGTGGATATAAAGTGGGCGGTAAGAATAAGCAAACTCCGTCCGAGTCACGAATCACAATTCACAGAAGACATCTCGTTTCGGTTTCGGTCTATAGATTTCCGAATAACCAAAGCCAAACTTGTCCTCCTTGATCATAAAAAGAAATTGAAAGGAACCCACGACCCATACGCATTGGATATACGTTAGTACGCGCAGTCGGGGAAAAATTACTACGAGAACTCACTCTCTCGGAGATTTCAAACTGAGCGGAGTGATGAAATAGAAATAGAGCAACGCAGTTGGAAACCGGAATTTGAAATCCGGCTTGTACCACAGTTCCATGTGGCGATTTTTGCGTAGCAAATTCGGCTGGTCCAATCTGAAATACCACATACATTTGAATAAAGAAAATGATTTTCATTTTTAAGGAAACTTACAGCTAGGCAGGGTAGACAATATGAAAAAATAGCGAGCTAACAAGTTTCCAGTAGAATTAGAATAAGTAGTTAAAACAATATAAACAGTGTAAAATTAAAAACAAAACAAAAAAATGTGAAGAGGACACTTAACGACAATTATACAAAAAAATTACAATAAGCCTACAACATAAGCGTTAAAGGCCTGAAAAGCTGGAAATTTTCGCAATATTTATTATTATTTTTTTTATAAGGCGGTTGATCAGTCCATATTATCCGCTATTTCATATATTCCCCTCTTTCCCCCCATTCCCCATTCTCTCCGTACTTCGTAATACTTAGCCACTGTTAGATTACAATCGTATTTTTTCGAATAGGACACTTGACAACATAAGTTTGTAAACAACAATAAATTATAATAGATATAATGTTATTAACATGAATTATACTTAGACACACGTATTTAACTGCCCCTGCAAAATGGCGCAGGATATCAATTCTCAAAGTGACAAAGTAAATGCTTTTGGAATATCTAAATTCCACGCATTTGGAAAATCTAATTTGAATTCGCGTTTCCGATATCTAAACGTCTAAAGCAGTATCAGCAAAGCAGGTCGACAACACATCTAAAAGACAACTTGCGTTCTTTCCATGACATAAAAAAATAACTTAAAATCTTTATAACCTGAAATTCTCCACAGTGGCTATCAATTCCCCTTGCTTTAATATCTTCGAAGTTTTCGGACTAGCTGATACCTTCTTGTTAATATCCTTCATGGAGCTAGCCATTAGATCTATACCGAGTCTCTCCGCTTCTTCTATATAGGGCACTGCTGGCGGTACTAGGTCGAAATTATCTGTTATGTATATGTTCTTAGCGGGGAGATGGAAGTGTTTATATGGATTTACGTTTAGCCATCTGTTGAGCCATGATGGTGGTATTTCTGAAATAAACTTGGGTTTAAAATAGAATCACCGACAATATCTACACTAATGTTATAAAGATTAAGAGCTTGTTTGATTAAACGCGCTAATCTCAGTATCTACTGGTGCGACGTGAAAAATAAATGATTTTGCGTAGACCATGTATCGAGGAAGGCTTTAAGATAACATCATGCTGCGATCAAGAAATTAACTCGCAAGAACGACAGAACGCGCACGAAGTCGTATAAGAGCCATAATTTATAATTAAATTAAAGATATTATTAAATTTATTTCTGGATAGTTTTAGAGTATAGATAACTCTACGTCCGTAAAATGGTGTTAACAACTGACATATTTCCCCTATCGCTCAAGATAATCACAATACATATGTGTTACAAACAAAAGTGAAATCAAACTAGTTACCTTTTTTCTTATATTCCGTCCCAAACCACTTTTCTTTGGCGTCGTATGTCATGGGTGTAGTATATTTATTGGAGAGAATCATGATATTGACTTTGTCCGCGGTCATACACTCTAATAGTTCAGTTATGCCCTAAAAATAAAAACAAAATAGTATATTATAGAAAAGCTCCAAATTTCCCTTAATTTGTCTTGTGACAAAGTTCTTGGGTTCGGATTGCAGAGAAGGGTTCAGAAATGTGTCAACAGAGCCCCGAAAAAACCATATTAAAAATTATAAATTATAAAAGTGAAATTTCGTTTCTGGGGCATGGATCGAACACATTTTTGTGTCCGTTTAAATGATCTGTTCTTCTACAGGCCAGTGGTTCAGACTTCTGTGCCCTGCCCGACCGAAACAATGTATTGTTACCCATTATTTGAACCCAGGGTCTGTCGCGTTTAACGCAAGACGTTTAACCCTTTGGCTACAGAGTCGGTGTAAGAAACTGCTAAAAAGAGCTTAACTACTGCTTAGTAGCAATCGTAAACTATCAGTACAGAAAGTAGTAACAATACTAGTCTGGAAACATTAGTGTGTGAAATCCCGTTTCCCCCTCGTGGAGCATGGGGCGAACACATTTCTGTGTCCGTGTCACTGATCCGTTCTTTAACAGGCAAGTAGTTGATGAGACTTCTGTGCCCTACCTGACTGAAACATTTTTGTTTCCCTGGGATTCCAACCCAGGACCTCTCGCACTTAACGCGATGCTAGGCAATACGTTTAACAATTTGGCTACAGAGGCGGTCGGTGTAGAAACATTAGCTTGTCCAAAAAGCATCGCACATTACCTTAGGATCGTACTTGTAGTACAATCTATCACCGGTGATGTAATGTCTGGGGGGTAAATTTTGCATATTCTCCGCTAGCGACTCCACATACTCAGCTGGTTGAGATTCCTCTTCGAAACGGAAGCTCGTCTCTTCTATAGTCTGAATGATGGAAAATTATGAATACAATCAATTTATTCAAAAATGTATTACTAGGACAAATATTAATTGTTATTAATTATTTTATGAAATAGAACGTTTTTAAACCGTTTAAAACACGAAATATATAACAGTGAAGTTCTAAATTGGCAACACAAAATACTTAGTTAAATTATTTTTTAAGTATGGTGCGACTAATGGTGATTGTTTTCTAACTTTTTAATTAAATCATCTTTTAATGGTTACACGAGATATATAACCTTATTTCTTAATTGACAACACAAAATAAATTAAGTAATTTTTAAGTACGATGCTACATTTCTGATGCTTTTGCAACCGTGGCCACGAGAGACTAAGGATAAAAAGATTACTTTTACTATATTAAGAAAATAAATTGTTGCCATTTAAGAAATTACTTATCTTACCTTTATTTCGTCAAATATCCTTTCAGATGGTCCAATTTTTCTCAGCATATTAATATATGAAAATATCGCCTCCAAAACCTGAAACATTTTAAAATTTAATTTTTTTATATAAAAACAAAATTACAACTAACAAAGAAAAGTTATTAACAAAGTATAAATTTTAACCTCGTCTATATGATCCAAACCATCCTTAGTTAGAATCACTTGTGTGGAAAACAAACTGTATATTGATGTATAGTCAATTCCGCTTTCGGAGTTTCCTGTATAGATACCTAAAGCCCAAACTCTGAAAAGAGTTAAGAATACTTGTTAGATTAAAATTAAACACTTTTAAGGGTATAAAAAGCAAGGAAAAAAAACAGTAATTTCTGTCTACGTCAAGCTTTGCTCAAATTTAAAAAAAAAGCCTTTCCTCATTAACATATATTGTTGAATTTATTTTTCATTTTTTTATATTAGATTTACTAATATTTTATTTCTACTATTACATATTATTTTTTATGTTTAATTGGTGTTATTTCGATTAATAATCGAAATTTATATATATCTAAAGCGAATAAAAATTTTGTGAAGGCAATAAAATCTGGCAACACTTACTTTTTACGCAAGTAAGAAAGAAGGCTTCCTTTACCCTCGTGGCCTAAAAGATATGAAATGTACTGATGGGGTTTTGACTCGTACTCTGATATGAGGGATCGCATTAACCAAGTTAATTGTACCTAAAAAAGGCAAATTATTATTAAAGACATTGTTTTAGTTACAGTACCCACATACACAGTAGTATTTTTCATTAAAAATTAAAATTTAGTCGTCCAAAAAAATTACTTATATTTACGTTGCATATATTCTATTACTACGAAGTTAGTACTTTGCATGAAATACAGGCAGACACATTCCTATAGGCGTTTTACTCATTGTTTTTATCACAAGTCCAAATACCTTATTGCCCACCTCGGCCGAAAACAATATATCATATACTGTCTATAGTTTACGAAAGTAGTACTACCCAAAAAATTATACCATACCCATTTTAATAACACACGTTAACGGTTTAACATGCGATATCTTAGTTAAACTTATTTTATAAATAATTTATGATAAATAAGTTTAATATATCTCGTTCTAAACCGTAAGGTGTTTTATTTAAACAATTTGTCATGTCCCCGGAATACTGTCTGTAGTTTACGCGAGGAGTACACATTTAAAAAAAACCCTTTAAGGGTTTCACCCCCGGAAAATTTTTTTAAAAATTTTTTAAAATTTTTTTTAAAAACCCCCCCCCTTTTCGCCCCCCCCCCCCCCCCCCGAAAAAAAATTTTTTTTTTTTTTTTTCTCAAAAAAAAAACCCCCCCCCCCCCCCCCCCTTCCGGGGGGGGGGGCCTTAAAAAAAAACACCCCCAGACTTTACACATGAAACTACTTTTACAACTCTCGTAAATAAATATCGTTTTATATACAGACTATATTTACAATTTATATAGGAATATATTCACTGACCTCAGTGGTATCGCTAACTGGTTTGACGTGATATATACTAGTAAAATCGCTAGTTATATTGTTAGGACTGTATAGGTGGTCCTTAAAATTGTCAGCGGGTAGGCTATTGGTGGGAATTTGACCAAACGTCTTGACTACGTGCTCTTCCAAGGTGGCTAAATCCATACGAGCCTGGAAAATACAAAATATAGCAATATTGTTGAGAAAGAAGCCAGCTCTATAGCTTGACCTCTGTGACTCAGTGGTTAAACACATTGCGTTAAGCGCAAGAGATTCTAGGTTCAAATCTCAATAATGGGTGTTCATATTACAATTTGCCCGTCATTAAATACTCAGTAAAACAGACACAAGAAAATGTATCTGTTTCACAATTTCATAAAATTGAAAAAAGCTTGAAAGTACAGTCTTGTAAACAAAAAATCCGTTTTAGATTGAAAAATTAAGACACGGTCAGGACTTGAACCGGCATCTACAGCTTTCCGTGCTGTTGGTCTAACCAATTGAGCTAGTCAAACTAAGTTGGTTAGAGCAACAGCACGAAATATCGGTTCAAGTCCTGCCCGAGTCGAAAATTATTTCAATTTATTTTCGATTTTTAAATGAATACTAACCTGTACAGCCAATGTCATCCTATGCGCGCTATAGTGGCGTCTTCGAAACTCATGCGCAGCCCGATAGAGCTTTTCGTCATCATTGATATCTTCCTTCAAACTGCGCAAGTTTCCCCACGTGAAGGTTCGTGCTGGGTGACCTTCGGGGAACAGACTTGACAGAAGCTGGTCCTTACGGTTAGAGTCCGATGGCGAAGCTATCGCAAACTCTGTAAATAATTGAGAGAATATTATGATTTAATTTTGTATTCAGACAGGCTTTGTACATAAAGCTTTTATATGTATAGTGTATTTTTTCTAACTTGTCGTTCTCGCTAAACAAACACAATTTACATGATTATTCAAAAATCCTAAATTAAGTATCCGACATCACTAGTTCTCTATGGTTTGAAATCGGCCATATTTGTTGTTGTCTTTTGCCGAATAAAAAATTAACTTTACAATGTTTACGAGGAAGTAGGTTTTTTTTAAATTAGTAGATCAAAAATTGTATATATGTGGTATGTGTACAACATAAATAAATGGAAAAATTAATCGTTATATGGTACGACGGTAATCTCAAAACTTTACGCCTATTTTGTAACGTACAAATGAAAATAGTTTATCTGACTACTTTGTTCTATGACCTTGAAAAGCGTGTTGAATTTGGGAAAACAAAACATTTGATGTATAAGTAGCAAAACATAGTCAAATGGTTTTAAGGAAATTTCCTCACCAGATTCTATAGCTTCTCTTTCCCTCTGCATAGCCTCTTTCAGCATTAGAGGACTGACAAAGAACTGACTGAACATATCCATCGCCTGCGCAAGGTGCTTCTCCGATATCTCGAAGTAGAACGTGGTCACTTCGCAGTCAGTGGATGCGTTATCAGAACCACCCTTTTTCTGTAAAAAAAATATAAAATTGAATCGAGTTGTTTCATGTTGATAGCAAAAGTTTGTTTCAATTTTCTTCACAGCAAATTTTGTATACCCCATGGTCTTTCTTCTCTGAAGAGTGTGTTTCTTTGAATCCCAGGAACTACTGGTTCGGATTTTAAAAAAAAATACTTATTTGTGTTACCTAGAGCATTTATCGTGGAAGGTTTTAGGCTATAAAACATAGCGGTGTGACTAATAGGAACGAAGAAACAGCGGGAAATGTCAACATTTGTAAAGAATAAAAGGATGTATGCAAAAACAAAAAATTTGGATGCCCAAAATAACATGCTTCTTCTCTAGCGGTCGATGCTAGTCTTTCAGTAAAAAGATAACCTTTAATTTATATTGTTATCCTGTTTTCAGTAAGCTAGCTTTTATTTTCAGAATGTTACATAAATCGTAATCAATAACATATGCTACCATTTACAACATGCAAGTCAATTATACAAATTATATAGTATGAAGCATGTCCTTGTTGCATTGTTGTATCAATCGTTGAAACTATAATTTTCTGATGTTATCAACAACATTACTGCTATTTTTACTTTTTCTATGGCAAGCGAGGAAAACCATTTTAGACCTTAGACAGTGGACTTTATTTTAAAAGTTTTTTAGCATTATACTTACAACTAAGCGTGTTTTGAAAATATTATTAATGAAATAATGGAACAACTAACCAGAAACATTTTATAAATTCATTAAGGCTTTCACAGCCACTTTGCAAAGCTAGTTGTTTACGATCCATTCTCAATTCTTAATTTAAATACCATTTATCAACAATGACGAGAGCTGGCAAATTCAATGTCCCCTAGAAACTTTTATATTTATCACATGTTCTTGATAATAGATTGAAAAACAGTTTCTCCGTGACCACTGCTGCTGCAAAACATCCGAAACATCGGGCAGTAGTTAAAATAATTTCCAAATAAGTTTAACTAATAAATATCGCGTTTTGAACCGTTACAGTGTCTTATTTAAATTGAAAAAAATTGCGTTAAATTGTGTTATTTAATCTTCAATGATTTTCTTAAGCTATATTCAATTACATTGAACCTTGTTTTCTATATTTAATGTCCTGCCCGTGTCGTAAAGTTGTTTTTTAATCTATAATCGATTTTTAATTCATGTACACTTTTCTATATTACCTTAATGAAAGCGTCAAATTCATTCTCCTTGGGGTACTTTTCACTTCCCATGAAAACCATGTGTTCCACGAAGTGAGCCAGGCCTTGTATAGTGGCTGGATCACTGTAGCTACCAACACCGACGCATAGTGCACATGCCGCCTGAAAATCAAAAGAAAATAGAACTTATTTTGGAATATATCTACGAACTTTAATATTTTTACATGATGGCACTATGTAAAATAAAATTCGATCGTTGAAGAAAATCGACTACGTGTAGGACACGGTAGCTCAATTGGTTAGTGCAACAGAACGGAGCACAGCGGATGCCGGTTCAAGTATTATCAAATATTTAATTCAATTCAATGAAATTAATATACACAGCAAGGCCTTACTTACTTGACTAGTACTAGGCATTAAGTTTAAAAACAAAAATTCTTAATGTTAGTTTGAGAAATTTTTGGAACACATAAAAATTAGATATAGTAACTTTTATGCTACCATGTTAAGAATGAAGGAAAGGGACTTTTTGTCCAATTTTTAAGATAGAGGATAGACCACCACGAGGATCACTTGATGGTAATTGAAATACCCTAGCAATATAACATCCCAACAAGATAATATGCCGTCGGCCTATTTCGGCTTTGGATAATCGAAATAAGGAATGCCTTTATTGGGGTTAAGGTAACTTATATAACCCTTTTTATAATAAAAATTGGACATTGAACTAAAATTCCTCTATTTAACGGTAGGTATGAGATGAAATACTTTATACTAATAATACTCCTTACATACAATACTAAAAAAACAACGTTCTACTGCTACGGAACCCTTCCTCTACCTCAACCTACCACGACCGTACCACCTATTGACACAACTGATAAATACACGTGCTAAGCTATTTTGAACATTATATTAATAACAGTTAAGTTTAGAATTGACACAAATAATCAAATATTGGTCATAAGATACCGTGTCAAGTGAAAGTTGTGTTGCGAATATCTTGCAATGCTTTCTAGACTGGTGTATTTTCTCATATGCTTTCTTCATGTACTTAAATAAGCTGCGCTTGCGACGGAATCCCGGCTTTAAATTAAAGAGTAGAATTATTTATCAGTTGTGTCAGGTTATCTATACTTCTATACTAATACTAGCTGAGCCGGCTAACGTTGTTCTGCCATTTAAATAAACTAAAATGTCTATTAAAAAATAAGGGTTGATCGTAGAAGGGTGAAAATTGAGGATTGTATGTATTTTTGTATGTTGTATCATAAAATTTTTTTGGGCCCCCCCCTTGGGGATGAAAAATAGAAGCCTTTCAAAATTTTTTTCAAAAAATAAAAAAAAAAAAAAGAAAAACCCCCCCCCCCCCCCCCGGGGGGAAAAAAAAAAAATTTTCCCCCCCCCCCGCTTTGAATACATATGAAATTTGGTGAAAATTCGGTCGAGCCGTTTCGGAGGAGTTCAAGTTCGAACACCGTGACACGAGAATTTTATATATTAGATGTAAAGCTGACGAGTTCGTTTGTTTCTTTGAACGCGCAAAGCTTAGGAACCACTAATTTAAAATTGAAAAATTATCTTTGTATTGGGTAGAGCATTTATCGAGGAAGCTTATAGGCTAAGTATTACAATAGGATTGTGTGTTCATCCCGACGAAATCCAACATATTTCTCATATATTTTTTCTGAAATCTGGATACTGAATGGGTGGTAGAAATATCGAAAATACCGTTTGAATCCCCATCCACCATCCAGATGAAAGAACAGTTCGAAATGCTAAAATAGGTCGACAGCGCAACTTGTTTAGATGTTATATGACTATGGCAGGTGAAATACTTCCATCAAGCGAGCCCAATACTTGACTGTCCCCGTCTCTATCAAAAAATCTGAAAGAGACTTTTATCCTTAAGGAATTCGCCAGAAAGAAATTCATATGATCCATCTTCGTGCTTATATTGAAAGTTACGAACGTACGAGAAATATACTTGCTATAGCACGTAATAATCTATAGTTGACGTGACAAAACGGCACGCAGTCACCGTGTCGTCAGCGATGTTAAATAATAGTTTCGATCCATTTACTTTGTAGGTCCCCGATCACGTACTAAATAATACAACTCGATTCGCGAGGATTTCGTTTAGAAAATGTATGTCATAGATTTACTTTCGATTTTATTATCTTTCGTGACTTGATAAAATTTTAAACGTTTGATTTTTGATGTGTTTCACATATAAGATTTATAATATTCATTCATACGGTTCGACATCAACGGAATACAAAGCTATACATACCCATCTTTATTATTAAATAAATAAAAGGCTACATAGGTATGGACTGATGGCTTGGTCTTCCATAGGTGTCCCCGATACAAAAAACTATAGCAATAATAAAAGCTACATTTTTAAGTACTGCAAATACCACAGCCATGATTTTAAATAGTCTAGCAAGATCTAGAGAGTCTAAGAACCGAAGAGAAAAACACATGCCTACTTTACTTATATGGAACAAATTGGTTCAGCAGAAAAGTTATTGTAATAACAAAAAGCTCCTTCAATACAATAGATTTATAATACCAACAAGAAACAAGGCCAAAAGAAGGCCACAGAGTTCTCAATAATACAAAATATTGACACAGAAAGTGCTAACTAATTACACAATTTATTGCTAAAAAATCCTTAACAATTGAAGTTTTTTAATTCACATCACCCAATGACATTCGCAAAGTCTACACTCAATAGAAAAGCTATTATGATGACAAGAACAAAGCACTAACTTTACAAAAAAGTAATATTTTTGAAACTATTACAGGAGGCGTATGTAAGACCATTGTAATAAAGTTGTAAGAGTACATTGATATATTGTGTTTTTAATAATAAGATTTAAGTAATAATATATTTTGAATAATGTGATGTAAGATAAAAAACCTTTACAGTTACCTTAATCATTAGTTTTTACCCTAATATACTTTTTAGACATTTTTAAGGTTTCCAAAATGGATTATAAATTTTTTTTTTCTTATGCATTTTGTTTTGAATTAAGAAAGCTTCTAAGGTATGCTCAATATTTATAAAAAGATGATTAGAAACAGGAGACATTCTATTAAATAAAAGCCCATAAGTAAATGACACACTGTTTCATACTTGTAAGTACTATAATCTAAATATTTTTTAATAAATTAAAAATAATAACTGATTCTTACCAGTTTCTCTTCATCAAATTCGTTAGGTCTTTTTGTGTTGTGTTGATCGCTAGATGCTGACTGAATTGACTGAGCACCATCACTGTCGGATTCAGTACCTTCTGAAGCACTACTTTCCTCTTCACTAGAACTAGTATCCAATGATTCTACTACTTTGCTTGGGTCAGATATCAGCAAAGCAGTTAATCCATTCTCCAGACGAATTGTTCTAAAAATATTAATAGCAAATATGGTTAAGAGTGCTAACTTATTTCACTTTTGTAGTTGCCACAATAATATATTTTTTTTCTAATAAGCTTAAAATATAAGTTTATCGCAAAACGTACTTGTAGAGTTTTTTATCAGACACAGATTTAATTGGTTCACTGAGAATCTCTATTTTATCCATATTCGGAACAAACCCTGATGATTTAAACTTATTTTTAACAATCTTTACGTCAGGCCGCATTCTATGTATTTTATTATAAATATTTCTTTTAGACATGTTCACAAAAATGCGTTTTAACCAATCAGTATAATTAAAAATACCAAAGCAGCTCCTTTGGTGAAATACGGAAATGTTTTGAACATGAACACGACTCGACACAAGGATAGACAGAAATTTTGACATTTAAATAATATTGTTTACTTTAATATGTCATCCATTGGTAAACCGACAATATACATTTTCGTTTGCCAGTATTAGTCCAATTCGATGAAAAGATGTTGTTACTCTGTGGTAACGTAAGTCAAAATAAAAGTTGAAAGCATAATATAATCTATGTTTGAAGTTTGATCAACGCAAAGTAAAACGGTTGTTTTAAAAACTTTAAATTTGTTGTGAGTTTGATCTTACGAAAATGTTTAAGAATGAGTAGTGCTAATATTAAGTTATTTGCTGTTGCTAATGTTTTACCATAATATTTATTTGTTAATAATATAATCTGCTCACCAAAACCAATATAAATATGGATTACTCGTATTCAGACAGTGATGTATCACTATCCCCATCTCAAATATTGGAAAAATTAGAGATGTTGCGGCAACTACAATTAAAGCAACGCGGAAAACTATTAAAGCAACGTTTGGACTACCAAAATACACCTGAAAATTCCTCTAACAATACTGAACTAGTAAGTCATTTTAGTAACAGCACTTCATACAACACTTTTAAAAGTTTATTATTGACATCTAGTGACAAATCGGAAGCCGGTGTAAAGAACTCTGATATTACACCGAGAAGCATACCCTATACAATTCAAGGAAAGAATCTTCAAAATGTTATGGATGGAATTTCTATACTTAATTTGTCACATGAATCTAATATTTCTAGTTCACCTATTTCCAACAGAAATGTGACAAGACAGTCACCGCAAAGAGCATTAGAAGAAGACCATAATGGTGCAGAAATAATACAAAAAAAACAACTATCTTTAGATGAAATGCCAATCTTATCTCCCAAGAAGAACTTTGAGCAGCTAGTTATTGAAACATTGAAAAATGACCCACCAGAAGGAATTGCAAAGCCAAAAGCAGTATATAAAAAGAAAAGAACATTTTTAAGAAAAGGTGAAGGCATGTCTCGCTTTGGAATCTCTAAAAATAACCTTATCATCCAAAATACAAAATCACTACCATGGAGAAAGAAATCAGAAAATACAAAAAAAACTGAATATAGCAGTATACCAGTAAAATCAAAGGAGAAATTGCAGACTCCACAAGTTGTACTTGAAACAAAAAAAGTAGCCTTTAAACCAGAATTTCATGAAGTAGATAAAAAGGATCATAATAAACCAGAACCAATAATTGAAAACCCACAGCTGTTCAATGAGGTATCCAAAAGTAGTAATTTAATCTCTAGCGCTTCTTGTAATCAAAATGATATACAAAGTAATGTTGATAAATTTAAAGCCAATCAAAACCTAAAGCACATGCATCCTATTTTCAATAACAAAGGTAAAACTTGGGCTGCAGTCTTAACTAAAGAGCAAGATGATTTCTTAAGACAACTCAAGCAAAGTGACTATTATAAAAACTTTCCATCTCCATCTAAAAGTATAAATTCTGACATAAGCTCCTGTGATAGTCTGTCTAAAGTAACTCATCATAAAGAAATCGCAGAACAAAACTTATTTGATTTAATAGAGAGTAAAGTTTCTCGTGATAGTTTTCATATTAATAATTCATTTTTTAATAAATTTCTAAGACAAAAAGAATATTCTGGAGAAAGTACCCCATTAGTAATGCAAAAATGTATAGCAGCGAACCCTAATTTAATGCATATTGGCCCAGAATTGCACCATAAAAACAGGAAAGAAATATTGTGCAGTGAAGATGAAACATGCATAAGTGAATGTACAGATTGTAGTGAATGCTGTTCAGTATCAACATGTTGTTCTTGTCAAACAGTGTCACAAGTGATTGAAGAAAATAATAGAAAATTTGTGAATAAAGACATTAAAGAACAAAAAATAAATGAATGTCAAAATGACACCGCCAATGGTGCTGACACTGAGACTGCAACTGCGAATATAGTAGAAATGAATGAAAAATTAATTGCTACCAGTGACTTATTGAAAGAAAGGCTGCGAGAACTGGAAGATGAAATTGAAACATTCAGGAAGGAAAATGCCAATATTAACAAAATGAGAGAAGAAATAGATACGGAGCGCCAAAAGTTCTATGAAGAGAAATCAGCTTTTGAACAAAAGTTTAATGAAGAAAAAATACTCTCAGAATATTACTTAGCAGAAGAAAAGGAAAAGCTCATAAAACAAAAACAAACATATGAGCGATATGTTAGAGAAATACGGGGTCGGTTAAATAAAAAAGAAAAGGATGAAGTGCTGAACTTGAAAAAAGAAATATCAGATCTAAAAAATGAGATCAAAGCTAAAGATGCTAAATCCACGTCCACCATAGCCAGATTACGTAACCAATTGAAAATCATGGAAAAAGATAAACAAAACTTAGAGAATGAAGTTGAGAAATTAAAAAAAGAAAATAAAAGAATTCAACATAGCAATGACGTGACTCGGAGATTGACCAATATTAAATATTTAGAACAAATTAATAAGAAACTTTCAGATGTGGCATCAAGAGATACTAGATCAAAAGTAGATTCAAACCCAAACATTAAATATAAAGCTTTTGAAATAGAGAGACAGAGTAGGCTGAAAAAGACTACAGGCATTCGGACCAGAGCCAAAAGTGTACCTAATTTAAATGTCACTTCTAAATATGCCAAATATTTCAGTCAGAAGGACTCTTTAAGCGATAAAGAAAAGAACTATTTAGTTCAAAGTCACACATATGTTTCAGATAATGACACTGATAATGAATCCATCAAAAACTCAGAATGTCCTACTAACATAGATGAAATTTTTTCTGAAGATGAAAATAATTACTTAGAAAAAATATACAATGAACGTTTTAAATCAAGTTCACCAAGCAGCAAGAGATCAAGTGGTAACATGTCAGATAGCTCCAATTTGAAAAACACTCATGAAGATACAAATGGTTTTTTCATACAAAAATCTAATTCAGTGTCTTCTATAAAAAAATCTCTGTCGCCAAATCATATAACAAACAGCTGTTTAAATATTTCTAAATCTTCACCTATAGTTGAGGATGCAAATCGTAATTATTCCTCTCATTCAAACAGTATCAAAGATCAGAGAAGTCAAACATACCGAAGGAGTAAATCACCTATTTCAATTTTAAGCAACTACTCCTCCAGCAGTCAAAAACCTATGACAGTCATACACAATGATGACAGAATGTTGCCAAGCCCTGAACCAACCAGTAGCAGAAGCATAGAAAAAACAAGCTTAACTCCTATAGAAATAAAAAAACCAAATGGATCACGAGAGTTGAAATATCCAAATGGTAATGTAAAAGTGATTTCTGCAGATGGAAAATATAGTAAATTCATATACTACAATGGTGATATCAAGGAGAACTTCTATGACGAGGGCAGAGTAAAATATTTTTATGCTGAATCTAAAACTTACCACACAACGCACCCAGATGGATTGGAAATTCTTGAGTTTCCTGAGTAAGTTCATTCCGCAACCACCCTTATATATATCCTATGTATTTATTACCCACTAGCTGTGCCTGCGACTTCGTTCGCGTGGAATAGTGACTTGGGGTAGAATTTTTAATCATTTAGGCTGTTTTTTAATTTATCTAATTGCGCATTTATCGCAGCCAATCTATGTTGTAAGCGCTACTTTGCCGCAACACTCTCACCTCACATCACTCCTACTCTAACTCCCACTCTGATTCCTACACTCACTTCCACTATAACTCCCACGCTCAGTCCTATTCCCAAAAAGCCAAAGAAGAAAGTTTCATTGTTGTAGCTTCAAAAACCACGAATTTCCATACAAACTTTAACCCCCTTTTCGCAATAAAAAGTAGCCTATGTTCTTTCTCAGGGTCTAAAGCATCTGTGTACCAAATTTCAATCAAATCCATTCAGTAGTTTTGGCGTGAAAGAGTAATAGACAGACAGACAGAGTTACTTTCGCGTTTATAATATTAGTAAGGATTCTAAAAATACTTTTAATTACAGCGGCCAAGTTGAAAAGCGCTATAAAGATGGATCATCTGAAATAAGACTGCCAAATGGTATGGTGAGATATTTTGACCCTAAAAATGACGTAGTTCGTGAGGATTGGCGCTATCCCGACGGAACTTCACTTACGGTATCAGCTAATGGCGAACAACGTATTCAATTTCCTAATGGGCAAATCGAAGTTCATGCAGCAGACCATAAGGTTAATTTCATATATTTTTTTAGTCTGATATAAATCATATTGGGCAAGTGATAAAAATAAGTTGTGATAACTGCTCCAATATAAAGTGACATATTTCTTCGTGATTCACTTGTTTACAATAAACATAGGAGAACATAATATTAAACTCCTTTTTAGATTATTATTTTAATAAATTTTGTTTCTTATTGCTTTAGCGTCGTGAGTTTCCTGACGGCACTGTAAAACTCGTCTACAATGATGGTACGTCGGAAACGAGATATGCCTCCGGTCGAATCCGAATAAAAGACAAACACGGGAATCTAATTATGGATTCATCATCAAGACATACATCTTGACAGTGATTGACTTTATGTTTATAAGATAAAAGGAAGCGGGACATTCCACATTAGTTAATAACTGTGATATTTAGTGCCTTAGTAAATTAAATCTTCTTAAAGAACCTTTAATACTTGTTAATTTTCTTCCATTTCTTTACTGATTTCTCAATTCTTTTTACACCTCTTTATTAAGTTATGTGTTGATTTTGAAAAGATTGTAATCATTGTATAAAATAAAACCTGCATGAGATAATAAAGCTAATATATTTGTTCATTAAAGTTAAAACAGTTTTATTATTTCTACATGTAAAAAATTAATTAACTTAACATTGTTTGTTGCCTTGATTGCGATTTTGTCATTGGCATTCCTTCCAGTTTGTAATTTATGGGGTGCATATTATCTTCTGTGCTGAAAAGCTTTTTCAATGCTTCTCTAGCCGCCATCTCTTTAGCGATTGCAACAGTTTCTCCAAAACCTAAAAGAATAAACACAATCTCTGTTGTAAATCATGTCATTATAATGAATTTTTTACCACACACTATCTTAAAATCTAGATTATTCCAGATAATCTAGATTAGGGATGCAAAATTATGTCTTTTTAGATTACCAAGCCATATTTTACACAGCGGTTTCTTAGTTTGAGAATTTATTAATCACTATAACTATTATTATTTAATGTTAGTATGAACCTGTTGACAGCATTTTTTTATCCACATATAGACCAACTCTATAACAAGCCAATAATGTGCCTTTCCCAACTTGTCCAATAAGTCTAGGTTCAATGGATGCGCCTGTTTTGGCTATTAGTTCAGTCAGCATTTTCCAGGGGTCTTCTATATGCCAATATTCGTTTACATCTTGTCCTGTGAGCAGTGGAGTTAGAATTATTATAACACTCATCTATTTAAAGTTGTTACGACGACGTAAAGTTCTTTTGCAATTCAATTCGTTCTTTAACTTCTATCTTATAAAGTGGATTAACCAATTAACAATTAGAAAAAAAATCGATTGAAAAATTGCAACACAGGCAGAACTGGAACTGGCATGCACAGTATTCTGTACTCTTGTTCTAACCAATTGGTTAGAAATTTTTATTATTTCTAACCATTCATTATTATTATTTACATGGTAGTGCAATTTATGTTAATTATTTCAATCTAAACTTGATTTTTAATTTATATAAAACTATCATGTTTTAACAATAATAGTTTGTAATAGTTAGCCAAGCTAATGCCCCAATTCTTCTACTTTACTTGAACACTGGTGGGTGGTATATGTTTATCTTACAAATATACCTTGTAATTGTGTAATAACAAAGTCTCGGACAAAATGTGCCGCTTTTTCTTCACTTGATGACTCATACAAGGCCCCAACAATGGCTTTGAAGGTATTTGCTAATGTACTATTGTCTACTGGGTACTCCTAAAAGTTAATATCATAAAAGTAAAAATAACACATGTACTGAAGTAAGGAATGACAAAAACAGTCGCAGCAAATATGTAGGCAAGGAAGTAATAATTAGGGCACAGATACTATCAAAATCAATATACATACATTAAATTGTTGATTATTATTATTATTGTAAATAAGCAAGTTTACGAGGATTTATTTATACTCTTTGATGATTGATCTTTTATTGCTGCATAGGTTTACTGCTAATTACTCTAATAAAATCTCAGTAAAATAACCTTTTGTACGAAAAGTAACACTTAATGAAACCAGTGTTTACTTACTGCTGATAAAATAATGTCTTTTGCTCCTAAATGAAGGCATACATTAGCTAGAACATTTTCACTTAGAAGGTGATTTTTGATACAGCTAATTCCTTCTTTAGGAAATCTTGGTAAAACTGCTTCTAAATATAATTGAACATATTCTTCCATGAATTTTATTCCTGCAATTAGAAAAATTTTGATTAGAGAGAGTCTTATAACAAAGCCCTAGGGAAATTTTGTCTTACCTTTATCAGATAACTCTCTATTATCTTTTATTTTTAAAGCAAAATCCATTTCTGTTTGTTTCATTTCTTCCTTAATAACATATGACCGGTCTGTGAAAGCTTGTAATAACAGTTCTGAGTCAAACTCTTCACCAAGTCGTTTGCTAAAAGCGTATAGCTCTGCTTCTAAGTTCCACTCAAGAAACGTATTCCTTGGGAATGTTTTTTTACCGCCTTGTCGTATTTCTCGATGTTTAAGCTCCATTAAAGTTGGTGCAACCCATCGATGAATGTGTACTTCTACAATTTAATAATATTTTTACGATAACATTTAAAACTGACAATATAATAGAGGATATATAATAGAACAAATATTAAGATTTTGCCCATAAATTGAAAGGGGAGATAGGTGAAATGGTTAGAATACAATCTGGAACCCGCCATCCTCCCAATAGAAAATAATCATAATATTAAAATATAGATTTCTAACCTACATAGTTACAAATGACCTACCATGCTTTACTAGCGGAATATTTTTAATTTCTCTTGTTAGAATTGGCAAACAACGTCTAAAAAATGCCATGTCTTAGTAAATAAATTCACTTTTGTTTTGAATTTACGTAACAATTTCAGTTCAGATTATAACAACATAGGTCTAAGAAGTACAATCAAAACAAAAGTCGCCATTTGCCTGTGTTGCCAGAATCAAGGTAAAAAGTAGCCAAATGAGGAAACTTTATAAAAAAAGGCGTTATTAGGTAAAAACTAAGGTAAATATTGTAAATAGAATTTATATTAAAACTACAAATATTTGGTAACACAGCGGCGTTTTATAAGGTAATACTTGGAGTGAAACAGACTAAAGTTAAAATAGGAACTCACAGACTATAGTACGAAATCTATTGTATTTATGTATTATAATAATTCTTCACGTAGTTAGGTACCATAAAACATATTTACTCTATTGAGTACGATTATTAGTGGTATTTAGGTTTACAAGACATGTATTTTTCTAGTCTTAAGCGGCCCATAGACAATCAATATTATTGTGCAATATACCGGGTTGTACAATAAAACTTATTGTGCAATTTATTGCGTAAAATTCAAATCCGTGAAAATATATTGTGCAAACGGGGAAGAATGGTGCTGTCTGTAGGCAACATTGCGCAATATCCCGTCAGTCTGTCTCATCTAGTAGTGGTGAACGCGTCATCATGGTTGACAAGAGAGCGGATAAACAATTTATTTGTGACTTTATTGAAGTTTATCGCGGCCTTCCCGCTCTTTGGGATGCGAAGTGCAAAGAATATACTAATCGTACCAGAAAGGGGGAGCAGTACGATGTATTATTGGAAAAATACCGCGAAAAATTTCCGGATGCTGAGAAACCAGATGTGGTAAAAAAAATAAATTCTTTACGTACAAACTTTCGTAAAGAATTAAAACGGATTCGCGAAGCAGAGAAAAGTGGTGCGGAAGATGTCGAACCTGTGCTGTGGTATTTCGAAGAAATGAGCTTTCTTCAGGCACAAGAAACACCTACTCCTTCAATCAGCACGATGGACACATGCCAAGAAACCTCTACTCTGGATGAGTTTCATGAAGAGAATTGTAATGAAGATGCAAATAATGGAACCAGATACACAGTAAGTTGTTTATTCGATTAATTTTCTCTAGAAGTTTATCACACAATATATACTTATTATTTAAACCATATTTATACGTTATAAAATCCAAACAACTGTTCTATTATCTATACATATTTACCAAGTATTGCACACTTTCTTCCAACCAAAAGCGTCTATTATTCCACATTTAATTATTGGATCATTCTTGGTCTGTACTTGGTACCTGTAACAAATAATAACCACATTATACAGGGCAACAGCTTTTAATGATTGCGTATAGTTAAAATACCTAAAGTATTTTGGGATCCCTCAGACTTTTAATTTTTTCAGGCTAATGTTGGACCTTCTAAAAACACGAAAATAAAGAAACCTCTACATCCTACTGATGAATTAATTCAATTGGCAACCAGGCGCCTTAAGCAACCAGAAGACGACTGCGACAAAGTGGCTGCAGCTTGGGCAGTTGAGCTCAGAAAAATGGATCCACGACAACAGATGTTTGCGAAGAAGGCCATCAATGATATTTTATTTGAGGGACAAATGGGGACCTTACACCGCCATTCAGTGGAAATTAACGCTTCACATGCGTCCACTTCCAATACTGTTTAATCCCTTCCTTAAACCCTCGTCATTATCCCTTCAATATATAATCCTAATTCAGAAGAACAATGTCCGCTAAATGCGAGTTCCTATTACTCAACTTTCAATAATGAAGAAGTAATTTAACTTCAAATTCAATATGTATTAAATATGCATATGAATTTTATATTTATATTTTTCCAACATTTTTACTGCCAAATAAAAGGAAGTTACAACAAAGTACCTACTTACCTTTATCTATATCTTGAGGCAGTTGATCAAAGCAGTGCATGTTTCCATAACAATACGACTGAGGTGAAACAGCAGTTAAAAACTTCAGATCTTCGAAGACGTTCCCGGTTGCCAGATATCGTAGGTTTATGGACAACCGGTGGCTTGCAGGAATACCATCGCACATGGTAGTGTTGATTTTCACGATTTGAGGAGTTAACAAAGCGAGAAGTTCGTCGAATAATACTCCGTCCATCCGTAAAGAGTTGCGAAAATTATTTGGTTCAGCAACTCTCAGTTCATTCAGTAATGTGGGTGTGTTTCTCTCCCTGGCAATGCACTACTGTCTGGCCCATTTTCTCCCTTTTTGCGAGATCTGTTTTTTCTCTTCTTTGCACTTACCGCTACAGCAATAGAAACAGCACACAATTCAGTTCCACTCAACATCTTCACCGAAATAAGTTCTGGCGGGGACTGTTTGCACAACCTGTTGTATCACCCCCACACAATTCATTTTATTGCACAAACCAACGTATTGTACAGTATTGAGCGCTTGTGGGCGGCCGTTAAAGTATTGTGCAATTTGGATTGCACAATACTTTAAAAAATATTACCCGTCTATGGGCCGCTTCAAGGCAAAATTACAAAAACAGTAACTAACAAGTATCAACTTAAAAAAATTTTTTAAGTAAAACGGTTTTATTTTTTGTGCACTGAAAACTACAAAAAATTTTAAATTTCAACATGATCGTCGTGTTTTATTAGTGGAGCCCTTTAATTTAATACCCGTATTGAGGGGGTTAAGGAACATACGTAAACCGACATTATGTATCGGCGGCCATCTTGGATTTATAATATTATTGATTTTACTATATTGTATTGTCATCTAAATTAAACATGTGTACCAAATTTCAGATCAAGTTGACTACGGGAAGGTGCTTAAATTTCAATTTCTAATTTTGATCAAATAAATAAATTCCGTACGAGTCGAGCTAAATACAACCGTTTAATAATACCATTTTATTAAAAATTTCACCGTCGATTCGTTATAAATCCTTTTACAGAACTAAAAAAACTTCGTTTTGCGCGGTTAATTGGAATAATATTGTGGTTGGTATAAAAAGACACAGATGTATCGTACATTGAAGATGTAATGTCCATGCCCTGTAACAAAAAAACACCTAAAAAATCGTTCTTATTCGCATCTATGTATAATTACAATCCATAATGTATTATTGGTTATAGTTATTTTTCTGTGGGACATAAATAAGTCATATGTATTTAAAGAAAACGTGTATTTTTAATACTCACAGCAAGCGAAGTACTAATATGGTACGAGTCTACTGAACTGTTCCTTGTCTGTTGTTGCTCCACTTCCTTTCTTCCTATCTTAAATTCGGAAACTTTTGTTCGCAATAACAGGCAGGAGACTATTCGTTGAAGCAGAGGTTTCTTTTCTGAACCTCTGATTTGGTATTGCCTGCTCCTAGTTGATTGCAGACTGTCACCAGAACACAAAGAATATGCGGACGTACCAAGATTCGGCGTAACCGATTTCTTGTGACCTGATAATGTTATGAAGCTTAGTCATAATAAAGAATTACCTGAATACCTATTCCAATAAATTAAATTGTTACCTTTAAAAATCGTATGTACGGAGATATTGTCTTTTTGGCCATTGCTAGAAAAGACCGAAGTTTCTAATCCTTTACTACAGGTGGGCGACGAATAATTTACGTGTTTCATAAACTCGACACTAGCATATCGCACTTCTAACGAGGAAATCACATTTCTTGGTTTAAGTATGGAGCTATTTTTATTATCTTTCTCAGCAATCAAGTTATCATTGATATTTTGGTATGAATGTTTAATGGGCCAGAATTCAGAAATTAATTGAGAGGCACGACTACGTGTAACATTCTCGCCAGATGACATACTATCTGTTATACATACTTTCTTGATTTCATCCTTTTCTGTTTGGACTTCTTTGTTCACACGAACGACACGTGGACATATCGATTTCATTTTAACTTCCCCTATTGAAACAATGCTGATGTTACTAATAGCTTGACGTCTTTTGATGTCCATTTTTTTAGATCGCATACTTTTCCTTAGTTTGGTATATTGTTTTCTAGACAACGTAACCGGCTTTTTATGTTTGAATTTTCCTACATCTAAGAATAAACATTCCTTCTGCTTCTGGTAGACATTATTAATGGCAGGAACTATGTGATGTCCATTTTCATCAGAACTACAGTTCTTACAGCTTTCATTACTTTGAAAAAGATTAAAAGAGTTTTCAACTTTCATCAACTTTTCTGGGTCAGTTTGTCTTGTGTTTTTAGATTCAATATTGTATGGTACTGAATTCTGATAATTGACTTCAGCTTTTTCAGTTATTTTGTCACCATTAAACTGGTGCGGTATTGCATCGTTATGAGTCTGAATTTTATTATTATTAAACATTTCCGCATTATGACTGCAATCCCTTTTATTAAACATTTTGCTGACTTTATTTGGAAGTAATTTTGCAAGACTTTTAACTAATTTAATTTTTGGTTCGTTGCTATAAAATTATACAATCAAATTATTGAAACGTTATATATAAAAAATATCAGTATAGTAAAGGGGAGTTAAAAAAAATATAACGAAAAAGAATAACCAGTTCGGTCGACAGAGATCTCCCTCGTAGGATTCAACCAAAAAGCTGTCCTTAAAAAAATAAAAAAAATATAATCACAAATACAAGCACAAAGTATTGTACTCATAAAATTCATTATAGACAAGTAGTAAGTTTGATTACTAACCCTGGCTTCCTGAGGCATTTGGTTATTGGTATAAGACAATTTTCGCCCAGTCAATATTCCGAGCAACTGTCGTATTTCCTTGTCTCTTTCATTTGGGTCTGGAACGGAACAATCATCGCCGCGATAGTGTTTTATTGGTGCTGTTAAAATATTATATTTTAGAATATAATATTAGGTGTTTAAAAAAAACGATGACACTCCGAAAAATACATACTTGTAAACTGCTTCGTTTGTTTTGAAGCATTGGGTTTTTGAGTTTTACTCTCGCCATTGGCTTTTTTAGTACCGGAACTACCTCGTCTGGAATAGTCTCGTCATTTTATTTAGTATCGTTTAAAATGAAGTGTTCATTCAGATATTTTGCAATAATATAAAGGTAATCTGTTACTCTAAAATACTGTGTTTATAAAAATATAGATTACCTGTGAGATATTTCAATGCTGTCTCGAACGTAAAGGTTTGACGCTTTCTGTTTTACGTTTTCCGAACCGTTTACTTTCATCTAAGAAAAAGATAGTTTATTTAAATTAAAAACAATATTATATCCTATGTTAAATAGTTCCACATACTTACAGAAAAATTCAACTTGCTATTTAAGTTTACAGGGGAAGACGATCTCAACTGAGAATATTTTCTTTTCTCCAGAACGTCAGTAATATTTTCCATAGAGGACTTATTATTTTTAACATGATTTTTAAGCGTCCTTCTAACAGCAAAGTCTGTGTTAAATTTATTCTGTTTGAAAAATAAATCATAACGCTCCTTATCACCGTCGATATTGACAGATACTTTCGAGACGTCGTCTTTTGGAGGGATAAATTTATTTGATGATTTTTTACTTCTACCCTCGGGAGTATCAAGTCTATAAATATAACTATCTACAATAGCTTTCTTCGCAAATGTTCTATCTGCGTTATGATTCTTTGAGTCTTGCCTATTGTCATATTTTTTCGATGTATTCGCCTTAGATTTTATTTCTTCTTTATAAGACATACCTGTTTTTGAATGTTTGATCTGTTCTTTATCTGTGCTCTGTAAGCGTTTGGGTGATGTATTTCGCGCAACATTTTGAAATCTAGAATTCGTGTCAGTTACCTTCTGATACTCTCTATTATTAGGAAAATTTTCCTTAGGTTTCGGTGATGTTAAGCGAAAACTTTGAGCAATACGTGATTTCCTATTAAATTCTGGTTTATTAGTAATAGTTTCTTTGCCTTTTTTCGCGTTGAGTGTCACTTGAGGTTGTTCAATTTTAATTGTGTGATCTAAAGCGTCACCTTTATCTTGTTTTGAATACACAGATATAACAACTATGGGACTTTCACAGCCTTTAATATTCTTATCACTCCCTGATATAGTTGGTCCATTATCTGTATCTTTGCACATGCATTGACTGTATTTGTTTTTCATGAATTTGTTCTTTTTCAAGTCTTCATGAAGATTGACTTGAATACCTTGGGATTCAGTTCTATAAAGAGAAAGATCTTAAATTTAGCCATTATTTGTAATAGCATAGACACATTTTACAGTAAATACCTTTTAGAATCATAGCTTTTTTCGAATGGCATGTTATTATCTATCTTTTTATTAGTACTGAAATTTAAATATACAAGTTAACAACAATGTAGATTTTACTTCAGATTTCTAAAGCTGGAGGACTAAAATACTTACAGTTTTACATTAGCAGCCAACATTTCGACATCTTGGGAAAAGTTCGTGTGTACTGAAAAAACAAATTGATCGTATAGTTGTAGTTCTATTTGAAAAGGTGAAGACTTTAATAACAAAATTTCTTATATGAAAGGTTTTCTCACTTGGTTTATCATTTACAGTAGCAGCACAGTTTAAAACATATCTATCGTCATCAGTCAATCCTAATCTGCCATAGATTTTTACGCGACTTTTGTGCCGGTTTAAATCTGTATATTGAGTATTTGGACAATTAAATATTTGGCAGGGAATTTGGGTATCAACATTGATATCTCTATGATTTTTCTTTCTCTTGTCCTTGAAATTTGTTTTATCCATCTTGGTAAGGGCGTTAACGACTTTAAAGTTTCCTTTTGGAAAAAGTTTATCTTTAAATGGTCTGTTAGTCAGACCTTCGCTCTCTGAAGCTCGAACTACGTAAACCTTTTCTCGTTTTCCCGATTCATAGACCTTTTTAGGCCCTTGTATATAATCTTCGTGATTTGAAGTGGTGCTTTTTATTTTCTTCTTAAATATTTTTCTATTGAATATTTTCGAATTTACAGTTTTAGGCGTTTTTGGAACGACTGTTATTTTTATTATAGGTTTATCGACTTTTTTACGCTTTCGATGTTTATTATTATAACAAAACGGTAACGCTTCTAGTAAATGTCTATCTTTTGCATCCAAAATAGTGTACTGTTCACGTATTAACTAAAACATTTAAAATTTTAATCAAATCTGTACTTAAATATTCAACCTGAGCACTAGTAGAATTACCTTTTGTGTGGTGCGTTTGACGATAAAGGAAGAGTTACTAGAATTCGAACTTTTTAAGTCTTGGGATCCCGTGTAAATTTTCTTAACAGAAGCTGTCGAATAGTCAGGCAAATCTACACAAATAAAAAAAGACTAAAATAAATCCCAGCGGACGATTTAAATGTCGTAGGTACATAGTTACAGACACTGACCGTAAAAATTATTATTTGCCATTTTCAACTATTAAGATTATACATAATTTCATGAATATTATAAAAATGTTTAAAAAAAAGTATAAAACAAACAAAAAACACAAAATATCTTTGTTTGGCAATGTCAGTTAAGTACAAGTCAAATGCCCATAAAAAAAAAGTCTGTGGGTTGTAGGTGTATAAATACTTAAAAACTATTGAAAATAATAACGGTTATACCAGCTTTTTATTTATCTGTTTGCCTTTTAAAATCCATTATGTGTTTCACGATCTCTGTTATCGTTAAATTGTATGTATTTTTGTAGATATACCACCATAAAGACCTCCTTCAAAATGTCAATCACTTCGTCAAGTTGTCTTATTTTCATAGGGTAGAATAGTAGTTATGTAAATTCGTTTAACTTTAAATTTAATTCTAAATTCGTCGTTAATTTGCAAATGTCCATGCCCGAAGACCGACTAATAACACAAATGGTTATACCAGTGTCTAAAGAAAGTTATTTCAATACTAAGTGGGAATCGAAGGAAAAGCCATTGTGCGCCTACGACATGTTGTACCATCCTCCAGATTATAACCCGAAATCCGCGAGATCTGATCGACAGGAACCTAAAATTATAAAAAGAAATATATGGGACCAAGCGAGTATACTTAAATATATATAATAGTTGGGTTGTCCTATTACCCGAGAACGGCTGGACCAATTTTGATAATTTGCATTCGTATCAAATATATAGATAGATATATTCGTCAGTTACCTACACAGACTAAATCCCAGATATAAATAGTACGTAAGTATTACATAGATAACACGTATCTATTATCTATGTAATTAGCACTAATAAAAGTACTAGCTTCGGCAGTACGTACCTATACTGAAATTACAATGATACAGAAAAGATTAGCTTGGCTCCTGCGCAAGGATGCAACGCAAAATCGTGAAGCATCCCACATTTTTAACTAACTAAATTGACTCTAGAAGTTTAATAATTTACAAAGCCTTGCAGGAATTACATAAGATTGTACCGTCGACGTCGCACTTTCAATTGGGACGACCAACAATTAAAATTAAAGATGTCCCTACAAAACAATTCGTACGTATTCAAGGTTAGTATTTGTTACTACTAAAAAGTACTTAAAATTACATTTTGGCAAAACTTTACACAGGCTCGTTCGTGTTGTAGTGCAGATAACGGTATGTTTCGGAGAGCATGTTAAGATTATCACAGTGATCTTATCTAGTGGTCTTTAAAACCCGTCTACCCGCACTGGATCAGCTTTGTGAATTCAGACGATTTGAGAGCTAAAAGTTATGAAAAAGGAGCACATCACGGCATTTATATATTATATTATCATTGGACTAGCTGTGTCAGCGACTTTGTCCGCGTAGAATAATTTTTGCACACAACTCTATAAATTTGCTGTTAACCACGACGACTCCCTTGTTATCTTAAAAGTGCAATGTTAAAAGATAGGCATATAGCGTAGCAGTGGCTAACTATACCTTCGAGGCTGTGGCAAATAATCGAATGGAGCCCATTCCCACTTCCCCAATATATAAAGAAGCTGAACCAACAATTGAGATTTCCTCTGACCGGGGGCCCCTCGGGGCGGGGGGCCCGTGATTTTGCCGACTGCTATCCTTAGTTTCGCCATGAGCGTAGGACTTATTTTACCATCATCATTTAAAGAGGGAATCATTCTTTGCTACATAGTTTTTGGGTACACTGAATGACTGAACCGTCTTCGCAGGGAACGGAAACCCACAGGGATGAATAATTTTCCCCTATAAAGATATGTATAGATTTGACGCTAAATTTTTATTAATTATTGCAGTAAAAAATGAAAATCCGCACATGCGCATCGACGGCGTCTTGCAATGGGCCGTGCTACTCAGCGACGGAAAACCGAGTTTATGTGACCAATAAAATTTAAAGTTCTCACGAAGAATATTTATTCTTTTCAATACTGTATAATTCATAGTTGTTTTGCATAAATGATAATATAAAGATAGACAACAGTAGACACATACCTATGCTTAAACTTAATATTATAACTTTTTTTATTATTTAACGTCAACGTCCGCGTCCGGGCGCGTCGTTCTTGCGAGTTAATCTTAAAAGATAGACATACACTGTCGTGATTATTTTCTAAGATCATTTAATGAGAACCGTTGCACCGTTTTCGCATCGCACGCAATGAAAACTCTCAAAGATATAGAGATAGCTCGTTTTAGTCGCAGCATAATATTTTGCTATTATTTATATTAGTTTAAATGAATGTACTCGTCTCTTTTCTTTTTTCTCTTTAGTACAAGAGAATAAAGCTAAACTAGGTTTTATTCAGTATTCAAGAAAGCACATAACTCACTTTGTTTCATATAAAGTTTATATTAATAATTAAATATGAATATTTATTGATCAATAAATAATCTATACAAAGTCGTTCAATATGAAATATTAAAAAGGCCATAAAATTTATTACTGTCTCAACTCTGTGCATAAGAATAGATAAGTGAAAAACGTTAATGAGAAAAATATCTTTCAACACTATAATTAATGACACGCTAATGATGCTAATTATTTTATAAATTTAACTTAAAAATTAATTAGCCCTGAATTTTGTAAACAGAGTAGATTTCTGACAGGCTCGTAAGTCCAATGATAGTAATGTACGTCTATTAAACAACGGATAGCTGGTTTAATTTCTACCGGGTCCAACATGTGGCGTGTGGGATACCTGCAAAATTAATGAACCCATAGATGAACAAAGTCTAAATATACATTCGCGATATGGTTTCACTTAATGCATTTCTGATTATCTAAACCAACACGTTAAATAAATTATATTGTACTGAACTGGCCATTGAATTAAAATCCTATGTCACATTATTGTTTCCAATGAGTCTTAGTAAATATACTTCAGAAATAAAACATTTTTTTGCGTACATACATTTAATATATTACATAAACAGTACATAAAACATATAAGATTATCAACGTTACATGATAGTTGCAAGAAATTATGTCAACTCAATTTCTAAACAATTCATAAGTATCGAAGGCTATTTTATGTGAATTTCATCGTCTACTTTAAAAGGAATGATAATTTAATACCTTATATTGGAAATATGAGAAATAACAGTCTTCATAAGTTAACCTAATCGGAAATAATACTTTTAAACATTGTGGAAATTCCCCGATTGCTTCCCTCAGATTTATCAAGCAAAATGCCTAAAGTAAAAATGCGACTTTCCAAACTTATCCTACATTTGTTAGCACCTCGGCGTATTACGAGATTATAAAAATCTTAATTCCTAAGTTTTCGTGGTGTATTAGTTAATATCTCAAAAGTTACTCGCAGTAATGGGTATAATGTTCTAGCAGTTTCCTAAATGGTTAACCTTAAATTACGTCACATGAGAACTTTTAATAGACATTTACCATACAATATACTCTTTCGTTACATTGTTTAAAAGCTGTTTATTGTGGGGACTGGATGAAATTTCGGCCCCTTTCCTACCACTCCTTTGCAGACAAAAGTAAGAGGATAAAGTGTGACGTATTTTATAGATAACCTGTATTAAGAAAATAGTTGCTGTTTTACTGCTCGTCCTTGTCTTTAGCGCCATGTTTAAGGATGCGTGTAAACTCCACATAGTCAAAGAGTCCATCGCGAATGGGTGCCTCCCGAAGCATCTCATCTACGTCATCGTCAGTAAAACGATCGCCCATGGTCGTCAGCAACTCACGCAGGCGGTCTTCTTGAATCACTCCTAAGTTCTCTTCATCGAAACATCTGGTTGAGTGGAAATAGTATATTGTAAAGAAACACAATTTAATGAAGTAATAATCAAATATAAACAGGACTAAAATCTATAATGGATTAACTGAAATTTCAAGTACAACTACTCTACTTTTTTATGATAGATGGGGATACACAAACATGAGGTTTACTTCAAAAAAACAACCATCAACAAATAAATAATACTTCTAATTACCCAAAAGCATTCTTAATCACATCCTCTGGATCAGTCCCTTGCAAACGTTCACCAAACAAGGTGAGGAACATGGTGAAATTAATTGGACCTGGTGCTTCATTCATCATGCCCTCTAAGTAGTCATCATTTGGATTTTTACCTGTAAAAAAATTGTTATAGTGCCTTACTGTGTTACAAAAGTATGTATTGTTTATTATTGAATACACCAAAAGAACCACTCTCAACACCATATGATTTTGTTTGTTTGATGACTGTGTCATGCAATATGCCAAAAAAATTAACACCTTAAGTTTAATGTAATGTATATTGTAAAGGATTAGCTCACCTAGAGATGCAAGCATGTCATGGAGATCATCCTTGTCAACGAATCCATCTCGGTTTTGATCAATCATGTTAAAAGCCTCTTTGAACTCCAAAATCTGTGCCTGATCAAACATGGCGAAGACATTGGAGGTAGCGCGTTGAGCTCGCTTCTTGTTTGTCCCACGGCGACCAGCTGTTTTACGCGACGACATTTTGAACTAAATACTGCGCCTGACATCAAATATAATTCAAACATGACAAAAATATGCTAACAGGAAAATGTATATATCAAATACACTTTTAACAAACCTTAATATAGATTTAATTAGTCTAAATAAGTACAAGCGCCTTTGTACGTCACAAAACGACGACCGTTAACCAAGAATGACTCAACTTTACGAACACAACACTTGGTTACGACTAAAATTATCTTTCAATGTAGGACACGATGTTGTCACAATTCACTATCTCGTTATACCATACATGGTTGTGAATTGACTCCAGCCAAGGATAAAATAAGCCATCTGTGAGGCGCGTACCAGATTTAATGGACACGCACAAGACTAAATATTCCAGTTGGGCCGAGTTGTTTCTTAATTTTAATACAATGTTAAACAATAAATCGATCAACTTTTATTTATTAATTTAATTTTAAGGAATATTTACCTGCTAATACACGACACAAATTCTAGTACAGAAAAAATTGTGACTCACTTGCTTTTCTTTACAGTTTGACGATTAATCATTCATGTCAAACTCAAACGTCAATTGTATGACTCACGTCAAGTACTGCCAACTTCGCAGAGGAAAAATATTTTTTTTTAAGTAATTTACAGCACCTATAGAATGTAGATACTATTAGGCTACGAACACCAAAAAATATACATTTTTAATTAAGATTGGTATGTTTAATTAAAAATGTATGGTTATATACACTTTTTAATAATTATTATTTGTATGTTTATTGTTAGACAGAAATCGATCATTATGATCACTATTCATATCTGTCAATTAAATCTCAGTGATTATTACATGCCATAAAATATTATAAAAACAGATCATCATATGTCAAATCATTTGACACTTGTGCGAATGTCAAAATGTGACAGATTAACTGTTACACAATATCCATAATATTGAAATAAATTCATAACATACCTATAAAACATTATATCACCTAATAATTTTCCGTCTAAAGCTTATAAAAAATGACCTACGTTCAGTAACTATTTAGTGAAAACCTTCTGTGATATTAAGTATATGTATAACATTTGTTGAAATGATTTGGTGACTATTTATCACCGAATAGGTTATTTGTGATGGGTTCTATTCAGATGCTTTTTCACAAGAAGTCAAGTTTACTAAGCGGTGTAGTTAGGACGTTAGGAACAACACCACGAGTCTTATCGAGCCACTATGATGTTCTTGGTATTACACCAAAAGCTACACAGCGGGATATAAAATCTGCGTACTATAAATTGTCAAAATTATATCATCCTGACAAATCAAAAGTTAGTTTTTATTTTCTTATATATTTATTATAAGTATCTAGTTATAATACTATCTTATTTACAATATTATTATTGACCTACCTTTATTTCTATTTCTATAAACATATATCTCTTTTTTTCTATAGGATGAAGAATCAGCCAAGAAATTTAGAGCTATCACAGAAGCTTATGAAGTCCTAGGAAATATTAATCTGAAGAAAATGTATGATAAAGGTACATTGTTAGAAAATGTATATTTTTAGTTGTGCCTTTATTTGTTAAAATAATATTTACATTTTTAGGTTTGATGGTTGGAAGTGAAAATACATCTAGAATGCACTATAAACCTGATCCAGAACCCACAGATCCTACACTAAAGTTTTATAAGTCTCGAGCGTCTAGGCATATCACTCCAACAATAGATGGAAAAACTCCCATATATGACTTTGACGCATGGTAATAAATCTATTATTATTACCATTGCTTTAAATATCAGAAATTTTGATTATTACGAGTTCCTATATATCTGCAGCATTTAACAAGACTGAAAATTTGCAAAAGTATAATTACTGATACTTAAGAATAAATTTAGAAACATTGTAGAGTATGAAACATAAAATTTTAAAAATAATTTCCAGGTCCAGAGAACACTATGGAAATATTTTAAAGAAAAATCAACATGCAAAAAAAATCATAAAAACCAAAAAGGAAAGTGCTGCTCTACATGCACAGGCAATATATGAAGAATCAATTGTTTATTTTGTGTGTGGAGTTGCATTCCTATTTGTATTTTTTGCCTTTTACGGAACTACAAATTATGATGAAAACAACATACAAAAAAAGAAAACAAATAAAGTTGATTGATGAAAGACGATCAAGAAACAAATATATTGAATTGTTCATCATAGAAAATCATTATAGTTTAAATTATGGTATTGTAGATAAATGGTACAAATTGTATTTATTTTAAACATACTCTTGTACATACCTCATGTCATGTAGAGAATCTATTTTGTTTTAATAAAATGTAAAATGCAAGTTTTACATTGGTTTATTTATTATCTAGAGATTAAAAACAATTTACGATAAAATTTTATAGCTACAAATATTAGGTACACCTCACTCTATTTTGAATTTGATTACTATACTCTGATTAAAATTATTTATCATGATTATCATCAAATTCTATTTACAAGCACCAACTTCTAGCGGACAGTTATTAAATAACACTTTCGGCATCATTCCCACAATCATAAGAAAAAATTGACCTAAGATTATATTTTAAAATTTGAGTTCAGTGTACAGACATAATGATTGTGACAATATAAGATTTGACAATGGAGACATATAAACTAATAAGATATTTTTTACAATAAAAGCTCTATTATAAATGGTCACATTATAATGGCCGCAGTTTAGTTCTTATGAAACCAGATGACTATAAGTCAAAAGCAACATTAATAAGCTCAAAAATGGTTTCCGTACATACCAGGCATAGGCATGTTTAAGGGACCCATTGGGTAAGGTACATTTTGAACACCTTGAGCGTTAGCATAGCTTGGATATGGTAAATATGGTTTTGATACCCCATTACCAAAAGAACTCTGACCACTTCTTAAAAGTTCACCCATTTTCTCTGCTTTGAATTTCCTGAGGTGCATTGTCTTTCTGATTTGTTCAAAGTCTTCAAGGAATTTGTCAACATCAATTTTTCCTGTCAGAAAATCTTGTGCAATGTTTTCAGATTCTTCTTCTGATTCAGCTGCTGCCGTTTGTAATAGTGCTAATGTCGTATCTGGTGAGATACCAGCTGATTTTGTCTCTGAAAGAAAATTTACTTGTTTTAAGCTATGTATAACATACTATTTACATTTATTTCAAGATGAAGAAAAACTCACTATACTCATCAAGAAGTTCTTGAATACGACTACACAGGTTTTCCCCAACTTCTGATTTTTCTTGGACTTCAGCCTTCAACCCTTGAAGCTCTGGTTCTTTGCTCAAGTTATACTCAGCTAATGATCTGTTACTCACTATTATTGTTTCCTTTTCCGTTTCCCAGTCCTTTACCTAGATTTTAATTCAAAACAAATAAGATGTTTATATTACAATTATTTAGGTGATTCATCATGATATCCTGTTTTTAACTCTTTCCTACCTGTTTGACATCTTTTAAAATTGAATCGAATTTCGTGTCATCATTTAGCATTTCCTTTAACTCGTCCGAATTCAAATGAGATAATAATCCCATTGCAGATGGATAATCTGGTTGAATCATTTTACTAAACAATGAACACTTGTTGAACAAATAAACCACCCACTTAAGAATAATTTATAAAATTGATGTCAAAATTATGTTATTGTTCCATTCCACAGAATACTTCTATTTCTACAGACAAAGGATGTTTATCCATAGATTATATTATAAAATACGGACTGTCAAGATCGCAGTGTTAATTGTCAGAGTAAAACGTTTTGATTATATATTTTAAGAATGTCTTTCTGGTGTTTTGGAGCTTTTTATCCATAAAAATCTTTTGATTTGATATTTCACATAAAGAATCTTTTTTTATACTATAAAAATGAAATCATTGAAGAAAACTCAAACGTTCTATAATATCCAATGTTTTCTTACAACCAATTTAAAAGCTATCGTAAACGGAGAAGAAAGTAGACACAGATGAAATCCAAATAATTAACCCAGAAAGACTTTAATTAAATAAATAATTCATATCTAGTCAGAAAATGTTATTTATTGAGTATCCGTATAAAGTGGAGTTTATTTATAATTTCTATATAAAGTTTCTGTCAGAATCATTGTTATACATAAGAAATTTCGTTTTGTACATCTGTTTGTGGATATTTGGTTATTTGTGTGTGTGTTGTATAGTGTATCGTAAATATGCAAGGAAATTGCCTACTCGGACACGAGGAGCACTTGGTGCGAAAAGAGCGTTAATTGTGGTTGCGCATCCTGATGATGAATGTATGTTCTTCGGACCCACTATTTATAGGTTGTGCGAACAGGGTACTGAAGTATACATATTATGCTTATCTGAAGGTAATTGGATATGATTAGCTTATGTTAAATTGTAAACATTGTTATACTGATGATAATAAATGCAGGAACAAACAAAACAAATAAATAACCTTATACAATTCCAGGTAACTATGAAGGGAAAGGTCAAATACGAAAACAAGAATTATGGGCTGCGTGCAAAGAACTAGGTGTTCCTGATCAGAATATTTGTCTTATCTCAGACACAAGGCTTCCAGATGACCCTAAAGCACAGTGGCCTGTGCCAGTCATAGCAAAACTTATTGAACATAGAGTTGAAGCATTTGACATTGATACTCTTGTTATTTTTGATAGAGGGGGAGTCTCCTCTCATCCAAATCATGCAGCTGTCTTTTATGCTGTAGCTTATATGTTTGTTGAGAGAAATATGCCAGAAAGTAAGTCACAGAATAAATATGTTGTATAGCTTATAATTTTCAAGTAAGATAAAAGGTTAATTATACATTTTATTATTTTTTGCTTATTCATATAATAACAAGGTACCTACAAGGCTACCCTATTCACAAAAAAAAGCAATAATAGTATGATTTATTTTTTTCAGCATGTACAGTATATACTTTGGACTCTGTGAATATACTGCGAAAATACTTAGGATTCCTAGACTTGCCCCTTAGTTTCTTGCTGTCTTCCAAAAGGTTAGTAATTGTTTATACTTTGATTAAAGCATCAGGATGGAACATTGTGGATGCTAGATCAAGTCATGCCCATATCATACACTTTTTTAAATCTAAATCCAGTTTCATTTATACTGCTGATTTGATATTTGCTATTTGTCTCTGTCTCTGACGTGCGAGAATGGATTTCATGGTTTCATGAAACAGGACAGATTTATTTGACATACTTAAGAGAAAGGACGAGGGTGTCCAATGCCTAATGTAGTGACATGGCCTATCTTCATGTGTTATATGTGATATCAATTTATAATAGGTTTTATATTGTATACTTGACATGTGACTTGCATTTGCTTTGTAATTATTTTTTAAATATAACTTTTTAACTTTCTATAATCATTTTAGATATTTTCTCCGCTGGACAGAAAGCCGCCGAGTGCTGCGCGCTATGAAACGGCATCAAAGTCAAATGGTTTGGTTTCGTTACTTGTACGTTATCTTCTCACGTTACATGGTGATCAATACGCTCCGAAAAATAAGCCTTGCCGATATTGAACTGGAACTGGAAGTAGATGATTAATAGAAAAGAAATGTATGCATTAAGTTATTATTTTTTAAGAAGGATAATAAAGATGTGTTTTTAAATTCGGCACCAGAACCGTGTAACATTTTATACCTTTAAATAAAACACTTTAACAGTTTAAAACGCGATATGTAGTAGTTTAACTTATTTGAAAATTATTTTAAGTTCGGCTCGTCGTTTATATCAAATACCAACTTCGACGAAACCCTCCATCTTTAGTCTCCCGAGTGACCACGGCAGCTGGAAAGCATCCGAAACGTCGGGCCGTAGTTAAAATAAATTTCAAATAAGTTTAATATATATCGCGTTTTGAACCGATTGTGTTTTATTTAAATGTGTACTAGTCGCGTAAACTACGGACAGTATTTAATTTTATACCTTTAATTATAATGTGTCTATGAAACTTAACCATCATGTATTCCATAAAACTTTAAAGGAAGCATTCGTAAACGTGTGTTTGGACTTAAAATACACTATTTTTCTGCTGTCACAAATAATATCTTATTCTGCTGGTGTTTGTAACTTGCAAGGATGCCCATTTGCTAAAGATGATTATTTTCTTTATCTGCACTTAATTTAGAGCACTATTTTATTTTAGGCATCCCTTACTTAGCAAACATTCCCTAGAATATTGTATGGTTTTATCTGTTGAAATAAGAGTGATTGAAATTTGGATAGAAATGATTTTGTTACCTTAGTTATATTTTTTGTTTTATTATTTATCTACACGTTATATTTTTGTTAAATATCTAAATAATTTTATAAATGCAATTAACAAAATCTACAAAAGAAAGTTATAGAAATTATTGTTTTTTAAATTCAGTTTAACCGTCTGAGGTTAAATTTAGACTAGTTGACCTTTTTTGTCAATGACTTAAAACATTTCATATTTGTATTACTTCTGGATTAAATGTTTTTAAATGTTTGTTTATATTTTTTCTAATATAACCAAGAGATAAGATCTATATTGATGTTAAAACAGAATGGAGGTTTTTCTTTAGGAACTTTATTTGTTATTGATAGTCTACAGCTTTTTAATTGTTTGAGCCTACAATTTAAGTATTCAGAACTTTATTTACCATTATGTTAGGATGTCCTGGCCATCGAGAAAAAAACAAACGGCGATGCAAAGGTGTCTAACTACTACATAAAAACGTGTATGTACGTGTAATGTTATTTATTCAATTGGCCTTCAATATACTCATAATAATACATTTTACAACAAATGTTGATTTATTTAGTACATTATTTATTATACTTCAATGCAGAATTTTAAAATCATTTACCTATGCTTCGAAATTGACAATATTATTAGTTCTATAATATTCTATATATCTAACGCTTCGTGTGCCCACAAAAATATCTAAGCAAGATTTTAAACAGAATTGATAAATCCTCAATAAATTTCCCATATCTATGTTATAAGTGCAACATGAGGTGCAAAAACTAAATAAAACACGATAACTCACAGCATAAAGAGGAACTTAGTGCAAATTAAGTACCTAAAGAAATTAAGTAAGCGAATTTTGCAGACGAATATACCAATAATAAAAGACTACTCTCAAATATATATATCACGCTGTATTTAATGTAGAACTTATTACAACTTAGATGTACAAAAATAATAAAAATTGAGGTGCGATGTTTAAGTAAAAGGCGGAGCTCTCGTGTTGTGTTGTGGTTTTGACTTATACTGAATAGAACCATTTAACATAAACACTATCACAGCCATAAGAGCTCCGAGACAAAAAACAATTACAAAATGTAACGTTATAATTTGCCCGCTTTTAGCGTTAGTACTTTATGTGACAACTACAACTCACAGAATACTGAACAAACCAGTAGGCGTGTTTCTGCAACTCTGTACTACACCAAAATGGAGTACCCGTGACGCTTTCTGGTATGTCTAGTATTCCGCGTATCTTAATCCACTACATCAAGACAGAGAGCCACAGAACTGAATAATACAATGTTCGCAAAATAATCGGTTTCTGGAATGTCACACATTTATCAAAATACTGATTTGTTAAACAACAAACTTAATTATTAAAAATACAACATTGTGGTTGCGCTATGCTAACCGTAGCCCCGAATTAATATTATTTCATCCATAGTCCACGAAACCTCCGAATCAAACACGACGAACAGAGCACATCGCCAAAGTACTAAGGTAACGTCAGAAGTATATTCGTACTTCTAGTGCCGAACGTAAGCTAATTTTATTTTTATTTATTATACACAATAGCCAAATGGCCGCCTACATTGGAGTTTTTACATAGAAGTTTAATAAATAGCGAAATATTTAAAATCTGACCTAAAGTCGTTATTACTCACAATATCTCGTTGCTAATAGTTAATTATCCGAAAAACACTTTAACCCGATACTGTCTATAGTTTACGCGAGTAGTACACATTTAAATAAAACACTTTAACGGTTTAAAACGCGATATATTAGTTAAACTTATTTGAAAATGATTTCCCGTGTCTTCCCGTGACCACGGCTGCTGCAAAGCATCCGAAACGTCGGACCGAAGTTAAAAATCATTTTCAAATAAGTTTAACTAAAATATCGCGTTTTAAACCGTTAAAGTGTTTTATTTAAACTTTAACCCGATTTTAATTTGGTAACGAAACTACCTTTAACCACTGACTACCACTTATCTCTTTTAAACAATATCTATACCACAATTCAATAAAGTTATTTTGCTAAACGGTAAAGCGCTCTAGCGACGACAGAGATCGTAATAAAATTAAGTCTTTGCAAAATCAAGGACGTGTAAGAACTTCGAAAAGGTTTTCAAGCTGTTCGGTCATCATAATTAACAATGATCCTCGAAGTTCCACCATCACAATTAACAATGATCCTCGAAGTTCCACCATCACTATGAACGGCATCACCAGATGTTGAGCGTTCTTCGGCTAGGAGACTAAATAATGAAGATGGAATGTCAGACCCATTTATCAAAAATACTGTCTTTAGTTTACGGGAGTAGATTTAAACAAAACATTTCAACGGTTTAAAACGTGACGTACATTGTTTAAACTTATTTGAAAATTATTTTAACTACGGCCCGACGTTTCGAATGCTTTGCAGCTGCCATGGTTATGGGGAGACTAAAGATGTGGGGTGTCTCCGTCAAAGTAAAAACCCTCCAATAGTCTCTCCGTGACTGCTGCAAAGCATCCCAAACATGGGGCCGTAGTTAAGATAATTTTCAAATAAGTTTAACTAATATATATCACATTTTAAATCGTTAGTATTTTAAATCACTTATCAATCATAAGGGAACAGCTCGAAAACCCGTCTACCTACATGTAGCTTAGGTTAAAACCTGGAAGGCGAAGAATATGAGACTGCCAGCAGCCGATTACAAATATGGCATTTAAATACAATCTCTGTTGAAGCTTAAGCGAGGTATCTTGAGCGCAAACATTTAACTCGCAATTTCTTTTCGCGTGCAACCTTATTCCTCATAAAGATATTTCGTAACGCTTCACATTCAATAGATAAGTTTTAATATGCGCGTTTAGGTTCTATTGTAATAGAAAGTGTGAAAAATATAAACATACATTCAAAAGTAATCACTTTATTTTCCCGTTTTATTACACCATAAAGCTGGAGGCTAATAGAGAAATTTACATGTCATCTATAGCTTTTCGGAAATCGATGTTATATGGAAGAATTATTTATTGTGTATCAATGCAGCAGCAAAAGGCTTGCGCTCAAGGTTGTAGCAGCGAGACGGCAAGCATATAGTAAACGCAAAATAACTCGAATCGTCTCAATACAATAGTGTACGTCCATCTGGCGAATGTATAGACGACAAAAAGTACATTACTGTGTACAATGATATTAGTGTATGTTAGTATTCAACAAGCGACTATATGTATGTAAAGAACGCCATATTCCGTAATTTTGCGTATACCATATCGCGTCACCTGCGCGCGCAACAAAAGTTTGCGTCTCAAACGGTGCGCCTGCGCCGTGTACGTACTTAAATAAGTAATAACGCATAATAGGTTTGTCTCTTTCGAACACTTATGGTTGGTATAGCAGGAACAAGAACAGTATAACATATACCCTACTATTTGGTGTCTTAAAGGTTTATAAATATCACTTTTAGATGAAAGTGTAGTAAGTCAACAGATGGTAAAATAAAAATCGAGTTTCTGGAAGACTTTAAAACCTCTTTTATTGCATTAAAATAATTATTGATTTTACCTTGGCGTTTATTTTCTCTATTTTACGCATTTCAGAAACCCTATATGACACTTAAAATAGCTTATAAGAAAGTAGAGCGCGTTTTGCTTAGACGCAAGCTTTTGTGGCGAATATTGTTACTATTGAATGTCACGCGGTCCGGGATAAAGTGAGGGCGCTAGGCTCGTGCCGTGGGCGCGCGCAGTGACCCCATCTATTCGTTATCCGCGCGCATACCGCGCACCTCGCCTTCGCGACGAAGCCTCTCCAACTCCTCCTTGGTGCGGTCCTCGATGGCTCGGATGTCCGCCATGGTCATGCCGTACCAATCGTCCATTGAGCAGAAGACTTGCCTGAAATCGAAGAACAAAAGAACATTTGTATGGGAATTATCTAAATTTAGCCTTATATAGATATTAAAAATCGATTAGGAATTGAAAAAAAAAATATATGCTGACGATGCCGGTCTAAGTCCTGCCCGATTCGTATTTTTTTTTCCATTTTTCATAGATTTTTCCATCATGTGCAAAATATGAAAGTTTTAAAAAATAGCCCTTTTAAGTTAAATGATGTTCACCATACGGGTGAGCAATGACAAATTTTTAACCATAATATTAAAACGAATTGTAGCCTTCATAAAATAGTAACATCGCTAAACAGCGCGTAAACTCACCTGTGGAAGATTGTGAATAATCTTCGCTCAGATTTCTGAATGACATTTTCCACTTTGCTCTGAAAGGAAGAGAAAATGAACAATTTTGAAACCACTTTTATAACATGGTGACAACTGAAGCCACATTTCCCTTATCTCCCCACTTGATCTATACTATGCACGACTGAAACTATTTAGACTTACTGACTTCCTCCCTATTTGAATCTTGGAAATAACCTAAATGTCTAAATGCGGCAAAAAACATTTTGTTTACATGTCTCATGCCAAACGATGGCGATAAGAATTTAATAGGCAAATACTTTTTGATTAAAAATACGCCACTTTTGACGCATTAAAATTCCCATTTTTAATTTTACTCCATGTTTTCCTATATTTAAGCGGCATCAGCAGTGGCTCTTACCTGCAGTCCGAACCACTTGAACTCGGCAGTGACCAATTTGTAGCAGGTCATAACCGGCTTCACCTCATTCTTCCAGTTGGGACCCGTCAACGGGCCGCGCCCCGTCTTGTTCGACTTGAACTTGGTCGGGTCCGTTTCTGACTTGTAGTCCGCGGCGGACATTGGGTCATTCGCGATGTCGATGTTAACCACTTCACGTGTCTTTAGCTTCTCTGGAGGCAGTTCGTGTACCTGAAAGATGTGGGAAAGAACTATGAAATATATTTTTATAATAATAGAGAACAGACAAGCGCTGGGTCCACTTGATTGTAGGTGATATACCCTAGCTTATAGCATCTAAACAAGATGTGCTGTCGACCCATTTTGGCTTTGGATATTTGGAAATCCATAGACTGTAGAAGTTCACGGCTTTTTCACCTGTGGACCCATTTCATATCCAGATTTCCAGAAGAAGTGCAACATGTTTCAGAAAAATTATAAATGACAAAATTAGAAGCATGTTAGACCCGGTAGGGATTCATCGAGCTTTCATCAACGACCCCGCCAAATCACATTCTTAGACATAAATAACATTATATATAGTTAACAATAAAAAACCTTTATTTGTAGGTATGGGAATACTAATATTTTAACATCATGGAGAAGTAATCCAAAGATTTTATGGTAGGCTTCATTAAAATATACAAAATAATACAATATAAATTCCTACCAAATCCCAATTCAATGCCGCTTTTTTTTACAGCGCGGAAGGTTAACTTTGAAAAAGTTTAAAAAACATTAAATTCGTTTTACTGATAGCTTAACATAATTATTACTTATTTAGGCAAAAATTTCGTTGGTCATTATTTAAGATATTATCTAATTATATTTCATGCTTATTAGGTATAAGAATGGCTTGGTTTTTGTTTCGACGTTATTTTGTTAAGTGGTGACGATTTAGATTATAGTTTATGCCGTATACCAGAAATATTCATTACCAGCTGTGTCACCCAGTTTTATCCACGACATTGGTCGTGTCCCGTCGCCTTTAAATAAGATAGAAATATACTGTCGCGAATATATTTAGATTATTTAAAAAGGGATCATTTTTTTATACATATATTTCTTGGGTATCTTGAACCGTTTTCGCAGCGTCTTATATAGATTTTCCGATGTTTCTTCGCTCCTATTAGTCAAATCGCGACGTTATAGCCTTCCTCGACAACTGTTCTAACTAATACAAAAATAGTTTCGAATCAGTAGTTGCCGAGATTAGCGCGTTCAAACAAACAAACTCTAGCTTTATATATTAGATATGCTTTTAACATTTCCCCTTTCAAGTATCAAGTATAGCCCACACTTGCCAATCCTCCTCTATCCTTCAAAATGAACATACCGTTTACGAAGTGCTAACAATAACAAGTTAATGTTCTAATTGTGGTGATAAAAATACACAGCAACCGTACATTTAGCAATTTCGATTTCCTCGTCCAAGTTCAGTCGCCGATGCATTTTTAAGGAAGCTAGTAACCTTCGCAGCGAACACTCGGCAACACGTTTCAAGGCAATTAGAATCATTAACGTAGCGTAATATAAGTGTTTCTTGTGGACAAACGTCTGCTATTCGCTCTTGATTGAAGTCGTTCTGTATTTTAGATATCTAGTCTGCGCAAGATTTTATATTGAAATATACACTGAAGGTCGTTTACAGAAAGTATGTAATTATGTATATTATATTATTATTATACAGCTTGGATAGACCATTTATCGGTGACGGCTGAGTTAGAGTAACAGCTTACTAAAGTCAAAAGATTTTTGCTAACATTATCATCAAACCAATTAAACCAAGTCTCGTCGAAATAATACCACTTGACCTGGCATTTTGGGTTAATTTGTTCTTAATATCTTCAATTCAGTTCATTGGTATAGTAGGTACTGAATGCAGGGGATGGCGTAGGTGTGAACTTAGCACGAAGTCTAATTGGACAAAAATGTTTGAAACAGGGGGAAGAATCAGTTAAAAATAAGTTAACGAATATATTTCACGTTTTAAACCCTTAAAAAGTTTTCTTTAAATAGGAGGGAGGCTTTAGCTGGTTTATCATAGCACGAATCTTATGAAAAAGGAATTTATATGTTTTTGATAATTATAATATCTATCCCTCTATGACTCAAAAGTAAATTAAATGCAAAAACACGAATAATAATTAAATAACAACAATTAATAGTCCAAAAAAAGGAGTCATTTAAATTATTATGATTAAAGTTCTCTAGTTTCTTTTTATGCCTTATCGCAATGGGCAAACGCATTAAAACGGTCTTGCGTTCAAAACCCGGCAGCTTTCAATTATAGCTCAAAAATATATTCGCCATTGCGCCAAAATGGGGCAACGGTATTTCACTCCAAAGACACATTTAGTTGAACGAGTTCTTGTAAGAAGCTCAAAGCAATAAAAGTTGTTCGCTATATGAAAAATAATCTAGTTACATTTACTCGTATCAGTGATAACGGCAAATTTAAAGGCGATCATTCAGTGCTTAGCGATAGGTTATTATCTCATCGTTTGCTGGCCTTGTATATCTTGACGCATAGTTCTCGGTCATACTGTACGATAATTATTACGCAGGGTTCGCATTTTAGGCACATGACATCTATCTATACTAATATATAAAGCTGAAGATTTGTTTGTATGTTTGAACGCGCTAATCTCAGGAACTACTGGTTCGAATTAAAATATTCTTTTTGTGATGGTTTGGGGCCGGTTCAAGTATTCGTAGCAGAATTAGGCAATAATTTACCCCCCGTCCCTTGTCAGCAAAATGACAAATACTCCCCGAAAATAAAAGGGTGGTCCATCGGGTAAAAATGTAAAAAAATATCGATGACGAAATGATCATCAGGACTCCTACCCCCATGTCATCAAAAATAAGTAAAACACAGACCCCCCCCCCCTTTTTTGCCTTATGAAATAATTGCTATCCCTAGTTTACGAATAAGGCTATAAACACGCCGATGTGCAAGAGACGACGAAGAAGACGGGACCGTAAAAAAAACGAACGGTTAAGATACCAAGCTTTTAGAAATTCCATAAGGAGGGACGAGGTTTGCAATAACAAATTTGGATGTCCAAAATAACTATTCTCCGCGGACACAGTACTACATATTATTATGATACTTTTTTTCAAACTTGCTTAGAAAATTGAGCATTATTTTGCCAATCTTCTTTGAGATAAATCGAACTTGCTGTACCGGTCGAGCTGCGGCCGCCAATAGTTTTATGAAAATCCAAATCTGTCGTGTTTAGCGGCCATACTACATGTAAAATTATATTTGTCAATCAAACGAACTTTGAAATCTAGCACATCTGTTGTGGTACAACAAACAAAACAAAAGTAATTTAAAAATCGAAAATAAAATGAAAATATTTCGACTCGGGCAGGACTTAAACCGGCATCGTCAGCGTTCCGTGCTGTTGCTCTACCAATTGAGCTACCGAGTCCTACACCTCATCGTCGAATTTTTTCAACTTATTGATACAAGCACCTATCGCGCCATGTAATTTCAGACCTTAACTCTTTCGTATTAAGGTTCAACGTCTTATGCTTTGCAGCTTAAGAAATCGTTGAAGATGACATTACAAAGTTATAACGTTTGACAACTTTAAAGTTTTCAAAACACCTTTAAATGTGAAATCACATTTCCCTGTATTGTTTTCAGAATTCAAACCCAAGATCTCTCGCACTTCGCATGTTAGGCAACGTTTACCAAAGAGCATTCAACGTTTTTATCTTTATTCGCCGAAATTTTATTACAATTATTAATGGTTTTATTCGACGTTTTATAACTTTGTATTATGTAATGGCGTGTACATTTATTTTGGTCGTAACATGTTAATAAATTTGTCGTAAAAGCCGTAGATTGTTAATTTTAAACAACAGATGGTGGAAGGTACTTATTTCAGTTTGGTTAAGGTAGGAATAACTTTCAACAGTATTTTATTTATATTTTTATTATAATTTAAAAATAAATTCTATATTTATATTTGTTTATGTTATTAATTGTCTGGTAGTCAAGGGTAGCGTAGACACAAAATTACTAATATTTAGCGAGGTATTCATAGCTATCGATATAGAAGTGGTATTTATCTAAACTTTGCATTACTCAAAAATATGTTAACGCATAAAAAAATGTCCTCGTGCCAAATTTAAAAAGAAAGCGACCAAGTGCATAAAGGGATCTCGCACGAAGAGTTCCATAGTACGTAGTGGTAAACAACAGCTGATACACAATTTTTATGTTGTAACTATTTTGCAGCTATTCCAAATGTCTAACTGTTACCAATAATTGATATCAAGTACAAAAAAGAAACAGAAATACGCGTTATTTGTATTAGAGCCCTACATTGAGAAATTTATTTTAATTTTATTCATCATCATCATTATCAGCCCGTTTGGGTCCACTGCTGGACGTAGGCCTCTCCCAAAGCATGCCACTCGGCCCTCCCTTGAGCTCTATTTATCCATTTGCTGCCGGCCACTTTCTTCAGATCATCTGGCCACAGTGCTGTAGGTCGTCCTACACTGCGTTTGCCTAATCGTAGTCTCTATTCGAGTATATGTCGGCTCCAACGACCATCTTCTCTTTTGCAGACATGGCCAGCCCATTGCCATTTTAACCTGCCTATTTTGCTATCAATATCCTTCACTTTCGTTATTTTATTGGCGGATAACTTCGTTACGAACTTTGTTCCAAGATTAAATAGGTCTCTCCATGGCACGTTGGGCTACTTTTAGCTTGTGGATCAATCCGCAAGTAAGATCCCAAGTCTCGGCTCCATATATCATGATAGTTAGGATACACTGATTAAACGCTTTTGTTGAGTCTAAGACTCTGTGGGATAGATGACCTGAGTTTCCTCTCAAGTTTCCTGAATGCGGCCCAACCTAAGCAGATACTTCTGTCAGCCTCAGACTCGAAGTTTTGCTTGCCTAGTTGTATTTTTTGGCCAAGGTATATATAACTTTGTACTACTTCAAGAGTGGTTCCGTCTACTAACACAGCCTCTGGGATGACATGGTTGTTAAACATGACCTCGGTCTTACCAAGATTCATCTTGACGCCAACGGACAAAAATCCAATAAGTTTATATTCTCTTTTCCTTTTGATTCAACCTCCATAATCTTAAAAATTTATTTAAAATTTAGAGATTATGTCCCTTTCTCAGCCTGGCGCAGCTTTATTTGTTTAGTGCTCTGACTTGGATTAGTATCATGCGGTTTTTTCTCTAAATTATATATACCCAAACAAACCGCTAAGCTTTTTTATCCACTGCGACAACTTTATATTCTTTTTATATTTGACCTAGGTAAGTTGTTTCTAATTCTATATTTTAAACCACCTTTCCTAATTTTCTAAGGCGATTATAGTAGAATATTTTTTTGGTTTAGAAAGTATAGGATAGTTATAGATTTTTGCCTTTCTTGAAAAATGTCCTACCACGATCTAGTATTTGGCCCATGATTAGACTAGCTCTACTTTTAAGGGGGCCATTTTTATTATCAAGTAAAAGTACAAATAATACAATTGTAAATATAAATGCCATTAAAATAGTTTAAGAAAATAAGAAATTAGTTTTTATAAAGTATCAATTATTGTAATAAACAGTAGATAAAAGAACCAGGTCAAAACAATAATGGATGAATATATGGAGGCAAGGAATAAGATACCTAGAAGCTAATGGATCGTGATAAAGGAGGATTGACACATTGGTGATGATGACTAGGAACTACCTAAGTATTAAATGAATATAATAAAAGTATCTTACATTATACTGGTCCCCAGCGTCAGGTAGATGAAGCGACTCTATGCAGATAACGAAGTTCTCCTTCATGTAACCGGGATTCTGTAAAGGAAACATTTAGTTTTAATATTTCAAAGCTTTACACTTTACAAAATTAGATGCTTTTAACTGTAATTTCCAAGGATGTTTTTATTTAGTCCAATCCGTCTTGAAGTGCTTTTAATATCTCTTCCAATATTTTAATAATGCTACAATAATTTTAAAACAATACTTCTATATTAACAGTATACGAAAGACTAGCTGTCACAGCATGATGCTCTATCTAAGGCCTTCCTTGATAAATTTTCTAACATACACAAAAAAAAAATCTATTTGAACCAGTAGTTCCTGAAATTACCGTTAAAACAGTCCGACAGTACGGATACGCGTTCCAGGCTTCTTCGTGCACTTCCAGGGATCCCTTGGGCGCCAGCAATCTGATGAAGGCCGGCACCTTCGACGCCAAGTGGTAGATCTTATATGTGTACTGTCCCGATGAGTATTTGCCCCCTGCAATATGGATTCGTTAAAAAAAATCTCGGAAAAATTAAAGCTTGATCACCAAAACGTTGCTTCTATCACACAATCTTAATAAAGGACAAGGGTGCATAATGCAGGTAACTAAACCGGTGCTAGTTCCTTTTTCCTAATAACTCGCTTTGGTGATAACCTTGGAGAACGCTCCACAGTGTCTCAGATGAAATTAATAGTAAAAGTTAATTCTATTCTCTTACCATATTTTAATTATCAATTTTATTTAACTAATAACTATATATTTGTCTTACTAATTGGTTCAAATTACATATATTTGTATCGCAAATTCTACAAGAGTTTCCTTAGATTATTTTTCGCTAGTGACCTAGACTGGTTCCACTTTACGAATAGAGAATATATACTTTAATATTACTAGACAAAATTTACAAAATAAATATAAAGTAATAATACATTGTACCTATTTACTAATCTACTTTGTTCCACCTCATATAAGTAATTTGCGAATGAAATATTAAAATGGTTTTTACGGTATTTCGTAAAAGTGTAAACATTACGTTTGATTTTTTTTTGTATCATTCCAACAAGAAACTTTAGCAAAAACAACGGAGGTTGCGATTCATATAAATAGATTTTTCTTTATTAAGCCAAAGACCACTCTTTATTTGAAATTAGCTGTTGCTATATAAAATATGAATTATTCATCCTTAGTAACATATCTTACAACAATATACATCTTTGAAACAATTATTACAATCATTGTTGAAAACCACACCTAACCAAACAGAACCGCATTTGTGCAAACTGGTACTAAACTGTGACGTCATAATCGCATTTTTTTTTAACTTATTCGACATGTGCGGTGTCCACTCGAAGCTTCTTATTGCGGTAAGAGACAGTAGATTTCAGTCATTTTGAAAAAGATAGAGATCCTCAAACTGCTTCTTTTTGAATGCAAAACGGTTGAAGAGATTTTGCAGATGTATGTCTAATTTAGGCTTCAATAAATGAACATTTTTCTTTAAGACACAATTGATTAATAGTAAGGTATAGGAGATATGCAAATATTGTATTCAAACTAGACTTGCACTTCGAAAAAGACATACCTACTTATTTCGAAGTATGCAAAATATAAATTATTAGAAAACTATACTACTTTTCACATGTAGACTCTATATTAAAAAGCGACCTATTGGTTCGAGCAACAGCGCGGAAAACTGTGGATGCCAGTTCAAGTCTTGCCCGAGTCGTATTTTTTTTTTTCAATTTTTAATCGATTTTTAAATTAAAAAAGTATTCGATATTTCTTAAATTATATTTCGCTCGACCTCAAAATTACAAGTCATTAAAATTTGTCCGAGCGTTTCTACGTTCTGATTATGAACGTGAAAACACCATAGACATTTCATTGTTATCGAATTGGACCTTGATGGAACGCTCGGAACTAGTTGTTTTTTTCCGGATATTATGTCATTACATCACACGAAAATGTTGAACTACGCTATACATGAGTAACAGCTTTATTTGGGTTGACTAGCTAATGCTTTTGACTAATTTTATATGACATGGATTGTACGAATATTGAAATTCCGTCCGGGTCACGAACCACCGTCCACAGGTAAAAAATCCATGTCAAGTTTAATCGCGTTTTGGTTTTAGTCTGTGGATTTTCGAATAGCCAAAGCCAATATAGGTCCATAGCCATGTTATATTGCTGGGGTATGTTACGTGCTATCTACTTTTTTACTACTTAGTTTTAACTTTTTATGTCAATGTTATTATACAAAAACATTACACTATGTTGCTAGTATATACATAATTATTGTTATAGAATATAATAGCGTTATATCCTTGACTTCTGCTTCATATTATAATGGCTAACAATTAAAGAGTTCTGTAATTTTTTATACCGACACCAACTAGATTTACAACTAACAAACGTACATCCTAGGTTTTGTCTCTTTTCAATAATATACTTTTAACATCGAACGAAGCAGGACAACAGCTATATTTTGAATGAGATGAATAGCATTTAGTTTTTATTGTGCTATTTAAATATTAAGATTATAAAATTATTCTACATTATGATTTCTGCTAATAAGTGAAGAGAAACTAAATACTGTCTGTAGTTTACGCGAGTAGTACACATTTAAACAAAACACTTTGACGGTCTGCAACGTGATATATTTTAGTTAAACTTGTTTGAAAATTATTATTTCTAACTACGGCCCGACGTTTCGGATGCTTTGCAGCAGCCGTGGTCACGGGGAGACACGGCCGCCGCAAAGCAATGTCAGGCAAAATACATCGCATTTGAAACCGTCAGTGTTTTATTTAAAAGAGTAACTAGTCGATTGCTTAGTACAAATGCCTTTACGTTTGTACGCTCTACTGTACTTTTTCGGACATGAATTGCTAGTGGTTTACCATCGTCAAGACACGGAGGGCAAGTTGAACAAGTCTCACTTTCGAAAGCTCTTACGTCCGCTGCTTTTGAGCTTGCCGCGTTGCCATTTTTGTTCACTAGAAGTTCAAGCTATAGTTACTCGTATACCAACAATACTACTTGGGTTTCGAGCTGCTCGACCGTGATTGAAAATTGCGTATTTGAATTATATCGAAAACTCGAATAAAGTAGAAATGTCCGAAGAATTTTGTAAATATAATACTTAGATAATACATAAGCTTATATTATAGATAATCTGGTTCTATAATCAATTTTATTTTACTCATAAAAGGGATCACTTAAAAAAGGTTTTATTACGAATTTCTTTAGACAGGTACCACCTAAAATACCACATTACACGTAATCCAGCCAGCTTAAACCGGGTACTCATAAACGAGACCTATACGTAACTTTTGGAAAAAATCTCCCAGAGACTTGATGAACAAAACAGTTACAGCATGTCAGTGAGTAATCGGCTTTTTATATGGAAATAATAACTATCAATTATTATTATATCGCGGTTATAATGGACATATGATTTACCCTCAAAATTGGTTTTTAATTTGCAACGCATCATTGCAGACATTACAGTGACAATAACACGATTTATCAAAAATTATGATTTGATAAAATGCGATAAGTTGTGCGATATTATAGCATTTCCTATAATTACCACGTCTGTTTTTTTGCGTTTATCTTAAGGCTATTTTCCTTAATATTAAATATATATTATTTTCCTATACAAAATCAATAACTAGTTTTAAATGGAAAAATATTTAGAAATTACTGATAACTGCAGTAAATGATTTCTATAAAAGATTTATTTATAGATGCATTTATCAACCAAAGATAGGCTGAGTTGCTAAAAAATAGGGAAGGAAATGCTCAGCTTTAGGCCACAAGTAGACAATAGGTTCTTGTAAACGAACTTTGTAAATCAACAAGATAAAATAAATACTATTTATTATTTAACATTTTAATAAGCAATAAAATTAGCATTCCCTGTTCTCATAAACAACTTAACTTCAACAGGAGTTCTGACTATTTACCTCATACATTCCATTTAAAAGGACTCACCGAGTAAGGGATAGTCTTTGAATGGTTCATTCTTAATTACTTCTATGCCTTCACCACCTCCAGTTTCATTTTTGGATACTTCTGCGACACAGTACAGCTGGGCAACTTGGTACTAAGGAACAATAAAGAGTGTTAAAATAATAAGTCACAGTTGCATGCACCATTATAAAAGATTGGATGATTTCCACATCCCCCAAAAATTGTTTCCAGGGGATGTAAAGGCTCTAATTTAATATGTTAAATGCTAAAGGGTTTATGCATTAATAAATAAAATGTATAATGGAGTTGATAGTTTTCAGTTATTAATTATAATATATATATATATAATAGTATGTTAAATATATTATTTTAAATGAATACAACAATATTATCTAAAACTTGCGTAAGTCCGTGTACTTATAACAGCAAAAAAAGGGAAAACTTGTAAAACGCGTTTTATGTGAATTAAAAAAATCGTGACGTTATTCGCAACTTGTAAAATTTAAATTTTACTAAGCTCAATGTTTTTCCAATAAAAAACGTAAGGAGTTTATCATAGCTATTCTTATGTCAGGTATCTTGGAATTAATAAGTTAGTAATAAGATTTCTATACCCTGCTTGACCTCGGTTAACAAAATATGGCAACATTATGAAATAAAATTAAACAAAGAGTCACCGTAAATATATATTTTATACATTTGAAGTATAATATCGCACTACATTGGGGAAATTTACGAATTTATATATTTTTTAAGTGAATTTGGGTCATATCACATAACACTCGCGGAGCTTACAGCCTTGACCCACTGTTGCAGTGGCCGCTAGACCGCGTCAGTTGAGACAACTTGACTTGAGCCAATAGACTGTTCTCTATTAGATGACAGCTTCAATTTACTTAATTACTCAAGTGCACGCGGAGGGTTATGATTTTCGAAAATGTAACCTTTAAATTCTAAGACATTTGATCAATGCCAAACAGATTATGAATGTATATTCAAATCCAAATCAAATGATATCACTACTAGTAACTAGTTGTGTTATTCTAGTTGATAGTTTTAGAGTATGTACTTGTTAAATTAAATTATTAGTGTCTTTGTTAAATATTATAACTTTAATATGAACTGTAGGGATGATATATTAAATAACAATAATTAAGTAATTAATTTACAACCGAGAACAAACATAGTAACAATTGCTTATGAAAAATATAATTTTGAGTTAACTTAATAAAGTAAAAATAAACTTATTTTAGATATAATGTGATAAATAATTTCCTGCCACTAAATTTATTACCTCCTTATAAGGGAATTATCTATAACAGTTATATAAGAATTTAGGTAATATGATAATACAATAAGTACAATTAAGTAGTGTCGAATGTAGTATACATATTTTAGGAAAATATATAATCAATTGGACTCGGTAGCTCAATTGGTAGCAACAGCACGGAACGCTGATGATGCCGGTTCAAGTCCTGCCAGAGTCGAAAATTTTTTCAATTTATTTTCAATTTTTAAATTATATAGAATCAATTAATTAAAAAACTCAAGTTAATAAACTAAAAATATCCCAAATAATAATTCTTTTGATTTGAATATAGATGACAATACAGACAGAGAATAAAGACAAATACTACAAAATATTTGTGTATTTTTATTAGATGATTAGAACATTGCGAATTATCAAAAAATATCATATTGTGAAGTGACCCTAGGCTTCATTCTTCTTAAATAATCACTACCAAAATATAACAACTATAAAGTTAACTACAAACACATCTGATTATTTAAATATACCTATCTTTAAATGAGTGAGATTTACTCTAAAATTAAGTAAATGTGCTTATCATATACTGTGCTAGTTTTATTATATTGGTCCTAAAATAATATACTACATTGACAACTACTATTTGATTTACAAGAACACCTAACTATCCTTGTTGTGCCTTCAGTTTTTATTAATATTTATGATGGCACTGATTGATTCAGCCAAGAAGTTTAAAATTCTCATTTGTAACAATAATTTTAAAACTTACCTCTTCAACCGTTAATGGTAGCGTTACGCGACTGTAAAGAAATATTTCTTTCATTAAAATTAAGTTATCTAGGCATTCAATAACATACGTACATACTTCAACATTCAAGATGTTATAAAAAATTCGTGTCCAAGGTATTAATTTCAATTTCATACGTGGTACGAAACAACTAGTACACATCATTATATTCATACCACATACGAAAGCAAATTTTGGAGTTTTGCTGACTGTTACAAAATCGATTTATTTTCGCAATTACAGTATATAACCTTTAACAATACGTACTATTCTTTGATAAGCATCTTGAGATTGTACTTTTTCACTTATATGCACATTAGATAATTCACTAAAATCTTAGAATAAATTTATCACAGTTCCGCACTTGAGCGTTCGCCCTATTTTAGCAGATTTTTGTAAATTGTAAAATAATATTGAATCTTTGACCACTCAATGACTGAAAATGACAATGCGCATGCTTCACTTCAGCCCAATCATCCCAATGTCTGTGATAAGCGGAAATTGCGTCAAACCAGCGTCAACAAATTATGCTTTCCTTCAAAAGGTTAAAATGGCTGCGTTCAAAATAACACTTTTTGATTTGATATTTTCCATACGTATATAATGAAAGCTGCTTTTTTATTAAATGTATAAGTATTAATACTTATATATTTTATTTAAAAAATCACCAATAACTTCAAGTTAAAAGAATTCGGGCTTTTTTTGAGAAAATGGAAATACTGATTAACATAGTTTCTTGACATTTATAATATGTCATTTTTGAAGCAAAAATATAAATCGAGGTACTTTGCAAATAATATAATCCTAAATTTTGTTATGTTTAAAAAAATATAAAAACAAATATAATAAAACGTACAAACGTACGTATACACTTAAAAATTACGTAAATCGGTGCTATGAAAACACTGCTTGCTAATTCTTATAGTTGTAATTAAAAATCTCTTAGCCCAGTAAAAATGAGTTTGGTAGGGAAGAAATGTGAATCAATAACCCTTCTAGAACAAAGTAGAAATGAAATTTGTACGAAAGTAACGCCAGAGGACGTTTTAAAGTTGGACAAGATAACAGAGACATACTTATGTAGTCCCGAAGCAAATGTATACGATATAGACTTTACAAGATTTAAAATAAGAGATTTGGAAACTGGGACTATATTGTTCGAGATCGCGAAGCCTCCGACAGATTTTGGTGTAGAGAATGACGGCGCTGAGGATGGACTGGAAGAACCACTCGATCCCAATGCTGGACGATTTGTACGATATCAATTTACACCGCAATTCTTAAAGTTACGTACGGTTGGGGCAACGTAAGTAACTTGACCATTCTACGTTTAATAAGTATTATAAGTATATAAAATATCAATAATTATAACATTTTATTTGTAGTGTTGAATTTACTGTTGGTGCAAGACCCGTTAATCACTTCAGAATGATAGAGAAGCATTTCTTCAGGGATACTCTGCTGAAAACATTTGATTTTGAATTTGGTTTCTGTATACCATTTTCAAGGAATACTTGTGAACACATTTATGAGTTTCCTTCTCTTCCAACGGATCTAGGTATGTTTTAAAAAGCAATTTATAGTCTTTTTTTTTACTACTTAAAAATGCTCCCAAGCATATTTGGACAATACCTTTATTTTAGTATTTTCTTTGATGTTCAATTCTATATATATATGATGAATACTATTTCTACATCAGGCTATTTCAGATCACAATAAGTTTTTTTAAGAAATAAGTACAATTGTTCCTGTATTACAACGTTGCTAATAACCGCTGCTGTTGTCAATAATAATATAAATAAAATATTGTTCATACTCTAAGTAATAATAATATATGTTTAAATTAAAGTGTTTTATTTAAATATTTGTTCATAGTTAATAATAAATGTTAGTTTGTAAATTTTTTGTTAAGATCCATGTTGTTATTTAATACAGTAACTATTTACAATTTCAGTTGAGGAGATGATTGCTGCACCATTTGAAACTTGTTCGGACAGTTTCTACTTTGTGGACAATAATCTTGTAATGCATAACAAAGCAGATTATGCTTATAACGGAGGTATCAATAATTAAACTCCAGTAGTTCCAAAGTAATAGATACCAACAATCCGAATTCCTAGTGCATCATTTAACAAGTCATTAGGTCATCAATTTGATGAAATTAAGGTTTTAATTTAAACTCAGTTTCAACTTTGTTATACAATTTATTGGGCATCAAAATCACCTGTGTAACTGATTTGAAATGAAAATTATAAACAATCATGGATGAAGTAATCATTTCATGCATACTGAGATATTTGTTAAATAAATAACTATAATATGCTAAAATATGCATTCCTCAACTCTGGTTAGTTAAATAACTGTGTATCTCACATATGAATTATAGGCTAAATTATTTTCTTCAAAAATGATCATACCTGGAACGTTATGGCACTCAGAAACACAAATGGAGTTGTAATTCAAATCTTGTCCAGAGTTTGATAAAACAAATACCCAATCGCTTATTTACATTAAAACTAAATTAGTACATCTTAATTTATAATACTTAATATTTCATCTGGAAAAGTGAGACTTATTTATGATTAGTGAATTTAAGAGACTTCGACAGATATCCCAGTGGTGTCTTAGAGTTTCTACATATTAATGTCGCACAGCTGGGATTAAGAGCTTATACCCACCACGTTTTAATGCGCGTTGGTGGTGGACAACTATGACCACTAAAGTAGTGGAAATGAGTGGGCTGATCTACGAGTCAAACGACACATGCTACTCCCAAACTCCTAGATGGTACTTGAAAAATTTTAAATACCGAAGTAACATTTTCGCCTCATGACTCGAACCTGGGACCGCGTGATCTGGAAGTGGCCCACTAACCACTAAGCAAAGGTAGAAGTGACTTAATTGATATTGATTCGACACTGAAGCACCTTTTCTCGTACTATTTACTCACTCGAGTACTTGTGTGATATTAAAACTTTAAATTAATGTAACCAAATTTATTGAGCACTAAGATAGTGGTAAGAATGCATTGGCATATAATGTGATATATTTTTAAATTTGTCCCTATTCATGTTAATTTAGTTATGATAGCTAAGAACGAGATTCGGTCGGATTGCAATTCACAGTATTTCAAGTGTTGTAAATGCTAAGTTCTTGTTACTACCGAATTTCTGCCGTAAAGAAAATAAAACAATATTTAGTAGATTTTTAGTTAGGGGAGTTATACCAACTTCTAATAAAAATTGCTCTGCCTTTTCAAGTTTTGACGCTCGATAAAAAGTTATCGAGTGATAGAGAAGATATTTGTGAATATTCGTAGTTGGTAAATAAGCCTTAACAATGTAATCTGTGAAAACTGCATGTTCTGTATTTAAAATGTAAAAATTTAGAGTGAATATGAATATTTGTTTAGATTAGAGAAAAAAAAAATAGATCTCATTGGGTATTACTTAGCTGTAACTTTTGTGTTAATCGCCTACTTGGTTTTTTTTAAAAAATCGTCGTCTTTTGTTTCTTAAAGCGCGCGAGGGTCTAAGTTTGAATTCCGTTTACAGTAACTAGTCACCGATTTGATTCGAATTCGATCCCAAAGCTCAGGAAATGATCTTTATTATAGTTGCATTTACACTACAAGTTGTGTTCATGAATTTCGTCAGAAAGAAAAAAATATGTGTATTAAAATACAATGTATTTGTACCGAATAAGAGTTGAATTCTTTGAGAACTGTTGAACTCAAAACGAATGTAATTTATATCCAGGTGCGGGGTCATAGGATCTTGAGTGTGTTTGTATGTTTGAACGCGCTAATCTCAGGAATTACTGGTTCCATTTGAAAAATCCATTTTGTGTTCTGTTGCGATGATTATATTAGCTTTATTAAGTTGTATTTTTAGACTTACTTTGGATCTAAACAGTTGTGAACAGAGAACTAATTCTCAAATGGTCTTTGAATGTATCAATATGTAGTCTGCGTGCTAACACATTAATTTATGTATAAGTTTGGGCTATGAAGTATTGTCGTTTGTTTTTTATATTATTCAACACATGCACCAATTTTTGGACACCCTTCCAAGTTTGAAGCAAGTTTTTAGTGTTCTAGTCATAATGTTTTACGTTAAGGACGTAAGGATCTCCTCGTGAAACATTTACGAATTAACTACTTTTAAATATTTATAATTATAATGATTTATATATAATTCAGTAGTTAAACGGGCTAATTGTTTGTTTAAGTATATCTAGTTAATGTTGCTTTGCTTGATAAGTACTGTCAGTGTGCATTTAGTAAAAATAAGATATTTAATTGAAATTCATTCCCTAACCAATCTATTGCTATCTGTGATAGATTTTTCAATTAGTTCTTTAGACCTTTCGGGTCCTGATTAATACATTTACTTTCAATCGAGCGAAATAAACATGCATATTATATACAGTAATACCACGAACTTACAGGGTAGGTGTAAGCGCTGTAAGCCAGGGTACGAATTTGTATATACAAAGTAAGTTTAATTTGCAGACAAATTTAGGGCATAATTGTTTATAATGTGACAATAAACTATATATGTATGTAGCTATATTAGAATAATCTGAATATATTTCTGTCTCTCATAAATCGTAATATTTTGTCGTAGCTCATTAATGATTCTTTTTATTTTATGTTATGTGGCAAAATATTCAACTGCATGGAAAGCCGTAACAAGTATAATTTGAGATTTGAACTTGGTACGAAAAATTTAGGCTTTTGATGTCTTAACACGAAAGACGAAAAATAAACTTAGTTAATAGACAAAAAAGCAAGTAAATCGGGGTATTACTCTATATGCTCGTTATTAATTTTGGTATTAAACGTGTTATGATATCCAATTGCTGCAATAATATTGGATATGTATTTATTTATTTTAATTTTATATTTAGTCCACAATGGACACTTCTTGTTACAATATAAACATTTTATTTCACGATAAAATCATTTCTTGCAACAATTGGATAACCTGATAACATCTGTTATCGAACGAAAGTTTACTATATTTCGTTTTCTTCAAAAAGCCTTTTATAATCCATAAAATACTAAGGTTCACTAATGTCAAATTTATCATAGAGTATTTACCTCTTACAAGCCTAGCTTTAAAGTAAATAAAGTTATCCAAATGTGTGTTCAAAGTTAAATTATTGCTCTTCATTTTCTATTGTATTCACATATTAGACACGTATTTAGGAGTTTCGATGTTCACGAATGTGGTAGACAAGCTTGTGACATTTGGTTTGAGAATAAAGGAAAATATGTGTAACGGTGTTTAATTAAAAATAAAAACAATGATTATTTAATCAATACACAATACAACTACATAATTACAAAATAGTCAGGCTTAGACATGCGCAGGGCCGTATTAAAGAGATATCTTTGGGGCATTAGAAGAGTGAAGGTCTACCGCGAGAAAAAAAACGATTTTAATAAATTATTTATTTAAAAAAATAAATTGATTATTTAACATACTAAAAATGGAAACAAACAAGACATTCTAAATTCTCCATTCATTCTATATAAAATTCCGAAATGTCTTACGGGCGTGTATCTTTTTGTCCTCCCCTAAATCCGCCCTTGGGTAAGCAAAACACATCGATTACGCTTAGCCTAATTTCATCTCACTTATCATCACGATAAAGAATAGAAAAAAAGGAATTTTCTATTCCTCCCTGAAGATCTGTACGAAAAATAATTAAAAGTTGTTTCTTACATCGGAGTGCTTAAACTAAATGATAAAGAATATACCACAACACTAACTAGGCACTAGAAACTAACTACGTGATGTGTATGATATTGAGTTTTGTTCCCTCCTTTGATGTTTACCTCTGGTTTGATTCTGGTCCTTGTATGAAGCATTTGTAATTAAAAGCTTATATGTTATTGTATCTTCCTTGGCAAATGTCTTCAAGTAGTCCAAGTCCGCGATTCCTACTTCGCGTCTCTTTATAAGCCCGTTTAACGAATCATTGTGTGATTGGCAGCTATTTACATAACTGAACAATCTTCGAGGCTCACTCTTATCATAGACACGTAATTCGTGCGTCCACTTGTTAGCATTTTTCTCCGTCCCGAAATGTTGGACGGCGAACGTTATGGTCTTCTGATCCTTTCTTACAATTAGATGCAGTAAGAACTTATTAGATCCAACATTGACGAGATTTGTAAACTGGTAACTATGTCCGATATGCAATATACTTTCTCTATTAACCAGTATTTCTAGACATTCGGGATGCTTTTCTTCGAAATGCGGGGTGAGTTGATTAATTTTACCTAAAACATACAGAATATGCGTATATAAAGGTGAAGAGTTAGTTTGTTTATTTAAACGCGCTCATCTCAGGAACTACTTGTTCAAATTAAAAAAAAAAATAACTTTTGTGTTAGAGCATTTATCGAGGAAGGTTTATAGGTTTATATCTATAAACCTATATAGGAGCGAAGGAACAGCGGTAAATTCAGAAGACTTACGCTGCGAAACAGTTTAAGATGCCCAAAAAGTATGTGTGAAAGAATGATTCCTCTTTAAATGATCTAAAAAATGTTCGCGACAGTGTATACTATCTTTGACTTGCAAGCACGATGGAACGCGACCGATATCATGGGTAAGAGTTAAGCTTTTACCCACGAGATCGGCCAAAAACAAATGTGGATGCCCAAAATAACTATTCTACTCGGACAAAGTCGCTGACACAGCCTATATATATGACGCAGTATAACTATACATGTAGGCGTTAGTACGACAGTTCAACTCTGAGCCTTATAAAAATACGACAACTGGCTGGTTATATAAACGAAAGTAATTAGACATAGGTAAAATAATGATCTCTCGTTTGTATTCATTGGTGTCATTTGCAAATATGTGCAATATCAATGTAATAAGACACAGTAGGAATTCAATGCACCCACATTATGGAATTTAAGCTGAAGTAGTCGATTACAGCCTTGTGTACTCGTTACGGTATTTTTAATACATCAAGATGTATTGCCTTCATTGTGATGACACTTCAGCATTTATAAAGTCACCCTCTTAACCTCTTCTTCGATTTCTCTATTATATATACATACGCAGTTACAATAAAATTATACATTTGCAGACAAGAATTCTCGTCTGCTCACGACCACACTGTTCCTTACTGTTCGCTTCAAGTCCCACCCGTGCCATCATTTTTTTTAATCCCCGTTGGTAAGTGCACCTTTTTAAGTAATACGCGTACGCCGGCTGACGGTTGCGGCTATACAAGAGGGGTATCGTCCGCTGCGTGCAAAACCGCTATATGGAAGCCTGAAAATCTAGACGGTGATAAGGAACAAGGGAACTCGTTGAGGCTTCGAGAACGATCGGCACGGCGCAGGCGTCACCCGATCTGGCTTCGGTTTTCTATCGGGAGTTGTTGCACTTGAATTTACACCTACGTCACGATTAAACGTTTCAATTAAGGAAAAGTCTTACCTTTCCACGAGCATTGTTGAACCGCATTAACAGGACAGGACAAATCATTGTATAGACACTCCTTTAGATGCTCCGGTAGTTTGCTTTTAACGGCGCGTACTTGACAACCATCAAGACAGTTAGGACATCTTTGCAATGACTCGACACATTTTGTATTCATCGAACGTCGTTCATTAAATTTTCCATCAAAGTAATCTCTATAACAGAGTAATATATGTTAGCTAAGGGGGCTCTGTGGCTCAATTTGATTTCTTTCAGCTCTAATACGTACCCTTTCTGAGTTTCGTACGCAGAGAATGTGACAAATGGCGGTGCAGTTGGGGCTCTGTCGAAAACATTAATTTCTATGTTAGAGTATTCTGTTGTTATAAATTGTAAAAAAAAACAAGTCTATACTAATATTTTTTTTTGTTTTTTTTTTTGAACGCGCTAATGTCAGGAAATACTGGTTAGAATTGGAAAAATATTTGTGTGTCGGTTAGAGCATTTATTGAGGAGGGCTATACATATATATGTGGGAATAAAACATCCCGATATGACTAATAGGTTAAGAAACAGCGGGAAATGTAGAAAAAACGGGGAATATTATTCATTTGAGTGGGTTTCCGAAAGAATGATTCTAAACAAAATGTCTGCGACCGTATAATATGTCTATTTTATAAAATTAAAATGCCAAATACGGGGTGCAACAGACGTCTTGGGTACCATCCAAAGTTTATAAAGATGAAGGGGGGCTTAGCAAAAACAAACTTGAATGCCCACAAGAAATATTCTACGCGGACGAAGTCGCTGACACTAGCTGAACTAGACTATTATAATAGAGTAGAACATTGAGGACGTAATCGTACTATATGTTAATTGCCTAAAATAAAGTCATTCTGCAATAAACACGTACAAGTTTTGTAGAGAAATACAAAAGGTACAATGTACACATATAGGACACTACGGGCATTATATTTTTCAACTGTATTGTTGATAGGTATGCTTATAGGTAATCGACACTGGCAATTTTATAGATAATCAACTTTTAACTTCTACTAAAATATCCTAATATTTGTTCATTATTATTTATTTTATTATTTTGTTAGTAAGTTAATCACTTTTGTGCCCGAAAGAATTGCATCCTCAGGATTGGAACCCAAGATCAACGCTATCGCAATTTACCATTGAGTCGCGGTGGCCGGACTATATATATATGTAGCTTTTTATTATAATAAACATTTTTTTTAAATATCTTATTTTTTGACCAAAACAAATGAATAGAGCGTTCTTTCTCTCTTAAGATGGTGCGACATTTTTTAGTAACGTACGCGCCGAACGCCAAAATTATATTTTGGCGTCCTAAAAAACAGCGCGAAGGCTTCACATCATACAATACACAAAATTCTAAAATAGGCGATCACCTTTACCAACAATGACAGTGGATCTAATATTACAGAAGTAGTTTACGCGAATAAATTTAAATGAAACGCGATATATATTAGTTAAACTTACTTATTTTTATAATCTACAAATAAGTTTAACTATTGTTTTGCGTTTTAACCAGTAAATTTTATTTATACATTAGGAATTTGAAACTTACGTGGGATGAACTGTAAAACCTCCCATAGGTTGCATAACATTGGCCCTCGTCGCTGCAGCAGGCAAATTCGGATACAGTGAATAATTCGATGTTGCTGCAGTTGTTTGACTATTGCTGTTGACCGAGGGGCTGGAAAAATTGTTCCTCCATACTGAGTGTTATAACAACGACTTCTTCATCATATCATGTACGTTTTTTATGATAGCGGAGGACAGACAAGATTCACTTGATATAACGTGAAATACCACAGCCATATATAAACAAGATGCGCCATGGACATATTTCTTTGAATATTCGGAAATCACGGACTGAACCGTGATTAAACTTCACGGCTTCATCTGAGGACGGTGGTTTGTGACCCAAAGGAATTTCGACATTGCTAGCACCCGAAAATTTATTTGTAATTGGAGAAACTCTATAAAACGTACATGCCTTGTTTTGGAAAGGTCGTATTCTCTTTTAGTTATGAAAGACAAGATAATAACAAACAAGCGGCAGCAGTCAATTAAGTAATGCGTAGAAAAGGATGGATAAAAAATTAATTGAGGCTGCTGGAGGCAGAGTGGCTTAATGACAAAAAACATGATTTTCATTAAGGGGGAAAACAAAAATGCGCAATTTACTTAGGCGAAAATTAATTTGTACTAGTATTTTTACTAACAATTTTCAGTCGTTGTGCTTTGTAGATTAACATTTTCATACTCAAGACATATAATTTTCGGTTAGGCCTCTATTAATTTATACAAATAGAAAAGATTATCTGAGTGTCATATGCTGTGATAGTGTTAATAGACCAACTGGGCCACTTTGGTTGTTTTTTTTGTATACACGCTCTAGTGAATGCTAAATTATAAGCCCTATGCTTGACCCTCCCTGACAAACATACAAAGGCTACCTGTTTTGTTCTTGATTGATCGCCGCAGTTGCAGTAATTCTTTTGTTTGATTTTCATATATCTTCCTTTGTTTTTCTAGGGCCACATCTAACTGTGTGACAGTAACTGGACTCCTTCTTTCCCCACACCCACAGAGCCCCCACCTTTTTTTTTTTTTTTTTTTTTTTTAATTCCCTCCCCTTTTTTTTTTTTTTTTTTTTTCCGGAAATTTTTTCTTTTCCCCCCCCCCCCTTTTCGGTTTTTAACTCCCCCCTCTTTTTGGTTTTTTGGCCCCCCTGAAATAAAAATAAAATACTTTACTAAGCAAATAATTAATTATGAAGTACATAACAAACTAAACTTCCGTCTTATGCAAAGATCTTGTAATCGTAGTTGTAAAGTGTTGTTAATTACTTTAAGCCACTCAAGAACCTTATAAAGATGTCAACTAAAACAGTTTCGAGAATTCATTTAGACGGCAACTTTACTGTATATCGTTCGCTCTCTCTCGCTTTATACTTTGTTTTGCTGATACTGTATGTATCTCATACCTATACCACGAAATCTGATACGGTGTTTCAAATAAGTAGTTCCAATTAAAACTAACTTAATACTGAGTCACACATTTATACAGGACCTATTTTAATAAGACAGCTTTCATGATTAGTTATTAACGTGTATATATTTATATATATATATGGTGTATTATTATTATTACTTTTTGATAAGTTGGATATCATGGAATGAATATAGAATTATTATAGAAATAATTAGATAATAATTATAAAGTATTTAATATTTGCTAAGTACCAACCGGTGCCTTGCACAGTGCACTACGCAGAAAGATATCAACAATGGGATTGTTTTGTTTTAACAATAACATAAAATGCAGTTTAGTGAGGTCATATTATATACGTGAACCGAGAGTGCTTCTCAAAAGATTTTAGGGCCTTGGTTTTTAGAGAATGAAACATGAAATAAATAAAAAAAATATCTTAAAATGGATAAAGTTATTTAGAAATTTACTTACCAATAAACATAAATGTTGGAAGTCAACTTATTTACTTTTACTCAATTTAAAGAATAGACGAACGCTTCGCTTTCAAACTGCATTATACATATTTTGTGAATTTTGAGTTATTGTAATATATACTTAAATAAGGGACAGTACCAACCATAGACCACTGTTTAGTATGCCCTCGTAGTCTAGTATACGTCTCGTTACTTCACAGCACACGTCTTGAACTTCAGTGAGTTATAGTAACACCGTGCAAATACAGATATTTCGTATTTTGATAACATATATAGACTGATAAAAGTATTAATACGAAGCTAAAACTGTATCGATTAATATTGAAATAAAGAGATATGGGTGCTTTAATAATAACTCCACGCCACAAACAAAAGAGACTTTTTTTTATTTTCAAGGTTTATGGTATGTTTACGCCGGTTTGAGAGTTGAAGAAAGTAATCTGTGATCTTGTCAACATTATGTATTAGAATTTGCATAATCTATGTATTCCTAAAAGTTACAACTTACAAGTTAATCTTTACAAAAAAGTGATAAAGGTATCAAACGATATCTTGATTGTGTTTAAATTAAGGAAAATTGTGGTAAATTACAAGATGCCACATTTTCGTATAGAAACAAATGTTCCCAAATCAAAAATACCACCAGATTTTGTAATTAAAGCTGTTCCGGTCTTGGCTAAGGCACTTGGCAAGCCTGAGTCGGTGGGTAATTGCCATTTTTTTTAAATGAATGACTGGGTAAAGTAAATGATATGTTGTTTCTGATCAGCTCCACAAGTACTTGTTTAAAAAGTCTGCGCCAAGGCCTACATAGAAGATATGGAAGTAACTTTACTTTGGCTCCTCCAAATCTTATCAAAGCTTATCACTGAAAGGACTAATTCTCATATTGAATTTGTCTTTGAGTTGAGAGTATCAAACTTTGATTATGAATGCATGATCTCTCTTCATCTCATTCAACTTAATTTAAATGTTTGACTTGAGGACTTTCTACTGCTCAACTGTTCCAAAATTTATTATAATGTTTATTTTACAGTACTGTGTGGTTTCTGTTATTCCTGATCTACCAATGAGTTTTGGAGGAACAACGGAGCCATGTGCAATAGCCAACCTTATGTCTATTGGAGCTTTAGGTGTTGAACAGAATAAAAAGCATGCTAAAGTTCTTTTTGAGTTGGTTGAAAAAGAATTAGGTGTATCCAATGACAGGTAATTTGATGTAATGTGGAATCTGATTAAATCATTTAAAAACACTTATTTATTTTGCCTGCCAAGAAAAGGATAAAGGATTTCACTTGTTTGATATAGATACTGTATTTATTATTATTATTTATTTCTGACATTATCTTCTGTTTCAGGATGTATATAACCTTCCAAGATGAGCCTACTGGAAATGTGGGATTCAAGGGCACAACCTTCCATTCTATATTTGGATGAATCACCCTCATCTTTGATTGCTTTGGTACATGTATTATGCCAAATATACTCTCCATGTTTTGTTTATCCTATAGTAAGCTTTAAATGTTATTCATATCGTAAACTCTTATGTTTTGTATATTTAATGAATAGTAATTTTAGGTAACTTTATTGTCACTAAAATAAATTACTGAATTAATTTGTATTTTTTTTTGTCTTATTTTTAATATGAAATAGGGCTTCCGGGCATGGTCTTTCTTATTAAATATAATTCATAAGCAATATTTGCTTCCAAATAATGTAGACAGCTGGCCTAAAGGATATAAAAATCGAAAATAAATTGAACAAATTTTCGACTCGGGCAGGAACCGGTATCGTCAGCGTTGCGTGCTGTTGCTCTAACCAATTGTGAGTGCCAATATATGCAATACTAAAGTTTTTAAAATAACTGTACCATTGCCAACCAACTTATGTTGTATTTTTTCCCGTATCTACTAATATAGAATTTTGTGGAACAATAATTATTAAATAATAATAATGCAATTGAGTCAAGTCTATGGCTGTAAGGTCGTTCTTTAACTGTCATTACTTATTATTTTGTTGGCTCCACAGACTTAAATGTGACATGTGTCATCTGTGGCATAACTAAATTTTTTTTTATCAATAGTGTATAGTATTGAATTTACCTTTATTTACTCTCTTACTTGACATGCTTAGTGAAAATTATTATAAGGAAATAAATGAACAAGATTTTATTTATTTGAACAAACTTATAAATAGAAACTGTCATGGTACAATCAATCGTTGTGATATAATAAATTAAGTGAATTCTGTAGACATGGTGTAAAATACCATTCAGTTGTAAAACCAAAACAGTGGTTAATTTTTTTATTGAAATCGTAATTAAAGCTACTACAAAAAATGGAAGAAACAAGAAGTGTAGAGGACACTCCCGCATCACAAAGACTTACCAATGATGACTTCAGAAAGCTACTCATGACTCCAAGATCCACCCCAGCAGGATCACATCCTGTTGGTTCTGTGCGTGAAGCTATGGCAAATGCTGGGTAAGATGGTTAGATGATGATAAGTAACCAATAACTAAGTGAAGAAGTCTTCATATCTACAAAATCGTCAGATAATCTGTATAATATTTAAACCACAAGTCTAAGTATAATCTTGTTATTGCAGGTCCATGCCACCTCCCGCTGAAAACAAAAGTGAGCTACGACGTAAAAAGAAATCTTACTATGCAGCCTTGAAGAAACAAGAAGACAATAAGCTCGCTGAACTCGCGGAAAAGTACAGAGACAGGGCACGTGAAAGAAGGGAGGGTGTCCAGGATGTAAACCCACTAGACCCTATGAGTAATACTACTAGTGCTTATAGGTAAAAATATAAAATAGTGTAACTGTTAGAAGAAAGCTTATATTACTATTGTTATATTTTTATCTTTGTTGTCTATGAACAGTCTGACATCTAATTTTGTCTTTCATTCCTTCTACTAGTCTGCAGATATGTCTTAAAATGAATTTTTTCAACTTTATAGAGCTGTAGCACCTGATGCAAAATCTGGAATGGATGCAAAGGAGAGGAGACGTCAAATGATTCAGGTAAGTTTTGTAACCCAACTTGAGAGAGGATACTCACTAAATAAAGCCTATATATAAGACTTGACTAATGGAGGGGCCCTTTTGAAATTTTTACTCCATCACATTAAAACTTAGAGACTAAATTATGCCTATTATAATTATGTAATGTATAATGGCAAATAAAACATTTCTTTCTTTGTTTCTTTCATAGTATATCATAAAGTCTACATTTATACGACAAATATGTGTTAAAATTAGATTTATTTAATCTGTTTCAGTTTAAAAATAATACAAATAAATTCTATATGCTATCTTTAATGTATCTATTAGTAAAGACATGTTGTATGTTATGTGAGAAGTGACCTGTCCCCTGCAATACAGAACATAAACAGATGTATAATATTCCTAATTCTTAAAGTAATTAAAAATATTTCCAGGAATCCAAATATCTTGGTGGTGACATCAACCATACGCATTTGGTGAAAGGTCTCGACTATGCATTGTTACAAAAGGTATGCTAATATTATTTTATCACATCTCATTGGGTTTTAACAAGGTGTTAATTTAGGTACAGGGAAATTTCAGTATTTTATCAAATTAATATTTAAGTGGGGAAGCCTATAATAATAATAATTTAAATAAAACATTTTCTCTTGGAGAGTCTCCCCGTGACCACGGCTGAAGCAAAGTGTGCCAAAATGTTGGGCCGTAGTTAAAAATAATTCTCAAACAAGTTTTGCTGAATATATCGCGTTTTAAATCGTTAAAGTGTTTTATTTAAATGTGTACTACTCAACCAAATTTTAAATCATAAAAAAAAAATTATGAATTAGAATTTGGTCTCCATTACTGTTCCCCTGAATTTGCTACACACTTTGAAAAGGGAATCTAATTTTGAACATTTAGTCTAAAATTAAATATTGATGTATTTGATGAAACGGCGCGCCGCTGAAAGTTATATATAAATGTATGTGTTTACAGGTTCGTTCGGAGATACAGACCCACGAGCAAGACCAAGAGGCTGAAATGGAGCGATTGGCAGCTGCACCCATTGAGGTTATCAAGGAGAAGAAGGAAATTCCTGTTGTAAGTACTCACATGGTTTTTATGACAGATATTGAATAATATTAAAGTTCATATTGGGCATTTCCATATTGTAATGAAACACTTGTTATGGAATGTTTTTTTTTTAATTAATTCTTAATCTTTTATCTTCTTAATCTTAAATATTTTTTTTCGTACGAACTATTTATATAAACTACAGACAGATATAGATTTTCTTTTATTCAGGAAGAAGAAATGCAATTTGAAACTACAATTGGGAAAAACATCTACAATATGATTCTAGAGCAAAAGTAAGTCGTTTTCGTAAATTGTCGCACGTCTATTTATACTAATATATAAAGCTGAAGAGTTTGTTTGTTTGTTTGAACGCGCTAATCTCAGCAACTACGGGTTCGAATTGAAAAAATATTTATGTGTTAGTTAAATAATTTATTGAGGAAAGCTGTAGGCCTTTTAATAAAATTCTTTAACGGTTTAAAACGCGGTTTTTTTTTTTTTTTTTTTTTTAAATTTTTTTTTTTTTTGGGGGGGGGGGGGTGGGGGGGTTGGGGGGGGGGGGGGGGGGGGGGGGGCTTTTTTTTTTTTTTTTTTTGCGTTTTAAAACGTTAAAGTTTTATTTAAATGTATACTACTTGTGTAAACTATAGATAGTATTTTAGCTGTTGGTTTTTAAACAATTGCGCTGTGACTAATAGAAACGAAGAAACAGCGGAAAAAGTGAAAAAAATTACAGCGGGGGCTGTAAAATGATTAACATCTCCATTGATCCCAAAAAATACGTGTGAGAGAATGATACCTCTTTTAATTATTAACTTGCAAGAACGACGGTACGGGACACGACCGTCGTCGTGGGCAACAAGCTCAAGTTTATAAAAATGATGGGGTTTCAAAAAACGAATTTGGATGCCCAAAATAACTATTCCACGCGGACAAAGTCGCTGACGCAGCTAGTTAGTAATAAAGTTGATTTTAATTAAACTATTATGAACTATGAACCACCGTTAATTAGAAAATCGTTATTAAAATTTTTTGAGTAGTTAGCACTAATGTGAAACATAATAAATAATCGGAGATAATTATGTTTTTTTTTAATTTGGTTTAGCCCAGTTAAAGCTGATAGTGATAAAATTGTTTACAGGAATAAAAAAGATAACGCGAAACGAGTTGTTCGCTCCAGGACGTATGGCTTACGTGGTAGAATTGGAGGATGAAGGCACCATAGATAGTGATATTCCAACTACCCTCACACGCAGTAAAGCTGATGTGCCAGAACTGGACGAGAGGAGCTCGTCTTCCGCTGCCAACGATGTGGTGGTGGAAAAACTGGCTCAGATATTCTCATATCTCAGACACGGCCGGCATAGGAAACAAAAGAAGATGAAAGTGAGTTTTTCGTATTATACAAAACTTTTTGGTTCAAAAAGCTCTTAATCCCTTGTATTAGGTTTTGGTAATAGCTTTTATTGTGTGATGAAAATATTGGAAGAGGTGGAGTACCTTATAGTAACCAACTGCACAATACGAAGTTGCAGATTCGAATCCTTGATGGGGCGAAATGTTTCTTGGTGTTTAGATTTTTTTTATTTTTATATTAAGTTTTGCTAGAATAAGGTAAGAATGTAATACCCAATAACCGGAGAATGCATAACATCGTCGGTAAATCCCAGCGCGCGCTGGTCTTACGTGATGATACGAATTTTTCTATGCGAGAGACCTTTTTCCAGCAGTTGGAAATTTGTATTGGTCGAAATTTGTAGGTTAAGTATATATACTAGCTGTGCCCGCGACTTCGTCCGCGTGATATAGTTATTATGCATATTATATTATTTATTTTTGCTAACAACCTTCTCAGCTTTCAAAATTATAGCTGTTACCCACGACGTAGTCAGCGTTCCGTCGCGTTGTTCTCGCTAGTTAATTTTAAAAGATTTTTTAAATTGTTTAAAGAGAAATCATTCTTTTTAATAGGTTTTTGGTTTCTTGTATGGTTTCCGCAGGGCACGCAACGGAAGCCCTCAAAGATTAACATTTCCCTTTGTTTATTCGCTCCTATCGGTAGCAGTCTTATGTTTTATAGCTGGAAGATCCTTCCTCGATAAATAATCTAACAAACACAAACATTTTAAAACTTAAATATTTTTTATATAATTTTAAAAATCGAAAATAAATTGAAAAAATATTCGACTCGGGCAGGACTTGAACCGGCGTCGTCAGCGTTCCGTGCTGTTGCTCTACCAATTGAGCTACCGGTTCAAGTCCTGCCGGAGTCGAATTTTTTTTCAATTTATTTTCGATTTTTAAACAACACAAAAAATTTTAATTTGAACCAGCTGTTCCTTAGCACGTTCAAACAAGCAAAAGAACTCTTCATATTTATATATTAGTATTGATATTACACTTAATGCTAAATAAAAAACAATACTTAATAAGTAATATAAATAAAAAACAAAGATATTTACTAATGCTTTTAATTCATTTTAATGCCATTAAACAAAGCAGTAATGTAATTAGCTAATTGTAATTGGTTCAGGCCACTTTTATACTAGACTAAGAGAAACTTTTACATCTTAAATTAAACTTGTATTAAATAGTTAATAAAAATACACTAAGAATTTAAACTTTAACGTTTGTAACACGGGGAGCAGCCGTGGTCACGGTAGACTCCCCGGCCGTTGCAAAGTATCCAAAACGTCGGGCCGTAGTTAAAATAATCTTCAAATCATTTTAACGAATATATATCGTGTTTTAAATGGTTTAAGTATTTTATTTAAATGTGTACTACTCGCATAAACTGAAAACTGTACCATTTATGTTTACAGGAGAAGGGTCGCAACGAAGATTCCATATACGGTGACATAGGAGATTACGTCGCGGGCGACCGTCGCACCGAACGACGGGACGAGAGGCCTCGCTCTGGGTACTTTGACAAGCCGATCGAGACTGAAAAGGAGACAGGTGAGACACGATTATAAGATACTAGCTGTGCCCGCGATTTGGTCCTCATTGAATAGTTTTGGACATCACATTATTTATTTACATATATCATATTTATTAACTACCTCCTCTTCCCCCTTTATAGGTCGTATTGCAAGTTAATCTTAAAACTTAGGCATATACTCTCGCGGACATTTCTTATCACTTAAAGAGGAGTTATTCTTACATATTCATATTTTTTGGTTTCTTTAATCGTAACCGGTTTCTTAAAAGGAAACCCTCAAAGATTAATATTTTTTCCTGAGTTTTTTTTTATCATTTCCCTCCTTTTCTGCCCTCCTATTGGTCACACCGACTTTGTCTGACCGCCTCCGTAGCCAAATCGTTAAACGCATTGCATAGCAAACAAAAATTGTTTCGGTCGGGCAGGACACAGAAGTCTGATCAACTACTTGCCTGTTGAAAAACGGATCAGTGAAAAGGACACATAAATGTGTTCGCCCCATGTCGCCCACGAGGGGGAAACGGGACATAGATAGGTTCATGTTTATTCTTCAAATTCGTACCAAGTACCTCGTAACAATCCACTTTAAAGCGTATTACTTGCGTAAAATACGGTTAGTTTACGCGAGTAGTAAACTTTTGACGCTAAAAGCTTCCGGCCGTGATGTCGGAGAAACTTAGGATGCTGGGCGTCCCAATCAACGTGTAAAATGAGGTAGCGCCATCTGTTATCTTGAAGTAGTTTTTATTCACTTGTAAACTTCGGTGCTTACAGACTCATCGTTTCCTTTCTCTTACTGATGTGTTGTAATTTTTTGCTCATTAATAATTTGACTTCGCTGAGTCGAGAAAAAATTTACGAAAGGCCATACACTTGTGATGGCGTAAAATCGATAACTAACTCCTCAAAAAGGAAACATCTAATAATAATAAGTGGGATTTCAACGGGCATCTATAGCGATCCGTTCTGCTACTCAAAACAGTTAACCTATCGTGTGTCGATACACGCATCTTTCGCATAATGTAATTTCAACCTTAAAACTTACGACGTTAGGTTCAATATCCTATGCTTCGCAATGTAACCTCATTGAATATGAATTAGATATATTTTTAACAAAATGGCTGCCAAAGCCAATTTATAAACTGATTAATACATTGTCTCCCCGTGACCATGGCTGCTGCAAAGCATTCGAAGCAGGCGCATAGTTAAAATAATTTTCAAATAAGTTTAACTAATATATATCGCGTTTTAAACCGTAAAAATGTTTTATTTAAATGTGTCCTACTCGTGTAAAATACAAACAGTATTTATTGATTATAAGTTAAGATTTTGATGATGGATCTTTGAATGCTAGGGCCTGGACAGTTAGCGCGACGCACTGGTGCAACAGCCGAAGATCGCGATAAGAGGTCCGCTGCGCTGCTGTCCCGTCTTGCTGCAGAGCCGGAAGGGTATGCGGAGTGCTACCCAGGTCTCCGTGAGATGGACGACGCCATTGATGACTCCGATGATGAGGTGGATTACTCTAAAATGGATGCTGGAAATAAGAAGGGACCTATAGGTTTGTATGGATACTACAATTGCAATCTATAATGTATTTTTTCTTACGTGGCATTTTTAGTAAACACATAAATTACATGAAGTCGTTATTTTCTCACAAGGAGTTTTTAGTGATGTAAGCTAAGAACATTGAGACACTGGTTTATATATTAACCTAATCAATAAAATCAATTAAAATCCTAAAAATTAATCTACGTAAATCACAGAATAGAATTTCTTCAGTTGACATTTGCATAAGTCCCACTTGTGCATGATGGCTGAAAAGCGTTACAAATGTCGAGTAAAATAATGATAACATAAAAAAATCATTAAATAAGTCTTCATAAAAGTGATTTTGAATATTGAGGTCGTTTGGTCCAAATTATAGTCCATAAAAGGTTATTACTATGGTTTAAAATCGGCCATATTTATTGTGGTCTCCTGCCAAGTTAGTAAAAACACACTATACTAGAAGTCAGACTGAAACATTATATTTACACGTAAACACGTCTTTTATCAATTGTGTTAAATAATATATTTATATATATTTTTTAACTACAAAAAAAGTTTTAAAAATTCACAGGACGCTGGGACTTTGACACGCAAGAGGAGTATTCGGCGTACATGAGTAGTAAGGAGGCGTTGCCAAAAGCCGCCTTTCAGTACGGCGTGAAAACGCAAGACGGAAGAAAGACAAGAAAAACCAAGGATAAGAGTGAGAAGGCGGAACTGGATCGAGAATGGCAGCAGGTAAGTTAGACGGGCTCGTCGGTCTAATGGTAGCAATACATGGCTAATAACGGGTCGCGGGTTCGATCCCAACTGGGACAATCAATTTATAATTTTTATGAATCATGTTAGACTGTGTCTCGAATATTGGATATTAAATCCCATTTTCTACTATATAAGTATTACATGATAAAAATTTAGAAAATAATTAATTTAACAAATTATATGTGAATTCCACAGACATAATATTTTGTATAAAAATAAGTGGTATTTTATTGTGTCTAAATACATCGTGATCTAAGGTTAACTTGGCACTGCGTTTTACAATTGAGAATATGTTATAGTTTAGCGAGTAGTTAACATTAAATAAAACATTTAAGTTTTAAAACGCATATATTATTAAACTTATTTGAAAATGATTTTTAACTTCGGCCCGAGTTTCGGATACTTTGCAGCAGCGTGGTCACGGAGACTAAACTTTAGTCGCGTTTTAAACCGTTAAAGTGTTTTATTTAAATTGAGCTATTGTAGTGATAATAATACGTTACGAACTGATTAATAACAACTTCCGTATTTACAGATTCAAAATATAATACAGAAGCGAAAGGCACCGCAATATTCTGCAGACGAGCCAAACTTCAAAACTCCCAAGTTTTAACAAAGAAATGCACAGAGGGTAGATATTAACGTGGTGTAAGAAGGTAGTTTTATCTTGCGTGACTAAGATAGAAGATACCTTAAAATCTGAGATTTTCTTTAAAAGTAATAATCGACTAAACAGTACCTAAACTAACAGAAAAAATTGTCAGTTTAAATTTACTTCGCAGAAAGTATGTATTTTGATTTTAGAAACAAATTAATGATTTTTTTACAATATCATTGGCGGCATGCTTTAGAAGATTTCAGATAAAAAAGAACATTCTTCAACTAGACAGTCTGTGAACAATGCAATGAAATTTTCCTAATATTTATATAAGTAATGTCACTGTATCTACAATGGTAATAATATATAGTTTCATTATTAATAGGTTTTCGAGAAACTTCTATTAATGAAGCTATATTTTCTTAACTTACATCTGGTGTATTATCTTTAATAAGTGCCTGTGTACGAATAAGAGTCATACATTAAGTTATATAAAGAATTTTAAATAATGTGTATGCAACTTGTTTGTAACCATTTAATAAAGTAATGCGTTTTAACTTGTTTTTTTCATCTCGATCTGACGGTAATTAACCCTTCATTGGTTTAAATATTTCTTTTAATCGTAAACGCATTTCTGAGCTTATTTACTCAAGATATTTGTTATAGTAGAATTAAATTAAACGCAAAGTATGTTAGCTTTTTTTAAATACGACCCGACGTCGGTTCGGTTCGGTTACCAGAGCTTTCTCTCTACAGTTGCTTTTAATATGTTTCGTCTTAAACCATTCAAAATAATGGTTCAAAATATTATTTAAGGAATTATGCAGGAAAACGTGAAAAAAAAAATCATTTTTGCCCATAGGATAACAAACATTTCTGTGTATTTTTACTGTTTTTTTTAACAGATTTATATACTGTGACCGATCGAAACGTGCCGTTTGCCCAGAATTCGAAACCAGGATATCTCGTCTTAACGTCATGTAGCTCGGTGAACCATTGTAGGGTTGTTTAAAGCAAAAGCTCGGCTTATAAAGAAAACTTTATTAGTACAATTTACCCTTTAATCCTTGCACGGATTGCATAGGTATAAACTCAACGGAAACCTAGCAATAGTAATCCAATAGGATTGATTTATAGGTCGTTAACCAGCTAATTATAATGTAGATTAGACAAGGATACCGCTACGTGTATTAAGGATCAATAAAGTCCTGTTAGTAGTTAAAGTGAAACATCACTGACGGGCCATTCGTAGCACCACTACAGGAAGAATCTTGCTACTATTTTTAAAAATAATAATTAAAAATGTTAAATGCTGTCTGTAATTCACGCCAGCACACATTTCAATAAAGCAGTAACGGTTTAAAACGCGATGGTTATTAAGTAGTTAAACTTATTTCAAGGTTATATTAACTTAGCCGACGTTTCGGATGCTTTGCAGCAGCGGGGAGTTAAGTCTCTAAATAAGTTTAATATATATTGCGTTTTAAACCGTTAAGTGTTTTATTTCAATATTGTTCGAGTAGTGAATTATCTGTTCGCAACGAGCCAAAGATGAATGCACTCAACAGAAACAAGTGATTGAGATACTAACAAGTATGCGCTACGACGTTTAGCATAATTGATAATATTATGCACAGAAGGCGCATCTCACGCTCATTTCAATGCATAAGTGTATTCTTGTTTACAACTGTAGTCACGCGAAGGATCAATGAAACTCGCTGATTTCGACAGGGAAAACGGCAAACGAAGCGGAGCTCATTTGAAACCAATGAATTATCATCTACCGACCTTCGGATTTCACTAAAAGACAAAAGTGTGGCATTCCGTCACGTCGCCACTAACGCGACGTGTCGCTCAAGAGAAATGCGGCCGAATTCGCGACGACTCATTTGACACAATGCCGGTTCATCGGCACTGCCCGTCTACCTATACCCTTAGAAGCGTCTTCACAGGTGCGTAAGCGCAGGTAAAGCCTCCGCCCGCGTCCTTCGCCCCGCGGCGCCCACTCACCGGCCATCTTGAATTCCGTTCACTCAGACCCGCGACTCGCGACCGCCGCACGTAAACCGTATTCGCGAGTCAGTTCATTAATTTTAAGTGTATTTCAGTGTTTCGTGGTGTCATGTGATAGTGTAGTGTTAAAAATGGAGTCCACGCCGATCTGTCGGTGCCGCGTTCTGTATCTCGGCTCGGCGGTGCCCCAACAGAGCAAGGATGGCTTGCAAGGAATCCAGGAACCCCTGCGCGAATTGTACCCGGAAAAGGGGGCGACCACCGGCGGCATAGACTCTTGGCTCTCGGTGTGGTCGAATGGAATTCTGCTCGAGAACGTGGACGAGAGCGGGTCTAAAGTGTCGCGGTTCTTTCCTATATCTAGCCTTCATTATTGCGCAGCCGTGAGACGTGTCAGCGTCGAGGGTGCGCCGAGATTTTTACCTTTAGACTCTCCGTTTGCCAGAGCGCCGGCGGCGAGGCGACCTCCTTTATTCGCGGCTGTCCTACGTCGCACGCAAGGCATCAAAGTGCTCGAATGTCACGCCTTCATCTGCAGGCGAGAGGCAGCCGCCAACGCGCTCGTTCGGTGCTGCTTCCACGCATATGCGGACAGTTCATATGCGAAGCGCTTAGAGGCTGAGAGGTCGCCCTCGCAATTGCCCGAACCGGATGAAGAAGTGGAGGTATACGATGGTGATGAAAACCACAAAGTGTGGATCGGTGAAGTGGAAAGGGATGATGCGAGCGATGAGATTCCACACCCGGCGCGTGCTCCGCGACCACGACAAATAAGTCGACCGGCTTCGGTGCCCCCACCGCCCCCGCCACCTGAGGAACCCAAAAAGAAATCCACTACGAAGAAGTCAAAGAAGAAATCTTCTGCATCAGCGGATGAGTTATACGCGACGATGCCGGGTCCAGCGCCCATGATGAATGGAAGATCCCTAGGTCGAGCTCCGCCCGCGTGGGCCGCTCACCCTATGGTGTTAGTAGCACACCCAGCTGCTACATTACCTCATGCGCGACCTGCTACTCTAGGTCACAGAGGTCGTGTTCCTGCAGCATTAGCCCCGGGACCTTTTGCACCTGTCCCCCCACCAGGGAGGGGTAGAATTCAATATGCGACAGTAGATCCTCGGCGTTCCAAACCGCAACCTCCAGCATTAAAAGCGGCACAAAGCATGACGACTTTGGAAGCTGTTGAGGATGCTGGTGGGATATATCGAAAGAAAGGTCATCTAAACGAGCGTGCTTTCTCTTATAGCATAAGACAAGAGCACAGAAGTCGATCGCATGGATCATTAGCCAATCTCAAATTCGCTGCTCCGCCAGAGGTACGTAACATTTTTTATTAAAAAGTACCTTAAACGCGAATCCAGAATTCATAATTTTATTCGATTTAGATTATTTAGTGAAAGGTTGTCAATCTATGATATTAGCAAATGTGTAATTATTAATTATGTCGATTAGTAATTAAATATAAATTAGCCTTAATGTTAAACATTAACCCACATTAACAAATTTTTGCGTAATGCGTACACACATTTTATGTTACGGTAAAATTGAATTCCATTGACAAACCATTTAAACACTCGGACTAGCGGTGCCCCTCCGTGTTACCCGCATTATACTTATAAATTATAATCTTCTTTTCACTCTTAAGAATATAATTTTGAGAAATGATCATAATATGATCAGAAAACATTGTCGTAATATAAAGATTACCCTCAGAGTTTACGTCTCTACGACAGTTATTCAGGTTCAGTAAGATTATTATTATTACGCAGACATTGTATTGGGCCAACACGTGATTTTGTAATTTTGCTTAATTACCCAACTTTAATATTTTAAAACTAACTATCGCTTGCTTGAAATGTTTGTTTCTTAATAGTAACTCTCATAACTATTGCGAAATTACAAGGGTCCTTGTGAAATTCTCACAGTAAAAGTCGAATAAGGGCGCAATTCATTATTTTTGTAAATAATCTGCGAGAAATAGTATCTATAGTTTACGCGAGTAGTACACATTTAAATAAAACACTTTAACGGTTTAAAACGCGATATTAAATTTCAAATAAGTTTAACGAATATATCGCGTTTTAAACCGTTAAAGTGTTTTATTAAAATCTGCGAGAATTTGTTTTTTCTTTCCGTGATAGAAACGTCAGATACATGTACTTCAATACGTTATTTAGAAACAAGTATAAATAGGTTAAGTGTCTTTCAACACATTTCCACGGCGTTTTCCGCGTTCACTTGCTTGATTGAATATATTTTAATAGAAAATATAAAATTTCTATGTTATGTAAGGTTAATTATTAAATATTAATACGTTTTGCTTTGCAACTCTAAAAATAAACATAAAAATACATGTAAATAAATCAATTATTTTTTCATCATTTATTTCGCATTCAAACGCTTTCACGCTTAAGAAAAATATACTTCCCTTCTACAAAAATCGTTATCTAATTATTATTGAATCGATATTTTTTTTTTGAATGTCGAAATAAAACGTATGAAAGTAAAGGAAATCTATACACGTTGATATATCTCTTAGTTTATACCCAAATGTAGCTAAAATATTGTGTTGTATTCGCATATTTAGTCTTAGCCTTCTTATGGTTCTACGAAACTATAGAATACTACATATATTTTGTTTCTCTCGTGTCAATGATCTATAAGAAATCTTTAAATCTTATTTGATCTATTGCCGTACGGTTCGATTTCTGAATCGTCCTAGACTTACGTAACTTATTGCAAAATTGTCAACACCATAGAAATATTTGGTTTGAGGAATTCTCTTTTGCTATTTGTCAATCATACTAGTATTATGAAGCTGAACTGTTTGTGTGTTTGAACGCGTTAATCTCAGGAACTACCTGTTGAAACTGAAAATAGTGGAAAAAACAGGGTAAATGATTCATCGCCGAGAGATTCCGTTGTGTGCGTAACGAAAATGGCTTAAGAAACCAAAAAATATGTTCGAAAAACGGAATCCCTTTTAAATCATAATAAAAAATGTCCGCCACAGTAAATGTCTATGTTTTAAGTTTTATGTTTATCGTTTTTTTTTTCTCTACCTTTAGTTAAAAGGTATCCGTATTATAAAATACTAGTCGTTATCCACGACGTCGACCCGTCGTTTTTGCAAGTTACTCTAAAAAGATAGCATTGTTAACCACGTTATAGTTGAGCTTGGTTAAATTGAACTATTCTTTTTCGGTAGGGTGCCGAAATGCTTGCAATAATAGCCAAACTAACTAAGTGTTTCTATCTTTCGGTCTTTACTTACAATTTTTTTACAATATTAAGTCTTGTTATTGAACACATAAGTGATTTAAGAAACAGAATATTAGCCGATGGCGGATCGGCGATGTGGTTATGTCGATTAAGAGCCTGGCACGCGGTCAAACCAGTTAGAAATGTCGCTGCTGATGTTACCACAGATTTGATTCCACAGATAATATTATATAGTGGCATACGCATGTGGTTATGTTTGCATAATCTTCATTTTAATGAAACAGACAACATACTATTACTGAGTACACTTCTGTGTCCCGTTTATTTATCACTTGGTTGTAAAGTTCTTATTTAATTTATTTAACCATGCATGGGGCAGATACCATTTGGTGTTTGTATTCCGACTGTACCTGTATTATTATTGTTTTCCCGGATTGGAACTCAGCACTCCTGTGATTATTTGTCTTGTACTCCTCGACAGTAATTATCGTTATGTTTCCCTGGAATTCGAATCCCGGACCTCTCTATATGTACTTAGGAACGAACTTAAAATTATTTTATAATAACTTTAGCGCTAAGTCACGGAGCATGTCATAATAGATGTATTCTAACCACAAAGAAATTTTTACCTTTCTCAATAGTTTTAATTAAGTTGCTTGTACAAAAAATTCTTAACTTATTTTACACGTTGCGTTTCCTCTTGTATTTTCTGTATCGACGTCCTTTCTATAATTTAAACTGGTTTAGATCACAATACATTATGATATAACACTATAACATAGTGTAAATAGGTCAGTCAGTCAGCAACGCTTGAAACGTGAGCGTTACGTAACACGAAATGTAAGATTAATACGTACTTATATTAGAGTTTAGATTAAATTATGGCAAGTATATATTCGTGTGGCTATCGTAAGATTGTAAATTATCTAGCGCGTTTATAAATAACAATAAAGTGAAGATCAATTGTCAATATTTGTGAGAAAATCAAATATGTAAAGCCAAAATAGGCCGACAGCGCATCTTGTCTAGATATGGCTGGGGTATTTCACCTCCCATAAAGCGAACCCCTTGCTTGTCTGCCCTCTACCATAAAAAAAAAACAATAATTATAAATTAGGTTTAACGAAGGATTTAACTAGATGTAGCTATAGTTGTGAAAAATTCCATTTAAATAAAATACGTTTAACGGTTTGAAACGCGAGATATCTTAATCAACTTATTTTGACGACGTTTAACCTTACCTTATTACATTTAAATAAAACACTTGAACGGTTCAAAACGTGATATATTAGTTAAACTTATTTGGAAATTATTTTTAACTTCGGCCCGACGTTTCGGATGCTCGGATGCAAATAAGTTTAACTAATATACCGCGTTTTAAACGGTTAAAGTGTTTTATTTAAATGTGTACTACTCGCGTAAACTATAGACAGTACTTACCTTATTACGTTAAATTCTATCTATAGTAAGTACGTAAGTATTGGTTAATACAGAGGTTGACTTTTGATCTTAATAGTCAATACCTAACTATACTTGTGTCCTTGCTGCACGAATAAATTTAATAATAAGTACAATTAGCGTTTGTTGAAGCAACATCGTATTTCTTCGAAACAATATTGTATATTATAAATCATGACCTCATCATTACGTCAACTTGGAATGTAAAAAATGTTACAAGCATTAAATATTTTATTATTTCGTGGTTCGCCAACTAAAGTCGGAAATATTAAACGTCAGTTTGATTAAAATACTTTCGTTCGAACACCATAAGTTGAATGTTGAACATAAGTTAAGAGAATTCACAACGGTTTCAACATGCGCGAGAGATGCATGTATCAATAAGTTGAAATAATTCGACGATGGGGTGTGGGACTCGGTAGCTCAATTGGTTAGAGCAACAGCACGGAACGCTGACGATACCTGTTCAAGTTTATTTTCGATTTTTAATCTATAGAATTCTCAACGGTTTAAAACGCAAGTTTATTAGTTACGTTGGATTGTATTTAAATTAAGATAAGTATTATGTTTCGTGAATTAAAACTTTTTTTTATTACACAGGGTAGTATACTTACTATAATTCACTTATATTAATTTATTCTATGTGTGTTGCCACCAGTAACAATGTTGGTGTTTCAAGAGTATTGCAAATTCAGGATAACGATTTCGCTCGGCCTCGGCTACCTTTGTATTAAAACGTATTTATAATTATTTGCTTGTAAAGCTGTGAAAATAGAATTTCTACGTATTTTGTATAATAGGTCAATTTATAAAAAAATCTATGTGAAGCACTTTAACGGTTTGAAACGCGATTTATATTAGTTAAACTTTTTTTACGTTTCGGATGCTTTACAGCAGCCATGTTCACGGGGATACTAATATAATATGTATATCGCGTTTTGAACCATTGAAGTGTTTTAGTTAAATCTGTACTACTTGCGTAAACTTCAGATCGTATTTAATCTATGTTAATATTTACTTTTCATAATTTCTAATAACGAAATAAATAATTTGATACAAAGTATATAATATAACATGAACATACAAAAATCTCTATATAAATGTAATCTATATGTAAATGTTATAAATCTGAAATTTCAAATCAAATTAATCGAACATAAAAATACAAAATGTTTTTTAATATAATTCTAGACGATGATCGGTTCATTTTTAAATATTTTAATTTAACGTGACCACTGGCTCTACTGTACATGTACCCGCGTTGAACTCTTTTCGACGCAGCGAAATAGACATGGTCGGGCTATTGAATATTTTAATAACCGAAGAGTTAAACCTTAAACTCTTGTAAGAAATCTCAAGGCACAGTTATACTGCACTAGTTTACTTAAAAGTGATTCACGCGCGTGCGACCTATTGTCATCTGAACAACGTTACCTAGCTTAGGTTTATAGGAAACTGTATCTTATATTAATAAGAACAGGAACAGCTGTTAGCTAGCTTACGACTATGGTTACGACTATAGTCTTTAAACTATGGTAATAGAGGTGCTTTTTGGATCCTTTTAATGATAGTCACACGAGTTGAACGGTCATTGCTACTGCAATTGTTCTGTGTTCACATACGAGCACGGTCAACA